AAACTAACTAAGCGCCGGCGCTATCGTCGTCCTGTCAGCCCCATAGGTCTCACCTTCAAAGGCAGGCCGGAGCCCTGTGCAACGCCTCCGGTGAGTGCTCAGCTCTCTGGTTGTGTGCACAGGTTTATTCGCTATGGGGTACCGGTTCACCAAATAAACCCACAACCAGAGAGAAGGACCCTCGCTACTATACATCTACTGCAGTATTATATTCAAAAATAGCTGTTGTAGTACCCGTCGAGCTTCCTGTCTGAAAAAGTCTCGAATGTGTATCCTTTCCAGCTCTGAAAGCACGATGTTACGAGGCCAGAGGCACTGGAATTCATGTACTTGGAAAAATGCTCCTTCTTCGAGGCAATGTACTTCTCCTTCCAGAAGGAGTTCACCTCGTACAGTTCTGATGTAAGTAGAGTTGCAGATGAATATGAGGGTAAGTAGACTGCAGTAGAGTACTTCAGTGGCCGCTGTGGCATCAGAACATTCACAAGATAGTTGCAGATGAATTATTCGATAAACTGAAATAGGCAAGTAACAACTGAAGAGAATAATTCGAACAGCTGAAGAGAATAACCGAGATACTGGAGGAAGAGTAGCCTTGATGTTAACGTTAAGCTAGTACCTCCCTTATTAAAATTCAGTCAGTAGCTCGGTGATATCCAGTTTTCGAATACAACGAGCTTCATAACAAAATGCAGTAGACAGAAAGCAAGCAAGTAGAGAACAAAACCTCCTCACGTGAGCGTCTCCTTCTTCAGAAGGTGGTAGTATAATTACTATACTATAGACTGCAGTAGAGTACTTCAGTGACTGTGGCATCAGAACATTCACAAGATAGTATTCATCGTGGTAAAAGTAGTACCTGCAAGAGTAGCAAGCATAGAGTCAATGCTAGTGCAAGCATTGGTGGCTCTTTCCCACTGGTTCGCCAGTCTCATGTTGCCGCTATCCACTACTGCTTGAGGGATCGCTGTCTGCAGTACTCCTTGTCTGATCAAGGTCGTTTGCAAGTAGTAAAAATAGTGCCCATTCATCATCATCATCAGGTATGAAAAACCACGAATAGCTATAGTTCCTCTGATCTAATGGAACATTATGGAATACGATCACGAGGACCATCCAAGTGTTGTGATCTAATTCTAATAGCATGCTCATAGCTTGAGGAAACAGGCTTTAGACACTTCATCAAGAGAGACGAGGAGCAAGAACGATCTTCTTTCCCAACAGGCAAACAAAAACTATGAATGATCTACTATTATCCATACATCGACGTAAAAACAGTGAAGATGTAGATACTGTGCAGAAGCCGACATTGCAGCAGAAGGCTGCTTCTGCATGGAAGGCATGGATTCTCCTGAAGCTCGTGAAGCTCCCGATGGCGACTGCAGGCCGCCTACGCTTGTTGAGACGTTAAGTTTGACACCCTGAATACCCGGAAGCGGTGCCATCTGCGGCATTTGCAGGGGTCCTGGGACCACCGAAGTAGAACCAAGTTTTGCCATTTTTGTTGTTCGTGGTCTATTAATTCTAGTCTAAGTAATAGAAGTAGACGTAGAGGTTGAGGTGGTTCTAAAGAGATGTCTGTTGAAAACAAATGACAAGAAGAGCAAGAACGTTTCTTTGATACTGAGTATCTAAGTATTCAGATGAACGTCTTACAACTTGGGTGATGTATAATGCTTCCGAAGTAAGAGAGGAATTGTAAAGGCGCCGAAATTGTACCTATACTAAATGGGTCGGAGGAAAGAGGAAAAACATGATCAAATCCTTGGACAGAGGATAGGTCTGTTGAGCATCGGAAAGTAGGCTTGAAGTTCACTTCGGTACTCTGTAAAAATAAAGAGAATTAAAAGTCACACACAGTTGTGTACTTCGTTATCATTTACAGCCAAAACACAGACAAACTCTTTGCTCTTCTCCACAGATAAGATTTGTTGAGACCATATTTGCTTCTCTCGGACAGATGTCTGTGATCCAAAAAAAAAAATAAACAGACGCAACGAGTGATCTCAAGGATATGATAGGATAGGATGAACCAACTCAAAAAAACAGAGTGGGTGACTGGGACTACGATCTCATCCACCATTTTCGTGATCTCCACCAACATCTCATCTACAACAACCTTCTTCTTCTTTAATTTTCCTTCTCCACTACTTTCATCTTCCTCATTAGCTGCTTCGATACAATAACGAGACCGATACGAGACTTCGAGTACCGTCCTCGCGGAAGCCGGCGCGTTTTTCATCTAGCCACCGCTTCCGCCGTGTTGGTAGTGTTTTGCTGAGGGAGACATCACCTTCTACGTTCATGATCTCGAAGACTTCACTATTTCTACCTAAAGTTCGTTGTACGAGTCAGGACATACTATGAGTTAGGCATCAACGATCCCTGGAACTTCACTTTTTTGAAATTTGCAAGTTGTACGTAATATAATTATACTAGGAATTTTGAACCTAGTCGCAGTCCGTTCAAGAATTCTTAGCTATCTTTATGACCAACAACGTGGATGTGCATGTCCAACTATAATATTATTATAGGGTCGTGGTGGAATTTGGAACGGAAAGAATGATATTCCATAGATTTATAATGGGAACAACAAGGGTGGACAAGCATTGATGTAATGAACATTTTCACATACGTTGCGTAAAAGTAACAAATATAGGTCGCATTTCAGAGTTAGTCAGTATGGTTTGTATGTGGTCGTCGTGCTCGTGTGTATATGTATGGATACTATGTATAATTAACAGTTTTTTGTAGTAGTAGGATTATGTGTGTATGTTTATGTAGGTAATGGAAAGGTAGTCGGATTCTGATTCTGATTATAGTTGTGAAGATGAAGAGTCGAGTAGAAGTGATAAGCTTTGATGGAGAAGTAACAACTATGATATTACGTCTTTGATTGTTGAAGATGGTATATCTCGATTTGCATTGATAGGATCTTTGCAGTTGTCTGATGTGGTAGTACAAGAAACATACATTGGATGGGACTAAGTAACTCAATGTGAAAATACAAGGGGAGTTCGTGCAATGCATCGCATTCTCATACTTCGTCTGCCAAACATTCATCTTCTCTTTTTTATCAAGATACAATGGCGGAGTTCGAATGTGTTAGTGGTTTAGGTTTACAACTAGCTACGCTTACTAGGAATATGAATGTCTTTAGCAATGTTGGATGGATGCAGATAAAAAATATAAATTTTTTCGCACGGAGTTCTTATCTTCTCAAGTGCGCGAAACTACTTGTTTTGGTAATAGTCATCGTAGTCCGACAAGTGTCTTTGATTGTTGTATCTAAAAGTTTTCTTGTTGAAAATATCCAAAATAAATTTGCGTCTGCTTGATAGATACAGAGAAGCATGACGTTTTAATAGGCATTCTTCTAGTAGATCATGTATCAGTATCTCTATCTGTATGGATGTCGACGACGTAATTTTAAAGCTCAGCAGTCAGTGGCCACTGACTCTGAACGGAAAAGACCCCCTTCAAAGCTCTCCCCTTTCCCTTAGTTTTCCCCTGTTCTCTCAAGGGGTCGCCTCTTCGATCTCAGTGACCAACCCCAATGACCATTGAAAGTTGAGCCTTAATAATCAAATTAGAAGAATCTACTAATATCGCAGTAAGAGATTGATTCCTTCTAGTTTTCTCTTCTTTCTCTGTACCTGAAGACTTCTACCATACTTCCTTAGGAAGTTCCTAAGGGACCTTGTCAAGAACTACTTCTTCCCTTTTTTGTTTTTCGTTGAGATGGTTGATGCACTTCGTTTCGCCGTTTTCGCCTTGCTTGCTCCTGCTTGTGCTGTTCTTAGAGCAACAGTTAATTATATTGGACCTGGACGAGGATCTCTACTAATGCTCTAGCAGTGGTCCTTGAAAAGAGTGATCTACCAAGTAGTCCCATGCGTGTCTCTGTCTGTTCTACATTCAATGTAGACATGATCCACTCTGTTTGGCCTTAATTTCGCTTTGCCGCTTCGCCGCTGTCTCGTGGGAGAAGGCGGGTCGGCAGCTCCATCATCTCCATCCCTAGAATTTGCGTTGCGCCTCGCGCTTACACTCCGCGAGCCACGTTTATTTTCTTTTCCTCCGGAGGTGCTCCCTAAGGATGAAGAAGGTGTTGAACAAAGTCTTTAAGCTACAAAGACTTATGACGAGGTCCTCTTATTCCGAAGATCAAATGTATTCACAAGAACGAGTAGAAGGGGTAGTGTTGAAGGTTTAAGATTGATTGACGAGTGAATGAATGTGCCCACTTTTGTTGGGGTATGTCAGTTACAAACAACAAGAAAACAATCTACTACTAGTAGGTCAACCTCAACACTCAACAGTCAAGGTACTAAGGTAGGGATGAAGCAGCTCTTTCTAACAACTCTAAGAACAACTAGATCACTAGGGTTTTTCCTGTCCAACGTCGAGGAGGACCTTGTGCTAGGATCGTACACGACCTTAACTAGATGCATAAATAGAAGTGTCATCCGACAGTGCTACGGTGCACGATCTTATAGTGAGTCGTAGGTATTGAACTTGAAATAGGACTAGTCAGTGTCATCGTCATAAATCTGGCGATGGAGAAGGGGTGCGAAAAAGTAAACGGTCTAGGGTTGACCTCGCTGGCGCTGATGTTAGCTTTAGAGGTGGAGATGAACCAAGAAAGAAATAAAGTATCGAGTGGGACTGGGAGTGCTGGATCTTCCACTAGTACTGTATTCCACCGCTTGGCGTAGAAACAACTACAAGTGTGTCTTCTCCTGTGGTCAACATCATGAACATTATTTTTAGGCTACGTTACTAGGTTGCTGGGGCCCACATAAAACGTAGATGGATATATCTGGAGGCAGCTAATAAAGTGCCACAAACAATTTCTAGTGAAGATACTAGTCTTAGCGCTGTGGAACATACATGAAATTGACTCAATCTACAGGGAGGAAAATTGTGCAAAAATTACTGGTCAGAAATCATGCGCATGCAGAAACTAGCCACGATTACGATCTATTCATCAATTATAGTTCAGATCCTTTGATTCAGTCATTCATTTACCTGTTCGTTGGTGTGCATAAATTATCGGTACTCGGAGAAGATAACTCGGGAACCCGACTACGCCGCCCTCTACTTGATGCTGGCATGGACACGGGTCTTAGAGGGTATTATCCCTCAGGCTCGTGATTGAGCGGAGGAGTTTTTTCCCTCAGGAGTCTTGGTCAGTGGAGGATTTTCTTCCCTTAGGAGTCTTGGTGAGTGGAGGAGTTTTCTCCAATACATGGGATTCTTGGTGAGTGGAGCAGTTTTCTCCGATACATATGAGTCTTGGTGAGTGGAGCAGTTTTCTCCAATACATGGGAGTCTTGGTGAGTGGAGGAGTTTTCTCCCATAGGATAGGATTGGATCCACAATAAAAAAAAGAGGCCTTCTGAGAAGTATTAAGGATAGTCCTCGGAGGACATCAAGAACAGATATTGAATTTGACAATGATATAATGATGAACTAGTTCGTTGCAAAGAAGTAAGAACTACTCCTCTCTCACTATCTATTACTTCTTGTTCTAATAGCTAGAACAATTTATAGGGGTGTCGGAGCCAGGACGGGATGGATCGGATGGACTTCCCAGTCCCGCTAGTCATTTCAAGTAGGTGCGAAGATTTAGGGGGGTCCATTCGATCCATCCAATTCCATCCTACATACGTTCTATGAGTCATTCGATATTGCAACTATCTATAGTTAGAAACAAGAAACTGTGGTCACTTCTATGTCTAAATCTGATAGCACATCATCTGCCCTTAAACTCGGTACTGGTATGTTCGCATTAAACGAGCCGCCCGTTTCTCCATCAAACAGATCGGCGTCCGCAAGGCCTGGCAACCTAGGCATGCGGGGACCAGGGACCGGCGCCATCGAATCAACAGCGTCACTTCCACTGTTAAAGGCTGAAACAGTTGCAGTTCCTACCTCTTGCCTTACGTAAGTAAGTATTTGACACATTAACGCTTCTTCTCGAAATGTGCCAAATCATGCGTACAACAAATTATGACGATTGTATGTAATATTAATACATCATGCGTATTATATTGAACCCTTAATGCTACTGCTTTGACTGGGATGAGCAATCGTGTATCCGTCGTCACTTGTTCTCGATGCTCGGCTAACCTTCGAACCTCTAGCAGTTGCCCCAATCGTGTATCCGTCGTCACTTGTTCTTGATGCTCGGCTAACCTTCGAACCTCTATCAGTTGCCCCATACCCTGACGGCCCCTGCTCATCGGAGGAAGCTATATTAGAGATAGAGCAAGAGAAAAGTGATAAAGATAAGGATGCGGATGCGGAAGTTGGGGATGATGATGATGAGGATAATGATGATGATGATGATAATAACGATGGACGTGATTTATATACCACTTCTCCACGGATGACGCAAGAATTTCTAGACTCAACGTGATAGCCAGATGATGGTGGTGTCTGATATTCTTGTTGTAAGTTCACGTTGTACTTATACGTATCCTACTTCCACCTAGAAGTACAAACTATCCTCCTTCTAGAAGTGCTAGATGAAAAGCCGACCTTAAAACAAGACGAAGGCACCAGTGCTGGTGGCGCACGAGGTGTCTCAGGATGACCGGTTTGCATCTTTCCACCATGATATGTCTGATGCGACAGCTGCCTGGTCATTTCCAGCTCTTAGATGTTAAACCTTCTGCTACGGACTAGAAGGTGGAGCGAGTGTCGTGGTGAGAAAATCAAGTAGAGAAGAAGTGTTGATGAACCTTCTTCTCGAGAGTAGAGAAGTAGGGAAGGTGTTGGAAATAAAAAGCCGCACAAGAAAAATAGCATTTTTATCCGAAGCAAGAGTGCAAAGCATTGACTTTCACGCTCTTGTTGAACAAGTTGCGAAGCTGACAGCACTCTCCACTTCCTAAGACTAAGAGGTAGAGGTTGTTTTTGAAAAATAGATAAAAAAGATGATACTGAGCACGAGCACGATTATTCATAATAACTAGGTCATCATTTACTAGGTTCGGGTGCTCTTTCTATTTCTAACTAAAAGTATCTAAAGCAGGCATACAAGAAGTAGGTCAGAGTAGGTCATAATTTATGCCATCATCGTCTTCTTCCACCTCTGCGGAACCACAATAGCAAAAAATCATGAGGAGCATTCCGAGTATCGAAACGGCAGTCGCCGCACACAGAGTAGCCACTATCACCAACGCCCAACCCCCAGAGGATTAGAAAATGACTGGCTTATTTGCTCTTGCGGCCTATCAAATACTGTCATATACATATTTTTTGTTGCGCTCTGTCTAACTAGAAGAAGATTCTTGAAGACAGCGCATCTGTGCTAACTACACACATAGGACTGCTGTGGTGGGTGACGGTGAATAAATGAATGAATGAATGAATGTGCCCAGCAAGAGGTGCCTCCAAACTACACTTGATTTTCTCACCAGCACAACAGTTGTCTTATGTGTGTGTTTAGCACGACAAAGATTTCTTGAGTCTTCTAGTTGTAAGAAGGTTGTGGGACTGCGACTGGGAGTTTTGTTCTCAAATAGGAACATGCATGATTAGTATCTATGAGTATCCAGTAGTGGTACTGGTATTCAAATTCCTGCAGATTAGCCATAAAACAAGTCATTATGTGAGTATTAGTTGTAGTATTCAAATTCCTGCAGATTTGCCATAAAACAAGTCATTATGTCCACCTTTATCTGCTTCGGAGCTCTCCTTCGGTTCTGGTGGCGCATCTTCCATTAGAGGTGAGAGCCAATGATCGTTGGACGAAGTCTCCACGACTCATTCATCTACTGAAGGGACAAAAAAGACGTGATGGTCGTCCCTCGACCATAGTCCTCTACTCTTCCAAAATACACGTGGTCCCTCCCTTTATGTTCAGTGATCTTTACTACACTTCTAACTACGTCCCGCTTACCTTTACTACATTAGACTTTATAAATATATTTAGTATGTGACAACTTTTTGTTTTTCCAAGGCTAAGCCCGTCACGGTGTTCTACTACTTCCCTTTCCCTAAGCCCGTTGTAACCGTGGCAATTATACACTCAATTCTTCATGTTGTTCTCTCGTCACTGTGTCTCTAAGAGAACAGTCAGTGAGAGAACAGTCAGTGCGAGAACAGTCAGTGAGAGAACAGTCTGTAAGTTACTCTGACCGCAGTTTCTCCGCCTGCTCCACTGGCAGTCTCTTCATCTTTGATGATGTGATGTCAAAGAGAAATTCTCTTAGTTAGTTTTCAGTCAAGAAAGTGAGTGAGTACGTAGTGAAATTAGACTGAGTCGCGTTCTTTCCCGACGAGCCTTAATTCTACCACAGGCACCTGATGCTCCCCTGTGCCAGATGAACTTCCGTGCGGCGTCGTGCTGCCGGGAGAATGAGGATCACCGTGGTTTTTGGCTCTCCTTCTTCTTCTCCTTCCAGCTCTACCGCTTGATGTAGGAGGTACAGGAGTTGTCGAGAAATTAGAAGATGTCCCTATTAACCTTGGTTATGAGATGAACCCATATTATAAATACTTATATTCATCTATGATTGAGTAGGATAGGATAACATCGAATTGGGACGATAGGATGAGAAAGAGGTTCTAATTCTAATATTGTCGGTGGAGCACACCTAACTAGGAAACAAAAAACCCAAAAGAGTCAAGTAATCCAAGTATCTAAATAAACTATAGTGGCCACGTTTATATTACTATCCGTTTATTTTAGGCGCCGCGCGTTCTAATTCTAATATTCGAAAACATGATGAAATCACCGACCAGCACCCGAGTAGGAGGGGTATCATGCCCTAGCTCTCGTAGAAACTAATAAGCTCCTGCTCCTTCATCTCAGAGTAAAATATACTCGGATACTATGGCTATCGAATGGCTCCCGTATTTGGTAACCTGAATTCGACCACAAGGATTCCCTTCTTGTTTTCCCCTACAATGAAAATCAGGCTACCTAATACCAGAGCCATCGAGATATATTGTTCCTTCTGCTTATTTCAATGAAAGCTCTTCTGAGATATATCCTTTTTCTTATTTCATTGAATCAAGTTTTCGAATAAATAAATACTTGGAATGAAGCATCTTTCACGTAGTCTTCATCATATTACAGTGCTTCATCAAGTGCTTCTCGTCCTGATGATCATAGTTCTGTCTGTGTGTAATGTAAACATCATTTGCATAAATACATTGAGAAGAAAGTAGCCTTAGCGAGAGGGCCCCTTTGCTTAAATAAATTGAGAAGAAAGTAGCCATAATGAGACGGTACCCTGGATGTTGTGCTTGGTCACTAAAACTAGAAACCTCCGAAACGACGGCACCTGTAGCTGTACTACTCGCCACATCTCGTTTAGCTCCTGGTCATTTATTAGAGGAGCTACCGGATGAGAAGTAGCCTGAACAAGCCGAATATAATCGTGGAGGGACTACTACTAGGCTGGCCGAACAGTGTTAAGGGCAGCTGCAAGGGTCGCTAGCTTCAGGGACCTTGCCGTGGAGACCGTCAGCACTTTTAGGACTGCAAAGCAACACACAGAGTTGAGACGGTAACTACAGCCATAATAGTGATTGTGTATGTACCGATGTTGGCCATTCCTAGGGATGTAACAACTGATCATGTAACAACAACTATCTAATGATGTAGAAGTATACCTAACAGTTACACTGAAAACTTCTTAGTACATCATCTAATCTATCATACATGTAACAACAGTAGTTAGTATTAATACTGGTTACACTAAGTTAATACTATACCTCGAACTCGATGAACCAGCTAAAAATGAGGTCGTCCAAGAACTTCTGCATTGGGTTCAAGAACTTCTGCACTTAACTTTCGCTTTCATTGGCGCCCTGTGTTTTTGACGTCCGTTCCTGTTAGCCCCGTCGCTGAAGCTTGTTGCTGCCGAAGCTCCCTGGGAAGTAGCACTCTGGAGCCTACTTGCAGCACGGCCTTAGACCCTAAGCCCTAATTCATTTCCAAAGGGACCTATGAATAAAGCGCACTGACTCCGACTCGCTCATCGGCGTGATCACTAGAACGTAGCGTGTGGACCGATAGAATGGACTTCTAGTTCGTGACTCGCTCACTAGAAGATGAAGAAGTCAAGTACGCCACATCTTTCCTCCAAGAAACTACGTCCAGGAAGCAGACGAATACGAAAATGAAAACGATCACTATTCTCGGTGGATGAAATGAATTATGTCAAAATCAAGCCGTAAATACCAGCTGCTTTAGCAGCCTTGATCCTTGCGTGATTAGATGGAGACTGGCATCGAGTGCAATCCCATGTAGGCATGCGTCATGTCGGCTACAGAGGTCAAGGTCATACATGATCTGTACATAAATACTGTTCGTTGAACTGGTGTACTATCAGGGTCGTCCACAGCTGGTGCTTTACTATTGCTGCTGCATATGATCATTATATACTGAACTAAGTACGGATGTATTAGTAGTACGGTACCCATGCAGGGGGTATCAGTTAGGTTGGGTCCTTAGGTGTTGGCTCGCCGTCCACAGGATGACCTGTACCGTCAAGCGATCTAAATAAGTGCTAAACTAATTTGATAGTTGATTCGATTCCAATTAGCCCTGGAGTAAGCGATACTGGTAGCACGCGAATCAGTTAAGAACTTGAGCTACTCCTGTACTTCTCTACTAATTAGTTTTAGTGTGTGCTGGACTAGATTTAGGATTAGATTTGGGGGGGGCCTCCCGCCTCAGCCCTAGACGGTGATCAATTACGAACTATCCTCTAAGCGATTGAAAAAGATAATTCGCATCCCCATCAGTCTCCTAGTATCACTATCAGAGGGGGAAGCAGGTCATAGGGGACGTATGAAGGAAGAAGCTGAAAAGGTAATGATCTGACAATCTATTTCTAGAGGTTTTGCGTCCACTACAGTAAGGATTCCATGATCTTACCGAGCACACAGTTCTAGAAAGCCACCACCAATCCCGGGAACTAAAGTTTTCTATACTCGTATTCTGAGAGCAGGTGGCTCATCCTCATGATGTTACCAAAATAATAATTGCGAGAAGGGGCGGGGGGGGAAATCGATTAAGCCAATCGAACAACTCAAGCACACCCTCCAGGAGATCAACAAAGTCCACGAGCGAGCGAGGCTGGCCGCACTGGGCTGACGAAAAAAGTGGAGCAACCGACTCAAAGAGATGGCGCGGGACATCGAAAGAACCACACACCACACCGGCCGAGCGGCAGACCGCCCGGCGCCCTCTCGTCGGCAGCCCTTCCCGCACGCCACAGACCCACGCCAAGACGGACGCAACACGAGACCCAGACCAATACCAAGCCGCGCCGCGGTCTTTCGTTTTGCCGCCTTCGACGAGCGGCGCCCAAAGTGTGCGGGAGAGGCGCGAACGCCGCACCGCGTTAGAAGCGAAAGGATGCGGGCTAGGTGCGAGCCTTGTTTTCCGATTTCTAACACTTTCAAAAGTTCCACTCTTAGCAATGCCTGTGAAACTTTCCGCGGGATAGGAGTAAACAGACAAGACACGCAAAACCTCGCACGATTTTCCAAATTTGGCGTGGCGTTTGCTCCTCTCGCGGCGTTTGTCTCTAGCGTCAGCGCCATTCGCTCCAAGTTTCGGAATATACGCCACAAAAGATGGCGGAAAATGGTGCAAGGCGACAATTCCTAAACCGTTCAGCCGTCCAGTTCAGCATATATTGCATGGTGGAATAAGCCTAGGAATAGAGTGAAGGTCAACCGGTTATTTTTCTTCATGTGCTTTGAGGGTTTTTCTTCATAATTATTTTTGGATCCTTTTTCCCGCCAAAAGAGCGAGATTCAGTTTCAGGAACGCCGCCAGCTTTTAATTAGTGGAGAAAAGTGGAGAAAAGTTTCATTTTGCTTCTACAGGAAAGCAGAAGGTCGTGGAACTTATAATATATTAAAGGATAAGTAGGAGTGAGTGAATGTTGAGTGAATAAATGTGCCTAGCGTGAGGTGCTGCAGGGTGTGCTTTATCTCGTAGGAGATTGTACAAGAACTTCTAAATCAGTGAGATGAAGCTTAGGATTGTTCATAACCTTGGCCCTGCGCTGACGGCCTGGCCTTCTTTTGCGCCTCCGCCGCCTTCCGATAATCGATAAAGCTACTTTAGAGAGACAGGGATGCTAAATAAACCGGAAAAACGCCGCGCCAAACAAGGTAGGTGTCATGTGTAGTACGTCCCTGATGCTATCATTCTTGACGACCGCAGGAACGGATTCTGAGATTGATGCTACCATAGTTGTTGTACTTATTCTTAGATGCTTCTCGCGAATTTCACGGATCACGATGATATAGATGGATAATGATGTGGGTATTCAATTTCATGTTGATAAATTGGTCACGTTGATATAAGCCTCAATTACCACGTGCTGATAACGGTCGCCCATAATGTGTCGGGTCCGAGTGGACCTCCCGCCCCACCAATTGGACAAGTGCGCCACAGGGTGTGTTCCTTTCACAAGGCGGCCACATTTCCCTTTCCCTTGCAGAAGCAGATGTTGCATTAGCCGCACTTACGTTAGACCAGTGTTCAGGACTCGTTATTAATATTCCAAAGAACTCCAACTAACATCAAGAAGTACAGATTATAGCTTTTAGGTCGTGGTGTAGCCGTAAGGACCACGCTTCTTGTGACCGCTGTAGTCGTTTTTCCGGTGTTCCAGAAGCTGAGCGACATCATCTGCGTGAGTAAGTAAATGGGCCCAAAACAGCCGCAAAGTAGTAGCAAAAAGACCGCACCATCACGAAGCCAATGTCCAAAGATCGACCACGACCGCGGCTTATTTGGACTCTTATTAGAAGAAAGTAATAAAAAGTAGTTGTAGTAGTTAACCCAGTTGTAGTAGCTGTAGTCTTATTAGATCATAGTTGTGAGATAGTTGTAGTCTTATTAGATCATAGTTGTCAGATGAATCAATAGAGCTGCCCAAGAAGTAGGAGTAGTAGTTAACCCAGTCCAGGGGTACAAAAGAAAAGCTGCAGAGCTGGGAGAGATGAAGAATCGACAAATACCAATGCCTTAAGCAGGAGCTGGCCTTTCGAGCCTTTCGCGCGTCTCCGAGCTTCGATTTTATGCTCCTCACTACTGGTTCCTCCTAGATGATTCCTCCCCTTGAAATCTTCAGAAGATAGCACGACTTGTCCTAGATGATTCCCTCTCATCTCATCTTCATGTTGAGCATCGTAGAGGTTGTTGAAGTTGTGTTGCCGAAGTGCTTGACGTTGATCTGGAGCCGGAGGCGGTGATGCTTGTTCCTCTACTACTTCTTGTTGTTCTTGAAGAATTAATATAGTACGTTTCATCTGAGGTGGTGAACGCAGAGGAGAAAGAGGGTGAAAGTCGTAGTCCCCAACACGAGCGGTTGATGGTGCTGGAGTAGGAGTACTAGAATTTTTGATTGCTGTTGATGTGCTCGACGACGTACATTTGGAGGAGGGTGGAAATGGAACTATGTTCAAGAATTTACTGACTACCTCCGATGCTCGTTTGTTTTTACAACTGGAGCTGCCTGCTCTTGAAAAAGACGCAGTGGCAGTGGAAGATGGCGTTTCTTCTACCTCCAGATGATGATGAGTTAAAAGAGAGTCTGATGTTCTTGTCGCCATGTTTTTCGCATCTTCTTCGACGATCTCATGTGGATTTTTGTCATAGTACTCCTGGACTCCCCATCTCCACTTTCTACTGAAGTTTTTCTTGGTTTCCAAAGAGAACTTCTGCCCCAACATTTTGTGCAGCTTGACCTTACTCGTGGCCCACAGCATGCTGTTGAACAAAACGCTAACGCTGGTCTCCTTCCCATAGGCTTTATGATCATGATGACGTCCCAAGGCATGTTGAAAAGCGCCAACGTCGAGCAAAGGTCGTGCCTCATCCTCCAAATCCACCGGCACATCTTGAAGATGCTGCAAGTCTCTTGAAGAGGAGGCTGTCATTTTTACATGCAGATGCTCAGCCGAGCCCGAGGTCAGCTGCATGTTCTTGGTACTGCTTTCGTCACCTACTAGAATCTGCATCCTGGGGAAGCTCTTTCTTCGTGCCAGTAAGAATTTTTGTGGTGGAGCAGGTAGTTGTACTAGTAGTCCTCGTTCTTGCAGTTCTTTTTCTATTATTCTACTTATTATTGTTGTTCCCTACTAGTAGGATTAGAAGTATTCCTAGTCGACGCAGTAGTAGTTTTTTTTTCAGATAAGGCATTTTCAGAGGTAGAACAGTCTCAAGAGGAGGCGTCTGGGATTACGGAGTCATTGATTGATGTCGTACGGCGGGGCAAGGATTAGAGTCAGCTTCGAGTTTCGTGGAATCCTCCGGTTGAACACCCAGAATGACCCTGTAGCGCGGAGGTACTGCTAAAAAAGCGGCTGCTGAGCTGGTGCTAGTTGTGGCTCGGAGGATTTACTGAATCGATTCGGCAACATGCTTGTTAAGATTTCCCAAACCCAGACGACTTCTGCCACCAGCTAATGATCTAGCTAGTTCTTGTAGTGCACTAGTGGTAATGCGATGCTCTGATGTTCTTCTTGACGAAGACCAGCTATGGCGGTTCTTCTAGAAGGGAGCTCTAGGCGGCTCTCGGAATCACAGTCCTCTAGGTTGTCAGCACTCTACTAGGCGGCAACGTAGCATTGATTTGCTCTTGCATATAATTTTTGTTCTGCTTCTACCTCGACATCAACTACAGCGTAAGTAGGTACGTAGCAGGAATAGTTAGCCGAATCGTGGGGAGCAAGATCTTTTATGATAGTACATTCGTGGGGTATCTATAAGTGCTTTAATCAGTTGTTAGGTTGCATGATGCTAAGAAACAAGGCGAGTCGTCTTCCTAAAGGAATCCATGTAGTTGCACTTCAAGTCGAACTTGCGACGAACACCAAGACCATCACCCTAGTAAGGTAAAGATTTTTGTCAGGTAATCGTACTATGAAGACTGTTGTATATGCGGTTTCGATTGTTGATAGACTGATTGAGTGAGTGAACGAATGAATGAGTGAATGAATGTGCCTCGCTGCGAGAGGTGACTGATGCACTACTTCTATGACCCAGTCGCGAAGTAAGTATGATGATCTGTAGCTACAGTATAGGGTGGTGGTTTTTCAGGAGGAAAAAGGCGATGGGCTTCATCTGTGGTGCTATAGGTGTGAACTACAACTATACCGACCCTTTCTTGTTCCTCGAACGACCGAGCATTTGTTGACCATGCAAGCCTACAACACCTACAATCATAATGACGAAGAGGCTCCTGCTGTGCATATAAAATATCAACGAAGACCGCATATTCGATTTTTTTAATCGATCCTGGAGTGCACTGGAATACAACCGACAATCGATCTTCTTCGTGAACAGGAACTACAATCGGCTCGCCTAGTACAGAGAGGTGAGCATTCACGACTATGAAAACTACGGGATTCTTTCGAAATTTCGAGACGACAAGAACCGATGTACGACTTCAGGAGTCTCACCGACCTGCTTTTTTCTGTCAATATTGCTTCTAAACGTAAGGGGTAGAGACACAACTACGAGAAGCTGGAGACGGTGAAGCAAGAAGACGAGGTACCAATGAGCGAATGAGTAAGTGCTGGGTAAATGAATGTAAGTACACACAACATTATCTTCACGTTCGTCTGTGACTGACCACTGAGAAGCATTTAACGTGGTTTGAAGGCATCTGTCCTCTGGTGACTAAATAAGTGTCTGTAAGTGATGTTCATCTCGGTCAGCCGATTCGGAGGTTCGCTTTCATATCATTGAGTGATTGATGGCATTCCGAGTAGTACTCCTTAAAAATTTCAAACAGCGCCAACTATTGCCCGTTATTATTTGGCCTTGTGTTCGCTTTTCGTGTTGCAGTAGTTTTCGCCTCGGGGTGCTGCTCTTTGAAAGAAGTACTTAATATCTGTTTGATTCAAAGCAGTACTCTATCATCTTCATCCATAGGACAAGAGGAAAATAACAGAGATTCTCGCTTTTCCTTCTGCATCTAGAGACAGAGATGATTCGACTCTGATGATGTTAGACGATTCGACTCTATCGTATATGGAAGGGACAGAGAAGATGAAGACCTCAGTTATAGGTGCCCTCTTTTACAAAAGGATAGCAACCGACGAGATCATAAATTCACTCTCTTACGGCTTTCTAAAGAACACCCTAGATGAAGGGGGTACTCAACACTCGTAGTACAGAACCTGCCTCTTTATTTACTTTTTACAGTTTTTACACAGTTCTTGTATCATGTATCTCTCAATGATCAGCTCTCAACAGATCATTATCGTGCTCTAGAACAACGTCTTGCCATGGACTCTCATTATACCTGCTTTCTGAGAAAGTGCCGTAGCATATTTAACACGTGCTGACTTGGTAATTAACTTTGCGTCTTCATTCGTCCGCTTGTTTTCTTTGCGAATTGTCTCAACAAGAATTGAGAATGGAATTGAGTGACTATCACATATTTCATTCATTCTTATGTAAAGAACAACAGCGGAGCATAGAGAGGTCTTTTGTTTTCTGTTTGGATTTGGTTCGAAGTACTGCAGGTAAATCATGCTAGCTCGGGTAAGAGTTCTCTTATTATAAAATATTATCTCTATCGCTATGCTCTATCGTTATGTGTATGGATGTGCCGTGCGCTGACAAGAACATTCCAATCAATGCATCGTTATATATTCATCCATCTAAAAATGCGAAATCGGCCCGTGATTGATTTCACCTCTCCGTTTTCCGTTTCTCTCTATCATCAATATTCTTCACGCTGTCTTCACGCTGACTCGTTTGTGTCGTTGTACAGTCCTCTTGTTTCGTGTAGGAAGTTCCATCCCATTTCCTCAGTTCACTCCATTCAGCCCTCTCCGTTCCTTTCGCCAGTCAGCACCGTAAAGCTTCTCGACGCAAGCACGCGGTCTTAGGGGTACTGAAAACGGTCGTCCGCGAATGTTGGTGAGAGAAGTCCCACCACTCATAGGAGAAGCGCAATCGGCCAACATCAAGTCCGCAAAAACCCACCATGAAACGTCGTAAAAATCCGAAGTTAGAAATTTCAGTTCGTTGTCAAAGTACCTTAAAGTTACGTCTAGGATAGAGTAGAGTGCCTCGACGTCACAGTCACAAGATGTGACCGTTCAGCTCCGGCAAATCGCCCCAAGGAGTACACGACACCAAACTACCAAGCCATAAAAGATGATAATCAACACCTCGTTCGATCTCGGTGACTCGGCCACTCGAACCAAACATATCCAGGTTATTCAGCGGATCGCTTTTCACTTCGCTGCTCGGCTTAAACTGCGTGGAAGCAAAACCAGGGAAGTTTAGAAGGAGCTCACAGACACAGTTGTCACCTATGACTGAGGGAAGGCAATTCATTTTCAATCGGAGTATTAAGCTCGTTTTCTTATTCTCAATATTTATCATAAATATAAGTTCCTAGTTAATAGCATCTGTCGGCAATGGATTGAAACGAAAGTCAATGAATCTTATTTGGAGAAAGAGATGAAAGAATTATCGTATTTTGGATGAAGGGATTAACCTAGTTACTAGAATTATCGTATGCATGAGGGAAAAATAACCAGCTCATCCTGGGCCTTAAGTAATCGGCACAAACTCTCGCTACTTTCGACTCCCATTGGTCTACTCCGAAATTGTAGCGGCGCCCAGCAGCATTCCCCCCAATAGAGCTAAGTCCTTGGGAAACAAACCACTTACGCCATTGTCGTTTTGTCATGGGAGATGTAGAAGCAGAAGTGGTCATCTTTCTTCTTGTTTGTCTTTGTTGATGGTACAATGAAGAGTCATCTAGTGGTGAAATGAGAGAATAATTGACAAGATCCTTCTCGTTTCGATGAAATATCGTATCACGACTTTCGCCAGGTTGTCCTTGTTGAGCGAAAACCAGCATTTGCTCCGCAGCTGTTCCTTTTCTAGTACCCCAAGAATCCCCATCCAGGCCTTCCTCATCCACAGCACCATCTAACATATCGTCATCAACTGTCGCGCTAGAAGGTGGTGTTCTTTTGTGCTTTCCTTCAGACCTAGCTGTCTCCTCACCTCCACTCGAAGTAGAACTTGCGCTAGAAGCAACACGTTGTTGTAGTGATTGAGCTTCTTCTTCTTCTTCATGCTTTTCTGCAGTGATGCGCGCTTGTACTAGTTTTGCCAAGTCTGGCTTTCTTGCAATGAAGGTGTCTAACGTATCGGGTGAATGCAAGGCATGGGCAAAGAGTTCCCAGTACCTCTTGTCCACGACCAAGTCCATGTCTTGCGTGTGCGGTATGATGTCGCCGTCGCGGACTGCTCCGAGCAAGGTGCCGTACAACAGCACATACGGTATGCGTAGTCGTTCTAAGAGCTCACAAACGTCGGAGAGCATCACGAACATGAGATCGCTGCAACAACTGTGGGTGCGGCGACAGAGAGGCCAGTTATTAGACGAGCCTCTCGCACTTCTTCATATCCCTGTAGGGATCCCCCAAGAATGTGCCTCAGAAGTATCTCCCTTGAGTATTGGGATGCATACTCACTTCTGTTGAGGGATCCCCTCGTATTTCCTTGGGTACATGTTGAGGCTGAGGGATCATCCGGATTTTTCGGCATTATTCTTCTTTTTTTCATCTAAGTAAACTACTTCACCTCAGCCTTAAAGTTACGCGAACACTGGGGTGAACGGCACAACATATCGCCAGTGTGCTGCATGATGACACGGCCAGAGGAACGCCCAGCACCCGCTCCGCTAGCGAAGGGATAACCGCCATAGAGGCTGAGGTTAGAGCTAGAAGAGAAGCAAGACCTAGATCTAGAAGAGATAGACGAGACGGGTACCTAGACAAAATGGTGCTGCTGACTTTCCCCTTCTATAAGTTTTTTCGGTATCTCTTCGCGAAATTGCCGTTTCTTATATGATAGTCGCCTTATCTAGCTGGCTGGCTAGATACTACGAAGGCTGCGTCTTCAACTTGCCTTAATCTCCAATCCACCTCTACCACCATACAGGAGCTCCTCTCGCCCAAACATGCCTCCAGGCCCGTAATCGTCATACATGCCACCTAGAGGGTTCATTCCTCCTGAGCCTCCTAGAGTTGATATGACCGATGTTTTTTCCATCTTCTACCTAGCCAGAGCATCGAGGCCCCCCGTAAGCTATATAAGCTAAGTATACAGTTTTAAGGGGACGATGAAAAGGGGCAGCCTAGATGGTCTACTGAAAGATGGAAAGACCCATCTTCATCCATAGTTGAATCCTGTTCTGCTGATGCGATACGGATCAGAGTTTGCAGATGCAACCTCATAGCTTCCATTTCGGTACGCCAGGGATTCTCTTGATGCTCGTAAGCAGTTTCCCTACTAGAAGACGATGACGAAGTGCGTCGAGAGAGAGTCAGAGACCTGCTCCCCTCGTTGTTGTAGTTCTCATTGTCGTTTTCGTAAATGTTGATAAGGTGATTTTCTTCATTCTTGGGAGAATAAAGAGCAAGAGTACTTTTTTTCGATGAGGAGAAGCGTCTTGGAAACCCAGGATCTACTTCTACCTCTGCGGAGGACGAGACACCGGAAGATGCACTTTCTTCGTTTCTGGCGTTAAGCGAAGAAGGGGATGTTGTCCTCATTGGAGTTTTAACGCCTTGTTCAGATGAAGGAGTGGAAGTTGATGAAGCTGAACGACGCTCATCTTCCTTCAAGCGCGTTGTATCAACAACATCTCCATGTTCATTGAAATAATCGATACCTTCCATCTCCGATCTTTGTTTCTGAGGCAGCGCTGTATCAAAGGCAGTCTCAAAGCCGCTGCCGGCTACGCTAGCGTCAAGTAGATTCAGGACGGTGCTAGTGAAACCAGTAAGCGTTTGCACTACCCAAGATGCCTGGTCTTCTTCATGCTTGACTTCTCCAGAGGAGTATTCTGTTGTAGTAGATGAAGTAGTACGATCCTGCGAGATGATGAAAGTACGACCAGACAACATGCCACGTCCTTTCGCAGCATAGAGGAATAGGACCGAAGAAGAGGCGAGCTTTAGAATCGGACTCTTTTGGAAGAGCCTCCAAGCAAAAGCGCCGGCCGCAACAAGGAACCAACAAGATGGAGCTTCTCTCTGAGTCTGAAGAGTAGTGCCTTGCAGATTGGCTCTGTATTTCGCTGATGTTAACGGCTCTGTATTTCGCGGCTGATGTGCAGATTCTCCTCGTGCGTTGACAGAAGACGAACTTGATGGAGACGAGCTTCTTGGTCCTCCTCCTCTTTTGAAGTCCTCTTCAACAACGTCACCAAAACGATCAGAGAGAATAGAGGGTGGAAAAGATGGTGGGATCCGTGGTGCAGAGCGAGAAGCGTAGTTCTTCTGGAAAGTGGCATGTTGAGCAGGTTGAGAATGAGGAGGTTGATCAAAATCTGGAGCTAAAATCTGCTCCAATGCGCTTCTCAACTGTGCCTGGATGCTGCGTCCAAGCACTGTCGTGAGCGCCTCAGCAAACTTTTGTACCGTGCCAACATGTTCTAAAAAGGTGTCGGTCAGCGAGGTAGAAGTAGTTGTTGCTGTATTCATGCTGGAATCATGCTGTTGAGGAATGTACGTTTTATCTTCCTCTGACTCTTTTAATCCTGGACGTTGTTGTGAGAAGTCTCCTCTTGTTCCTTTACTTGTGGATGAGGAAGGCATTTTTTCTTCGAACAGGAGAACCTCGTGTTGATCTTCAGAAGACGTTCTACTTGCCACCTTCATTGATGCACTTGTCGTATCTCCATCCTTTACTTTCCTTCTGTCTAGAAGCCAGTCCGGTCTTGAATCCCTTAAAGCCTCCAAAACATCGAATTTCACCAGAGAATTGTCGTAGTACCCCTCACTGCTCATGCCACCAGATATCCACATGGTCGTACTCTGCCGCAAATTTACCCTAGCATGCATTCGTGGCCACCAAACGACATCCGGTAATGCGCGCACCAGTAAAGGCGTCCATTTTTCCTCCAATCTTTGTTGTTCATCTTCGGTTTTATCATCTCCTTGTACAACAACCCGTTCTTCCTGGCTAGTAGAAACGAACTTTCTAACGTAGATAGCGTGGCGGTCTTCATCTCCAAGTCCATCTCGTCTGTCACCTGAGGTACTAATATCTCGGGAAGGATATCCACCTACAAGAAAGAGGACAACATCTTGATGGAGGTGGTCCTCGTGTACATTTCTGTAGTTGATGGAGGTGGTCTCTGTTGACGAACAAGGAGGAGCAGTGGTTGAATTAATATTTGCAGCTACTTCAATATTCTTCGAAGATGTAGTTGGTATTTGGAATCGCACAAGAGTATGCCCGGACCTTGCGATTGGTGCTCCAGAATCCAGAAGGCGTGACCACGTAATTTTCTCAACTACATTGGTTGTAGAAGCTCTCGATCTCGAAGTTATTGGTTTATAAAAAACTTCTTCTGATGTTGAGGTCAGCGTAGTAGACGTCGAGGACGTTGTAGATGTGGACGATGTCGTAGACAGTCGTGTAACAAAATGGCCGTTTTTGTTAGTCTTCAGGTTCAGATCCAGATCGACGTCCAAACTCCTGTTGATGTTCGTATTCTTGAAAAGGCTCAATAGCCTGCCATCGCGGTCGTAGGGTGCGAGAAAGCCAAGATAAATGTTGCAAAAGACCCACTTGCGAGTTTCCCAATACAGGGACATGACGGCGGATGTGAAACGTTGAGCTTTCGATGACAGCGTGTTTGACAGCGTTTTTTTGGATTCTTGTTTGGGTGGAGGTTCGTCTTCATAGAGCGATGACTGTTGTACATGTCTTCTCTCCTCTTTTTGAGAGATGCTAGAAGCTCCAGCCTCTCTGGTCTCAGCCTCTTTCTCTTTATGATCGAGATGTGAAGAGCCGTCCTGTTGCTCGCCTTCTTGTTGTGCTCGTCCCTCTTGTACAAGGAGCTGAGACAAATCCCCGATCCATTGATCCGCGAAGACTTCGTCGTTTCTATTACGTCCACCGTGAAGTAAAATACGCCGATCGTCGATGAGGGACACAGCGAAATCAGACCTGCGGTCCCAAGGTGCTCGTTTTGTAACACGTTCCCAGTGCCACTCATCATGCTTCTCATGCTCATGTTTCGCTCTTTTCAACATCCACACATCGCGAAAGAGACGACCCTTGTCTCCGCGACCTCCCAGTAGGAGCAGGGATCCTGCACCATTTTTACTTGTTTTTGAAGTATACAGTGGTTCTCCCGCATCATTTTTTCCAGCATTTATTGAAGCTGCACCTGGCAATGTAACCACACCAAACGCACAACGCGGTGCCCACATCTTGCTACTGGTCCCCTTGGTCAAAGGCCGCCAAGACCACAAATCTTCCGTAATCCAGACATCATTCAAATACTCCTGGTCTCCTCCTACACCTCCAAAGACTATCAGAAATCGATTCTCTAACACCGCAGATCCGAAGAAAGAGCGAGATCGCCAAGGTGAACGGAGAGTGTGAAACCGCCAATAATAGGAAAGTTCCGTATGCGACGAGGAGTGCATATTAGTATTACCTACCAAAAATTCCTGTAGTTCTCCCTGATCTCCGGTCATGCTTAAAGCAGGCGGAATCCACATTTTTGCATCCTTCAGAACATCCTCCACCTATAATATTCTACTTGAAAAGAGGCCAAGGATGTTACAACTTGGGGATATAATGTGGGCGGTCCCCTGGCTTAACATGCGGTATTCTAGACTGAGTCCGTCCGCCGTCACTTCTCCAATGCGCGGCAGCGTGGTAGTCGTTGTCGTAGTCGTCGTTGTCGGTCGTGTCTTAGAGGTAGATGGACTTCCGTACATTCTTCATATCAGTGAAACTTACAAATTTCTTGACATTAAGCTTAACAGTACTAAAAAAACTAAAGCAAACCAAGAGCCTTAATGGTCGTGGTCGAAGAAGTAGTGGTAGTCGTCGTTGAGGAGGTAGAAGAGGAAGTAGAAGAGGTTTCAGGACCGAAAACGTTGCGAGGCCCATAGTACACAGTAGTCGTCCTCACTGTTACTGTCTGTGTTGAAGTCGAAGCTGTCTTAGCGGTTGGAAGTTGACCGCTCTAGCTCGCATATTTCCATGGCTTTGAAGAAGCCAGAGTTAGATATGCTCATTTAGAGATCGGTCAACTTACAACAACCCGTAATTGTAGTCGAAGTTGATGAGGTGGATGAAGTAAAGGCTGCGAGTGTTTTTAGTGCCTGTTTAGCTGTACTGCGAGCACGCTCGTAGGCTTCCCGCGATGCCGCTGTGAGATTCTTCCTGTCGTCAATAAAATTTTCTCCCACTAGTGGGAGTTGGTCTTGTCCTGCTGTTAAGAACTCCGACTCAGCCATCTTCTCTATGTGAAAAGCAGCAGTCTCATGATTAGTGTGACTCTCTCCTGTTCTATTCTCGACAGCAGTTGTAATGTTGTCCACACCTGCCGTCATGTTCTTGTCGGCATTTTCTTGTTCCGTTTCATTTTCTTGTGTCGTTGCGTTCGTAGATGTGGTATCGTTCGAAGATGTGGTATCGTTCGAAGATGTGGTATCGTTAGCCGGTGTATTGTTAGGACTTGCATTGCCGTCATCAACACCAGTGATATTGTTCGTCGTTCCATTAAAACTGCCCATAGGAAAATGGTTTGTCGTCCCATTCGAGGTTCCATTCATTACAACATCAGTTGTGTTCTTCGTAGTCGCATTTCCCCTGCTACTATTCTTGCCTTCCTGATCATCTTCACTCCCAGGTAGTAGTGACATATTGTTTTTCTTGAGCCAAAAGTTCACGTCGTCTCGCACCGCACCCAAAACAGCTTGTCTCTTTTGCAGCTGTAGTAACAGGTGCTCTTCTTGCTTGGCTTGTCGTGTCGAATTACCACAACTTCTAGCAGAAGAAACACTGCTGGTAGAGCTGTTGCTGCTGCTTGATGCCGCGTTACATCCTATCATTATAGTTGTTTCATTTACTCCTGATGACAGTTCTCCGACGAGTTCTCCGTCTTCTCGTGCTCCGTCTTGTGCTTCCCTCGCTTGAGTCCTCAGCACCCAAACATCAGACAAGCGGCCATAGGGCAAATCCCGAATCGGTATGTATTTTTCTGACAAGTCTACATTTCGAGAACGGTAGGAATAGACCAGGTTTCTCCTAGTCAAACCATGCTCCATGTCCTCAACGAGGTCGGATCTGGTTACAACTGGAATACCACCTCCATTACTGGTGTTCGTTGTGGTTGTACTAGTAACAGCATCGCGTTTATTTTCGCCGTCCTTCACTTTACTCGCATTTTCCGAAGCAGGGCCAGCACTAGTCGGCCTAGTACTAGTCCTACTTGTTGTAGCTCCTTTCTCGCCAGTAGTAGTAGTAGTAGTAGCAGCAGCAGTACCAGTACCTGTCTTTCCTTTAGCAGTAGAGGTACCTTGTACAACATTCCCATCTGCATCAGTGGCTTTCTGTTTCTCCTTCTCCCCAACTGCTGCATCAACGGTCTTCAATACTCCTTTCACCGCCAACTCATCCACACCATGGCCACCTAACACAACTAGTTCGTTGCCGAATTCTAGCATCTCGTGACCTACTCGGGGCGTCCACTCCGCAACCCACATTAAGGGGCCCTGGGATTTCTCAGAGGACCTATTACTCGAGAAATAGGTAGTAGAAAAATCATCTACCTCCCAACGATCATTGTCTTTCCCTACAACTGCTCCAGAGGCACTTGTCGTTGCTGGACCCCCAGAAGCCACCACAGCTTTCTCGAATAACATGAAGCGATAGTCGGACGTCGAGACACTTCGGTCGCAGATGGAAGACAGAAAACAGCGGTTCCCACTAGCACTCCAAATGTTAGAGTCAGCATCTATCATGATCTCGGCTCCCTCATCTCGAGGACCCCTTTGCTTCGTCCCATGAACAGAATACAAGGGAAAGCAAGGGCATCGAGATGCTGAGAACGATAAATATAGTTATATTATAAAGTGGACCTTACAAGTGGCACTGGTACAAACAGGATTCTCTAGGCAGCGTTGTAAGCACTCCTCCAAAGACAAATCCATCAGATTTCCCACATCGCGCAAGCCATCACATTTTCGCATCGCATGTAACCGGAAGAAAGATTTCACACACACACTACTTAGAGCTACCGCGTTGCATCCCTGGAGCCATCCCTGAGCCCTTTTTCCCCTTGAAAAAGAGGCCAAGGATGGTGCTGGGGATGCTCATGCTTCAGCGGCAGTCTTAAACTACTCTTGTTGTAGTTGTAGTTGGGTACCACCAGAGTTCTAGACGAGGATGAAGAAAAAGATTTTTCACTTCCTGGAAGAGGTTGTTGATCTTGATGATCGACTCCTTGATCAACTCCTTCTATCATGGGCAAAACAGGTGGCACTATGATCGACGGCGCAACTTTCGCTTCACTCCAGTAATTCCCGTCACTATCAGCCAAAAGGATCAAGTTGGTGGCGCGCATGACTCTTAGAGCTACTGCGCTCGCATCCTTGAGGGCATCCTTGGATCCTCTTTCGTCCTTTCAAAAAAGAGGCTAAGGATGCTGCTCAGGATGCATCTGCGCTAACCTTAAGACTCTTGTGAAAATGCCAGACCATTCTTTCCACTCGACCTCCTTCGCAAATTCCACGACCTCATTCACCCGCTCTAAATCGGCAGGCAGCATTTGCAGATAAAGGGGTCGTTGTTGTCGTGGAGTAGATCTTGGTAGGCTGGTTCTGGCATGCTGATCCTTGTACGATGATGATGATGATGATGATGATGATGATGATTGCAGTTCGATCGTTGTTGTATTTGATATTGAGGTAGACGTAGATGCTTCCTTTTCTCGATTAGCGTCCTCCCTGTTCTGGTCATCTCCAATTCCCAACAAGCCCTGAGCGAGTCGATAAAATTCAGGACCGCCCATTTCATGCAGAAGTACGTTTTTGCTGTTCACAAACGAAGAAATCATCTGGGCCAGTAGAACAGCTTGTGGACATTCAACAAAAATTTCGGCCTTCAATCGTGCGTTGCCAACGAAGTAGTGCAAAGGATTGGAGCGGAAGAGATGTGGGATTGGGGACGAGATGTGACGAGTAAGGGAAATGGATTGGGCTGATCCTGATGACGGAGGCGATGGAGCACAGATATGAAAATCAAACTAGGACGACAGAGAGGAGATGAATATGAAACCGAAACGGCAATTTTGAGAGAGAAAATATTTATTCAATCCATCATAAGCAAGCTCCTCAATCCTGCAGGCGGATCGGATATCAAAGGTAGATCTCGATGTACCGCCAAAAACTTCTCGACTTCCTCGCGCAAAGCTACCACCATCCTTGTTTTCTTCTCGATGACGTTCAAACAGTCAATCTCCGGATTGTAACCACTGGCATATCTTCCGCTCATGCCATATGGATCTTCCCATCCACGCAGACCGACACCTCCACCATCTCTGTCACGCATCTTCTCCTTAAAGCGTTCTCCATGCAACGCTCCCGTGTGGAAATCTCGCATGCTGCCTGTCTTTCGCGTCTCCATCGCAAACACGATAAGGTTGTTCGACGCGGTCAGCAGAGTAAAGCATGTTGCAAGAAAGAGCGACAGCATCTTCTTGTCACGAAAGAACGGAGGTGCCATTTTGTTTCTTGATGTAGTTCTTGTATGTGTATCTATTAATTAAGTATGTAAGTTGTATTTATCAATATGTTGTAGTTGTTGATGAAAAAATAAATGAGGTGGTTATTTCTTCTTGATGTTCTCTCGCGAGTACTAGTACTCGAGTAGTACTCGAAACCTCCTGATCCTCTTCGTTCCACCAATTCTTCGTCACAATTTTTCGTCTCATAGTCAGGATTGTGCCAAGTCAAGCGGCACCGATCATGACTCACTCGTTCCGTATTAGCACCCCCGTTGTCCAAACTTATAGTATACTGATCGCGCTACTTCGGTTGGAACAAAGAAAGTAAGTGGTAGCGGCGGCCATCTTATCATGCCATCCTCCGGATCCGGAAGTCAATTCACGTCAAGAAATTCAAATTGCTTCTTCCCATTTAATTTCCCAAAAAAAAAATTCAGATACAAATACAAGGAAGTTGCATTCCCGTTGTAGTTCCCGATACATTTACAGAGGTTGGTTTCGAATTTTTCTTCGAAAATTCGATTTTTACTCCGCTTTTGGAATTAGTCGTTGAACAAGGTTGTACTTGTAACTTAGATGAAGATCTACTTCCTCTAAGTCAACACGATAGTTAAGCTAATCATGGCTTGACTGGAAGATATCCATCTACCTAGTAGTCCGTCTTATTGCTGGCGCAAAGTTGCTGTGTACGGTTGGATCTGGATCGAAGGCGGCGATCCACCTTCATACGGGCCACCCTTGTCGTTTTCCACCGGTCGGAAATAGGGATGATTAAATGCTTCCCGTGGCAGGATACGTTGCGAATGATCGTAGACCAACATCTGGGATCGTGTGATAAAAGATAAATGTGAGTGAGCACTGAGATGATCATGTGTGATAGGTGGATATACAGCTTCTTGCAGTTCTTGAACTAGTAGACGTACAACATTGATTTGAGACTAATAATTCTATAATGATCTTTTTTCTCCTACCTACAACCATCGAGAGGTTCAAGTTCTTGTACACGCGGCAGATACCTTATCCAATAGATCGATAGAGTCTTGATGTGCGACGTGGGCGCAGTCGGAGTTCACAAATTTCGTCCAGCTTTTCTGCGGGAATCGGTCTAACAAGTCATCAAAATGCTGGTCCAATTCTAGGTGGTACTTGTTCAGATACGAAGAGAGGCCGTCAAAACCCAAAACCTTAGCAATTCGGACCAATTGATCGTAATTGTCCGATCCGCGGAAGAACGGCTCTCGCTTGAAGATCATACCTGTGAAGAACGATGGTGAAGATAAAAATTGTAGTGCGGGAGGAGGTATCCTCCTTGAGGAATTTTTCCCTCGAGATTTAAGCATTTGCACGGTCACGGCAAGTTAGGCGTACTCAAGAAAGTACAACATTCTCATATCTTCCTCTTGATACTAGACGCATACCTAGTACTGTATTAACAAGTACCTGCGAACATGCATCCCAAGGACCATATGTCCAAGGAATAGTCGTAAAGTTGATAGTCGACCAAAAGCTCGGGACCCTTGTAGTATCTTGAGGCAACTCGGACGTTCACTGGCGTGTTGATATGGTAAAACTCCGCCAAACCCCAATCAATCAGTCGTAATTGTCGCTTACTGTGGTCGATCATAATGTTGTGCGGCTTCACGTCGCGATGCATGATACCTGCAGTTAGTTTGTTGAGGAAGAAGAGGGCATTATCTTTACTTATACTCACAAGAAACCGGGGCCGCCCCTTGGGCGACCCCTCCTTGATAAAAGCACAGCCACAGGCACAGAGTAGAAACATAAGAGAAAATACTTATTTGAGCTACCTAATATAAAAAAGAAATTGCGAAATCACAAGGATCGTGGTAGGAGATAGCTAGGAACAATCAGTGCGATTCGAATAGCTGAGCAACAGTTGGAGGAGGACTAAAATGCTCTCCTCTCTTACCTTGCGAGTGGCAAAAGTCCAACGCCTTGAGCACCTCCCGAATGTAGAATCGGACATCGTAATCCCGGAAGGTTGGATACAACTGCTTGAAGTCAATATTGTTGATGTACCTGACAATTTATTTGATATACCTGTCAATATTGTTGATGTACCTGTCAATATTGTTGATGTACCTGTTGAGTATCAGCGGTAAAGTCAGTACTCGAAGATCAACCTTGGCGTCTTCGACTGGGAATCGATGGGTATTGGACATAAGTTTCATCTAAGTACCTACCTAAAAATTGATTTTTTCATCATACAAAATCTTCATGCATTCGAAACTATAATTTTTCGACCTGGTAATAAGTAGAAAAGCAAAAGTGATCAGTCGAGATCAGGCCGAGATCATATCTCAGAAAATGCATCGTGATCCGGTGGAGTAGCATAGCGTTAGATATATGATCCATCATTAAGTATCAGTACTCGAAGATCAAACTTGGCGTCTTCGACTGGGAATCGCGAACGTAATCCATAAGTTTGACGATATTTGGCCCTGTGCAGACGTTCTGGAGAATCTTCAATTCTCTCTTGATCTTCTTTTTCTTCACCGGCTTCAAAATTTTGATAACGATCTGCGTCTGCGTTTTCACGTGAATGCCCTCAAACGCCTCGCAATATTTACCTTCGTTTGTCGTGTAAGAGGGAGTCGTGTCGGTGGATATTCTTTCAACGGCTTCCTGCTGATAGAGATATGTCGAAAGAAACTGCAGTACGATATTAAGCAGACTCTATTCTCATCTAAAAAGTAGAAAGTATGATGACATTATGGAATGTACCTCTGCCAATCTTCCGCACTATTTCGTAATCGTCTTGGTTTCCCCAGTTAACTGCAAGATTCTCGTAGTCCCAATAGTCCCGACTTCGCTTCATATTTACATCCGGATAGTACCTGCAGGAATTTCTGAGTAAGAATATCATTTTCGTGGGGGAGCAGACCTGACTAGAAAAAAGAAAGACCAGAGGAAGATAGAAAAGCGAAAAGAGTAGTTATCATATTATAATTATATTTCTTAAAAAAACAAAAAATCGTAAGCCGCGACTTCTAACCGTCATTGATTGGATGAAGGGACTAAAAACCTAGGACCCATTTATGAGGGAAAAAGAGCCGGGGATTGATTTCTTGCAGCCACAACTAGTTAATAAGGAACAACCAGTAGTAGTTAGTATTTGCAGTTAATATTAGTATACTACCTTGGCCTTATGAATGGCACTCCGTCATAATCTTCGAGAAGTTGGTTCTTGATGCCCATACCTTGGCCCTGGACCGTCGCGATGTTGGTCGCCGTCGCAGGGACCGATCCACTCGGAGACCCTGACATCTTCTTTCAAGAAAAAGTTATGAATGAATTATAAATCTACTAAATGTCAATGAAAAAAGATGGATCTTCAATATGTTGTCGCTGTATCGCTAATTATTTCTAAAAAAAACAGGGGTAATGGGTCCTGGGCGAGCAACTTCTAAAAGAGCTGCCAAACACCGTCCGTCGCGGTCGCTGAGTGTCGTTGTGGAAATATTCGCAGTTGGTTATGGCAATACACCAGAAATTTAAATGGTTTAGATTTTCCATGATTATTTAGTCTATAAACTATGATAGACGAGGATTCTAGTTTAGATGTCAAGATCGTTCAAGTCATCCGCTGACTCTGCTTACGAGCATAGATAAGATTTAGTCATAACAATAGCATTCTTCACACAGAAAATGTCTTCAACTTCGCACATCAACTTCAATAATTCGCATATCATCATCTTCACGCATCTTCATCGTCTTGGGAGCACATCATCTGCAATAATTCGCACATCATCTTCAATAATTCGCACATTATGTTGTTCACTTTCTCACGCAAGGAACTGATTTTGGACAGAAGAGGGAACAATCATCGATATGTTGAGGTTCGTACAAGACCAACTTACTTGCAGAACATTAACTTTGCCAGACTTTTTTGTGATGAACCGATTCTTTACTGCTCTTAAATCTTACCAAGAGAAGTTCCTGCTGGTGCTGATGTTGTCACGTCGATGAACACAAGATGAGATCTGAAACACGAACACAAGATGACCTCTGAAGATCGTTTTAAGAAGCGAAAGAATTCATTCGAATTACACTTTCAACATGTCCTCAACCTTATATTAATTCCCAATTTTCACAAACCTCAGATGTAAAGGAAATCAACATGATCTGTCTCATAGTATGTTCTTGACGCAAAATGATTATACTATAGGTGGAAGACCAATGTGGTCGTGATTTTCTAGAAGGTGGAACAACTAGATTGGTCTTGATTTTCGTGGCTAAACGGTGTCGAGAAAAAGGGTGAGTGTTTGCTCCTGAGAGCTGTGGCTTTTGTACACACTTCATTTAGTTGCTCTCCTTCTCCCTTCTTTAAGTATTCACACAGTTGAACGACAGTAGAGGATGGATTCGTATTCACTGTAGTTAATATTCACATGATGGATAGTTGTAGTATAAGAGTTGTAGTATTCTACTTAAGAGTAAGAGTAAGTTGTAGAATTGTATCATAGTATCTCCTTGGATCGCCGTCTTTTATCTCCTTGCCCGTACGAGTATTCCACCAGACGTCCCTTGGATCGCCGTCTGCCATCTCCTTACCCTCACGAGCAATCCGCCAGACGGGACCCAGTCGATGTATACTATCTCCTTGCCCGTACGAGTATTCCGCCGGAAGGGAGAGACGTTGCGCGAAAAAGACACCAGAATCCAGGCAGAGCAAGGAAAAGCCGTATGTTAGAAGGGATAATTAATGTACAAGATTGCAAAGTACGTACAAAAATTGATCTGCAAAGGCGCTGAGTAATAAAACGATCAATGCACTTGCAGCGTAAAAACAATAGAGAAATAGGTACACGACTTGGACTTGCAGAGAAAATTCAACCTCTGCAAGTCCAAGTCGTGTACTTGGACCTAGCTTTCAACCTTCACCTGTTCCCCGTGTTGGAAGTCAGCATAGGCGGTCAAAGAGAAGACCTGCAACCAACAAGTGTGAACCACGTGATAGTTCTACAAGTACATAGCTGCCCAGAGGAAGCGGCTAGAACCCATAGCCCTACAAGTGGCGGTATGCATAAACAAATCAAGAATCACTACAGAGATGGAGTTGCTATGTATGGTGCAACTCAAAAGGGAAGTTGGTAACTAACAATTCGCCAGCCCAGTAGAGGGGGTACACTCCTCTACAATCTACTCATGCGTTACCTACGCTCTTCTTCTAGTCACTCTTACTTACTCTTTTGACAAAGAAATAGGTACACGACTTGAACTTAAAATTGAAGATTATTCACTTTAATTAGTCCACATACGAAGGCCATAAATATCCAAGGTAAAACTTTATCTCCGCCAAATGTGGGTCCCAAAGTCGCTGGATTTAGTACCAGGTTTAAAACTGCAGTAACCAAGCAAAAGCCAAGAAGCATCAACCCCGTGATTAGGGGTTGCGAGTTGACCCCCGTTTTGTAGTTGGGGGCATATCTGCTATGGCTTTCCTAGTACTTGAAGAAGCCATACTAGTACTAGAGATGCCCATGGACGAGAGGTCAACTCCCAAACCTTAATGTAAGGGTACTTTCCAAATTGCACGCAGGACCGCTTTGCTCGGCTTCGCTGGTCAATTCGGGGAATAAAGCCCTGTTGAGGTGAGGTGGTCATGTGTACGTTCCTGATCGTGCTGTCTGAGTCCGTAGCACCCGTATCCTTTTACAACTACAATCATTTTCGTCTCTACTAAGTACTCTATGATAGGTAGGCGTAGGGGAAGAAAACCCTAAATGATATCTTCATGATTACACTCGAAGTCCTCGCCGAACACAAGAACATCGAGTTCCAGTGCAGTCGTGGAGATATACAACAACACAGTTGCAGTAGTTCCAAAAAAACCTGAGTTCCATTTGGCTCTCGGTTTCTGGCTGTCCCGGTTGCCTGTTCAACCTCTGGTAACTCCGACAATTGATGACGAAACTGATGGTGGTCGCTGCTAAACCGGGACCTCCGACGCGAGGATTAGAAGAAGGGGGTTGTAGTACGTACGCGAAGGGATGTTAGGATTAGAAGCCTTGCTCTTATGTAGTACGTTTTAAAGAACTTAAGAAAGTAGAAGGGAGCTACTTATATGCAGCAAGGTTCTAGTAGCGCAGGGAACTTAAGTAAGTAGAAGATAGTAGGTTGAGTAGCTGCTACGAAACTTAAGTAGAAGGGAACTTAAAGTAGAACTTGCTATTAGAAGTAGAAGGGAGCCATATGTAAGGTTCTAGGTTAGGTTGGGTTATCATCTACCCATGCGCCATTCGCGTTCTCTCATCGATGAATCTCATAAGTTTATGTTTCTCAAGCAGCAATCTTCAAATAACAATAGCAGCTTATTACCAACCACAAACACTACTCGAACGCAGAGTGGGTCAAAACATATACTTAATAAGCCAGACCCACTCGTAAAATACTATTATCTATTTTAGCGGTAAATCTATAGGAAATCCATCTCGGGGATCATCTACATCTGGGTGCTATTTTCCTCCTGTCTTTTCTCTTCCAAATGACAGACTTAGAGAAGAATTCCCTACACCCATAACTATTGCTATAATATGGGTGGAGCCAATCTTCTAACTAGGAAAAGTAAAAAGAAATGAATGTAGATAAATGATAGAGAAGCGCAGATATTATTATTGGCCATGCTAAGTAAGATCCATCTATTCTAGGCGCCGCGTGTCGACCCATAACTATTGCTATAATTGTAACTAAAAGACTACCTCACCTTCTCCCGAGAAGATCATAACCATCAAACACGCCAAAGTGTACATCACCCATGCATGTCCGAAGATGCCTGTAGTCCAGACGAAAGCCGTGAAACCGAAGAGCGGACCCATCGCAACAGCAGCGGCACGGATCATTTCTGAAAGTTTCAGATTGGGATTGGGTCTGCATAAAAAGTGGCGTAAGACACGACAGAAAAAGAGTGTTCCTGGAGGTGGCCTTCATTAGTATCGTGTGGGTGAGGGATATTAGCCGGCTGATGATCTTACTGCTTTTTGAAGGCTTGATATTCTTGGGTAAGTATGTCAGTCACTGATGGCAATGATGGCTAGCTTCTTCATGAGATGACAAGAGAAACAAGCTGAAAAAGACTTTCTGTTTCAACGCAAGAAGATTATGCTGCGTAGGTGAAAGTCTAGAAGGAAACAAATGGGCATACCTGCATGCGTCAATAGTTTTGCATCGAGAAAACTGCCCTGCAAAACGTTACCCACTAGTCCTGCTAGAAAGAACAAACCGGCTTTTTTAGAGGCAACTGCGAGCAAGTGCGCAATGAGTTGTCTAGATAAGTGAAACTCAAAAGCGCAATCAGCTTTGAAGCGGACAGAGGAGCGCTAGAATAAAAGTAGGGGACAAAATACAAAAATGCAGTTAGTTACTTCCAATTCATAGATACAAAATAAACATGAGTACTATCCTCCCCAAAGCACAAGCAGCTCATAACATAGATATTCCCGCTAGCGTAGGGCGGAAAGACTTCCGATATCACGCTCAGATGCGCGTTGAAAACACCAAAGAGGATCGACCTCTTAGAAAGTCATCCGGAATCCATCTTGACAGTCATCCTGGACCCGTTTCCCCTTTCAACTGAAATGGTCCAAGATGCTCCTTTTCTAGAAGAGGAATCTCCTTTTCTAGAAGTCGTAAATATGCCAGTGAAGCAGTAGACAAACTCCGGACACGCCGCGAAAAGTACGTATATACTCCGAAACAAGGGAAAGCGAAGCAAGCGCTTGCAAAGTCGGACCCCGAATTAGATTCATCTCTTCTCTTAGTCCTCCCTTTGTTACTTGTTCTATTATAATTTATTACTCACTCTCCCAATTGATTGTCCTAAAAACGAAACTACAACAGGGACAAATAATTATAATGGCTTGTAGAAATTATGAATTGAGAATTCTTGCATTGTTGACCCTTAACTAAAACGCTCAGATCTGGGAGATAGTTGCTCTGCTTGATGGGCTGTTCGGTTGCTTCCTGTCAAAGATATCCGACTAGACGTTCCGGTGGAAGTTATTGTAACAGTTTCTTCAAGTCCGGGAGTCGGGTGCGGTGGTGAGGTCGCTACGTGAACTTAGAAGACTAACCTAGGATGGAGGGACTAACCTAGGATAAAAATGAGTTGGAATACCTTGTAATATTTCTTGTTTAGTACAGCGTAGTTCGTGAATCTATTCCTTATTTAAGTAACAAGTAGGTATTAAGTGGTGTGTCTGAAATCTGACCCTCTTCTGGAAGCAACGAATTGGCAACGTGGCTAAAACACCTCAGAAGCAAGAACATCAAGCAGCTAGAACAACAAACAAACAATTTAATATAAATGAATACCTTCATCCTACTTACAACTGCGTCAAAAAGCTTCCCTAAAAACAAACCTAGACTGTCACAAGCACAGTCTGAAATTATATAGCTGCTTTCTTAGGAAAAAGGATTCAACCCCCTTTTTAGTCATAAACAGATTGCAGCTCGTGTCCCCTTCTTTCCCTGAGCTCCTTACGCTTGATTTCCTTTCGGGCTCCTCGGTTCTGGAAGCACAAAAATATCGGCACGAAAAGAACTATGCCAATTACGTTGAGGCCTGCTGTAAACACAATCCAATTGCGTGGGTCCGTCGAGAACATAGGCAATCCACACAGAAACATACCAAAATTAGAAGAGGTATCCGTAATATCTACTTCTAGATCTACTACTTACTGAAGTAGACTTTGAAATATTTACTTTCGACGTCCCTTAGTTCTAGTCTAGAATCAGAGAAAGCATTTTGTTCTTAATCTTTCGAATTGTGATCAAATAGACTTGTTCCATAACAACTCCAACCCCAGTTGTGTCGCTAGCGATTCCTAGGGCAGTGGGGGTCGCCCTCTTGTTCGCCGGGAAGTAGTTTACTGCTATAGACGCTGCCAGGCACTGGAAGAACGGCTGGCCGATCTGTGCCACTACTGTCCCCACAAAGACTAATGTGAACTGTTGTTTTTGTGTGTTGTGTTAACGGGGAAGAAGTAAGAATTCTACTTGTGGTCTAATGTAGTATCATAGACCTCCACAGCTGAAGGACATGACGTTGTAGTAGTTCTTAGATTTAACGTTGGAGCATTTTCTAGACCTCCAAATCGGAAAAATCCAAATTCTCATTCTCTAAAAAAAAAATAAAAAGTACGTTGTTCATCCCAAAGAGCCGAATCCCCACGCTTCCTATAGTCAAAAACAGCAGGCCTGTCGATAGACCGGGAACGACGCCAACCCGCTCCACCCAATACATTGCTGGAAACTTCAACGCTGCTAGCAGATATATCACCGTTCCCACTTTGTTAGACACCTCCTCCTGTAAGAATATCCCATTGTGCTAGAAATCCCCCAACAAGAGGGATTAGGATATGCCTCAACAAGGATTGTGTTAGAATATCCCCACCTGTACCTACTGGGGTGCATACGGTTCTTGAGGGATCATGAATGATCCCTGTAAACGAGATGGATTAGCATCAGAGGCAGCCTTAATTATGTTCACCATTTATGGAAGAAGAGGTGGACACGACAACGCCGAGCAGCAGCGGAAGCAGTGCTGAGGCTAGCAGTGCTGAAGCTGAGGCTGACGATGATGAAACTACTTTTAAGGATTGGCAGCCTTAATTATGTTCACCATTTCTTCCGAGACTTGATAAAATTGCGCTACCTGTTCCACGATAGTGAAAAACCCATTCAGTATCATTCCCGTTAACAGCTGGAGGTAGCAGAATACGCCTACTAGGTAGTAACTTCGCCACCTGCTATGATCGAGTTCTATTTCTTCTTCGGCTTCTACGCTTGATGTTATGCTATGCTGTGACACTTGGGCAGGGATCGCTATATGCAGTTCATCAGCCTTCGTCAAGCTCCGTCTTCCTCCTGATCTTTTGACATCAGCTTCCTCCTGACCAGCTTCAACCAGCTTAAAGGCCGTGGCAGGCTTAGGCTTTTCTACTTTTGCCGACGTATCAACATTCTCGAGGAGAAGTCTTTCCGGTGTCGCAGGAGAAGCCGCAGACACTCCCACATCGCATGTCCTCACAGGAGCCGCAGGCGCACCCACATCGGGTGTACTCACAGCTGCAGAAGCAGCTGACCCACTGTCCTTTCGCGTTGATTTAGTAGCAGAAGCTCCCACCTCACCATGATCTGTTGATGCAGATGAGACAGCTGGTGTCACAATCTTTTTACATATGAAGGAATAAGTGTACAACTCATACTCATACTCAGAAAGTTAGCTACTAATACTATTCTACCTAAAGTCTATAGCTAATAACTTCATGAGGATCGGATGAGTACACTTTTTCCTGTCATATTAGGTGACCCAATGATCTCATCTGGTGGCTTTGGCGCACGCTTGGGCCTCCCATGAGTGACGAGAGGAGGCTCCACCTCTTCCTGTTCCCTTTTATCCTTTCCTGGTGTCGAAGATGGCATCCTTGCTTATGAATCCAAGATGGGTCGGCACTACTGAGATGGGGAAGGTGGATCTAAGGTGTGGATGATGGATCGGCCCTACTGAGATTGCCTACTTCGTTGTCCGGTAATGTTCCGTGCTGTGTGTCCAGCACTGTCAACGTGTCCAGTAAGTCGCTCTTCTCCTTCGTTCTTCAGTCCTCCACGACGCAGCAGTTGTGATAGATACTCCAGCCGCGCCAGCTGGACCCGTAATCAGCTAGGCTTGGAGGGCAACCGCAAGAGAACGACGAGGAAGTCATGACATATTAGTGCTGCAGGAGCTGCTTGAAAGAACCAACCTATCTAGGAGAGGTATTCAAAATATTATTTTCATTAATATATAAGGATATTATTCTAGTGGCCATGTGTTTTAGGATCCGTTAAGTCTAGGCGCCGCATGTCGTCCTACTGCCCTGCGTGTCGTTCAAATTATACTATAATTCTATCTGTTGTAGATGATTGCAATCATATGCATATGATCGACTTTCTCTGTATAAGTATTTTTCATCTCTCTTATAAGAATTGTCGCTCGTCCACGTGGTCTCTCTTTTCTCGTCATATGAATCCTTTTGTTGAAGGAAAAAAAAATGAACTTCCTAGAGCTTGATCACAGAGTTCTCTTGAGATTAAAGAGACTGCCTCGTCTCGGGCAGGGCATGCATCTTCTTCATCTAACACTCCTGTAGATTGAAGGGGCCTCGCCATCTCTGCGAATGTAGAACACTAATTATCCCGGAAAGGTTGCGGCTGGTTATTGTATCACTTGACTCAAAGGCCGGCCCTGCAGACGATAAGGTTGGCCAGTCTATGACCTCAGTGCTATCTTTGTAGGAGGTCACTGATTGGAGTCGTGCCATATTTGGGCACGCTCCTACTTCCTCAAGTCTCTCCACTTTCTTACTCTTATCCTTGTGGCTTCTCGTTCTCGTTATGGCGAACGGAGTCCTTTTCTCACTCGGACAGAGATGGCAGACTTTGCCGCCATGCGTCCCCTCCTACTCTGTTCCGCCATGAGAACGTTGGAAAATATTGAATTATTTACTTACTTCTTGCCTTCTAGTGCTGACTTATTTGAAAGCTTGACTAATAATATACGGAAAATTTTACTTACTTCGGTGCATTTTATGCTAATCCCTCATCTGGTACAACCAGACAACTCGCTCCCATTGTTCGCCTCGTACGCGGTTACTTTCACTACTAGTACTGTCCCTTCTCGCTTTTTCAGTTTTTCCTTTTTCCGCTTTCGGCTTTTTCCGCTTTCGGCTAAGGCTCCACATTAATAGCGTCAACCTGGAGGAGTTTTAATTGTAATAGTCCACGTTTAAACTCAACGCCACGACAGATTTTACTCAAAACGTTCCTGCGATTCTTAGCAGACTCAAGGAGGAAGGCCTGCGCTTCTCGTCTCCCGTGTTGGTCAGCTCTTTGATGCACGCACTACGCATAACTACACAATTCAGGCGAGCAACTGGCTGACTGCCTGTAACTTGTTCTATGGCTCCCCGATTGTCCCCCAACTGTTTCCGGGTTCTTTGCAGAGAGAATCCAAAACGCGCCAGAAGCTCTTACTTTAATGGCATTACAAGGGCGAGGCTTCTGTAAACTAGTCCCATCTTAGCTCCTTCACTCATCCCATATAACTCAGCTGCAGACGCAGGGGCAGCAGCTGTATCCTGAGTCCTACGTTTCCACTGAATAGCAATGCCACGCAACTCTTTCAAGAGAAGATGCCTGATATGCTTTTCCATTCAGTGAGGCTCTCTAGCGATGCCCAACCTGAATCAGTGGAAACTTCTACGATGGGCTCACCTGGGAAGGAGTCAGGCGCGACGTAGTGGAGACCGCGACGCGTACGCAAGTAGCGGACTACTCGCCTCGGTCCTTGGGCTGTGTTCTCGTTGGTATCCGAAGCAGCGAGGACTTTCAACGCGACGCACAAGCCTGGCCTTGTAGCAGTGAAGGGGTATCCGTATTGCAAACTGCCTAGCAGAGACATTCTTTCTTTGTTGGATGCTGCTAGTGCGTCAGGTTCAAGGGGTACTCTAGGAGCTGCGGGAGCGGTTTCAATTGTAGTAGGGACATACTTGCCATCTTCCCCTCCAAATCCCTTGAGCAGTTTCTCGTGTATTGAGTTTGGTCGAGGGCTCTTCTAATGTCCTGAGCCACAGACTTTGGGTGCGATGGTCCGCCATACACGACTCATCACCTTTTATTTTTCGAAGCGACTGCATTTATTCTTGATGATGGAATCACCCACAACATGAACATTATTCATGCTAGAAGTGGCTGGCCACAAAGAAACTAGAGTTATTCGTTGAAGATCTGTCAGGAGTGCTTGCACCTGACGCAAAAAGTCGTAAGTAGCTTGTTACCATGCATCGTGTTTTTTTCTTGGTGCGCTCCTTCTTGACGCATTTCTTGGTTCTCACGGCCGCGGTCAGACGATATATTGATTCCCACGGCCGCGGCCAGCTCGTGCACCTTCTCCAAAAAGTCGTTGAGGGGAAACGTTTGATGATCCTGCAATGCCCAAATGACCATCTGCTTAAAAGCCAGAGATCTGGCCGTCTTAATCAGCTCCCCAACCTCATGAACAAGATCATTCGATGAAGGCGTGGGGCCTGCAAATCCAAATGAGTGAAGGAGCTTTTTCCACAACGGAGCTTCCGGCTCCTTGGACGAGAAATCTGGTGACTTTTCCTCGAGATCCTCCAGTGCGGTCTCTAAATCCATTCTCATCTGCCCCAGGGCCACTTGAATCTCCTTATCCGTCTTCGCGTCCGATGCACTGCGCGCACCCTCCTCGTTCTCCATCTTCGTCTTGAAAGCTGTAAACTGATCCGCCAGGTCCTTCAGCTCACGAGCCTGAGCACCCATCTTCGCGTCCACCTCCGCAGTGCGTGCAGCCTCATGCGCGGTAATCTCCAACTTGAAATCTGCAGCCTGCTTCTTCAGCGCTTCAATGTCACTAGCATGCTGCTCCTTGAGCTCTCCAATCTGGGTAGCATGCTGTTTCTTCAGATCTTCCGTCTGAGCAGCATACTTCTCCCCCAGATCTCGAATCATATCACGCATCGCCGCCTCCGATGCGGCCTGTGCAGCCTTCTTCTCCACGTCCACCTTTGCCACGAAATCTGCATCAAGCATACGCGTCGGCCCTTGCGTCTGAGTATCATACTGCGCCTTCACCTCGTCTTGAATCATCTTACGCACCGCCGGGTCCTCTACGCCAAAAGTGCGTGTAGACGATAGCACCTCAATCGTGGCCTTCAACTTTCGGACCTCCTCGTCATCCGACTCTTGCGCATTACCTTCCATGTGGGGATTGAATCGAAGGAAAGTTGTAAGTGGTTACTTTCTTAGTGCTCTTTGTGTGTCGCTGGACCTTCTAAGCCTCTAGTACATTACAAAAAGGCAAAGCCAGCCTAGATTTGCAGCACGCCTCGACTATACATGACAAGAAGAAAAAATTAAAAAAACAAGACTGATATGGGGCATTACCAGATCGAAGAAAAACTTTAAAAACGAGACTGATATGGGACATTACCAGATTCCATGGGCTGGAAGCACGCGGCACCAGCACAAGGACCAACAGTGGCCGAGGACGGATTTTCCCCTGTTGCGCCGAACTTCACCGCGCCCGCTACGGCCGCTGTACAACTGGTGGCCTTTCCGGCTGTACGAGATGCGCACGACCGATCGCTCTTTCCTTTCTTGGACCGTCCCATCTTTTTTAAGACTATGAAGATGGATGATGGAGGTGTTTTTTTGGAATTTTGTCATGACGAACGATCAAGATAAAAGCTGTACTAGTCTTGTTACGACGATATGAGAAGGCTGGCGATGATTCTTCTTTTGAATTTGAGGGGGCTTTAAAAAAGGTGTAGGAAAGGAAAATTCAAGTGGGTCGAATCTTCATTTCCTGATTTTATTTAAAATGAACCTGCTGTAAAAGGGCAAGGTGCTGCACAACCTTCCAGATAAATCGTATTCACCGAAGTAGCTAGGCAACATCTCTCCGAGTCCGAAGCATCATCACAACTCGCACAATAGAAGACAGAAACCGGCGCTCGCACAGAAACATCAAATCTCTGCGCCCAATCGTAACGCATAAAACCTCCTCTCGACTCTACACTTCGATTTCAATGAATATTTATAAAAATGCTGTTCTCACGCTCAGGCTCATCTCAGGCACTGGTACAGATTAATGATGAGATACCCAGTTCATGAAGAACGGGTGTAGGCTGACAGATATCTCTCCCAAACGCTCTTGCTGGTCAAGGTGGCATCAATCTGCTCTTTAATACACGATCACGACCTACGCAGAATATCATTTGCTTCGCTGTTGATCCGGTCTCGCTGCTGCGAAGGCTGCACCCCTCCGCGCCCAAGGAGGGGAGCGATAGAGGGGAGTAGCGTTCTTCTTCATTCTCAGCGGGACGAAACCGCGCTGCAAAGAAATGAAGGCTTGCCATTCTCGTTGTGACGGGTTCCACAACGCGAGTAAATAAATCAAAGGAAGTGAAAGACGCGATCACGTTACTAGGATCTGGAACTTCTCCGTCGTGGACAAATTTCTGGTATCCGAAGAAACAAGAAAGAACCTAATGTACATTTACTCATTTTTCAGTTCTTTGGTGGGTACTTTTGTCTTAGAGCTTAAGCTTTTTCCATTTTTCATTATAAATGCTGGATAAAGTCTTTGACTTACTACAGCTTTTGGATTATAACCATTAAGGACGCTGATTGCAATTTAACTAGAAGTAGTCTAGAGACGAAATTCTTCTGCTGACCATTCCCTGTTTTCTCTGTATTGCTCACTCAACCCTTGTATGGTCCACGCGCGCTCCCAATCTGATAAGCATTCCTCTCTAACTCCAGCATCTTGCTCAGGGACTCCACCAACACCAAGTGGGAACAGGTTAAATTCTCCCCGTTCCTCCTCTCTCCATCTTCGCTGCTCTTCTTTGAAGGATTCTGATTTGGTCCGCAGTCGCATCGCATTACGCCAACGAAGCGAAAAAATATCTCCTGCTTCCTTCATCTCCTTGTTTGAAAGATGCGCACCAGCGAATACGTGCTTCCGGATCTGATCTTGGGCTAGTATTTTCCTCTTTCGTTCCTTTTGTAGAACTCCTTGCTGTCGTTCTTGCTGCGCTAGTCGTGGAGACGGTGAGAGGAATCTTCTTTCCGTAGTTGCTGTTTCATCGTTTTCAGCAACTCCTGTACAATAACCAAATAAATCCCCGTTCTTGTCTTTTTCTCCTTCCACCTGCTCCATTATTTGTTGTTCACAGCTTGCTAACGCTTCCCTTAAGATATCCTGTTGTTCGCCAAGAATATTCAAAGGTCTCAACCGGTCCGCGGCATCTTTATTGCAGCGTACTTTCGCATTTATTCTTTCCCATTCTGCTAGGGCAGCGTTATTCAGCGGCCCCACGCCTAAGAAGTCTTGGACGATACCTAGGTTTTCCTGCGGCAGTAGCTGTTTCAACGCTAGTTTCGACGCAAGCGCGCGGTGTAAGTCCTCGTGAGCAAACGCAAATAAGGAGGAATCCCATTTCTTTGAGGAGGGGTTCGAGTAAGCTGATGTTGTCAGATCATTAGAGCGAGACGCCAACAAGGTTCTACATGATGCAAGATGAAAATCCGTACAATTGATACTTTTTTGTAAATATGCACTCAAGTAGGTACTTTCTCCTAGGATGATGAAAAACTAGTACGTAGCCATAAGGAGTCCTGCGACGGGAGGTGATATGGCCGTCACCCGCTCATCCTCGTCGACAATCGTGTTAAGGAGGTAACGGGGTGCGGCCTTGCTATGAGCGGCCTTGTGCCCCTTGCTGTGAATCTTCTTGCAAGTATAATCCTGATGCTCTCGCTCATCTATTCTTTCGCCGCCCTTGCTTTTGCCCGAAACAAAGAAAGAGGACAAAATTAACCCTGCTGGTACCGCACCAGTATCATCGTAAAGATCTTCTTTCCATAATTCCTCATCCTCGTAGGGGTCATCTTGCAGATAACCTTGGTTTACAACAAGCTGTTCTGTTGCTGGACTTCTGCTGTCTTCAAAAGTACTACTACTTCTAGTACTTCCAGTTTGGTCTTCATGAATTTTGAATTCCACGACTCCCATTGCGTCTCCTAGGCCTTTCTTCCTTGAAGAAATCCGCGATGAAACTACAGGACCTTGGTCCTTGTGGTCTTTCTCTTTCTCCACAAGCAGCTGCTTCGCGCGTCTTTTACCTTTCATCTCAAATTCTTGCTCAGCTGATGATTGCCCTCCCCCTGTAACGTTCATATACTCAGCAAATTCTTGTGGCGGAGGCAACAGTACTGGTACCCAACTATCAATTTGCTTAGCCAATGAAGCTCTTTTGATTTGAGAAGAACGAGAGGGGATGAAATCAAAAATCTCGTCTATCTCAGATGATCTGCTCGATACTACTCCAGCTTCGTCTTCATGCCAATCAGCCTCCACGTCTGGTCTTTTGAATCGTTTCCCTTGAAAAGCAACGGCGATGATGGTATGGTATAATTAAAGCTCAGCATTCTTTCATTGGTCACTGACTCTGAACGGAAGAGACCCCCTTCAAAGCTCTCCCCTTTCCCTTCATTTATCTCCGCTGTTCTACTCTCAAGGGGAGCCCGCCTCTTCGATCTCAGTGACCCCAAGCAATCTCAATGGTGACCATTGAAAGTTGAGCCTTAATATAAAATTTCGAGATCAAGAAAGACATTCTGGACTATCCATCGTCGTCGTCCACTGCGCATAACCCTTACGCGTCCGCTTACTTCAGGATCTAGCTTCAGCATGTTCTCACGTTCCCGAACATGCCAGTCACGCAGCTGTTCTATCTTCTCCGGTGGGAGGAAAAACTTGCCTAAAACCTTCAGGGATTCGTTATCGTCAAACCCAGGATTTTGCCAAAGAGATCTTCGCGCCGGCGCAGTAGCATCTCCTAGTCCTAGTACCCCCTGCGCTCCTAGAAGTAGTTCTTGTCGGTCTCTGATAGTTTGTGCTTCTTCTTCCTCAAGCTCACGAGGTGGAAGAGGATTGTTCATAGGATCGAGATTAGGAATAAGAGGGTTGTTGGCCGGCATAGAAGCAGTTTGTCCATTTTGTAGACGTGGAGAGTTTTCTGCATCATCTTCATTATCGTCATCGATTTGTCCTGTAGGTCTTCTACGTCTTCTTTCCGTAGGTAGTCGTGGTCTCCCTGGTAGGCGTCCTCCAGGATTTAAATGCGAATGCCCTTGCCCTACTTGTCCTCGACTAACAGGGGGTGGTGTAATGACTCTCGTCAAAGGTCCGCCCACTTCTGCTGCTCTTATACCAATAGGCGCAAAAAGATTTCCTTCCTGCTCCTCTCTAGCTCGTAAGCGCTCCTGAACCTGCGCGTTATAAAGTCGATCCAGAGTTGCAGCAAAACTACTCCCCCCAAAACCTAATCTTGTTCTATCCACTTGTCCTGGACCGCTCGTCCTAAGGCCACCTAATGCTACATGCAGTAGCCATATTAGTTCTTGGTCCTCCTGCTCTCGTCGCGCCTCGTCGGGTACAAGAATACTCCTGCCTGCTTCACCTACTTCACGTCGGGATAGCGATTTTCCGATAAGGGTCTTCGCTGCCACGTCCAGATCCATGTCTCTGTAATAAGCCTGTAGAAATTTCAATGCGGCAATGTATTTTTCCGGGAGAAACTGTAACTTCTGGGGACGTAGTCGTGGTGGTCCTTGTTGCAGAAGATGTTGTCCTTGTTGCAGATGTTGTCCTTGTTGCAGATGTTGTCCTTGGTGCACATGTTGTCCTTGTTGCAGATGTTGTCCTTGTTGCAGATGTTGTCCTTGTTGCAGATGTTGTCCTTGTTGCAGATGTTGTCCTTGTCTCGGAGTAGACAAGAACGTTGATTCCAGAAGTCCTCGTGTCTGGGGAGACAACGGTGAGACTTTTGCTAGAGGTCTCTGTTGAAGAGTGGACAGCGGTGATTCTCCTTGATAGTACCCTCGTATATGTCTCCGCTGACTCGGCGAAGCTTCTTGTTCAAAAGTTGTATGATGTCGTTCTATCTGTTCAATACTAGGGTTGTCAAACGCGAACGGCTCAAACGTCGTTCGTCTTGGTCCCGATCCATGTGCAAATAGCTGGGTCCTTGTCCCCTCATCATCAGATTCAACCTTTAGTCGTGTTCTGGAGAATGGTGCATCGTCGTCAGCATCTTCTGACTGCAGATGTTCTCGTTCTTCCAGGTCTACATCTGCAGCTCCTCCTTGTTGTCCATGAACATCCCGTTCGGGACTGAGATCATCCTCAGAAGCGTCAATATCAGTACTGAGAGGCTCTTCACGCAGACTCAGAGATGTTGCTAGGGAACTCGGAGATTCTTGAGCACTCGAACTTGCCGAACTGACTCCTGGATAAGCCTTGACGCTGAAGACTGTTCCAGATCTTGTAGACAGTGGTGATGGCACTGAGTCGTGAGTCGTCGATGTTCGAGACGGTAGTGAGCGAGTGGTAGAACTCGAACTCCTGGATGGATGAACTCCATCTGGAGCCAAAATATCTGTAGAAGATGTTGATGCGCCAGGACTCACTGCAGTCTGCATATTAGGAGATGCAGTAAGAATCGTTGATGGTATAGAAGACAACGGTGGGGAAGACAGCGGCGAGTGAAATTCATCCGCGTTGTTTAAATTAAAGCCCAGCATTCAATGGTCACTGACTCTGAACGGAAGAAACCCCCTCCAAAGCTCTCCCCTTTCCCTTCGTTTTCCCCTGTTCTCTCAAGGGGTCGCCTCTTCGATCTCAGTGACCAACCCCAATCCCCGTAAAACCCCTTTAGAGAACAGGGGAAAAGGAAGGGAAAGGGGAGAGCTTCGAGGGGGGTCTCTTCCGTTCAGCATCAGTGACCATTGAAAGCTGAGCCTTAATTAAAGCCACCGCGTTATTTAAAGCCACCGCTTCTTCTGTTTCATCTCCCTTTGTTCTCGTCCATAGTCGTGGAAAGGCTTCTTCATATATCTTTGTAAACTGTTCGGGGTCTGCATGGGGGTCGAAGTACCAGGCCTTGTCTCGGATATCGCGAACTTCTAACATGTTACGCGGATGCACCCTCTCTGCCCATAGTCTCAAATCCTGAACTTCTCCAGCCTCTAAGTGCGCTGAATCGAACCAGAGACGCAGCGTCCACTTCGTGTTTACGTAAGCGATCGCGGCTTCTTCTAAAGTTGTACGGTACTTGGCAGGCAAAGGACTACCCAGCCACATCAAATTTATCACACCGAAATCTACCTCCTCGTCATCCTCTCCCACTTTTGTGTCTTCTTCCACGACTCCTCTTTGTGAACCTCGCAGAAGAAGTTGTTCCACCAGTTTTCCTTCTCGATCTTGTTGTGACGGTGAAGGTGACCCCAGCAAAGTCACTTGTGATGAAGTCTCCAGCGGCGTTCTAGTGCTAGGAAAAGAACCTTTTAGAAGATCCAGCGTCCCTCGTCCGTCGTCCGTGTCCCTCGTCCGTGCGTCCCTCGTCCGTGTGTCCCTCGTCTGTGTGTCCCTCGTCGCAAATAAAGCCGCGTCCCTCGTCCGTGTGTGTGTAGAAGGTCCGAATATAGCCTCAGCTCCTCCTGATCCTGATCCTGAAGAACCTCCCATAAAAACATAACCTGGCCTCAGCTCCTCCCGATCCTGATCCTGAGGAACCTTCCCAGGAATCGATTGCGTTTCCGATGTTGGAAGTTGTTGTTCTTGTTCTAGTGTACACCTACACTTACCGTCTAAAAATAGAACTTGTTCTTGTTGCTGCTCTTCTAATTGTGCTGGTTGTAGATCTTCCGATCGTCCTCGAGGAGGTGTCCAAGTTCTTGAAGTTACAACTAATGTCTGCGACGGATGCTGGAGTGGAAGACCCCCATGGGCACTACCCCCACTAGACAAGGACACTACCCCTGAAGATAGTACTCCTGAATGTACATGATAGGAGCTTTGTTTCATAGGGACCACTGAAGATTGTACTACTGGACTAGAGAATATTGCACTGGGCCAAGGTGCGACGAGAGGGGATTGTACTGCAGATGCTCTTGCTTGCACACCAGCATGCGGTGCAATTGGCTGCACCACAACCTGCGCCTGTTGCGGGTTCCAGCCTGATGATCTCCGACTCACACCGTTGACACTTCTCGAAGAAGCCAGTATAAAAAGCGCTGTGAGGTAGCTGCTGGGGAACCGCTTGCTCCGCTTGTTCCGACTAGTACTGTAGATGTCGTAAAGAGTCTTCATCTTGCTTCGTCTTGGTGTATCGTGTTTGGCTGCCATTTTCTTCTTCTCCACAAGAAAAGCACATAAGCAACCCAACGATAGAGCTAGACCTAGACCTAGATCAAATTAGCTAGTGTAGTAAGTACATAAAAAAGTTGTGAGTGTACTCGTTGCAGGTATACTCGCGTGTAAGTGGCCGCTGGGGAGAGGCCACCATACGGGCACAAGTAGTACGATGAGGTGGATTATGTGGGTACGATAAATCTCTGTCTTTTACATCGGGTCAAAAAGAAAGGTGCCGATTTGTACTGCTCAACCTCAAACAAAACAGCATTGCGCGACCAATAGTCAGCACAATTCTTACAGGGGATTATACTAGCATTTTTAGACTTGAATAGTGTGTGTGTTACTTTAACTTATACTGACTTACAGTTGCAAGAAAAAGTAGTAGATACTCGTACATTACAAATCTCGCTCCAATCAAAATCGTATTCCTATATCGGGTAAATCATAGGTGTCCCATGATGGGGTTTGTTCGTCCATGTCCATGATGGTAAGATGGTAGCTTACAACCAAAAGAATTACGAACTACTAGAAAAAGATCAAGATGCAAAAATTCTTCATGCAGCGCGCTAAAGGTACAACGAACTCAAAAACGAGGTCCTGTGCATGAGTTTTCTGTAAGTATGTAACTAGTCTAAGAGCCCTGAGACCGCGATCGTAGATGAAACGAAGTAGCCATAGTACCTCCAGCTCGCCAGATCGCTTGGATACACCGAATTTCGATTGAAAACTAGAAAGCGTTATACCAAGAGCAGTGACCGAGGGTGTAGAACGATGATGATAATTATGTATGATGATCCCGAGAAGCGGTTTCGCATATTTGGCGTTCTGATCAAATGTTCATGCGCTTCAGTTTCGACCGATGTAGAACCTGTGATCACGATTCAATTCCAATTCATATTAAGATGAAATTAATTATAGTAGAATACATGGTGAAAGATCATGAAAATAGAAGAGTGAACATGGATATCCCTTACAGCTACCTGCGGTGATCCGTGGCAACCAAGGTCGAAGTCCGCCTCCTCCTCCTTGCACTTGCTCAAGCTCCAGCGAATAAATTTCGGATAGGTTGGAAAAAGCAGAGAGGGATCATCTCAAAAGGTTGGGGGGATTCAATCTCAGTTGTCTTCAAATTCAAAGCACTTCTTAGCTCAGCTTCAGAAATTATCAGTGAATATTCAGATCAGACAGTTTGCTTCAAAAAAGTGAAATAAAGTTCCCATATAGATTGACAAAGTTCCCATGTGACAAGATGTTCGTATGTACAGTTTTCGATAGCCATAGGTTTTTTACGAGCACAAGTAGATCATTTTTAGTGTGCTGGTAGCCATATTTAATATTATTAGCATGCTAATATTATTAGGCATAGTATGATAGATCAACAAAGACATTCCATCACACGAAAAATTCGAAAAAAAATTTTCATCATCTTCGTCTTGTCGTGGTAGATCTAGATTATTTGATAGTTCTTCCTGTTCCTAAGCTGCTTAACCTTAACTACCCCATGTTGACCCAAATATAAATGACAATGAGAAAAATAGCCCAGATTATTGAATTATTTCGTGGAAATTTCTGAAAAAGATCAGGCAATACAGCATATATGGGAATGTCTAGATGAACAGCATATATGGTATGAACAACCAGGAGTAAAACCACCATTTACATAGTTACGGTTACCCCCTGACCTGTCCAGACCTGAGCCAGTTGAACATTTGCGGTTTGGCTTTTGCTCTGGCCGCTTTCGGCTTGATATCAATACCTACAGGCTCTTGATTGTGATTGTGATTCTTAGGCATTGACAAAGACGCCGATCGCGAAGGCTGAGCTCCGTAGCCTCTCACGCGTTCCTGTGCTGCTCGCTCCCTGCGCCAGCGATCTGGCTCCTCAGCCTCGTCCCCGGACTCAGCATCTTGAGGCCAACCGTGCAGACCACGCTTGCCAACTAAAGGACTAGAAGGCTGGAGGATGGCCCTGTGGTAGGTTTTTTGATGTAGTGTAACTAAGACTTAGATAACTACTCCAGGTGTTTTAAAGTGTAGTTTGAACAACAACTCGCGATATTATCTTTAGCAATCTTCATCTTGTTCGCTTTATGAAGATCTTGATGTGTATTATAAAAGGTGAATGTGAACATATGATTGATCATGATCATGATGTGTAAAGTTAGCAGACAAGAAGAAGGCGGAAAAACTAGAGTAAGCAAGTACCTTCTTGTCGGCTTAAACGCCTTATTCGGAACTGTGATGTCCTCCTCCGACACTGGTTCTACTTTTCTATGACTTTTCGTCGGTGGCGCATGATGAGAGTCACTCTGTTCGTCGCCCGATGCTGCGTCTGAAGCCGCTTTTCGCACTGAGATGTCGCTTACGGACTGATTCTCATCTTCAGAGTGCTGTTGTATTACTTGCTTTGCCGCTTTTTCTACATTCTTGTTCCGTCGTTTTTTCGACACCTTCCCTCCCCTAGTTGTGGCAATAATTTCGTGGTTATTCGTGTCTCCATAATAGGTCTCTCCTTGTTTGTGCTTTCTTGACGATGAAGAGGGGACATTGACTTGATCGAAAAAGCCACTTCCGGAATGGTCTTTTTCTAGTGAGGCGTCGCGGTCTCCTCGATCCCGCTTCTTCTTCTTCTCCTTCTTCTTCTCCGATCGTTTCCTCACCCCTCGGGCACGATCTCGATCTTGTCTCAGTGATTTGTCCTTGACGACGCCAGAGGAAGAAGCCCCGCCACCTGCGCCAGTGTGGTGTTTGGAGTTCAGGCCATCCCGATGGTCTCTGTGGTCTCTATGATCCACGTCCTGGCCTCTCCTGCTCTTCTTAGACTTCTTAGTCTTCTTGCTCTTCGTTCTCGCGACGAACTGCTCTTCGTCGTCCTCGTCTTCGTCACCAGCACTAGAGCGCTTCGACTGTCGACCGGTCTTCTTGCTGCCACGACGTGAAGGAGCTCTATTGTGTTTCGAACTAGAAGCTGGAGCCACGTTTCCCCCGTAGTCGGAGCCATCGTCACTCGTAAACGCTCCTCCTGCGTCGTTGCGGCTGTCGTCTTCATTACTAAAATCTGCATCATCTGGCTCGTCATGTTCATCCTCATCATTCGACAACTTGCTAGAAGTGCTACTACCATGCTCGAGAGTTCGCTCATTTTCGCCTATCAATGAGGAGGCTTGCTCTACAACCGGGGAAGAAGAAGCAGAAGATGAAGAGGCAGCAGCCACTACTTCCACGCCAGCTGAGCTAGTACGATTTTTGTTGCGTTTTTGCTGTTTCCGCTCCTGCTTAGACAAGCCACCATCTGCAGCATGAAGATCGAGGCCTCGTGTGGAACTAGAACTTTTCATGTTGTCCACGAAACTGTTGTCCAAACTTTGGTCTTTTCCACCTCTACTGTGACCTTGATGTTGATTGTCGTGGTCGCTGAAGTCACTACTGGGTTCCCTTGTGGTGCCCTTGTTTTTCTTCTTCTTCTTGGCAGGCCGTCCATCGATGCCTTTGGAATTTCCACCGCCGTCGAGGTTAGATTTATCACGGCCTCCTCCAAGCATTTCTTCTCTGTGTAGTATGTGTTTTTTGCGTTCTTTTCTTCGCCATTTCGTCAGTTCATTAGCACCTCCCATAGAATCGTCTGACCTGTATCCTCCAGCACTCTGGTCGTCACCTTGATGATCGTGTGCCCCTACTAGCTCAGGTGATGCGTCGATGGTGAGTGTATTACTACTGGTACCTCCACCGCGAGACGTTGCACTAGTTTCTGTGAGGGTCTTCTTCATAGGTGCGTCTTTCAGAGTTCGTTTCTTCGACTCTAGTAACTGCTTCAGCATGGTCATGTCAGTGCCCTTGCTTGAGCTAGTGGAAGAAGATGCAACTACGGGCGCAGCGTTCTGCGGAAGATTAGGGGAGAGATTTTTTTTTTGGAAATCATGAAACTCAAATTCTGTACTAGTTACAGTCCAGAGGGAAAATGTTCTTTATCATCAAAGAAATTCAAGTTCCACGAATGCAGCTGTTCTGCCTCAATGCAAGTTAGTAATTGTAAGTCTTACTACCTCGCTAGCAGTCCGTGCCGCGTCTGGAACAATAGCAGTTGCATTTGGTGTGCCAGGCGTTGAGCTCCTACGCTTAGCCTCTGCTTGCTTCTCAAGCCTCTGTCGCTCCTGTGTAGTGGTAGTATTTGATGTACAGTGGAGGACAAGAGTATCATTCTCAACATCTGACTTTTGTACTTAGACTACACCATGAAAAGGAGCACGAAATATTCAACATGTTCGAAAAACAAACAATAACAGGTCATTGTTTGAATAGAGGTGAAAACAAACAATAACAATTCATTCATTCATTCATTTACCTAGCACGAGGTAGTGTCTCAAACCTTAATTAGGACGCAAAGGAAAGGTTCAAAGTCTCATTACCTGTTCCTTCTCCCTTTCCCTGGCTTCCCTTTCGATTCGTTGATTTCTTTCCCACACTGCCTTCGACATCCCCCATATTTCCCATGGTCGTTCGCTGGACCCGTCTGTGTAGCCTTCTTCCCTGTTGGACAAGGTGCGTGAACAAGGATCGATTTGAGGACGTAGAATGTAGTAAGTTCACGGATAGGATAGGATAGGATAGGATGGGATAGGATGGGATAGGATGGGATAGGATGGGATAGGATGGGATAGGATGGGATAGGAAAAGAATTGAACGATCGATGAAATAAGCAACTAAGCGTACCATCACTCTGAATAAACTGTAAGCAACTAAGCGTACCACCACTCCTGCTTCTTACTCGCTCCCACTTCTGACCTCTTTCTCTTTGGGCTTTGTGGTGATTCTCCGGCGGGCAGCTTAGTCGAGGCATCGCCAGGCTTCGCGGCTCTCATGAGTTGTGGCGATATGCGGAAATGCAGAGAGTTCTCGTCTACATGCACATCCCGCATTACGTGGACTAACTCCACTGGCCTTCTCCTGAGACTTCGCAAGACTAAACGGGGAATCTTGACACCGCGATACCTGTTGTTCGTCAGCAGAGGATTTGATGGAAGTAGATCAACATAGGGTGGCAAGAGCGGGAACCATCCTGAGTTAGCTCGTTTGTGTAAAGGAATTTCGACGTGGTGCTCGTCTTTACAAACGCGGAACAACTCTTAATACACAAGGACACAACTCTTACAGGATTTCAACGATTACTAGTTGTAAGCTAAGATTACACCTAGTATACCTTCCATTCTTATCCGGCTGCACTGTTTCTCCGGGAAATGTCTCTAGACATTTCAACTGGCGGGGTCGGGTAAATATTCGGCGGTTGGCGCCATCTGAGGACGAACGAGGAAGAAGGGAATGGGACACTGATCGTTGGAGAAACGCCGCTGGCGGAAGAGGTGGTGAGTCCTTCTGACTAGAGGAAGAGCTCGATGGTATTGTGTCTTTACTCGTCGTCAAAGGAGCGCCTGAAGCGGATCCAGCTAGGTGTGCGGATCCAGGACATAGAGATACGGGTACTCCGCCAGCAGGTGCAGGACTAGAGAAAATTGAAGGCGGACTATGCGGTTGTTGTTGAAGTAGGGAAGAGAGAGTTGCAGTTGTGGAAGCTCCAAGTCCTCCAGCGACACCTAGTAGTTGTCCTTCTTGTCCTGGACCTGGTGTGGTACAACTCGTATAATTATTATTGCTAAAAGCAGTAGGAAGAGAAGCAGACGGTAATAAACCGCTTTGGCTTGTTTCATGTTGAACACCCAGGCCAATCGCTGAAGATGTGGAAGATGAGCTACTACTAGAAGAATCTTCATAGTTGCCGGCTAACAGCTGAAACTCGTTCATATTAAACTGCAACTCGGGCATCTCCACTATTCCTCGGGAGAGCGCTGATATTTCCCCCCACTCATCCGCCTCATGCTCGTACAAATACCTTTGTCGTGTGGAATATTTTCATTTTCGTCGTGTCATGTTGACGTTGTTGTAGTTCTCGGAAAAGCGTGGTTTCGAATCAAGCTGCACCTGGTCCTTTTCCTTTGTAGTATCAGATACTTACGCTTACCTAAACCTACTACTAAATACCATTCACATTGTATATTCATAGCTCTTCCTAATAAAAACGAACAAACCAAGCTTGTTACTAGTATTTTGGAAAAAACATCATCATTACCCTTCTTCCGCGTAATAATCCGTGAATTCTTGAAACCAACCGTACAGCCTGTGCTTGACCCATTCTGGCGACTCCCGGTCCCTAAATGTCCCCCGAGGACATCTGTAGGTAAGGTTACCACCAATGTAGGGCTGGTACCCACCCCACATCCATTGGTTCGCTGCCATGTTGATGGTATGTGGTTGGGCTTGGGAAGTGGAATTATTCGCTGAATCTTCGTTTAATACTTCGTATCTCGTTGATCTATGATGACCGTAAAAGACACCAACACTTCCGTTGAAGATTCAGCTTCACACTAGAGTCTTGTTGTGCGATCGTTGCTGCTGCTTCTCAGCATGCGTGACGTTACTTTCCTGTACCTCTCACCATCGCCATCACGCAGTTACATAACCAGTAGCTTGCTGAACCAGTATAATGTCGAAGGCAGGCAGCAGGGGGCCATGCAACGGGCCAGCAGTTTTAGTTTTACTGAAAAGTCTCAGTAACAAAACACAGTTCTGTGTCTCTTGCATCGTCAGCGCAACCACATGTAATTGAAAGTAATAAAAAAGCTCAAACAAAAATATGTACAAGAATGTCACCCAAACATGAATTGTATAGTACAGTAAGCGTTATTGTTTCCCTCTTCAAGTATAATAAAAAGATTACTTAGTTACGGCAAGAGTGACTGACGATGATCAATGGTCGTGGTCATCGTCAAACTCAGATCGCAACAACTTCGATATCTCATATGTACAGGTTCGTTTTTAGACTCTAAGCATACACTGTGCTAAGAACAGTCCCTCAATTACAAATACTTACACTGTGCGATTCGTTCATTTTTTACGCAGAAGAAGTATCAAAGCAGTATCATCATTAATCTGACATGCCCTGACAACTCCTCAAACAAGTCGAAGTCGCTATTAGTACCAAAATTTCCATCAGTACTTACTACTTTCTCGCGCATCAGCGTAGTGCCTCTACTTCTTCTAGCACGAAGAGCATGACAACAGCAACGTAGGCTGTTCGCGTTGAGTTGTATTAATTAAGTCAACTGTAGTTTATTGATAGATTCCCCCCAGCCCTGCTACCTGTTTGAGAGAGATGAAGAATGCGGTCGTTTTCTTACAGCTACATTTCTCAGCATGAAAAGTAACATCAACTACAACTGATGAAAGCTGTACCCGTTGTACTTCGTTCATCATCTTGTGCAACGAACAGGAGTTGGAAATGGAATTCCTAATAATAATATATGTACTTATTTCGTGTGCTTCTATTGATATCAGGAGCATCCTCGCACGAGCACATAAAAAACATGATGATGCAAGCCAAAGGTGATCACTCGAGCTCGACTGTACCTTCGTTCCATAAACGAGTAAAGGCGACGTTGATTCAGAAGATTCACATTCGATGGCACAATTGTTCCTTGCACCACATAATTCACATATTCAGCGCAGAACGAACACGAACAAGTCGAGAAATAATAGTACGGAGATGTTCAAGAACGAGAAGTTCACATGCAAGAACGAGCAGAGGACATCATGCTGCTTGGTCGAATTCAATTTTTTCACAGCGAACGAGGTATGCTTCCTTCAGCAAAGACATTGACTTTTCAGAGTATGATTTGCTCTTTGACAGTCGTGTGATTCATAAAAAATTCGTGTTCTTGGTATGCTGATGACATCATCAACATGTTGATTATGATTATTCCACAAAGCGATCCTTGAACAAAAGAATGGATCGAAGATTTGTATTACACTTTAGATTCACGATGGATATTACACTTTAAATTCACTTCCTTGCACTTATAAAGTGCTATAATCCTCCTCCAACATGTGCCATGTGCTATCCTCCATGTGGTCCACCAGTCACATAATTAGACATCATTTTCCGGAACCTACTTCGTGACTTCACCTGCACCTTTTCGTCTAGAGGAAGCGGACACTGTAGTTTCTTCGTTTTTAAGGAGCTGTCGTTCTTTGAAGCACGAAGAGTAGAAGAGGAAGATCCAAAAAAGGCGTCATTGATTTTCGCGGCGGCATTTTTTGTCCTATCCCACAAAGACCTGGAAGCGGACGAGGTAGACGGAGTTGAGTAGCCTTCGTTAGACTCTGCTAGATTGCATCTGCTCGGTCGCCTCATGATCTTGAAGACCCCTTCTACCTTGTATCTCATGAGAATACAAGGGAAAAGGGTACCGAGATGCCGAGAAAGATGTTGGACACTAGTAAATGTTGACCTTAACTTCAGGCAGAAAGAATTCCCGCTCGACTTCCGTGTCCACCTGTAGTTTTTCTGCGGCGAGTCGCCTTGCTTTTCGCTCTCTCGCTTTCTCCGCTGAAAGAATGTCCTCTATTGGCGCAGGAGTGAAGTCTTTCGTCATCGATGTTGGAAGAGAGGCAGTTGCTGTTGCAGAAGTTGAGGCAGTAGTAGTTGTTGTTGTTGTATTTGATCTAGTATTATTTATAATCGAAGAAGGAGACAAAACTCGTCTACTAGTGATACTACTTGCAGACAGACTACTACCACTGCTAGTGCTACTTTGTGCTTGAGCACCTACTACTTCCGGTATTGCATCCCCCAAAGCTGTGATAGCAGGATCAATCACTTTGCCTCTGGCTCCTGCTGCCAGCTCTCTAGTACAACTCATAGAAGTAGTGGTTCTTGCATCATGAGCAACAACATGTTGAGCAGCAGTAATTTTCTTCATTTCCACTAGAATCTCCTTCATTTGTGCTTCATCCCCGATTGGTAGCGCTTCTTCAAGTCTTGTTATCAACATCGGATGGCTCGTCACTAACTCTACGTGACTCTCAAGAATCGTAGCGATTTCAGTTTGTACAGACTCAGATTCGGACTGCTCTTGGGGGTCGTCTTTTGCCCTCCGGTCTTCTAGGACAACATCTCTTCCTTGTTCGGAGGCCTGGTCGTGAGTCATCTGATGTGCCCCCATGTTGCTACCACCACTAAAAATATTATCGTGACTAGCAGAATCTACTATTTGTTCCCTCGTTGTATCACTTCCTTCGAATAGTTTCCTTTCCTGTGCATGTTCCTCACTTTCGTCTTGTGGTCGTGGCTCTTGTTCTTCTGACCCAAGAATCATAGGCTCCAGCACACCACCACTCTTAGAAGAAGAATCCATGTGATCCCTGATGTCTACTATCCTGCGCAAATCGTTCAACATATTGGACAATTGCACCTCGTCGCCAACCGCAGTTGCGTCTTCTAATTTCGTCAGCAGTTCGGCTTAGAGCTGGAAGAAATCCATCCTGTTCGTTGTAGAGGATCTTGATCTTGATGCCCGTTTTCCCTTAAGAAAGAAACGGACACAAGATGCTGGCTGAGATGGATTCCTTGAAGCCTTAATCGGGGTATGCTTCCGTGATAAGCTCAGCGTGGCTTTCCAACATTGCTATATTAGACCTCTCCGTAATTCATCCCTGTGGAAATCTTCCCTCAAGAAGCGTGCTTATTATAATTCGGTCTCGGTCTCCGAGATAAAAATGGTCCTCGTCCTATGAGAATTATATTATAATATATGCGTCAACAGTATAATTCCCCTTGTACGCTTGATTGGCGCGCCTCTACGCTTGAGGGATCCCTAAATAGAGGTGGATTAGGGCAAGCCTTAACTATAATCTCACCGTGCACGTCTACTTCTTCATCTGGTGTTGGTGTGGTAGGTGTGCATGCTGAGATTTTGTCTTGAACTACTTCATCTCCGCCGACGTTGGTTAGACCTTACGACCTATATTCCTATGTTCACCTTGAGCTTGAGCGTCATCTTTGACGTGTTTTTCTTTTTGAAAGGGGACCAACGGTGCCTCTCAAGGTGAACATGGGGAAGCCGTAAGTTGCTGTCATTTGCAGAGGCGCAAGAAGTAGCAGAATCTTGGTGCTCCTGGGGTGGCAATGACGAAGAATCAAGCGATGAACAATCAGCCGAATCTTCAACTCCTGCTCTTTCGAGAGACCCAACAAGCGGCTGCTCTCTCTCCAGGGCCAGTGGCTTTCCCAATCGTTGCTGTAAGCTGGGACACTCCTTCAACAGATGTGCGCCAAGCTCAGCACCATCTTCTAGAGACGATATTACTTCCGTTGGAACTAGGTAGACTTCAGCATCGATGCCGTATCTATCATCCACCCATACACGTCGTCTCGCGCAGGCCCAGGGGTTGTTGAAATCGCTTTCTTCACCGAGTTCTAGGAAGATAGAGCGGGGTGTTGCAGGAGCAGGAGAGGCGGCGCTACTAGGTTTCCTAGACGATTCTTGTAGCTCATGATGCAGTAACAATTGAATGTAGTTTGTGGTCGTGTTCTTTGGCTTCGTGGCCACATTAGACACTATGATGTCATCTCCTCCCTCACCAGTTACTACGACGACGTGGTGGCTGGCCTCTAGTTTGTTGCCGTGTTCTCCTTCTTGGGTAGTTGTCACGGTTTTTACTTTCTCCTGAGGCTCGTGGTTCTCTTTACTTTCCTCTACTAGTCCCGTCGCTACTTCTACGACTGTGTCCTTTGTGGAACTACTTCTACCCAAGCTTATGATCCTTCGTGGATGTGGAACTACTCCCTCATCCCCAACAATTTCGAACGAGGAAGAGGACAAAAAACCTTCAGCTTTGGACTTCTGATCTTCTTGTAAGCTTCGCAGACAAGAAAGCAACTTCTGTTTGAGTTGGAAGTCCACAGCAGGCGAAAGAGGGTCTAAGACTGTTGTCTTGAGCGCTGGCGATGCAGATGCTTCTAGGGCACTTGTTAAGGCTGTACTTGTACTTGTAGTTGTAGTGAGAGGTTTTTCGACTCTATCTTCTGCCTGTTGAGAGTCGGATGTTGTGAAGAAGTTATTTTCTGCCTTGTTGGGGATCGCTGTCGCTCCCGCTTTCGACTCCTCAGGATCGGTGGATAATGCGGCCTTCTCTTCGTCAAGGCCCGTGAAGGATTCAGCGTTGGAAAGGGCATCCTCCGCCTGGTGTTGTGTCCGTGTCGATTCTACCTCGAGGTCCTTGGATGGGTCCTTATTCTCTCTCTGGGAGTCGGATGTTGTGGAGTTCTGTTCTCCTGTCCGGGGTCGTGTCCGTGTCGATTCTAGCTTGAGGTCCTTGGATGTTGGAGACGAGTTCTTGAGCAGTGTAGACTCTGCTTCCCCAAACCCGAGCAATGGCAAAACTGATTCGACCAAAAGTCCTGACTCGTCAGAATCGACTGAAAGTTCCACTCGCTTTTTTAATTTCACAAACAGCGACTGCAAAAAGGCACTTCGGTCTGCATCCGAGGTCCAGCAGAGTGCACAGAGTAAATCATGCACTTCTCTATCAGACAAATATTGTTGATGGTGTTTGCCTAGCAGTACTTCTTGTCCTGTTGCTCGTCCTTCAGCTTGAGAAGAAAAAGTCGTTTCCCTAGTAGGTGCTAGTGCTACAGTAGGCTTCATCTTGCCCAACATTATCCCACTTGCACCAGCTGCTAATGTTGAAGTTTTGCTCTTTTTCGTAATTGGAGCATGAAGGTCTGGTGCACTCGTCGTGGAAGTGGAGGTGCCTATAACAATACCATGATTCAGATGTGCGTCTACCCAATTGCCCAGATCGTCTTTCGGCCTCCTAAATAAAGACACTTCGGTGAAGAGCCTGACACTCGCTGTTGAATCGCACTCTTTTGAAAAAGTTCTCAATTGCGTTTCCAACCAATTATATGCGCGTTTTTCTTGCTGAAGATTCTTCGCTGTGATAATACGAGAAGGAGTCTTGCCCCCCTGTTGTTGTGCTTCATCTCGTTCGTCTGCAGTCGAGAAGCTGACACCTCGACGACTTTCAGGAAGGTCTCCTTCATGCTTGGCCTCTCCCGCTTTGGATAACTTTTTCCGTGTCAAAGGAGCAGGTCTGACACGAACGAACTCGTCACTGCCGCTAAAAACATGCTTATGCAAGGCTCGCATCGTTCTAGTAAGAAAGACTTCGAGTCCTCCGTTTGAACTATACAAGCTCTCAAGCGCTTCACGGAAGCTCTCCTTTGCTGACCCATCGTCTTCCGCTATTGCCTTACCAACAAATCTCACGAAAACCGCTGCCGTTGCAGCCGACACTTTAGCATCATTTTCACCTAGAAGCACTAAAAATCTGACCATCGCACCCAAATCTGTTACTGTTGGCTTCAGGTTCAGTCGTGATGAAGAAAAAGATATCCTGGCTTCCTCCACTTCGCCAACGATGCGTCTTTCCAATGCTGGTAGAACTTCTGTACTGAAAATAGCTTTGAAACCAGAAGTAGGAGGCGGGCTAGCCACGACCATTTCCAGCACCGAGTCTTGAAGTAACTCCCTCTGCATCCTCTCTGCTAAGGTCACAACATGGTCTAAATCAAACTCGTCAGTGACAACAGCGGCTTCGCCTCCTTGTTCTCTACAAGAACTAGTAGGTGTACTTCCTTCTCTACAACTAGTTGCACTCCCCATGATTGGCAATCGTCCCTGCTCTTCTTAGAGGTTGAAAGTTGGCATCTCTAGCTCGCATTTCTATGGCTTTCCTACATGAGATAGCCATAGAGACGCTCTTAGATGATAGGTCAACTCCCAAGCCTTAATCTTCATTTCTAGACTCCAGTGCACTCCCCATGATTGGCAATCGTCCCTGCTCTTCATTTCTAGACTCCAAAAGTCTCAGAAAGTTTCTCATCACCGCTGCTGTGAGGCTCTCGTTCAGCTGAGCAGAGAATTGTTGTCTGTGTACAAGAGCTAGAGACATCACCAAGTCGACGTCTCTATAGTTGGTGATCAACTCATCAGCGTCCGCATCCTCGAGACTCGACAAGACGCGCTGGAGAAAACCTGTGGAGGTGTAGGAGAAAGTAAGTAAGTGGATAGGAGGAACAAGGATAGGATAGGATGGTGTTGTGTAGGAGGATAAGATAGGAACAAGGATAGGATTGTGGAGGTGTAGGAGAAAGAAAGTAAGTGGATAGGAAGAACAAGGACTATAGGATAGGATGGAGTCCGCCGTCCGCAGTTTTACCTGCTTTCTCAAGCGGAACAAGAACTTTCATCTTTATCTTTATGATGCACCATTTGAATTCTGTTGTCGGTATTTGATTAACGACTCATTTAATTTAGTGCGTGCTTCAACGAAGAACGGTATACAACCGACATCATGTTGGCTGGGAAATATTTATAATAAATAACCTACAACATGCTTGCTTCTGGAGTTAGAACAGAAAGTAAAATAGACATACCACTAGCTGCCGCGGCTTTCTCGTAAATCCTCAATATCGCTAACAAAGTTGCAGGTTCGAGCGTAGCGTTAAAGAGACTTTCTTCGAGGTGTTGAAGAAACGATGGCTGAAGATGGAAACGCATGCTAGAGCGCGCTGACTTTGACAATCGACTAAGAAAAACGATGTCGTCTGGCAATCGCAGAGCGCTGGAATTTTTCGTCAGGTGTTCGTCAAGAGGTCGAAGCAGGTATTAGAGATTCGCGAGTCATCTGAGGTTTTTAATTGCACCACTACCAACATCTTAACCCATAGAGAGAAGTGCCAGAGAGAACAGAGAGATAGAGGAGAGGAGAAGCGAACAGAGTAGAAGCCTGCTACATCTTAACCAATACAGTGTAGTACGCATATCAAAGAGTGTAGAAGTCTACGCAAATCAATACAGTGTGTTAATCATACTTACAGCGACGTAGTACGCTTGACCAAAATTAGTTTCTGGTTCTACTACTTCTTCTACCTTGTCTCCTCCTCGTCCTTAAATATATTCCCCCACCATTCTTTGGTCTGGAAAGGTGACGAAAAAATCACTGAAAGCCAACAGCTCTGCAAATTCCCACGTGTATCCACTTTGTGGCGCGTTCAACAATAACTTCCCAAAGATCGGCATCCAGGGAACCGCTCGTAAAGCGGGATGTCTCACATGGAGTTGCGACGCGTCTAGAAACTTCACCAATTCTCCTATCCGCGCCACCGTTTGCGATAGTGGACAGGCGGTTCGGGCTTTTTTATCACTAGTGCCAGCAGCAATTCCAGATCTCAGGTAGTCAGTTAATCGTCCCTGTTGCTGTAGGAAACGTGCATAGCACTTTATAAACTCGACCAGTCGTGGCACGTGCAGCAGCAATTCTTGATGTACATCGGCATAGGGGTCAAAATCTGGATCGGTCTCAATTGGTTGCTGAGACAGAATGATAGAAACTTGGCGGAGAGCGCGGTCGCAAATCTCCACATGGTCTCTAGGGGAAAGCGCAGTACTACGCTTACTGGTAGTAGCAGTAGAGGCACTAGACCCATCTTCGTATTTTTCGGGTACAACACCTCCATCTCTACTATAATGAAGATGATGATCTACCTCTGCAATGTGGTCAACATCCTCGCCATCTCTAGAAAAATACTCCTCTATTATGCTGTTAGCCTGCCTGAAGATCTCTCGACGTGCTTCGTCTCGATCCACCACGCTTTTCTTATACCGTTGCAATATCCTACTAGAAGAGATGGAATTAGAGGCGCCGGATGAAATGAAGCTTCTGTCCTCGTCTTGATGTTGTCCAATCCCAAGGGTTCGAGCTACTTTAGAGAGCTACCGCGTCGCATCCCTGGGCGCATCTTCCCTGGGCCCTTTTCCCCGCTGAACCGAAGAAGAGGCCAAGGCTGGCGCTATAAGGATGCTTCAGCGGTAACCTTAATTCTCGTAGTTTTTCCTTTCCGTTGAAGCGTCTTCCACTGTTCGAGGATATTTGAAGGAGGTGCGTCTCTATTTTCCAACACCCGAGTACCTGATGACGAAGTTGCGAAATATCGACCTCCAGGCGTTGTTGTTAGCAACCCAATTCTGCCACACTCTTGATGTTGTAGGGGCTTCTTTCCCAAGTGATGGGCCTGGAGGCTTCTTTTGGTGCATGCAAAATAGTCTCCGAAAAATATGCTACCCTCCATGATGTACGAATACTCCCTGCAATTCCGATAGGCCCACACAGTGGAGGCTCTAGTAAGCCGCCCACTCGAACCCTGCCGTTTTATCTGCATCCTCGCATTGACACTTCCTGACTACTTTCAAGGTGTACGTGGTCAGGCCTCATCTTCATGCTCGACGTTTTATTAACATTGGCCTCGCCGATTCGTGTTGTACATGCTGCCATAGTGCCACTCCTGTCGCGGCGTGCCACCGAAGCCTAACTGCCAGCATTCATTAGACAATTTTCGCATGTCTGCTAAACAAAGCAGGACTAGCCTTTGCTTGCGTCAGCTGCGTCAAACCTGTATTGCAGAGGGACCGAGAAAGACCAGTAGTCGGGAGCAAACGCCATTCACTTTCGCCTGTTCTTGAAGAACTATGTCATGGTAACAATAAACAGCTCGCTTTTCTTCATAAAAGCGGAGCAGGTACGGACAATATTATGCCAAGCAAGAGCAAAAGGCTCTCAGACTCTCTGCCGCTCCCGCTCGCTCTTTCTCTCTGTCTCTGTCGACTCTCCGAACACTGCAACAGCCCTTTAACTTCACGCGCCTTGATCGGCGCATCTTTTTTTTCTCATATCACGGATGGTAATGGCCATGGTCGCTGAGTCTCCCTAATCAGCATTCCCCAACTGTCGATGCATGTAAATATATCAAACTTCCCAACGCTGACGAGCGTAGTCCAAATAATAAGGACTCAGGAAAGGTCTTGCTCTTACGCAGCTCTGACCGAAAAGAAAATTTTTGAACGAAAAAGTGAATGTGTGGGCAGCACACTGGTGAAAGTGGTGAACACCATCGGCATGAAACTCTAGCGCATAGGCATATACAACATACTTAGCTGTGACGCCATGTCATGGAACCTCTTTTAAAGCTCTTGTTTTGTTGTCCTACTGTCTACACGCCCGTAGCATTTAAGGATTGAGCGAGGAACCGGGGCGCCGGCCGGTAAAGTCTACAGCTACCAAAACCACAGAGGCGGCCCACATCATGAACAACTTTGACTGCGTCAGGCCCTTTCAATGCAGTGTCTATCTATGAAGCCGCTCAATGTCGTAGCGCCTCCAGCGGAGGGCCACTTCATAACAGATTATGCGCATTAGGCTCCTCCTCCTCCAATGGATGAACGCGCTAAATGCCAACCGCTTTGCTGGGTTGAGTAATGTTGATTCAAATGCATCTAAGCGCCCCCTGAAAATGGTGTAGCCAAATTGTTTTTGTCTTGTGTGTGTGTTTTCCGGCCTAGCCTACAGACACACGGCCTGCCGGCGCACTTTACTACGAATGATGCGAAAGCAAACGGGATGCGAACTACTAAGTAGCGGGGTTACGTGCTTCACGTATTCAGGTAATACATATACACAGGCAGCACCTTAGCATGCTACGCCTAGCAAGCGAGTGACGCGTAGCAAGCACGCTACGCCTAGCAAGCACGCTACGCTTCACGTACGGGCTATGCTTAGCCAGCAAGCTACGCCGAGCACAAGGAAGCCTAGAAGCGCGCAAGCCATGCATAGCAAGCAAGCTATCACTCGCAAACAAGCTATACCTGGCGAGCAGGCTCCGCGTGGCGGGCAAGCTACGGATGCCTAGCAAGCAAGCGATGCCGATCATGGACGCTGCTCAGCTCAGCAAGCAAGCTAAGCGTAGCACGCAGGCCATGCTTAGCCAGCGAGTTACGCTTAGCCAGCAAGCAAGCTGCGCTAGCTTAGGCTAGACAGCAAGCTACGCATAGCAAGCACGCTACGCCTACCAAGCATGCTACGCCTACTAGCACGCGAACTATGCTCAGGAAGCAAGCTGAGCCTACCAAGCACGCAAGCAAGCTATGCCAAGCGAGCTCGAGCAGGCTTTGCTTAGCGAGAAGGCTATGCTTAGCAAGCGAGCCAGGGGTAGTTAACGCGCAGCCCATGCGTAGCCGGCAAGCGAAGCTGAGCAAGAAGGCTGTGCTTAGCAGGCGCGCTGTGCTCAGCAAGCCATCTACGTTTAGCGAGTCATCTACGGTTCGCGAGCCATCTACGCTTAGCGAGCCGGCTACGCTTAGCAAGCCCGCTACGCCTATCAAGCCCGCTACGCTTAGCAAGCCAGCGGCGCTCAGCAGGCACGCTATGCCCAGCAAGTCAGCCTTGCCCAGCAGGCCAGCTACGCGGACCAAGAAAGCTACGCTTAGCAAGCCGGCCCTCTATGTCTATGCCTCGCGAGCACTATGGATTCTGAGCAAGCAAGACACTCTCAGCCTGCTATGCCCAGCGGGCCCGCTATGCCCAGCAGGCAGGCTATGCCCAGCAGACAAGCTATGCCCAGCAGGCACGCTATGCCTAGCAAACAAGCTACAGGCAAGCTGTGCCCAGCGAGCAGGCTACGCTTGGCCAGCAAGCTACGCTCAGCGGGCAAGCTATGCGTAGCAGGTAGGGCCCAAGGGTGTAGGCTACGGCCACCATAATGCTTATGACGAGCAAAGCCATGGAAAAGATGCACGGAAAGTCGCTGGATTTTCACGAAAAAAGGCGCATACGCCTCGAAGTACATCTCTCCCATTAAGATTTGCGCACCCACATCTTAGAAAACCAGGAAAAGGAAAAAGCGGCACGAACAACCCCGGCACGAGTAAATAACTAGCGCGCATCCCCTCCGTGATTTCCGTGCGGCGTCTGTATATCCGCCAAGGCGTCTGAGGTGTATACATCTGCCCCGCACATGTTCCCCCTGATTCCTGTACATCCCAAGCCAAAAGGCTACCCCTAAAAATTAGTTTTGGCGCGTCATATATTGTCGGAAGGGCTACACGCTAGAGGTAAAGACGAACCGGCTGTTTTATTTAGTGCTTTGAGCGCCGCTGGGCCTAAGCCTCAACCTTATAGAAAGGAAGAAGCCAGTCAAGATTTGCAGCACACCTCATTCTCATTGAAACGGGGAAAATGTATATATAAGTTGCCCTGAGCCAAAATGGCTACGTCAAGTTGCCTTGGGCCAAAAGTTTTGGCGCATCATATAAAAAGGCTGATAGGAATAATATCATGCAGCAGAAGATCATGTTCTTGAGCGTACACGCTGTGAATCATTCACAACACGCACGAAGTAGATGCGTAGGTATTCTACTTCGAAAGTCGCAGATGCTGACGCTTGCTCAGGGGACCGGTTCGGCTACAAGCTATACACTGTGGTAGCTCCATCGCCGCCTTCCGAAATTCGTCGGGTTCTCCTGAGAAAGGATGGCGAGTATATTGCTAAGTACATAAGTTGTCCATACTTCTACTTCTTGTTCTTGATATTCCCTCCCAGACATTGCGGGTTCTTCCTTGTACTGGCAAGAGAATAGTACGCGCCCCCCATAAATAGTAGAAGTAAACTATGCATAGTGCATCTTCTACATGTTGCACTCTTTCGAAGTAAATACTTGTAGCACGCGTCTCCCATTCGTAGATGGTCGCTCTTTGTTTTGCATCGCCCTCTAATGGCCTAAACGCGTAAACGTCACGGTTGAAGTTTAGGTTGTAGCCATTCGATTGTGGTCCACATCGGTCTGGTAGAGCGTCTCCTTTCCCTCACTATGCGTCTCACTTCTAGCGGACTTAGAAGCAAGAAGACGAAACTGGAGGGCCTGAACAAGTATGCTCTTCTATTCTCGCCTCACTTTTCGACAAGGAAACTCAGTCTGCCTACTTACTTATCCTCGCCATGAGAAGGTGTCGCTTCCACCCATATGCAAAAATATGCACGACGACAACTACATCCGTGCGTCTGTGTTCCGAAGGACGAAGATTCATAAGAACTTTTATCCTTTTTTAGTTCTGAAGACTAATTGCATTCTTATATTACTGACTAACTATGTAAGTAAGGAGTGCGCAGGGCGTAGAAAAAAGAGTAAACTCCTGTCCTCTTCATAAGTCGTCCTGATCTCCTGCACCGCAATGACTCGCCCCTAAACCGCGATAGCTCTCGGAACCGCTCAAGGAAGCTGGTATCAGAAGATGATCATGCGCAGAAAGTATTCTAATACTTGAACAATAACATGAGTTCTCGTTGTACTAGTTTTTACATTTCTACTGCGATTTGTGCAACAGCTGGAGACGCCCCTAGTACTACTAGGAGGCGCAGAGCCTCCATCTACATCTACTGCTAATTCAAATGAGATCAAATCAGTGGCGCGGCTCTGTCTCCCCTTGCGGGCATAGTCGACGCGAGTCACGGAAAACGGCACACCGACCAAGATGACAGGCCAGCTACTTCTATCTGAGTCATCATTTGACTTTTTCCCTGACGTTTGAATGGAGGTAACGGTTTCTGCCAAGTGTTGAATGGAGGTAGAATCTTACTTATACCTCTCCGCGTCTGTTGCTGAAAAAATGCCTTGTGCCCCTTCCTTCGCTTGGCGTCGCATCGTTAAAGGCCGGCGATCAAAAGAGTCTTCTTCGTAGGCGATCAAGCTGCTTCCGAGTAAAAATCAAGGCAGAGAGTGATCACGCTGACCACGACCCCAAGTGTATCTTCTACGCACAACAGCAGAAGGACCAATGTTAAATGTTAACATACTACGAAATAAGATGGCGACGCGGATCATGTTCAATAACAAGACTACTGTGTACTTCGTGAGGTCTAAGTAAGAGTAAAAAGCGAAGATGAGAAATAGTAATAGCATGTAGATGACGAAATTTAAGTTCTTCTTCTTCTTGTAGTGTCATCTCTTCGTATGCCTGCTGTCCTCTTTTCTTGAGGCATTGCTGATCTTGAAGCACGGCCCATGCATTGCTTTTTGCCAGGCTGAGACCGGTCGCAGTGCTGCTCCTGGCGTGTTTTAAGATTTAGGAGCTTCGCTTCATCTATGCTGGAAGACATTGACAAGGAATTGAAACTCATATAACGGAATTATAGAACTAGAAGGAGCTTCAAAATAACTAGCCTGCGGATGGATCTTCTAGGCTCTAGGAAGAAGCCTGCTGTTTCTGACGTGGGTACAACTTCTAGTCTACTAGTGCAGTTAGTGCTAGTAGAGGTGAAGCATTTTCTTCTGGTAAAGCAAGGAAGAAAATTGTAGTAATGCCGATGTGAGGCCACCAGTAAAAGAAGAAGAAGACATGTTACTCAGCCCGCATCCTGTTCGCAGAATATTTGTTGTCGTGATAGGTAATCGCAGAATATTTGTTGTCGTGATAGGTAATAGTAAGTAATTGTAGGCGTTTCACCTGGAGGCTTTGCGGTCTCGGCTTTTGTCGGTCGTCACGACTGAGTTTCTTCTTTTGGATATCCGTACTAGAAGCCTGCAAGCAGTAGCCTCGTGTATATTTTCGTCTTCTTCTGGGCGTGCTCGTCAAGGTGTTGACGCGCCAGTGCTAGAGCGTGCAGCACTACGATGACGCCTTCTTCTTTTGCTGCTCAACGTGGACGCACACCACGAACTTTCTTTGCGAGAGGAGGAGAAGGACTGGAATACTCGCAAAAATTCAAACTCTTCTGCATGTTGTTGTTGTTGTTGTTATGAGTCCAAGAAGTACGGCATCAACACGCCACGACGTGACACTGAGAGTGACTTCTTCATCTGCAATTTGCATCGAAAGGGCTTGAGCCTATTCATACACAATTTGCATCCCTATTTATTAGGGGCATACCCAAGCTTTCTTTTGCAACAAGATGCTGAAGCAGCAGAAGGAGTTTTGTATAGCAAAAGCTTACTTACCGTACTGACGAAAGAAGTTGATAGACATCATGATCTTGACCATGCTGGGGATTGAAAAGTAGAGCTCGAAGGAGTAGAGGCAGTGAAGGTAAAAGAGAGTAGCAGACAGCTGAACAAGTAGGGGTAGGAGTAGGCATAGGGGAACGGCGTTCATTGTTACAGCATTCGAGCAACTTCGTAGAAGAGGCAGAGATGTGGTATACCTGACGATGCAGAAGCCTTCAGCCGTGCGTTTCAAATTCATTTCACGAGCACACCGAGACCGACACAGACACCAACTCTTGACTTAAAAGTAGACAGCTCCCTGTGCATTTTTTTTGTCTCGTCAATCCGTGGCGCGAACTACAAAAATTTCCAAAAGAACACCTACTCTACTGCCATGGGGATGCGTTGCCGCATAGTACATACATTCTATCTTTGTGGCGTTGTTAATGTTTGTAACCATTTCTGTCTTTTGTTATTCTATCTTTTGTTAGTGTTTGTATCATCAAGCATATGCGCGCTTTTGTCCGAGAAAGTTGCTGAATTTTCAGTAGGCCATATGCATAAGCATTCTCATCCTCTTACTATTTCTGACTACGACTCCAATATGGCTACAACAAATAGTATCCGAGTGACAGCATGAGCTCTCATCTTCGTGCGAAAGTCGCTAATTATGATAGCGGCGTCTGCTTCTTCTAGGTGCAACTTGAACTTCTTCACTATATATATTTTTTCACTGCATCTATCTAGCCGTGGTAAGAACTACCCTTCTCGCGGTTGAGTTATTGTACAACTACCAAGATGACAGCTTTCTTCACCCCACACCCACGACTACGGCCCATACTATTCTATCGAGCCAATCGGGGGTCAGCAGCAATTTGTGATGGCCTTGACTGCAAGGGCCTCCTCATCTGCGTGGACTGTCGACTCTTGGCTGTGTTGAGCGGAGAGAAAGTCACGACGACCGGTGAGCTGCTCCGACGTTGTCGTGCCCGTACTGACGGCGGCTTCCTCTGCGCCGAACGCAAAGTCCCTGGCTCTAGAGGCTCGAAACCTCGGCGAAGGGTGCGCAGCCGCTCCTTCAGTATCGATAGGCGCAGGAGCTGCAGGCGCAGAAACTACTTCGCTGTCGAAAGCTGTCGCAGATCGTTCCAGGAAAGCTGGTGCCGTGGCTCTTGGCTGGTTGTCCGAGTCAGCTTTTCCCCACGCCTTGGCCAACGTTTCCAGCGCATCTATCAGCTTAGTCAGGTCCCTGCTGTGTTGATTGCATGTCAGTGAGTAACGCAGCAGGCCATCGCGCAAGAAAGTGGCGAGTGCCTTGCCTTTCTCGCTGGACGCTTTTTCTGCTTTCCACCCTGAGAAAAAACCTCGAGATTTTTGACTGGTGGAGCCCAGCGCTGCGCTCAGCTTGTCGTCAAGAAGTGAGTGATGTCGTCTATCGCGTAGATTGCGCCCATAGTCTCCCCACCGTGTCACGCACTTACTCTTCTTCGCCCACTCCTTCAACATCTGCTCCTTCAACATCTGCTTCTCCTTGTCGTTCTCCGTCGTCCCTCCACTTTCCTGTACGTCCTCGGACACACTCACCTTAGAAGCGCGCAGCTCGTCCGCCAGTGCTTTGTCGACGGCTTCTATGATGCGTTAGAGCTTTCGTCGATCTCAAAGGCCTCAAAGAATAATGATCATGCGACGTGACTGTTTGGAACCCACGCGACGGGCTTAGGGCAACTGCTGGCGCTACCTTGAGTATGACTGCTGGCGCTACATTGAGTATGACTTGTTCCAGTGCCACTACTTCTTGGGGTGTCGATCTTGATGAAGAGTTATAATATCAATGACGAACAACAAAGCGAAAGATGGCGAAGAATCATAATTCGACTCATTAAGCAACAAGTTGAAACTTCGGCTGAAAGGAGTAAGACGAGGGAAAAGCAAGATGTACTAGGTTGGTCGGCTACTCCTTGGGGATCAGGATGCACTCCTTCAGGATCAGGATGCACTCCTTCAGGATCAGGATCAGGATGCAAAAAGGTGAAAGCCGACATACATTCGCAGGGCAACGATTTAAAAAGCAGCGGAACGCACCAAAAAGTCCGGCAATAGAAATGCGGCCATCAGTTTCTTTAATCATTCAGCTGGCCCTTTTTCATTAAATCTAGACCAAAAGATCATAAGTCTTTGCTGCGTCCTTGTCGTACTTTCCTCCTGTAAGGAATTGCTTCAGCATCTTAAGAATCATGACGCCGACGGACCATACGTCAGACTGCTGATAAGTCACGTAACTGAGTTTCGGTCTGGTGGTGTCGACTCTAGGGTCATTAAACCGCGTCACAGCTGCCGGATCAATATACTCTAACGGCCCCGCCTCCTCGTTCCTAGCCCCACTCATCGCGAAGTAGAAGTCGACGGCCGATGGGTATGCGCTGTAGTAGTTTTTGCAGGCATACGTGTACGTCCTCCCAACGGTGGCCCAGAATTTCTTTCCTCTAATCGCGTCAAACCAGCGGCGGCGCATTGCATCTTCGTCTTCACACTTGGGCCCCGTCGTCTCCCCCTGCAATGGGCCGAACCTGTTTTCAGCTTGTTCTACAATACCCATCAAGTTGCCCAGAACAAACTCCGCGATGCGGGTATTCTCGTCTACTATGTGAGCCAGCATGTTCTCTGGGTGGATCATTCTATGCGCCTTTCCCATCTCGTGATAGTTCCGCACCGATTCCGCGGCGCTTTTCATCGCGTTGACAACCTGGTCTCCTCTATCTGGACGCCGACGCGCTTCACCGACCCACTCTCCAAGGTTCGTCTCGAAACGCTTCTGCGCGACGACAATACGCCATTTAGGTGGTTTAAAGGGCTCGCCGCCGCCACCCGCAATGTAGCCACGCAGCCACACTATGGGCGGCCTAGCGACTTCATTGCCAAGAGCTGCCTTCTCGGCCAATTTGGAGAAAGCCCAAGCGCCCCAAGCCCAAGGCGCCAGGCGCAGCTCACTCGCAAGTTCCTGGGGGTCTTGGATTACATTGAGCAGCTGTCGGTAGCGGGATTCTACTGTCTCTTCCCATTCTTCATCAGACATCTCTCTCTGCCGTTTTTACAGCCAAAGCCCGCGCTGCAATGTCACTACTTAAGACTTGCATATAGTCAGCAAAGCATAACAGGCGCGACGCCTGGGGAAAGAGAGCAGTAAGCGACACAGACATCGAATGGCGCACAATCGCGGAGATGCGCCCCCCTGCCCGTGGTTTCAAGAGAACAACACGGAGCCGCCTGGACACCTTCACCCAGAGCCACGCCCTTGCGACTCTTCCACGCCTTATATCCAGCCGGCCCACCCCGAGGGGGCGGGGGGCCTGCCTGACCCATCCGGGCAAAGACAAATGCCACACCCTGCCCACCGGTCTCCAGCCAAAAAAGACAAACAAGGAAACGAGGTGGCCAACAAGAAGCAACCCAGACTAAGCACCAGGCCGGGAAGCGCGCTAGCAAGCACCAGGCGGCCCCTCAGGCAAGACACCGACGAAAGGCCACGACGCACGCGGCCACGGTGCTTGGCTGGTGAGTATGAGACAGCGCGGGGCATGACACCAACCAAGACCAGCGACAAAACGACGGAGAGGCACGCCGCGTCGGTCATGCTTGGCTGGCGCGACTGCTGGCGCTTGGCCTTGGGATGTCACCAGCCAGGGCAGTACGCTGGCGCGCTTCGTTCTGCCTCTTGAGATGCAAACGCAGACACAAAACACCAGAGCCGGGCCGAGGCGGAGAGCAAGCACAAGAGCAGGAGGCACTGGTGTGCGGACTGACTTGAGAGCGAAGCCGAGCCCAGCCTGCTCTGGTGAGCTTGTCAAGGCTCAACCCAAGTCTGCAGGGGACGCGCAAGACCCCCAGTTTCTCAAGTACTCGGATTGCTTCCGAGCTTTTTCCTTCAGTCTTTTTATTGCGCATTTTTGCCGGCGTATTTCTTGGATATTTTTTGTGTGTTTTTTGCGTCTTTTTTGTATGTGTATGCTTTGAAAAAGTTTGGATCTTAGTCGGGGCGCGCGTCAAAATGTTGGAGCCGCTTTACTTTGCTATGAATTATGAAAAATATATCAAAAGCAGTCGATTAAAAGTCACGCTTTTTTGAATTTTTGCTGAATTAGCTTCGAATAAAAAAGCCTTGGCATTCTTTCCAAAGGTTTCAGCCTTGCGTGTCCCCTACAAACTCAGAGAGCGCGCAAAGAATCGAAAGCAACGCGTCTAAGCGAGCCGCGGGGCCGGCGGGTGTCGGCATCGCGTGCCCCCTACCGACTTGGGAGCATGCAAGAGAGCGCAGGCGAGACTTCTTGAAACTAGAAGCACACACGCACCACATGCGCCTGCGCTCTGAGTTTCTGCATGTGCGTGAGCGTCCCCCACGCACTGGCCCCCTTGACGCCGCCCCACTGCCGATAGATGTCGGGCTGCTTGTGTGGAAGGAACCTCTGCGAGGCCGCGCGCCTTCCCTGGCAGGCTTCCACGTTTGACGCGTAGCAGACAGAGACGGGCGCAGCCCCTCTTTGGTTCGCCCTCGCTGGGGCAGGCGAGGCGCTCTGTCTTGGCCTAGGCATCTGCGTGCGGCTCGTTTTCTGTCGTTGCAAAGGTAGGGCCGCAACGGGATGGGCGTGACAAGGCTTTGAACACCTCAAAAACCAGAAAGCCGCCAAGGCCCACTTGCGTCCCACGTCGTGGAAATGTCACGAGGCATGGGCCCCATGCTCTTCAGTGGTGTTTTCTGCGGCTAAGCCAGGCTTTTCAGAGACGCGCGCGCGGCGTTTCACGTTGGAAATGAAAATTATTTTTCAGCTTCAAGGAAGTTTTTTCGTGCTCCAATTTCCAAAATTATTGTCTGTAGCTAAAGACAATAAGACTTATGGGAATCACTAACCTCAAAAAAAGTGTTTTTTTCAGCTGTAAACCGAAGTTTTTCAATTTTACGGAAATATAAAATCTAACTACTTAAATCTGAAGGAAAAAAATGCAGCGCGGACTATTGTCATAAAAGTGCGTCTGAGGCCCGCATTCAGATTTCATCACATGAGGGGCAGGACACTTTAGACCCCCCAGAGGCTTCGACGGCATCAAAGGAAACTCAAGTATCTGCCGTTCTGGAAGACTATTACAAGTCCACCTGATAAAAGCCTTACTCCATTCCGCCACTTCTCCAAAGGTTGTGGTCACGTCCAAGGCAATCCTGTTTTTTTTCGTGACAGAAGTGGCAAAGTAGGCAGGAAGAAGAGCGAGGCTGACGCAAGTCTCATTTTTACGCGAAGCTTTGCGCGCCACCATTCGCATGCCAGCTGTTCAAATAAATCCTATAGATACTATTCCACGCAACTGCTCAGTCACATAAACTATAAAAGCGACCACACTAAGTACGCAAGGAAGACTAGCAGACGACGCGAAAGGCTTAAAGGCTGGCACTTGCAAACGCAGCTACTCACATCAAGTCAACCATATCTCCCGCGGCTACCTAGATTGAAATGCGAGTCGCGTCGGCAATTTATTACGAGCCCGAGCAAGAATTAATGCTAGGCCGATGGCGTAGATCTAACTATTGCGTGACTTTCGAGAAGCTTACGCGAGAACCCTTTCCCTATTTCCTGCCCCACAGCTGTTGCTGCATGGCTGTGCCTGCCCTGGTATTTGATTAACTGATAATTATGCGTGGCCAGTGTTCGTAGACCATGCATAGCGCCAACGCCGAGGGCGCTGGCGGTTCTAGAATTTGCGGCGCAGAGAGCGCCGAACAAGGTCCAGGCGCTAACATAAAAAAAAAAGCTCTAAAATAAAAGCAGAAGAAAAAGCAAAGCAGCCGGATAGCTAAGGCTGACCGAGGCGGCCAAGGTGGCTGCCCTGGATGCATCGCGGCTCCCAAGCTGACTGGCTCGGGGTACCTAGTTGGCCCGTCGAGGCTCGCTGTGGCTAGCGAAGCCCGCTGCCTAGCTCCATGCAGCTAGCTACGCTAAGCGCCCTCTCTATGGGTAGCTAATGCGCTCGCTCGATATGGATGGCTGCTCGCCAAGCTCCTGGCTGGCTTGGCTGGCTTCTATGGCTAGCTGAGGCGAGCCGCCCGCTGACTATGGCCCAGCAAGTTCGTTGGCTATGACTGTGGCTAGCTAAGCGCGCACGCCGTGGCCATGGCTGGCCAGCGGTGGCCATGGCTGGCCAACGGTGGCCATGGCTGGCCAACGGTGGCCATGGCTGGCCAAGCTCATGCAGCGACGTACCCACCCCGCCACGCTGCGCCGAAAAGGTCGAGCCTCGCGGCAGTAATACACGACGGCACCTAAGACGCACGCCACACCTTAGCCACACCCGGCCCCACGGGGTCAGAACGGGCTCCACATCAATCTAGCACACGATCAGGGGCACGCGGGAAGACGCGGGCTGGCTAGTTCAGCCCCGAGCCCATCGAGATCAGGACCCGCTGGCAGGTTTCATTGTCACCCGCATCGACTGACACCCTGAGGAACTTCCCGGGCACTTCCCTGCCCCGTTCTCTCCATAGATAAGTCCGGCGCAGAATCACACAGCCCCCAGACAAGACCAGCTAGCGCGCCACGCTATTCCTTGGGCCATTCTCATGGCGCGTCCTTCAAGCTATCCAAAATCCCCCCGAGGCTTCGCGACCCCATGGCCATGGCATGCTCTCCACCCAGATGGTGGGGAGACAGCAGAAGACGCCGCGACCGGGTTCAGCACTCGAGAGCGCAGAGCCCAAACCAAAGTCCAAACGGCCACGCACGGCCCTCCGCTCCTCTGACGCAGCAGAAACAAACCAAGAGCAACCCACCCGCGGCGCGTGATACTACAGGAGCAAAGGCGACGAGCTGGCCCTCGTGGTTGAACCGTCCAGACTACCGAAGACACCAGCGCAGCCCCTGCCGCTTCATTCTGCGCCGTTTGCTTGGGACTAAGTTGGCCCGGTGGCACTTCCTTGGTACGCCCTGCCTCACAGTCGCAAGCTCCTCGCCAGGAGCTTCTCCCCACGTTTCAAAAGCTAGAAGCCTCCCGCGCTCTTTGTCAATAGCCCCCCCGCCACCTATCAACACCAGGAGACTTGGCCCAAGTTGAGGGATTGAGCAACAGACAAGACCGCACACAGCCCGGCGAGTTCCTACCCCTCATCTCGTTCACACGCGCCACCCACTGCAGCCGCGCCCTTCCTATCTTCGTCCCTCTGGTCTCGCTGCTTCGCTGTCCTTCACGCCCTACTGCCTGCCCTGTCCTTGGCTCCTTTTGGTCCGCCCCGCTTCTCTGCATGTGTATGGCGTTCACCTGCCACGGCACGCGCTGGAGAAGGCGCCGCCGACCCACGTAACTAAGCAGACTAAGCGGCGCAGGTGCCTGCTCCTCACACACTCTAAGCCCTTCACCTCGGCTCTCCCCTCCTCAGGCGCAGCACCTATAGGGGAGCCAGCCGCGTCCGATTCGTCTACTTTGTCTTTGCCCAGTATCTCAGTACGCAAGCCCTCAGAAATACCAGCCGGGCCGCCCGCAGTGCGCTCCGAGCAAGAGAGCCCCGACTGAAGGCCCAGCCTCTGCACTGACTGCCCAAGCAAGGGGAGCCCAACGACGACGCCCCCCGCAGGTTTTCCAGTCTGTCAGCCCGGCTATTGCGGGTGCCCTTCCTATCCGGGAAAAGCGCGGCCGCGTTTTATCTTAGCGAGGTAGCCCCCGCCAAAGTTTACGCACCAGGCCGAGCATTTTGCCCACCGATGTCCAAGCTTGAAACGATCGCCATGGGTGAAAGTAGCTCCAGCCAACCAGCCAAACGACTTCAGAGAGAGCCCAAGGAAGACGCCACGGCGATACGTGGCCGAGGGCCTAGGCTCGGGGGTGTTGGCTTGAACTTCTTCACGAAAGTAAACCAAGCAACCAAGTCCGCGGGTGACCTCTTCGGCGAGTTTCTGCCTGTTCTCTCGGTCTTCCGAAATTTTCGCCAGGTCTTTCGTTTCTTGCTTTTGTTGCGGCGCTTCTGCACAAGTATGCGGCAGACAGCCCCAGCAGTCACCAACGTGGCCGACGCGGTAACACCCGGGACGTCTATCAGGTCCCGGCAACACTGTGCGAACACTGCCAAACAGAGCCCGCGCAGAGCGTTCACCGGTCCCATTCGTCTCCGGATGGTAAAGGGCTGCCACACTGTCGGAGGCTCGCAGCGATTGCCAGAGTTTGGCCATGTCATCACGCCCAAGCACACGCTTTTCCACCCCGAAGGAGAGGCCACCACGCTGCCGCGCCCTCACGAGATACGTAAGGAGTAGTCCTGGCTAAGCAGGCACAGCCAAATACATCCCCACAGGCACAGACCTATCTAGCGCCATGCCATCGCGGTCCATGCATGAGAAGAGTGCACACAGATGGGAAAAATTGGCACCCCGATCCCCGCGCGCAGGGACCCTGCTGCCAACGACACTGCCGCAGACCGGCCTGGCCAGCGCCGTGCCGTCGCGATTGATGGAAAGAAAACGCGAAGACGGACCGAAAAAAAAGGCACCCGGACCCCCCTCCCTCAACATCCGCGTCCGCCAAGACCGAAGCCGAACTTCCAAAGGCGCCGCCATAGAACTGCCCAGCGCCATGCCGTCACGATTCCCGAGAAGTACTAAGAAGACACACAGGCAGTCAGACGAATATAAAAACGGCCAGCCAGATCCGCTAGCGCCTGCAGCTCAACAAAATGCCAACCAGCGACACCCCCCACAGACCTGGCCGCGGCAGCCCTATGCCGTCACGACTCATTGGAAGAAGACGCCCAAACAAGAAAAACAGATAACCAAGCCCGGAGGGATCCTCATCCGCAGAAGAGGAACCAAACCACGAGCCCGCGACACTCCCAAAGGCCTGGCCAGCGCCATGCCGTCACGATCCACAAGAAGAAGACACACCGACAGAAAAGACAAGCTAGCAGCCACCCCCTCACGCGCCGAAGCCAATCAAAACGCCAACGACACAGCCACAGACCTGGCAAGCCGCCACCAGACAAGAGAGGCGCGACCGACAAAGACACAAAAACCAGACCCATGGGCGGCGAATGCACGACACACCACAAAAAAAGAGCCGAAGCACCCCCATGCGGTCACGGCCTTCCCGCAGTTTGATTGTGGCGACATTCGGCCGGCAGCGTCTTTTGTAAGTTTTTCGACTCCTTCCTCCCTCATGGATGCGATGCTCCTGCGATTCATTTCTGGGACTATTCGGAAAGCGGTTGGCACAGTGGTAAGTCAGAAGACCCTTCTCCGCGCGCGCGTGGCCGATTCCCTTCACACATACCAACAAGGCGAAGACAAGGCCACCCGGCCGCCTTGACAGCACCAAGACCAGCCTACCCTCCAAGGGCTGCCCCGTCTTAAATGAATCTCCCCGACCAGCCTCGCCGCCCACCCATCAGCGGCGGGGCAGCACAGGTGAGCCTATGCGCGTCAGCCTCGACCTAGAAAGGGGCTTATCCACTCCACCCCCGGCCCGCCAATACACTTTTCCGGGGACCCCGACCCACCTCGACACAGTGAAAACAGCCTCACCCCCCCCTCCACGAACCCTCCGAGAGCCCCACCGCGACCAGAGCCCACCTCGATACACCTCAACCCAAAGCAAGCCGCCTGCAATCACCACGGCCCCCCCACCTAAACATGCTTAACGGAATTCGGCCGACACACCTGAAAGAAAGAACGCGCGCCCGCCCTCTCGGCCAAGCCTTCGACCTAATTTGACCGAAAACGCGCAACCCATATCAGCCCGGCGCGCACCCTCGAGCGACGGACCCGCCCTCACTCTAGGCCCACCCCTGACCCGATGAACCGAAGCAACCCAGAGCCCCACCATCCGACCAACCTCTGAACCTATCTCCGGCCAAGTCTCCCGATCTTCCCCTGGACCGGCCCGCCCCAATCCCGAAGTTCTATTCTCCCAAGCACTAATATTCTCCCAAGAATTAACTTCACGACCACCATAACTGGGAAGCCCCCCTCCTTCGCTGGGTCAAATGTGGGCCCGTCAGGGGGTCGGATGTGGGTCCGCCTAGGGTCGCTCGAGGAGCGAGAAGCCGCCTATGAATCTGACGGCGCCAATCCATTCAGAAACCCCCTGAGATTTCACTGGCGATTTCTACCAGCCAATCTAGTTTATTGCCGGGCCGTCAGTGAACTTTCGACTACTATAAAAAAAAGCTGATGCCACTGCCTGCGCTTTTCCCTCTAGCGGGCGAAGGCGGGCGACAGACGTCTAAAAAAGAGTGGGCGAGAGGCTCCCGCGAGGCTTCTACGAGGCGCCGCAGGTTCCGCACCCCCTTCCTGCGATGCCAAGCTCCTGCAAGGTTCCGCCGGGGGTTCTGCGCCCGCTCCTGCCCTGCGGGCTCCGACAGCGGGTCCAGGCGGTGACTCTAGAACGCCTGCCAAAGCCACACACACACACAAAAAAAGGCAAGGCTCTGGCGGGCCTCCTGGCGCGCTACTGGGTGGCGGGCTCCGCCAAGCTTCCGCCAGCGCCTCCTGCGGGGCTTCGTTTTTTGGGCTTCCTAAGCCCCTCCGGCGTGCTCCTGAGGGTTCCGCAGAGGCTTCCGCGGAACGCCGCTAGCTGACGGCCCCGCAAGAGGCCCTGCGCAAGGTTCAACGCTGGGCACATCCCTACCCCCTTCTTGATTGCCTCAAGGGTCTAATCCACTGCACCACCCGGCCACAGCGGGCGCCCCGCGTCCAAGGTTCGACCCGGGGCGAACCTCTACCCCCTCCGCGGTTTTCCTCTTTTCGGGGGTCTATTCCACTACGGCACCCGATTGGCAAGGTTGCAGCTGCAAGGGCGGCGCGGTGGGTGTCCCCGCCCCTCGCCCCTCTCGGAGGCCTCACCCCCGCCGCCACCAAGCGGCTCCCCAACGTCTATGTATTGCACTTTGCTCGCCCCGCCGCTTTCCCCCTAAACCATACTCCAGGCGGCGCCTCTTTGCCGTCCGCTCTTCCATCCCGCCACCGCCGTGCCCCACTCCTTTCGGCACTCCCCGCGCCCCTTCTCTTGCCTCGTCCTGTGTTTCTCGTCTTCCCCTCCCTTCGCTTGTTCTCCCCTAGCCTCCCCTGGCCTCCTCCTCTCCCTCCCATGAAAAACGCGCCCAATTTTCGCGCCGTGGTAGTCATTTGAACTTGCAGAGCCGTGCTGCCTCCTTTGCTGTGGCTCTATCAATGGACACGCTAGGAGACAGAGGTGGCCAGCATCAGAATGGGCAATCTTTAGCAGAGTACTCGCTCTCGCGCGAAGGTTTTTGCCCTGCTTCGTCCGACGGTGTAGTCGTCCCCTCCTCGTCACCGACGGCCTGCCGAAGAGCCGACAACGCTAGCGGGTCTGCCTTGGTTTTGGTGAAGTCCGCTGGGACCAAGCTAAAAGCCCAGTTCTGCGAACCCAAAATGGGGTCGCCCGGAAAAGTAAAACGTAGCCATGCAGAGTGCCATTCGCCGTAGCCTCTTACCCTATTGCAGGTGGCCGGCAATGTGGTGGAACTTTTCGTAAGGTCCTCAAATTGCTTCTGAGCCTGCCACCACTGGTCTTGGTCGCCGACATGGGCGCCCCCTCTCGCCGCCATTCCGCAAGATACGAGAAGGCCCAGCAGCAACAACAATGCAAAACGTGACAGACCAGCGGAACCCATCGCCAGCACACTGCTTTCGCACTGCTTGCGCCAGGCCGTGAATCTGGCCTGTGGCTGATTCGTCCATCTGGAGCTGACGTCGACCACCGTAGAGCCACGAAGGACGAAAGAACCAGCGGAAGCACTCTTTGCAAGTCCACGAAATGCGAGCGCGCCAATGACAGCAGCAGCCGTGTTCGAAAGTGCCAACACACTAGTCCAGACGGGCAGAAGATGTTGGCGCGAAAATTCAGCAAGAGTAGCAATAATGCGCCGCAAGACGTTAGCAAAGACTGTAGTACGAACGTGCAACAGTAGCGCACCCGATTGCGACAAAGCGCCTGACAATTTGGTCACCCTGTAGTTGCCCATGTTGGTGACCAGCTCCACGTCGTGCAAGGAGCAGCTACTTGCGTGCCCCTCTGTTGGGGGAGAGCGATTGGCGCTGCACTGAAGATTTGGGGCCGATTTCGTCATCGTATTGCAGCTCGACTTGGCCGTGGCTTGGTGGACTGGTTTCTTCATTTTGCTCGACCACGTTTTTTGTTGGGCGCTGGTACTTGGTAAGGCCACAGCGCTGCTGCTGTTTCGGTCCAGCATCCGCGCAAAATGGACCGAGGTGGACGAGAGGGGGCTGCCGTAGCTGTACGGAACAAGACCCGAAAAGGACGCCACGCAAAACGCCCAGCATGGAGGACAGGCCCCCTGCCTGCTTCTCGTGGTAAGGTCGTTCTCCTGCTCTTGCTCCTTGGTGCCCGCCTCGTCATTCTTTTTTGTTTGCCTGGTCGTCTCTTCTTTATGGCTAGCCTGCCGCTTCGCCTTCCTCTTCTGCGGCCTCTTCATCAGGTAGCCTCTTGCGTGGCGTTTTTTCGCTCTCCGGCATGACTTCGCTTCTGCAGACTCCTGGCGCATCGCATTTCGACTATTCCTCTCGGAGGAGGAACAGCACTGCGAACGGCCAGCCACACTGCTGCTACCCGTGTGATCAACTACTAGCTTTTCGGCGGATTTCGTGGTCGTGGAGTCCTTCTCTATCTCAGAGTCGTCGCCCAGAGCAAGAATCGCAAACGCGTTGATGCTGCGAAAATCCTGGCTGCTCATCTTCGTCTCCTTGTCGCAGTTTGAAGAACCTCTGGTAGACTCTTTATCTCCGTAGATTTTCAGCGTGGTCGCCTGACATGATGAAGGTCCGCCATGCAGTTCCAAAATAGAAGCATGGCTTTTGATGCTTGAGTTCGAAAACAGGCGCGACCGTCTTGGGCGGTACGTTGTGCCTCCCGTTCTTGTCTCATTAGAATCGCCTGTGCCAGTCTCCGCCAACATCTGTGGCCAGAAGTTTGCGAGTCGCTCACGCGGCGCAAATGTGGCGACAGTCGTGTCTATCAGATGCTCACCATCTGCTATCTCGTTTGCACCTTCTCGGCGTTTTCCAGCATCATCTGCACCAGGAGGCGCCGGCCCTCGATGCGCTTGAGAGTGAGCAGCTGCTTGATGCGTAATTCTAATTGTAGCACTGGAGTGATGATCGATGATGGCTCCCCGGCTGAGACTGCTGGCGCCAGGCCCACTCCCATCGACGCTGCCCAGCATCATAGTTGTATTGGGTGGCAGCTGCAATGAATCCCTGAGGTAAGTAGATGAGGTCAACAGAATAAGTACGACAATCGTGACACTTGTTTCTACTCGTCCTATAGCCACTTCTAGTTCTACTAGTGAAACTTCAACTACACGGGCTGCTGCTTCTACAAAGAGCAAAGTTATATCTACAATGAGTTTGATTATAGTTAGCGCTGGTGGAGTACGAACACTAGAAGGGACTGTTTGAAGAAGTGTGTGCCAAATTCTATCAGAATGAATTTTGTCAATACCTTCCGCTTCCGGCGCTGCTCTGCTGATCTGGTCGATTCTCGAGCAGGGTCGAGCCGTAGCAATGGTTGCTCTGCGGCGCCGCCATGAACACATCAGACATCGACGGCAAACAGAGTGGCATCAAACCAAGCTGCAGCGAAGTAAAGCAAGATATCAGTCGCTCCGGAAAGTGCAGAGCGTCCGCGCTGTGACAACTGTGCTGCAAAAACGCAAACATTTGCTCAGGCGGCGCTAACCCCTCGAAAGGAACGAAGGGGAGCTGCTGCAGCAGAAGTATCGAAGCTGCTGGGGCTTGGAGGTACGGAAAAAACGGCTGCTGTACTAGACCAGACTGCAAGTGAGGCGTCGGCGCCCATCCTTCAAAAGGAATCGAGGCGAGCTGCTGCAGCTGCAGCGGCGTCACAGATGGGGGCGGGCCATACGGCTGCAGCTGTTCTGCACCAAGGCGGGGCTGGAAATCACCGCGCGTAGCTGACGGCGAAAGTCCTGATAGACGAGGCGGCGACCGTTCTGGCAGGAGAGGCGGAAGCGTAGGCGGGAGACTCGGTTTGGTCTGAACAGATGGCGGGCTGCGGTGCGCATGCCGCGGGATGTTGGCCGTGACATGTGGCGTCACCCACGGCTCAGCCTCCTCGTTGTTGTGCCACCGTCTGGTCGTAACCTCAGCACGCCCGTCTTGGTTATAGGCCACCATCTTGTCTTTATTCGACTTCGAACGAGAGGTGATAACCTTTTGAAAGCTGTAACACTGGGAACGAAATGCCTTCTAGCTATGGACGAAAAAGACAATCAACAAAGCTACTATTATATTAGCCTACTTTCTCCTAAACTATAACTATCTAGTTTAGGTATAGCTATAGCTGTAAACAAAAATGATAACGAAGATGAACAACAGTTACTCTATGCACCACACTGGACTTTTACTTAGATGCTGGGGAGTTTCTACTACCCATTGGATTTTTACTTAGACGCTACGCTAGCCCGCGACCAAAATTTTCTCAAAGTCTCCTCTATTTAAAAGCCACAAGGCTGATTCCTGGAGTGGTCTGATATTTTTGCAATAATAAATGCTGAGAGGCGACGCGACTACTCTGGGAGCGTGGTTGTATTTTGTATGTGATACTGTTCACTTTGATCGTGCCGGTAGGTGCTTGTCGTTCAAAAAATACGCTGTAAATGTGGGAAGGCGATTCTTATGAGATCTATCATGTTGGAGAAAGAAAGAAAGAAACACAAAAAAGCTTACTGAGGAGTTCGAATACGACTCTGATTCCTTTATTGACTTCTTTTTATGCGCTGACACTTTGTATTGTGGACACTTGGAACGGCCTGAGGACTTGAAGTAGCAACTACTTAGTTTTTATTCTTTTTGAAAATTGCAAAAAAGCGCAGGTTCTGGGAGGGGAAGTCGCTTACTCCTTTTCCATATCAGAAAAACTGCACCTGCAAGATGAAGACGAGACGAAGGGTGAGCGATATCATGAAGCGACGCCTTTGGGAAGCTCGTGGAGTTGGAAGCATCACAGGCTCCTGAAGGAGGATGCAGAACAAGTCTAGGATGACTTACACAAGGTTCATCAGCTAAGGCTAAGGTGGCTCAAAACTCACTCCATTCTGATCATGATTGGTTACTCTACTCAGAAGCGTGCTCAGACAGAGTCAAAAACCCCTCTCAAGACAGAGCCGAAGGCAGTTCGATAAAGATCCAAGCTGCAGTCTCTCCGTTCCCGAAATTCGTGTAGTTTCTCTTTCTCACTATAGACAGAATCTACCTCAGTCACACAGAGACGGAATTCGATGTAGTGCTGTTTATACTCAGTCTCTCCAAGTCCAATAGTCCTTACAGAGCTTCAAAAGTAACTCCTCTTCGCCTCCTGCTCCAGACAGACACGGAAGTCGCTCCTTATACAGAAGCTGACTCAAGATGGTGTCCTCAACCCTCTGGGTGTTCTACAGTTCAGGAATTCAAGGCTTTAAATTATATGCACTCCTTGCGCCGCGGTCTTTTTCCAAGGTTTAGACTTAGCGAGCAAAAGTCTCTTGCCTTCCTTTAAAGGATAAAAAGGGGCTCTCTCTTAAGAGAAAGACCCGCTGCACGATCAGTCAGTCTTCGTCTATCATATTAGAAGCCCGATGGCAGTCAGCGTAGCGGCTTCTATGAATGGTTCCGCACCAAGTGGCCTGGATTTGATCACAAGCATTCTCTTCCTGTTTTCCTTTATGATAAAAATCAGGCTACTGAATCCCAAAGCAATACATTCTACCACTCTTCACGGATCATCATGATGAAGGTACTACAGTTAGAATTTACAAACTACCTCATCAAAAATATTATGGTCTACTGCGTCACTACTTTTACTGCTTTCTATTAATTGCATGCGGCATAGTATGCTCACGCTATTTTATCTCCTTTCCAAGATCGTCGCCACGTCAGATCAATCATGTGCAAACGAGTACGTAGTAGTAGCTACAACAGCACGAACATGCGAAGACCATATTACATATCAAGTAGTCGCTTTATATCGCTCTGCGGAATCAGGCCATTTTGTCCATTCAAAAGTGTGACAACATTGGAGGCACGGCTTTGACTACAGGAATTTAGAGTCCATCATGACCAAAGATAGCAACCAGTGCTGTGGCTCTTGTAAGTATGTCTTTGGCTCAGTCCTATTAATATCTGACTGCAACATCAAGCTGTAGAACTGCATCAGCAGAACATGTTATAAAGCTGTTGCTACAAACTATGAAGATCAAACATTTGCGAAACAAGCAGAGGACATCAATATGACCAAAGCCCACTCCTGTGAGTGGTGAGCTCTTCCATATGAATACATGCCCAGAAAGCGGGCCCATCAAGGGCCCGCTGCGCCGGGCATAGGTTAACAACTGGACAGATTGACTACTAAGAGGCAGAAAGACAAACGAAAAAAGTCGCCAAGTCTGCTCGCCAAGGCTGGGAAGCTGGCGCCCACTGTGTCAAAGAAGGGAAGGCTGGGGAGGTGACATCCTCGACGGCTTCGACTTTCACGCGCAGAGATGTATATCTGTGGCCTTCTCATGGATATGATGATGCTCACCAGGGTCCACCCTTCAGGCATGCAAGTCCTCACGGCTATCATTCTCACACGCATCGACATCCTCAAAGGCTTCGCCTTTCACACGCAGAGATGTAGACCTTTGCCCCTCTCGTGGATATGATGACACTCACCAGGGTCCACCCTTCAGCCATGCAAGTCCCCCCGGCTATCATTCTCACAGACATCGACATCCTCAACGGCTTCAACTTTCACACGCAGGGATGTATATCTGTGGCCTTCTCATGGATATGATGACGCTCACCAGGGTCCACCCTTCAGACATACAACGCCTCACGGCTATCATTCTCACAGACATCGACATCCTCAGCGGGTTCGACTTTCACACACAGAGATGTATATCTTCAGCCTTCGCATGGATATGACGACGCTCGCAAGGGTCCACCCTTCAGAAATACAAGTCTGCACGGCTATCATTCTCGCACGCATCGACATCCCCAAAGGCTTCGCCTTTCACGCACAGAGATGCATACCTTTGCCCTTCTCGTGGATATGATGACGCTCCCCAGGGTCCACCCTTCAGACATGCAAGCCCCCAAGGCTATCACTCTCACAGACATCGACATCCTCAACGGCTTCAACTTTCACACACAGAGATGTATATCTTTGGCCTTCTCATGGATATGATGACGCTCACCAGGGTCCACCCTTCAGGCACGCAAGTCCTCACGGCTATCATTCTCACAGACATCGACATCCTCAACGGCTTCGACCTTCATGCACAGAGGTGCATATCTTTGGCCTTCTCATGGATATGATGATGGTCGCAAGGGTCCACCCTTCAGACATGCAAGGCCTCATGGCTATCATTCTCACACACATCGACATCATCAACGGCTTCGACTTTCGCGCGCAGATATGTATATCTGTGGCCTTCTCAGGAGTATGATGATGCTCACCAGGGTCCACCCTTCAGCGATGTAAGTGCTTCCAGCTATCATTCTCACAAGCATCGACATCCTCCACGGCTTCGATTTTCAAGCACAGAACTGTATATCTTTGGCTTTCTCGTGGGTCAATGTGATGACGCTCGCCAGCCTCTGCCCTTTCAAGTGCTCACCCTCTCCCTTAAAATTCTCCCACTTTTGTGCTGATAAAAATGCACGCACGGGCTAACCATCTCCAAGGGCTGCCGCGCGCTCTTGTGGTCGGTTGTTGTGTGCGGAAGGCAGTCGCGGAAGGGGAGCGAGCTAACTTTTTCCCAAAAACTTCAGGGGGGTCGTTCCGTTTTCTCTGTATTTGAATGGCCTCCCTGAAGTTTTTGAAAAAAAAAAAAAAGGCGCTGGGCGATATTTAACGAGGGGAGCGGTTGGAAGTTCTTTGGGGCGATTCGCTGGGGCGGGGTGGGCGCGTAGTGTCCTGCTGCAGATTGGTGTGGCTGGTGTACGTGAGTAGCCTACAAACTAGCAGCCGCGAACACGTTAACACGCTCGCGGTGCCTTTGAACTCGTAGCACTAGCAACGCAAGTGCTTTAGGGAGCCTTTTGAGCCCTTCAGAATCCCTTAAGGAGGGCGCTAATATTAGCCAAGGGCTATAACAACTTTCCCTTAAGGGCCCTCCTTAAGGGAAATTTTTCCTCTTAAGGAAAGTTATAATAACTTTTTGTAATAGAAATTCCTTAAGGAAAACCGTTTTCCTTAAGCAGGCCACATAAAGGAGTCCCTTAAGGATTTCACAAACCATCGCTAACCCTATAAATACTAATATGTTGTCCTCCACTATGCATATGGCTATGCACTCCTGCTCCCCGTCTCGTACTAGGTAGTACCACCTGAACCTATGGCCACGACCTTCCTCCACTGTGCCCTCCCCGTCACCTATGTCCCCCTCCGTTAACCTATGCCCCCACATCCTCTCCACGACCGTCTTCAAGTCCTCGTGTACAGACCGTCCACAAGCCATGGCCACGCTCTCTCCTGTGCAGAAGATGCCGTGTATCTGCATGTGATACGAATCCAGATAGTATCTGTATGCGATGTGAGAGCTACGAAGTAAAAATTCCTGGAAGAGAACTATCAGACACCTCCTGGAAGGTCCTCTCAAGGTTATTGCACCCACCTCCTGGAAGAGAACTAGTATCAGACAAGCGAGATACAGCTCAGGGATGCAATCAAAGGTCACACTTCATTTCAGGAATTCAATCAAAGATGAAGGCACAGAATACTGTAGTGCCTAAAAGCTTGTAGGCTAGTAAAATAGGAGGAGAGAGTCACTATTTTGATTGATTGACCCACGTGCCTGACTAGAGGTCGAAGACCTAATTGGTTGAAGAGGGTTACCAAGTACCAGGGTCATTCGCTGGGCAGTACAATAGCAAAGTCACGAAGACTAAGGAAGCGAAAAACTGAAGCGGGCGAGTGTGCTAGGGAATAATCTCAGATACTCGGTTACTGTATCAGTTACTTACTCGCGCATTTTGAGTATTCGAATAATATCATGAGGCTGTATCGATAGGATAAGTATAGCCATAATTTCCAAGGCAACAAGGTTCGCGCCAGACAGCTTTGGAGGCCAATTGGTTCAAATCCCCGCCAACCTGATCGCACGGTTGCCGCACGTGCTTCACGGCATGCGGGTCAGCAACGCTGCTTTCTATTCCTATTCTTCTCGATCATGTGGGAGTCGATGTATTCTGATAGTGATAACAAGTGCTGCGAGTGGGTGAGTGGGTGAGTGAGTGAGTGGGTGAGTCAATGTACCCACTCCACGGGTATAGACGACCACTCCTATGAGGGACAATACTGAAAAATTTTTTGGATATGTTGAGAAATATTGAAGACGAGATAATGAACATGAAGTAGCGCCAATAGCCTTAAGAATGGGAACAGTCACTCTTATCCCGAGGACTGCCGCTGTGAAGCGAGTGCGGCGAAGGCGTTGAGTCGCCGGTTGTTGAACGCCGTGTTGACCACGGAGATGAAACAGCTACTCCTCCTCGGCCGTTCCCTACACTACTGCTCCCGCTGCTGCTACCCACACGCTGAAGCATACTCAGCACTGTATATCGGATTCGGGTCGACGTGCTAAAACTTCCCAGGTCTACGATGAAGGTGTCTGCAGCTGCTGACGCTGTGCCGCACGCATGCCACGCGCTGCGACAGTGCTGTTTTTAGAGGTAAGTAGATTCGCATCACCACGCCTTTAATAATGCCGTAAGTGTCCCCCTACCTTCTTTTTGCGGCTTTCAGAAAGCGCCACTCTTACCACAGGGTGACGAATTGCTACTCGTAAACTTTGCGTTTGTCATGCTGGCCACATTGGCTCCACGGCGATTAAAGTTCGGCTGGAAAAGTAACGCGTCACTCAGGACATTGACCTAGTCGCCATTTGCCTGGACAGCAGCCGCTACTTCGCCATCACGATCACACCCAGTCGCAGCTCCGCCATAAATCTCGTCCACTTTTCCAGCCTGTTCAAGTTCATCTAGCGCGACCGGACACCATAAGAAAACCGTCCACTAACCTCGGAAAAAATTCTCGAAGACTAGTGGGCCTCTAGTCGTTTCACATTCTCCCAAAGTCGGAAAGCGGGTGCGTGGCTGAAGAGGGCCGAGGGGAAGTGGCCTTTCAGATGATGCAGAGGACATTGTAGGGCGATCTAGCCGACCTCCTGCGACCTGTATACGCTCACACTTAAAAGCACAAAAATGCAGAGCAGTGAACACCTCTCGGAAAGGAGCTCCGGCCAAAGTTTAGCGCCTCCTCTTCCTCTAACCTAGGCGGAAGAGTCACCCTGGTCCCCTATTCAGTTGGATGAGGTACGGTCTCGAAAAGCAAATACAGCGCAACCCGCTGTGCCATGACCTTCCTCGCCCTTGCACGCCCTGACCTTCTTCGTGTTTTTGGCTAGCCTTAAGAGGCCCCGACCTTTATGGACCGGCGTCGTCACTCCGCTAGTTTTGTTGTGGACCCGCTGAGCGGGGCCCCCTTCCCTGAGGTGGCGAAAAAAGGACTCTATAGGCGTCTCCAGAGGGGCCGCCCACCTTAAGAGGCCCTGCTAGGAAGTGCTTGGGGGGTGTCAAAATGGGGGGCAAAACCCTGGCCGCTGGCTCTAAAGGCTGACGGTCAAGCGACGGCCAGGCTGTACAGGAGTGCGCCACGCCTTGCCACTAACGGCATTCTTATAAGAAAAAAAATCTGCACAACGTGAAAAGTCCTGGTCCAAATTCGTGCTCGAGCTCTATTAGAATCTTGTTGGCCGTAGAAAGATTACAACTCGCACCCTTACCTTTCTCATCCTCTACATGGCGAACATAAAATAAGCTAAGGTCGCTACCAACAAAAAGTAGTAGTCATGATGAAGAATGCTGCATGCAGCTCGAAGATAATTGTATGCTCATCAGCAACATGTCGAAGGTGTGCAAAATGCTGCACACCTTGGACGCATTCGCTATTCCTGCACTTTCAAATAATTCGGAGTCGTCGTAGTGGTGGTAAACCCAATCCAAGGGTGCATCGGTCTGAAGAATGCAAGAGGGCAGGGGAGGGATTAATCTTAAAGGGGGTGCCTAAGTCGGACAATGAAGTAACTTAGCAAAAGTGGGAAAAAATCCGCAAGGAGGAAAATAAAAGTGCAGAATCATGACGGCGAGGGGATGGGGAGTTATCTTATTAGACTTCAGAGGACTATAACCAGCACTGCTGCCCACCCTGTTCACTGATCACCCCCGAACTTCTCGTATGCACTAGTACGCGCTACCCCTCGTCCCGCACAAATAGAGTGCCCCGATGTTGCTCTGAGAACGCCTCCGATCTCTGTCCCGAATTTTCATCGAAAAAAGCCATTTGGCCAGGCTCATCCCACCGCAAAAAGAATTGTCAGTGTAGCTCTCGCCATAACCACTGCTCGCCACAGATTCGCCCTCGATTCCAGATCATGCAATGCACTGCCCCGACGCAGGGAGAAGAGCGTCACCGAGGCTAACTCACCTGTAAAAAAAAAGAAATATAACACCAACGACGACACGAGGGGTCAAACACTGAGACGGAGTAGCACACCACGAGCAAAGAAATGGCACAGCCATGGCTTCGCTGAGAAGGCTGGGGTGCCGGTGCCGAGTGTCATTGCTGACAGACAGCACAGATTGCGCAATATTGGAAATCATTTGAGACCATATGCCCCACGATCGAGCTGTTGTTAGGTTTTAGATTTGTGGCATATAATTCCCCCAACAAAACAAGGATACTGCTGCACCGATAAGACCGATAACCAACGGGCGAGAGGTGGAAAGAGCTCTAGCCATTTCCAGGCGGGGCGTGCTTCAACTCAAGGGCAGCGTGTACTTTCAACACCCAAGGGGCGCTAGACCCTGGCAAGAAAGAGCGCCCAGGCCTTCCATGTCAGTTGCTACGCCCCCCTGTACCAGCTGCGCTGCTTAGCTCGCCCTAGATCTTCCTGGCGCCTTTTCCTGTTAACTTATGTCCTTGCCGTAATAAATTAAGGCTGGCCCGCTTCTTTGGGAGTGATTGAACTTCAGTGGGCTACTCCCGTAGGTAGATAACTTTTTGCGAGTGGATTCCCACAGAAGTCGAAGCAGGCAGCGGGAACTCCTTCGGTGGTCACCTCCTTGACTTTATTCATAGTGCTGGCTAATCGATCCTGAATGATTCTGGTGGCTGCCTTTATGGTCACGAAGTGTTCTGGTCTGATTCTTATGGCCACTAGCTTGAGAAGAACTCTCCCTCCCGTCAAGCACATAGTTAGTTAAGAAAATTCTACGACAAGAAAACCAAACCAGAAGAGAACAGTCTATCTCGATGCCATTTCTAGGGAGTCTACGAATTCAAGAGAGAAGAAACCAATGCTAAAAAATTCCATACGCAGAGCGACGCTGGTGGCCTATGTTGTGCCGATAGAACCGAGCACGAACGCGAAGAAGGTAGAACGCTAGCTATTTCCTGGCGGGGCGTGTTTCAAGGTCCAGAGTGTGCTTTCAACATAGAGAAGACGCTAGACCCTGCCGAGAAAGATCGCCGAGGCTTTTCATATTCGCGCGGCCATCATGCTGCTCCGTGCTGGCTGATTAGGTCAGAGGCCTCCACGCTGTTCACGTTCATGCTACACCTCTCAACAGAGTGGAAAACCCTCAACCGGAAGCGGCCTCCTTTCTCATGCTATGTCTTTGCCTTTCTCACTCTCAACAGAATGCGAACAGATCTACACTCTTCAGGGGATGAAATAACGACGACTACCCAAAAAAGCGATAGATTATGGGCAGGATGCACGAGCAATGCTGATTGCAGACCGGAACCCTCGCCTTGGGAAGGCAGTCAAATTTTGAATAAAATAAAAACCATGTCTGTGGTGAGTTTCTACAACACTTGTGAAAACTTCCATTACATTTTGGAAAATGCGAGACCTGCGCGTCACCTTACGAAATACCAGGAGAAAGCACTTCCGGCACTATCCTTTCACCGGAACCCCTAGGAACAATACGCACTTATACCGAAATGAAAATGCGTGCCAGCATAGCATGGGTTCCGGACTCAATTTAAAGGACACAAGACTGTGAAGCATCATTTTTGGCGCAATACTGGTGTATTTGACGAGTCACCACGCCACAGCGTGATCGAGTTGTTGTTAGGCTTTGGGCTTGTGGCACATGATTCCATTTCCAACACAAAGATTAAGATATACATCAAGAGAAATACCAACAACGATGAGGATGATCCAAAACTTTAGTAGTCCTAATGAATAGAAGAAAAGGCATTATAGCCACAGATCATGTTCGTGGCACCGCGAAACGCTTCCCATACTAGGAAGGCAGTTAATTTGGAAGAAAAAACCATATTTATTTTCTGAGTTGTCTACAGCACTTGTGAGAACTTCTATTACTTTTTTGAAAATACGACACTTCTGCGTTATTTCTGTCTTCTACTAGACCACTACTAGTGACTAGTAGCCGTCGCTTTCTGTCTACTACGTTGCAAAACGATCAAACTGAAAACACCTGTGCATCTAACTAGTGAGAGAGATAACAACACGAACATTAAGGACAGCGTTGAGAGAGATCACCGAAGAGGCCTGAGCCTGATGGTATTTCATGAGCATGAAATAACAACAACAACAACAACACTACGATTTTTCTTCACTTGCGATTGCAAAACCGAACCAATAACTAGCTTTTTGCTCTTAGACGTAACAAATGATAACTTGTAAGAATTGAAATTGTAGTATTGATTGATGTACCTGTTCGTAATGATTGAGGAAATGACCATATGAAAGATTAACTATGCTGCACTTGTACCTGTTCGTAAGTAAGTATTTGTATTTGCTTTGCATTTTCTTAAACTAGTAAGTATGACATTTTTTTGTTGACGACGGTTATATTTGATCACGACAGTTAAGATATCTAATAGAGAAGATGTACCTACTACCTGTACTACCTCTCTAAGAGACTCTTACCAATTAAATCCAGTGTAAGAGAGGATAGCATAGCAAGCCTTTGCGATGCCTTCCCACAGTGTAGTTGACTCTTCGCAGCACATACTGAACTTTCACACCCTACGTTCGGTCGGATGGAAGCTTCCCCTGGACAATCGTCGAGCAATTCCTTCCAATTCAACTAGGTTAGAGGGCACAAAAATCAAAAATACAGTAGAAGCTTTAACTATTTAGTACTGTACTCTGAAAATGGACCACCAGTAGGGGAACAAGCTTTAACTACTTAGTACTGTACTCTGAAGATGGACCAGTAGGGGAAGCCTTAACTAGGGTTTCTTCCGTCGCGACAGCCGGTGGTTCCCACAAAGCAGCGGGTTCCCACAAAGCAGCGGATAAGAGATCTTCCTCATCATATACGACGTCATGGTAGGAACCAATTAATCCTCCCGCAGCCGCAACGCCATTCTTGTTCTTCTTAGAGTTGGAGATGTGGTGTCATCACAACCCCTTGGTGGAGTCTACTTTCCATTCACGAGGACGTCGTGGCAGATTTTTCTGAGAAAAAACACTCCACATCGATAAAATTACATGCAGAGCGAGGATGCTACAAAAAACAACAACTAAGCCGCCTTAATCTTTTTGGACAGCGGTGATGGCGACCACCGTGGAAGAATTGGGGATGGCAGCATTGGTGAGGAACCGTAACCCATCATGAGGCTCATTCTGCCAGGAAGAAAATCACTCCCTTTTGAAGTAGTTGCGACCAACTCTATCTGTTTACAACTTCCACGTGATTCTACATCGAAGGGCTGCTGTTCTCCTGTTGTTGTCCCACTCCCACCTGAAGACGCCGATGGATCGACCAAGAATGACGGAAGCATCCCTTCGAGCCATGACGTCCAACTACTAGATGCAAAACTAGCGAATTGCTGTCCTTCTTGGTGGTGGTGTAGAGGCAATATAGTCGCTCCTCTGGAGCTGCGGGATGTGCTGCCAACCGGAGGAACATCCAATACTACAGTATTAAATGGCCCAGCACCAGTTGTACTAGAAGTAGAAGCAGTTGCTGTCCTTGTATCTCTACTTCTAGAAGAACTGGAACGAATTGCACTGCTGGCGCAACTTGAAAACCGACTACTACTATTCGATGCTCGGGAGCTTGAGCAGCGACTACTACTCGACGATGCGGTTCCACTACCGCTGCCGTCAGCACTGTAAAAGGACAAGGGGTCCGTACTGTTGGCACGAGACAGGACTTCTTGACCACGCAGGTCGTGGTCAATACCAACATCGTCTTCATTGGTGTCACAGGAAGGAATTAGAGGTACAAAGTGATTCTCAAAAACGGGATCTACCGTTGTCCGCTATCCGACGGAGGACATTGATGATAGTGAAGGTCTAAGTAAGCACATTAGAATTAGATGAGGAAAAAGATGAGGAAAAAGAATGACACTTAAGTAGACATGATCAAAACCTCGATTTATTCACACCATAAAGAAGAAGATGAACCGCTACCGCTCACTGTGCTATTCGTAGAGTCAGCCTCGATCTCCACGGAGACATGATGATGGTGGACTCGTCCTAAAAGGGAGGTGCCACTCGTGCTTGAGGCAAGCATGCCAAACTTTGAGCTCGTTGATGAGGTACCTTTACTGGAAACGTCTGCAAGATAATCTTCTAACTGCGCCGGTGTACTTTCATTTTGCTCGGCAGTAGCAGCTTGTGTACAAGAATTACCGGCTCGCGTACTATAATCATCTACAGCTTGCTCTTGTACAACTAATGGCACTCCTCCTCCTTCAGCTCGAGTTTTTGAAGGTCGTGTAGTTACGTTCGTATGAAGTTTTGAAGTCGTTGTAGCTTCTACGTTCTTGTTTATTTCAGTAGACGTGATGTCCTCTTCTTTGCTCAATAGAGCATCATAGGCTACCCCAACGTCCGAAGATGAATCGGATTCGGAAGTTTCGCCATCCTCATCTTCCTCACAATCAGAAGCGCAGTCTTCCGACTCGGCGTCCTCCTCGGGAGCATCGTGTTCGGGGCTTTCCCCGCTAGCCTTCTCCAGCAATAGGGCTCGTTGCAACAGTCTCTGACTATGTGCGGGATTGCCAGGGGATTTGTTTAACGCGAGATCTTTCTTCTCAATGGCAGATATCACATCCTCATCGTCGTCATCGTCGTCCTTGTCCTCCTCGTCCTCTTCGTCGCCAGGAAACATGCTAGGAATCTCCTCTACTGCTTCTGGTGCTGCTGCTGCTGCGTGACCGGACGGTGGAGCTGTCCTATGATGTCCTTCTGCAAAATGCGACTGATGTAGAGTCATCTGACGCTGACGTTGAGCACTCTCGACCTCCTCATCTGGAGTTGAAGTCAAAGAGACCGTACGAGGCAGTGCCTGCATATACTGTGCTGGCGGCCGTACGCGATCAATTTTTGTCTCTTGTTCGTCTGGCTTCTGCTTCTCGTAGTGATCTGGTGGAACTGGCTTCGCAGTGGAAGATGAAGATGATGCTGAAGATGCCGAGGAACCGACCGCTACAACAGCGCCAGCATCTTCGAGATTGATATGATCTTCGAGATTGTCAAGAACGCCTTCCTGCTTCTTCAAGACAATTGCTTCTTCTTGTTCTTCCGTTGAAACAACCTCCACCTCCTGAAACGATCGCTCTCCTATGACATTAATCGGCTTCTCCAGAACATTTGGAACATTTCCAAGAATCTCAATTCGTTCCTCGTCTGTCCCACGACCGGTCTTTTTATGTGCACCCACACAATGAGCAGTTCTTGTTGTCTCTTCTTCATCTGACGTCGTGGCTGGATATCTCGCTGTCGAAATATGGCTAGGCGAAACTGAAGTACAACTACTGTTTTTACTTGCGATCATCCGATAGGAAGTGCAACTGCTCTTTTCAGCAAGAAGATCAACTACTTCGACCTGCTCTTCACCTGCACTAGCTTCCGAGGAGCATGATTCTTGATGGTATTCCGCGCGTGCGTCAGTCAGATCAAACATAATCGGCGCGCCACCTCCGTGTAGAGGGTAATAGGGCTTCATCTCCTGCTGTTCATGATGTTCTTGATGTTGGACTCTATTTTTACTACCCAACAAGAAGGAATTCTGACCTTCTAAAAGTAGCGAAACTGCCTCTCCGGAGATCCAGCCAGAACCTGAGGTACTCCAAGCATTCTGCTCATTACTCTGCTCTCTCTTAGTCACGACAGTCGGACGTTCTTGATGACGCTCCCCTAAATCTTTAGTCGCAGGTTCTTGACGCTCCTCTTCTAGGTGTGGAGCTTGCTCTGGTGACGAAGACCCAAAAACTGCCCTTGTTGCAGTACCAGATTTAGTTGTAGTGCCAGATCTAGTACTCGGCCCACCTCTACTACCTGGAGATGACTTGCTTCCTTGTCGTCCTTGCCCTATACCACTTCCATCTCCATGTGCTCTAGAAGACGCTGAAGAATTTGTTGATGTAGTGCTAGTCGTAGTGGCTTTAATGTGTATTCCCGTAGTTCTCTTGGTACTTGCAGAGGCGCCCTTTGCTGTGGCTTTTGCTGTAGCAGTCGGTCCTGCGAACTTGTTTACGGCATTCACATCCTCTTTAGACACCTTTCTACTAGTGTCTTTCTTCAGCGCCAAGAGCTTCTCACTTTCAGCATTCTCGAGATGATGATCTTCTATTGTTTCTAAATGAGGGACGTCATGGGGTGAGGATGATCCAAAGACTGCTCCTACGGGTCCTTCTGGTTCTCCTCCAGCTTCGCCTTCTGATGCGGTCTTGCCTCCGACAGCAACTGCTCCATCATCCTTGACCTTCAACGCCGCTTCTGGTACAACGTCTTCCTTTTCCTTCTCAACTACAGCGTCTTCTTTTTTCTTGTCAACTACAACGTCTTCTTTTTTCTTGTCAACCAGAGAATCGTCTTGTTTGTTCTTGTCAGCTGCTACTAGATGCGACTCGTCCCCTGTCTCAATGGCGGACTCCATATCATCTGGGAAATGGCCAGACCTGTCATACCCAAAATGATATCCGTGATGACCGTGATGATAAATCTGCGAATCCACTAAGATTTTCTTGTCGTCAACACCCGAGCCTGGATCTAGAGGGCGTGTTTGGTCGACGACAGAAGGTGCTGTACTGCCAAAACGAAGAGCCCCTTTCACAGCCTCAAAACCAGAAGAAGCTTCTCCTTCTGCTATTTGTAACAACCTCCTGTCTTCTAGAAGAAGTCCTGCTTTCTTCTGTTCTAGATCGTTCTTCTCCTCTTCCTCCTCATCCTCATGCTGTCGCAATGCTTCTGGCAAGAAGTCCTCCTGCAAATGGTGTTGGTCTGAGTATGCATGTGCGAATTCGTCCTCGCGATGGTTGACGCTGGAACCGAATATTCCCACAGAGCCGGTTTCGCGCAGTATTACGGCCAATTCACCATCTTCATTAGAGGCTGAAACAATTCTGATTCATTTCTTCCAATCCTAGGATAGAAACAAATAGGGACCAAATGCCATGTAGAAAAGAATTGTCTCAACCCTTAACTTGTTCTAGTCCTCCTCTTTGGGAATTAATATCCTCGCTTCCGCTTTGCTTCATCAATTCCTCTACGGACTTAAATGCCCCTCCCCCACCGAAAGGGATGAGGCTTGATGTTGTGAAAACAGGATCCACGCTATGTCCTCCCACAGCATGCGACTGCTCTTCGTGTGACTCTTGTAGATAATTGCTAGAGTTAACGATAGATAGACACTCACTATCTGTTGCGACTGAGTGGGTTGCCCTTTCCTGATTTCTTTCCCTTCGTTCCTTGATTTCTTTTCTTCTTACTTCGTTGATATCTTTCCCCTTTAATATTGATGACTGGATTTTAGATTGTAGGTTGTTTAACATCACAAGCCCCGCAGATAGATAATTAAGCTAATCAGAACGTGAGCCTTCACTGGGGATAGTGCCTTCACTGGGGATACTAGTGCCTCCCGCTTAAAACAAGCGGAGTGTCACTCTGGATACCTCACGCAAGATAGTGAATCGTGTCCTCTAGCCTTAATAGACCCAAAATCCACAAAGTTCGTTTTGTGGCGTGAGGAGCGGAATTGTGTCCGCGGAATTGCCATCTGACTCGCACCAGTCGTAGGACAACTAGAGGACTCTCGGTCTCTACCTAGGTCTCTACCTCCAGTGGTACTCGAAGCAGACGCGGCAGATCCATCTTCAGTCTGAAAGACTGAGGACCAAAGTTTCTTCATGTCGATATTATCTGTCTCTCGGAACTGCTCCAGAAGGAGATTGTGATTAGAAGACGTTGAGCAAAGGTAGCCATCTATGTGCTGCAGGCTATGGGTACTATATAAATATAATAAAAGTAGGGTTGAAGTTGCCCTAGTTGTCCCCACCTGTTTTAGCGTAGGTACCCGCATGTATCCTCTCTTGCTGTTTACTTCTTCTTGAATGCAGGGAGGGTAAGTGAGCAAAGAGATCCCTGCTCAGAACGTAGATGGGTTGCGAAATTCATCCTCGTTGTACTTGTAGTCTACAGCGTTCTTAGCCTTAATGTATTGCGTCGAAATGAAGCTAGTTGCACTGGTCTTCTCCTCCGCATTCTCATCCGCATTCAAAATGCTCTTTCCCCTGAGGTAGTACTCTTCGTCCGGCACTGAAGGGATTTCTCGACTAAATACACTTTTTCCGGCAGGTCTTTCGTGCGGCAGGGTGAGCGGTTCCAGCGTGTGAAAATCCTCGTCAACGATCTCTGGCGGAGGCTCCAATTCTTAGAAGAAGACAGAGGTGGTTCTTGCAACAAGAATGCTATATTCTAATCTTCACAACCACAAGAACGTCGAGAACCACAAGAACTAGAACGTCGAGGACATCTGTGTAAATAGAACTACGTGTTCCAGTTTTCATTTCCTTCTCACCTCTAGGCAAATCAAATGTTGACAAGAAGGCTCACGGTTGTGTGGAGATTATTGATAATTAAACCATAAACTTCCTCGAATTCTGGAAAATTCGGGTCAGAAAGCACCTCCTGATCATCAGTGTGCCTAATCACACTCGCAGCATTGCTCTTTGACTTTGCTGACGGACGTAGACGTTCTGCCTCATCAGAAATTGTAGGCTCAACAGTCCGATCGACGCTGTTGTGCCTTGAATCCGAGGACTCCGCATCAACACGATCGACAGTATGCCTCGTCGGGATACCCTCTCCCTCATCGTGGTCAGCATCACTCCGCTCGACAGTGTTCCTACGCTCTACCTCGACATGATCGGCAACCACAACGTCGGATTTATGTTCCGGAACAAGCTGACGCTCGGTGTCGGCGGCCGCGATCTGGTCAGTGTGTCTGTGTACAGTCGATGTCATACGCGTGCTCCTACCAACACTGGAAGGGACATAAAAATTACTGGTGCTCCTAGCAACACTGGACGGAGCATTACGGCCCGCGTCGGCTTCGTCCTCGTCCGAGGCATGGTCTATTTCGCCCGTAGCAGCTTTATGGGAGACAGCGACTTGTTCTTTCTCGTTACCTTCATGGTACTCTTCGTAATTTTTCAATGGAAGTTAGAGCTTCACATATAAGAACTTTGTAGGTAGTTTCTAAAAACTTCTACATAAATATGAGCCTATTCAGTACAACAGAGTTGTTTGGTAATTCTATCAACAAGACTTGTTCTAGAGTCGTTTCATAAGGAGAAGCGTAGGCACTAGTGCGAGGACTACCACTTCGTTCTACTACTTTCGGCATACTGCGCGCAGACTCCGACGACTCCTCCGCTACAAAAGGCGCCTTTTGTTCGGCCGCTAGGCTTTCGGAAAGTATCACGCGTAGAGCGTTTGGCGTTGTGGCTGAGAGCATCGACTTCGACAAAATTGATGCCCTAACTTTGTTCGTCGAGGGAGAGGGGAGAGCTTGAGTGGCCAATGTTCTGCCCGTTGTTGAAGAAGGTGAGGAGAAAGTGACCCTGTTCCTCGTACTTGCTGGAGAAAAAGTAGACCTAGCAGCCTTGCTATTTTTAGAGCAGGTTGCGGAATTGCATTCCTCAGCACATGCCCTAGACGTAGTTCTGGAGGACCCTGAAGCTTGCGCTTCATGTGCTGGCTCTTCCCTGTCCAAAATTTCCAATACTTCCTCCCAAATTTTTGCGTCCGTACTCACCCCGTCCAATATACTGCAAACTACCTGCCCACCAGACTGTAGCAACCTCTCATGTGCCTTGGCTGACCCTGCGACGTAGCTGCAGCAAATAGTTTTCGGGTCTTCTTTTGCAAGATCATTGCTAGAAGTTCTTGTAGTTCGTGCTCTAGTAGAAGTTGTGCTGGAGAATCCTCGCTCAGGACCAGCATCAATATCAGTTGTTGTAGTGTTCCTTCGAGGTACATCGTCACCATGGTGATCACCTTGCGTCGCGCTTTTCTTTATTCGCGCTAAAGCTATTTCGCGCTCCGTTGCCTCTCCATCGTCTTCGTACTCCGCTCGAATCTCCCTGTTATCGACGTCATTGGCAGCATGAAAAGGGCCAGCACTAGGAAGATACTCTGGAGAGCGCAGCGACCCTCCACTGATTGACGACGCGTCGATGTCGTCACCGACTGCAGATCGCTGGACTTGTACCATGTCAAGACCATCATTGTTCCACCTCTGACCTTGTTGTACCATGTTCACACCTGCTGGCGAATCACCTCTACCTTGGTTTGAAAACAGTTTCAACTCTCCGAACCTCAGCAACGAGACTGGCTGTAGTAAGGGATCATCTCCAAGAATCGCAGAAACGGGCGCCAACGATAGCTTGGGGGGTGAAAGAAGCGGCGGAGGCGGCCGTAGGACATTTTGGAAAATAGGTCCACATGTCTCTTTGCTTCTAGATGCAGGAGCTTTTTTTAGACCACTAGAGGCTTTTTTACTAGCAGACGCACCGGATGAACCTTGTTGTTGCCTACTCGAAAGTGGACTCCTACCACCCTTTCCGCTATTGTTCTGCCCACTTCGTGGCGTGAGGCGTTCGCGTTGTGGACTTTTTTTTGCATAGTAATTGCTCCGAGGAGTGAGAGGCGGTGTAATTTAGAAGAGGTTCTCCGGATAGACGCAGACATTCATATTCATCTCCATCTTGAGATCATCTTCCGGTGGCCGCGGTGTCCAAGTGTTTTGACACAGTGAAGTTGTGCCTCCAAAAGTGTTCATGCAGCTTCTCAAGATCATGGACACAACTATTTTTTTACATAGACAAGCTGCTACTTAATCATCAAGCCTTAAGTCACGATTGTAGCTGGAGGATCATCTTGATACCGTCTTCCGGCGCCGCGTGACTGCTCCTTTCCTAGTGGCAAGTGGTATCCCACAGGTCGACCTGCTGTACCCCCAAGACGAGCAACGTTAGCTGTCTTTCCCTCTTTTGGCCTAGGAGACATGCGGCCAGCTCGTGGTGGTAGCGTTCTTGGCGCCAATGTCCTTGGAGACATGAATCCTGGGACTTTGTTTGGATCACCATGTGATTTTATTGTCTTGATCTGGTGTGGAGGTCTCGAGGTCGTGTGGGGTGCCTTCGTTTCCTGTGGAGGAGGTCTTGTCGTGTGGAGTGACTTTGTAGTTGGAGAAGAAGTATCTTTTGACGTGCTGTGCTCCATCTTCCTCATGGGACTTGATCTAAAACCACCACGATTCAAAACTTCTTCTTTAGGACCTAGCAAATCATGGTGCCGATTCTTTGCCTGGACGACATGCTCGTCTCCACGACCTGCAGCATCTCTACCTGAAGCATTCTGTATCCTTGTCACACCATGTTCTTGATGCTGTTGATGATGATGTTGATGATGTCTTTGTTTCTCATATTTTGCAACAACATGTTTCACCCCACGACCACTATGCGCCTTGCCAAATGTTGCTTCTCCTTCTCCACTTGGACCTTTCCTACCCATAGAATGGTCGACTACTTGACTAACCTCGGGCACTTCATCGGCGAAGTAATGATTAGCGGTTTCCGCTTCACCTAAGTATCTCAACATAACAAATCTATGGCCGCTTCTTCATAACTAGGAACGTCATAGATTTATGAGTTGTGAGACAGCAATGCTTAAGATGAAAACCGTCAGCACTTCTACAGCTACTAGCAGCACTGCTTCTAGCAGACCCGCTACCGCCTGATGCAACAGACACCTCGTCAACATCTTCATCGTCAACAGCTTCTCCGTCGACTTGGAGTACTTTCATAGACCCACGACCACGTCTTTCTGGCACTACAGACATCAGATTCTTGAATCCAGGTAGACCACTATAGGAAGACGCATCATCTCGTGACTCCACTGAAAAACGCTCTTCCTCAAGTGCTTTGGTCATAGCAGTTTTCACCGAGTCTGCAAACAAGGCATGAAAACGCTGCTCCTCCGCATCTGTTTTGAAGATGTAATCAGCGACACGTCGATCCGCGACTTCGTCGTGCAATACATCACGAAGCATATTTTCTAGTCGGGAAGAAGTGTCGTTGCTATTGTCATTGATGATCATCTGATCATGAATCGCATTTTTCTCCTCGTTAATGTTATTGTTGGTATCACTAGCACCTTGCTTGGCTGGACTAGCGAATGGCCCACGCATGTTGTCTGACAACGGCCTCGTCCCATTATTTTGCTGCCTCACTACTGGTACTGTGCCATTATTGACTGCAGACTGGCGAGCATTGTCTGCTAGCGTTAGCATTTCCTGTTCGGCCACTGGTACTGGAATATTGAGAGAACCTGGATGGCCAAGACGACCTGAAACACGTAGATCCACAGCTTCATCAGCACCACCTGCATTGACAGCTTGATCTTAGAGGTCACCCTAATCCTCATCCTTCTGAAGATATATCTTGATCTTGATGCTGTTATAATTCCCTCTTGTTGGAGTTCATGGAAGAGAGAACAGCTCCATCAACTATTTTTTTAAGTAAGACTAAGACGCTTGTGACGGTGGATACATATTATGGATTAGGAAATAAAGCCTTAAAAATGGTCAGCATAAATCTCATCTCTGCTATGATACGATCCGATCACTGCCGCTAGTTTGTATAGAGATAAGACGAAATCGTATGACCGCACTGTCTGTGACGCTTTTAATGCTGGAGCTGCTTTCACAGCTGCCTTGATCATGTGCGAGCTGGCGCGATCCACGTACTCCAACGCTACAGCTGTCTGGTGCTGAAGTGTGTCGAGTTTTTTGCCTTGCAATTGCAACATCCGCAGAACGCGCGCACAGGCTACTTCCAAGTCCCCAACTACTTCCTCCCCAACTACCATCTCTCCACCACGCTCTTCTGTAATAAAAAGAGCGGAAAACACCCTCTTCATGTCCTGACACAACTCCTGCTTCATCATGCGTGCGCCTGTTGCATCCCCTGCTTCCGCTACACAAACTGCTTCCGCTAAAATTGTCGCGCGTGCTTCCAGTAGTTGCTGAAGTCGTGGAGCGGAAGGGAAAAAACGTTCAAAGGCTGCCTCTTCTATTTTGGAGGAGTCCTCTGCTAATTGGGAGGCTTTCGCCAACTTTCGCAGTCTCTGCAAACTCTGAGCCATTCTAGTTTGAAGTCGGCATTGACGCAAAAATTCAACGGTAATGCTACTTTGTTCCTTGTAGTAGTCTAGAGTAAATCGAATTTTCTTCGCTTTGTTCTTGGAACTCGCACGGGATGTTAGTGTTGTTGTGGGACCTCCAGTGGCTGCAAAGGACCCTCCAGGACCATCTTTACCACCTTTCTCAGTGCCGTTCTCAGTGCCGATGATCTTCTGTGTTGCTCGATCCATTACACGAAGGTAACTGCTTACATCAACTTGACGAGATTCTTGGGCTGAGGAGGCAGAAGGCAGCACGCCTTTGTTGAGGTCAGCTTGTTGTACACCTGCAGCGGGAATGGTGGCTGCTGTACCTCAAGATAGATATGAAAAAGTAAAAGATATCTGAATACAAAGCACATTTTCCTGAATGATAGAACTAGAAGAAGCAATGGCAGTTAACAATAGATACCAGAAGATTGTATTTCCATAGAAGGCGGCGGCGCCGCTGATCCCTCTTCCCTCTGTGGCTTTCGTGGTCGCTTTGCTGTACGTGGACCAGTGTAGAGAGGGTCTTGCTCCTCACCTGTGCTGGATACACCTCCAGAGTTGGACCTTTCCTGTTCGCTCGTTTTGTTCGCAGTGTCCTCGCTTGATTTCTTCGCAGTAGTCAGAGGAGGAGGACAAAGAGGGTTCCCATTCCTGCTAAGAACATCAGGTGGATTGACGAGATCTAGTGCATTTCTACTAGCAGCATCGACGGGGTAGCGACTAGATGCCACCTCTTCTTCTTGAAGATTAGTTTTGTTCTTCTCGGCTTGTTCCCGTTGTATGACCGTTGTTTTTGGAGCTTTCTTCGAAGAGGAAGTAGTTTGTGTTTCCTCTCGTTTTCGAAGAGGAAGTGCTTTGTCCATTTCTTCCAGGCGTTTCATTTCGTGTGCACTCCTCAGCTTATTGTCCCACGGCATCGAACGCCCAGCGCGCACCTGCTCCCCCCGCGCTCTGGCAGCTGCATCTGAAAGCTTGTCCCTCAGCAAACTACTCAGAGTGTGTTTACGAATATCGTGCTTGGACGGCTCATTCTTCTCGGGAGAAGCCACCGTAGAGCTTCTAGAAAAAGATACTCCAGCTTTCTTCGACGCGGCGGGGACTGCTGTAACAGAAGATGACACTTCTTCTACTAGCCTAGAAATACCTGGTGTGGTTGGCGAAGAAACACGATTTTCTCTCGACTTCTTTCTTCTTCCCGGTGAAGCCGCGGCCGCAGTGACGACGGAGGAAAACCTAGTAGCGGCTGAGGATCGAATAGCTGCGGGACCATTTACTAGAGAACGCCTAGAACGTGAAGACGATACAACTGGAGGCGCGACAGCAGCTGCACTCTGAATTATCGCTTTGTTGTTGTCCTTCTTGGTTGTCTGCACCGTAGTAGTTTCATCCCCGTCTTCTTCTACCTTCAATGACGTAGTTGTATTTTCGTTCACCATTTTCGCTGTCTTCTCCAACAAGCCTAGCTCTCCCGCATCCACCCCAGTAGAGGACATTTCTTTATTGCCCAAGAGATGATCCAATACATGTTGTCGTGCAGCCTCCGACAGTTTGCCAGTACGCTCACGCTTGCTGGCTTGCTGAGGTTGTTCTCGCATCGACTCTTTTAATGAAGGCTTCTTTTTGCTAGTGCTACGTTCGGACGTCCCAGAAACACCTCCGTCCAAGCCAAATGACGCTAGTATCTCCGCCATCGCATCCCTCCCAGAGGCAGCTTTCTTCGCTATAGGAGCTGTGCTAGCAAGTGTGTGCGTAGACGTTGGGGGTGCCTCCATCACGACCTCATCATTTCTTCCCCTAGTATCGCTTTTCTCGTCGACCTCCACCTTGACAATAGCACCTTGGTCGACGTTTGTCTCGTCCACCTCTTCGACATTTGAAGGCACAGCATCAGCATTTTCTACGGCTACACCTACATCTTGATCCACCACGTTACCATCTTCTCCTTCTTCTCGTTCTTCTACCTCTTCATCAGGTCCCTGAGCCGACTCAGGTTCAGCGACAAATAGTCCACCCTCATCAAACGGACTCCGCTCTTGCCCAGGACTCAGATTGTCACCAACCGTGCCACTATCTTCGTCTAGTATGGAAGGTTCATCTTGGCCAACGGCTATTAGAGGTACTAGCCTCTTGGTGTTTCATCTGTTTTCCGTTTGTTCTGCCTTTCTCATCCTAAGGGAGAGAGGCAAAACAAACGGTAAAAATAGGAACACCTTTCACATACCCTTAAGTCTCGTGGTTCGTCCACAACTGGATCATCATCTGCTTGTTCCTCTACTCCATCTGCAGCCGGGGTACCTAGTACTACTTGGTCGATTTTTACTGGGTCATCTGAACCTGGTGCAGCTTGCCCATCTTGTAGTTCTACTGCTTCTTCTAGATCACCACCGTCATCCTTATCGATTTCTTGGGCGTCGCCTTCGTGTTCCTCCAGTACTAGAGGTACATCGACTTTTGGAGGATCATCTACGAGGACCCCTGAAGCATCTTCGTCTTGGTCATCCTCTTCATGGTCTTCTTCTAGTAGAGCGACACCCGAAGGGCTTCGAGCACTGTTGTGTTCTTCTTTCTCGCTTATGTTCCCATGATCGGCAGCACCAACTGGATCGATATCAGCTCCCCCTCCTGTGTTATCACGCCCGCCTAATGCTGGACTAGTAGATGTTGTAAGACTCGCGGGTGGATCTCTACATCTAGAAGTACTGGTAGCTGCACCACGAGCCAAATCATCTTCTTCTACACTTCTGTCGCCTACTTCTACTACACTGCCCTTGCTACTACCAGGACTCCCTTCAGGAGGGCTTTTACTCGAAATCACCGGTGAAGGAAAAACATCAGAAGGGCTTTTACTCGAAATCACCGATGAAGCAAAAACATCAGAAGGGCTTTTACTCGAAATCACCGGTGAAAACGATGTCCCCCTGACATCAGGGAAAGGTGGCGTCTTACTCGAAATGGCCGGTGATAAACCAGGAGAAGCACTGTCACTTTGTTTAAATGGACTTTGCCTTCGACTTCTGCGCTGATTTGGAGCCCCATCATGATTTGGAGCCTCCCATCCACTAGAAGAGATGAGCGCTTGTTTTTTCTGATTCCTCTTGTTCTCGTGTGGAGGCACTATAACAACAGCAGCTTTTGGTTCCCCCCTTATTTCCCGCACTGCTGTACTTTCCTTCGCTCTGATCAATGACGCACGATTTTTGAAAGGACTTGCTCTTTCCCGTCTTCTGCCTCGCCTGCCTCTAACATCTTCAACATTTTTGACTTCTGAGGATGCTCTAGTAAAATCTGGTGAAGCTGTTGACGAAGAAGATGATGCCAGACTAGTGCTAGTGATTATCTTGATTCCTCCCGTACCACCAACATTGTTCGCTGGAATAGAAGGTCTGAGCAAATCCCGAAATGTGATACGCTTCTCCGCTTCTTGCGCACGTCGAGACTCGGTGGTTTGACCGTGCAGTCGATCTATCCTGCTCTGCTTTAAAGACGAGGCAGCGGACTCGGCGCCGTCTGGCGGATTATAGAAGCGAAAAGTCATTTTGGTATCATCGGACGTGAGAAATGTTCTGGGATAAGTGTTCTTCCTACCAGAGGGATTGTTAAGTGTTCAATCATGATTGATCTAGCTCTACTAACAAGTCCGTATCGATTCCGGTGATGCTACAGAGTGTGAGATGCGCGCCAAATTTCATAGTGGGAAACGACACCTGAGGGAACAACTAGACGTAGTGACCGAGATTGGATGCTCTCAGGACAAGAGTTTGACTGACCGATCTCAAGGATCATGCGGTCATGACTCATGTCGTCATGACCGATCTCAAGTTACAGAGTAGAGTGTGCATCTTTTTTGCAGCCAATGAATGACAACCGAACAGCTGATGTCGCTCTACTGCTCTCAAAACCGAATCTCGAACCAAACCAGTACAAAAAGACTACTGGGACGACATCCGTGTTTAACACTTCTATGACATCACATGATCTTCCTTACTTTCTCTCTAGAGCGAGCTACGAATGACTTTCAATTCTCTTCTAGAAAAAAACCAATGAACTTCCACCCCTTTATTCATCATGCCCCAAATACCCCCTCATCTGTAATTTCTTCCAATTCTGGTCCCATGGAGCCACTTCCGGGCTCCTCGTTGTCGCCTTCGCCTACTTTCGCACCAGCCACTTCCTCCAGCAAATCAGCGTCCATCCCTTTTTCGCCGCCCATGATCTCCTGTCCGAATATCGCTTTGCCATAGCTTGTGGCCGTCTCTACAAGTTTCTCCTTGCCTAACTTGTAGCCCTTTTTCAATTGCGCAAGCATCCTGTCTGGGGATTAGCGTTGACCTCTGTACTAAGCAAATAATGATCCAAGAACGCAGGTAAGAGGTAAATAACTAGGAATTTGTAACCACTCGTAATGATCCAAATGCGCCCCCAGAGCTTTTTGAAAGTCCTTCCCTGTCGCTATTCTTAAAGCTCAGCACTCAATGGTCACTGACTCTGAAAGAAATGGGCCCCATGCCTCTCCCTTTGCTTTTCCTTCATTTTCCCCTGTTCTCTCAAGAGGGATCTCAGTGACCAACCCCAATGACCATTGAAAGCTGAGCCTTAATATTCCTGTCGACTTTGCTGCATCTGCCAGTTTTTGCATGGTGTCCATGCCCATTCGGAAGCCCTCTTGCAAATCCGTGTTATTGGATAATTGGTCTTAGAACTACTGCGTTAGCATCCCTGAGTAGCGCGTCCTTGGCTGGCCCTCTACCTTCCCTAGTAGTCATGATATCCTTGCAATTGCATAGTACTTGATTTTCCCCTTGAAAAAGAGGCCAAGGATGCTGCTGGAGATGCGTCTGCGGTAGCCTTAATGGTCCACGTTGAAGTTGATGAATTCGAGCTTCCTTTGCAAGTTCACAAACTTGTTCTTCAATTCGCGTAGATGCTGCTTCATGTGCGTCTTCTGCTGACAGAAGGCGCCACAAGGAGGACCCTGAGCACCAATTGTGAACTGAAAATAGAGAGGTTAGAGAAGCCTAAGGAAGCGCTTAAAGCTACGGCAGTAGACGAGGAGGGTATGTTAAAGAAATACTAAAGAGTCTTAGCAAATAGATATCTAGGAAATTCTGATGTGGTTGTGGCATTTCCAAAATTCTGAGACAACGAGCCTCCACTCATAATTATGCAAGCTATTTTCTTCTCGCCGCTTCACTTCCTGCAAACACCCCTGCAAACGTCGACCAATATTCGCAATTTTCAACTTCTCTACCGCTATTGCTGAAGCAATTTTCTTTTCGTCAGGAAGCTTTTTCGGTTTCGGTTTTGCAGCTCTTACTGCTCCTCCAGCAGGATTACCACTCGCCATTGCTTTTGCATGTGCTGCACTTTCCGCTTGTTTTTTGAGCGTAGCTAACTTGTCTCGAGCACTTGTTAAGTATTTCAGACCGGGTTCTTTGCCGTAGATGGCATCAAAGCATTGTTGTCGGCAATTTTCCGCAGTTTTGCACGTTGACAAACTTCCGGTGTATTGCCTTGTGCACAATGTGGGTGGTCCGCCTGTAACTTTGGAGACCAAACCTTTTAATGGGCATTTCTTTACTTGGATGCGAGGTTAGAGAGAGAGAGAGAGAAGCAGAAGGATGAATGCAGTCAGTAAGCATGTGAGAACTAGCGGACTGAGGATAGACCAGGCGTTCTTAGTGACCAGATAGGGATACAGTTCTGTGGGCATCCATTCATTCATCCAGGCGGCCTCCGCGATAATTTCGTTTTTTGTTACCTGGGTCTACAATTCAAATTCTCGCTATAGTTTCATTTTATCACCCGAGCGAGAATTGAACGGAGACCGCTTCGATTTTTCATAACACTAACACTATTCATATCATTTATAAGTTGTTCCCCTTGATGTACGAGTGTTTACTAGTTTTGACTGTTCTCAATACTCAGATCAAAAGATGCGCATCTACCGTATCCACCACATGATCAATCTCTCAAGTTTTCATAATATTTGTATTTAAAGCCCGATGGGAGCTTGTATCTCCCTTTAAAATCGTAGCGAAACCAGTCTGGACTGTCGAAAGGGAGAGGCACGTTGACACCTGCTGGCCGGTTTAGCCCTAAGAGTCTAGGAATTGCGACAATCGCATTGTTGGCCATAGGTCCCCCTAAAGCTGCCACTGCAGATGGCCCGGCCACAATGGGCATAGCGGCAGGTGGAACCGAGAGCAAGAAGCATGTATGCTCGGTGGATGTGGTGGATGTCAGATGAAGAGGAGGCATTTTGTAGTCCGTGTCCGTGTCGATGTAGTGGACTGTTGCAAAGCCGAAAGAAATCAAAAAAAACTTGTAATTTTGAACTAATGGGTTCTCTCCGTAAAAATTTATTTGACTGTGTGCCTTTCTTTTGGGAATGGATTATATGGAGCTTTTTGTTTTTTCTCGAGCGATCTCAACCTCGTACCAGAATCATTATATAGATAATATACAATCAGGGGAACCTCCTATGATCATCATGGGATTGGCTGTACTACTGTTGGTGGTTTTACTGCTGGTCCTGGGTAGTTACAAACGATGAATGACCGACATCATAATCAACAGACGCATCTTCTATCCGATGTCCAACCGACTGAATATATCCTTGCCTGGCGTCGATGTGCAAACCTAAAACGCCCCATCAACATTCGTTCAATCCTTGCGTACTACAGCTATGGACAGCGTACTATGAGCGGCTACCGACAGCATGGCCATATCACTAGTTGAACTTCTCGATGGGATATTGATTTTCTGTTGATGTAGAAGAACACTTTCTTTCACTCATTCATGGGCTCCGCGATAGTTTTTTTTTTGTTATACCTGTGTCTACAATTTCCCGCGCTACGATCTACGTTTCTCGCTATGATCTATTTTTTTGTTATCTGGGTCTACAATTCTCGCTTTCCCTTCCCCGCGAGAGGCCTGAAGCACGACGGCCAAGCACTAAAAACTACGCAAACGACGACCGGATTGAATATTCGAAAACGTGTTTCCCTATGATTATTGTGGATTTTTTAGGATAGAGCGAGAACTTCTACGGAGTAAGTGGCCATTTGCGTTCGCTTATGCTTGATCACCATGATTATCGAAGATATTATGCATTCAGTGTTGATTGTGGCGGTATTTTTCCCAGAACGACTATGGGTATGAACTCGAAATCTAAAATCAAATGCAGGATAAACCTTTTGAGAAAAAGACTCATAACTACATCAGATATGACTTGAACTTGCTCCGTATTCAAAACTACTAAGTGTAGTTCTCGATGTACTTCTACTATCCGATAGCATCACTACTTGGAACTGCTCTGCAAAGGCTATAACTACAATTTTTGTAACGTGACGCAATTTGAGAAAGACAACTTAAACTTTGATTGTTTACTGTCGGTACTATATTCCCTTCCTTTGCGCTACCTAGGAAAATGACTGAGTTTTATTTTCGTTTTTCATTGCATGTTAGAACAAAATGTAAAAGAAACTGCGCTGTAAATACGGAGTTGAAGTATGATCAGAAATTGACTCGTACGACTCGTAACAAAATCCATGCCTGATGTGACCAAGAGCTGATATTCAGAATCTTGAACTACCATTGAGCGATTATGCCATCGCCTTTGACAGAGAGCGGCTATTTCGAGTTTTCTTCCTAGTGCTACTCGTCTTGAATATTTGAAATGTCTAGTCGTAGTTTTTTAAGGGCCACGCTTTATTCATCGTGTCCTTCGTCTAATGTCATCGTATTCTTTGGTCATGGGCATGTACTTCAGGTTCGACCCTTACTGGCCATTTTTGAAGCAAAACTTACACAGAGGTAAACTCTTTGTTTGTCTTCACCTTAAATTATCAAATACAAGTTGCCTAATAAATCTACAGCTACAAGAACACCACACGAGAACCAAATCAGTATCAAAATAGTTCTTCCAGCAGCTACTTACGAACTTCCCGGCATGATCCTCTCCAAGATGCTCTTCCTGCGACTGGGGCTCGCCTGTGCCGAGTACAATTTCTCAATGGGTTCTTTCCAGATTTCAACGACTTCGTCTCTACGAAGTTTCATCGTTGGCGTGAATTCTCCAGTCGTCACACTAAAATCCCTAGGCAGAATCGCAAACTTCTGCACTTTCCAGGCGTTATTGGCACAGACGAGTGAATCAGCGTTCACTTTTGGGAATTAGAAGAAAGTGGAGAAATTTAAGGAGAAGATGCTGTGAATGCTTTACAACGATGATGATTGTAGCAGAGAAAGAAAATAAACTTCGGTGTATTTTGCACTTCTGTGACGTACAACAACGAACAACCGGTCATATTCTTGATAGTTCTATCCGGAGCAGACACGAGAAAGAACAAAACTTCTAAAATTGACTTGTCATAATTAATGGCATTCTGGATGACATCTTTCCAAATCGGATCGTCCATCGCGTGGCGGGTTGTAGTACAGTTCTTATTCACTGCTAAAGCAGGACCCATCAATTCCTCGGTTCCCGGGAGCTCGCCAGTGTTACCGGTCACCAAAAGTGTGATAAGGCAGACGGGAGAATGAAAGGTGTTGCGGGTTTGTTGATCATAAATTCGAAAAAAATTTTGTTGCTTCTGCAGAAGGTGAGTATGATGATATTTTCGCAGAAGGTGAAGACCTCTTGTTTACTTACTGAGTTCTTTCTCTAAACCTGATGATTGCAGCCGAGGAGTGTAAGTACCTCCCAAAAACTGAAGACTGCACTGAATAAGAGAGATCTACGGAGGGAACTCCGCGCTAAAACGTTCGAAGCTATGATCGGATCAAGCTTGTTGATGCTTTCATTTTCTTCTTCAAGCTCTCTTTCTATTTTCGTTTTTCTAGAAAAACACAAGAACTTACTCAGTGTTTCTAGCGCAACTCAGTGTTTCTGGCGCTCAGAAGCTCTAGCCATAATTGTAAGGCCGCTTATCTCCGATCATGACCACGTTGCTGATTCCAGGCACCAAGGCCTTCAGAGACTGTTCGAACGGCACTGGCGCGATGTTTTCTCCACCCGCAGAAATCAGCAGTTCCTTGTAACGTCCCGTGATCTTCAGGAAACCATTCTTGTCCATGCAACCCTGATGTAAGTATATTCCAGTAGTATTTGGTTCCAGGATCATTACGCTTGGTCATCTGAGGATATATTGATCTGAGGATATATTGTTCCAGTAATATTTGGTTATACTGGACATCTGAGTGAGAAAGCAGTAGTAGGTGCAAAGCTGTTAAACAGACACTGGCATGATGTCCCTTGTTCAAGGTGTGTCTTTGTATGAACAGCGCAATCCATCGTCTTCCATTTGATTCATGCATCTGCAACATCAACAAGAAAAAGAAAATATTTATAAATCATTCATAACTGAGTAGTTATCTAAAAAGTTACTGAGACATTTGGACTCTCTCACCTTATCTCCCGAGTGCAACCACCCATTTGAATCGATGGTGCACTTGTTTTTTCCTGCGATCTCAGCCACATGTTCCTCTCCCAGACGTGGGTTGGCAAAATAGCCCATCATTATGTGTCGACCGCGGTAGCAGATCTCACCCTGGCCTTCGGCATCTGGATTTTCCAAGCTGTCCACAACAGGACAACGCACCCACGAAGCGTGTCCATCTGAGTCGACTTCATCACGAAAACAGGCCACTTCAACCCCAGGCAAAGGACGTCCAACCGCGCCCATCTTGGCGGCTTGACCGTTGATCACGGTTTTTGGAAACTTAGAGGGAAGCCGATCTCTGCTAGTCTTCGGTGGGTACTAGTTTTGGATTGATGTACCTACGATGGTGATGATGTTGATGTCGATGCGCTTACAATTACAACGAGCATACTCAATAAAACCGGTGAAGCACGCCTAACTAGGAAACAAAAACACAAAAAAGTATGAGAATAGTCTGTGATTAAAAGCTTATTACGAGCATACTTGATAAAAATAAATGCGTGTGGCTCGAGTCACTAAAATTTGGTAACTCGCCTCGGCTTAGTCATACTCATATCCAGGACGTCACGATGATTTCAGAGGACTCGATTCTTATCTATCACATAATTGTAGCTATTGTGTCATCTTAACATTCTTTCCTCCCTTCACTCCTGCTACGTCCAGCGTCGTGCGACCACCGTAGCCTGATCTTGGATTGCACACCACAGTCGTGCCTGACGATTCCGACATGCCGTAGGTGTCTCCCAGACGAATGCCCAGACCGAGAAAAAATTCTTGGACTGCTGGAGCCAATGGGGCGGCGCCGCTCATAAACATCTTTGTCTGGTCCAAACCCATCTTGCGACGTAGCTTCAGAAGGAGCTTGCGTTCGGGGAGTGAAGAGGGTGTTCATCTGCGTGTCTTTAAGACCACGACAAGTTCGGAGATGGACGAGGACGACAACAACTCATCTGAGTGTTCAGGAAATATCATTACGTAGCTTCAGAAGAACCATCTGCGTGCGGGATATATTATTCGCGTGGTGTACTACATTCTATATTTATAGGGTACAGAAATTACTGTTGATTAGAGTTAGTAAAACAAAGAAACTGTTGAGAGTGCCTCAAATCTTATTTAAAAAAGATGAATTTTTGCCTCAGCAGGCGTAGGTTATATATCCCCCACGCAGATGAACACCCTCTTCACTCCCCGAACGCAAGCTTCTTCTGAAGCTATATATACTACATTCTATATATAAATTTCTACTAAATACACCCATTGTGGGTATTTACTCAATACTTGTTCTACTTCTGAGAGACAAATGACAAGAAAACCCTTCATCATAACCAAAACGAAGACCATCCGTGTGGTTTCAACGCGTCTTTCTTTAGGCTGGGGTCCTGGAGTTTCTGTAGGTTTTCGAATTCAACGGATTTGCCGGTCTGTAAAGCTGCTCTTTGAGCCTTGCGGAGTGCTGTGGGTTAGAGGGAGTCTGTTCTATCACTCTTACAACGAGTAGCGTATGCTAGCGTACAAGGAGAGTAAATTACATTCACTCTGTTGTATAAGTTGAATTTATTGAGATATCCGCGATAACAAGCCTCCGACCTTTTCCAGCTTCGTGAAAATTCCGACCTTTTCCAGTTTCGTGAAAATCTTCACAAAAAGTCTTCTATCCGACCATAATTGAACTTCAATTTTCCAACGCATCCTTGTTCTGGTAGCTTGTGCAGCATGGCCTGCATTCCGGACATCATTTTCTCGTAGACACGTGGGACGCCCATAAAAACCGTTGGTTTCGCAGTCGCAATACGGAATTTCAGAGTCCCCTGCTTCATATCGTAGGGCCGCACGAAATACACGCACGCAGAGCCTGGGATCGATCCTGTTGCCTCATCGAAACAACACCTGAGGGTGAGGATCTCATTCGTTAATTTTGTTACGGGGGGAGATATATATGGTAATTCACAATCATCACGCACCTCCTCAAAGAATAACATCTTCAACCGAAATTTTTTAGTAGACACTTCAACTTCTGAAGCATGTTAACAAGCAACCATCACAGCACTATCAAGTACCGCCCAGTCACAGCCAACGGCGTCATAATGTCAACGATTGTTCCTGCGATGTGGCTCAGAGGCAAATACGACACAATACGCTCTTCCCCGTCCTTTCCGATCTCCTGCGCCCAACCAAACTTCTCGGATAAGCCATTCTCAACTGAAATTTTTTAGGTTTTGCTGTTTTCGAGTTGAACATGAATGCACAACCGTCTCGTTTCGTACAACATCTTCAAGAACCATCTTCATTCGATCTACAGAAGAAGTAACAAAAGAATATTAGGGCGCCTTTTTATTGTTGGCTTCAAGAACCTAGGGCGAACTACAATAATCTAGGACGGACGGCATCTACAAGAAGAAGTCACATTCACAAAAAACTGTATCTAGCGCTTGCACGCCGGACCCCGCCTTTCAGGGCGATCTTGGTTCCGGTGTAGAGGTCGCAGACGTGTTAGTTTCGGGATACCTTTCTGACCAGACCTGGGATTCGAACCCACGGTCGGCAAACGAGGTCCCTTAGTCTCTAATTTTTCCTAGTCCAGGACACTAACCATTGCACCACATGTGCAAGTTGTAAAGTGAATGTGTAAGTGGTCCACTAGAGTTGGACGATGTGGTGAGGAGGATCAAGAAAATGGAATGTTATTTGTCATTAGGAATATGTCAATGTGCAGACGGAGTCAGGAGTTGTTGTGCTTGTGTCAAGAGAAGTGGGTTTAGCTCTAACAGAGACAGAAACTACCCTTTTTTTAGAGAAAGATCACCACTTCTTCAGCACAGACTCACCTCTACATCAAGTATGTCTAGGAAGAAACAAAAACTGTGACTACCTTGATAGCACAAGCTGTCGTGCGAGATCATGACTCCCTTTGGGAAGCCCGTCGTTCCCGAGGTGTAAACGAGACAGGCACAGTGTGTGGGTTTGATATCAGCGATGCGGCCAAGTAACTTGGAGTCGTCCGTGATGTCGCGGCCAGCGGTCAGAGCCTTGCGCCAGGGCTTAATCTCCACACGAGTACCGTCCGCTCGCACGTACTCTTGGTGTGGGATCTTAGGTAAGGTGGGGTCGCCGCCGAGGGTTAGAAGCGCCATTTTATCTTAGGGAGCTGTAAAATCATGATGTAGTACCAGTTCCGAAAGTGCGCGCCTCTTCTTTTTTGTCTGCGAGCGAGACCATGAACTCATACTAACTTCATTCATTCCCGCTTCCTAGTCTCACATACATGGAACCTGCCTGAAGAAACCAACCATAACTCTTCTTCACTGCATCCCCACACTAACACTTGGCGTACATTTGGCGCTTTTTCGAGTCCTTCGTACACTGTCATGAACTTCTATGTTAGAGCTACCGCGCCGCATCCCGGAGCCCATCCTCGACTTCTTTTTCAAGTTGTAGAAAAAGAGGAACCTCCAACCAAGGGTGATTATACAACTGTACTGTAAGGACTACAACTTCCTTTTAAGCGCCGGTAGCCTTAACTTCACGCCTTCTGACATGTCTACGCACACAACCGCAGAGTCCGAGTGGTCCATCTTAAACTGTACTTGTTCCGCAGAGTCCGTAGGATAGACGCCACACCAAACGCCTCCACAGTAACTCGCAGCTAGAGCCGAGATGACCCACTCTGGACTGTTGAAACCGTAAATGAGGACGCTCCGATTAGAGATTCTCTCAGACGGAGATGAGTCAACAAATGCCTCTCGTGGAACGAACCGAGGCAGTTGTAGTAAGTTGTGTAAAAACGTCACAACGTCGACATAGATAGCTTAACATCGTTGCACGGGATAAGCCTAGACTTGGTGAGGTTTTGAAAGCTAACCGGTTGTTTTCCTTACAGTGCTTTGAGCGTCGCGGGACCTCAACCTTCACCTAAAACGTGAAAGCCAATCAAGACTTGCAGCACACCTCTAAGTAATATAGTTAGATATATCTTAATATCCAAAGGTTTCAGCAAAGGTAGAATCGCCAAAGCCAAGCTGCGAACGTCATCGCGATACTCTTTCCATGTCCAGACGCTCCATTCGTTGAGGGCTAAACTAGGACCCTCTCCAAATTTTCCAGGTACTGGACAAGGCCGTTCCACCATAAGTTAGAGCTGGACACTAGCTTCACCATATCTTGAAGGTCTCTTAATATGATTCGCACTCTTGACCTAAGCTGCATACAGTCAGGATTATAGCGAAGATCAGGAAGTTACTTAGAGGTGCGGTCTACTCAAGCACTATTTTTACTAGAGAGGACATGGAACTAAGTAACACTAGACAGGACATCATGGTTATCCATTCATTCTAGTAAGCATCTACACGACGGCTTAAATAAGCGCTGGCAGACGTGGCGCATGTTCAGCGGCTCGTTCGAGAAATTCCAAGACAGGATGTCCAGCAACAGCCGCTGGACCACGCTCAGCCATTAACAATGGTCGACCCTCTCCGGTTCGACCGGTTGTGAAGAAACAGGCTGGTGAGTGGTTGGATGATGGCGGGTTAGTTTACCATATAAAGTGAATGGTTGTAGACTGTTTATTTCCAACTCCTGTCTAAAAAAACATTGACATGAAACAACGACACCTTTCTGCAACGTCAACAATGAGGCATCTGTTCTCTTTTCCATCTCCATTCATTCATTTGCATCCCTAGTCTACCGGTGGGATGATACTCGAACTCCAACATTTAGTAAAGTACTTACTTACTTTTGACCAGGAGTACCCTGTCCCCCCATCGACTCTAAACAACTCAGAAACTAAACGTAAACTACTTTTGAAAAGGAATTACCTTCTTCTCCCCTTGCTAGTTCAGTCTTGTGGACGTAATCGTCGTAGTCGGCTATGAGTTTCTTCGGATCGTCCTCAGCGAAATCGGACTTGACTGGAAATCCGGTCTTTCGCATCTTCGATTTCACTTGGGGCTCGTGGGAGATGAAGAGAGAGGGAGAGGGACAGGGAGAGAGAGAGAGAAACAGCAAGAAAATAATTTTACACGAACGACGGATTCCGGAAGATTCATTGTAGAGTAGATTCGAAAAAGCAATCATAAGGAGCGTCAAGTAAAAGAGGGGATGAAAGAAACCATGTAGTTCTCGAGTGGCGGCGGCAGATGTTTTGAACTCTTACCCAAAGCCCTACCTTCGTTTCGAAGGTTTGGAGACCACTTATTCTTGTAAGTACTAGAAAGTAAGGAGTACACCTCCTTCGAGCTACAACATTTTCCGGAAAGCGCATCCATCTACCTCATCCCAGCATAGCAGAGTAAAATATGCCTTATCACTATAGTTTATCTTCCCGACAGCACAATCGACCTTATCACACAACAAAGTATATTTATACAATGGTTAAACAAAGCAAGAACAGTTGTAACAACTGTCTGCCGGTGACTAGTAACTGCTGCCGGCGAAGTACAATGTTAGGCTAGGCTAGGTTAAGTTAGGTTGTGGATCCTGCACATCGTGAGGCTAGGTTAGCTTAGGTTAGGTCCGGTTAGCTATAGCTTAGGTCCGGTTAGCTATAGCTTATATGTTGACAAAGGAAACTTGTTACTTATCATAATGTAAGTCGGAAACTTGACATGTTCGGACGGTTGTCTTGATAACGCCGTAGATCCTCCCACTGCAGATCGAACTTCGATACTCTTGATTTTTTCGACTCCTTGATTAACGCTTGTTTTTCACTACTCGTGGTCGCTTGGACTTCCTTTCTCCCCCTCAAAGTCTGAGTAGATTGTCGCTTGGACTTCCTTTCTCCCTCTCAAAGTCTTCCCCTTCAAATAGTGAGATTTGAGAGGGAACGGGCCCACGAATCCGCATACTCCGCACACGGGATAGTGAAGAACTAGCCTTAACTTGATCCTGCTTCTCGAGCAGGGTTGGAGCCTCGTCTGGACTAGCCGGATCCATCTCGTCGAATCGTCCAGGTGGGATGGTGGGTGGGTGGAAAAATATCAAAAGTAGGTACACAGAGCTTGATGTCGAGGCTATTTGACACCGGCAAGCTTGGCACAAAAAAAAGCCGCGCCAGCTGATGTGTATGATGTAAACTTTCTACTGGATGGCGTGACTTAAAATCACGATCAAAGGAGGATGAAAATCAAAAATTTATATGAAAGGGCAAATCTTGGTCCTGAGGACAGCGGTGTATAGATGAACAGATGAAGACGATCCTTATGGAGGAAGATTGAATCTCTCCTCTACCTCGATTCTATGTTATTCACTTTTTGGCTTCCATGAAAAGGGCACAAAAAATGATTGCACAGCAAACTGCAACTGCGAGGAGAACAAGGCAAAAATAGTAGTACACAGACACGCAGTCACCGAGACGTTGTTTCGTTTCCACGCGACTACTGTTCCGAGGACCTTTGTTAGCACTTTCGGCAGGACAGAAGTACATAAACGATGCATCAGACGTTTTTCGGATCAGTAGGTGGGATGAAATTCGTACGATACACGACAACATAGTCTCAGCAAACACGGACGCAGAATGAAATTGTCAACAAACAGCACAGCAACCGAGCACAGCACCACAAAATTTCACTGTACAGAGACTATACATGAATCGAAAAACAGAGGGCAACAAGCTGGTGAAAAAATTCCATCTTCACTGGAATAACGTGACGCACACCGACAATTGAATATGACAGGAAGGAAAATGGAACACCTGACTTCGACTCCCTTTTTTTGCTCTTGATCTAACAAGATGGGGTGGTCTAGGCTTTTATCATGTCTCATTTATGCAGTAACAATATCATGCCTAAGGGTGATTTCAGGGGTCCCATCTATCTCGCGAGAAGCCTTTCGCGAATATCCTTATTTCGTGATCCGACTGTTATAATATGCCTTTTACATCAGTGAACGTGTCTCCGCATACGCAGTGAAGATCTCCTCAAACCCTCTCCTTCTTGATCACTTGGCATACTGGGATTCCTTCTCTACTCAGGACGTACTGAATGGCGAATTTGCCGCTCGCGAAGTATTTGTGTCCCACACCTTGATCCGGAAACTCCTTTCTCAATTGCATCTCGTCAAAGCAGTTCGGTTTGTTAGAGGTAGACCAGAGAAGTGCTCATTAATAATGACATGCTCTAGTAGCAGAAGAGGTGTCATTACTTCTGAAGTAAATAAATCATGTAGGAGTGACTTACTTGCATAGTACTGCTGTATTAATACATTCATAGGTACAACACTTTTCCAGTTGTAGAGCAATCTTCACGATTCTTACAACTTGCTTGAAGAGGCAAACGAGAACCCATTACTCAGTAAACTGTATGAGTGAAAGAATGTATGTGAGTGAACCACAGTAATTAAATTATAATTAGATGGAACAGGTATACGTATTATTGTGAAAAGAAAGCCTATTGCAAACAGAATGTGAACAAGGCACTCCAAAGAATGTACGATGATGATGATGATGATGATGATGATGATTGTACCTATTCTAGAGGTGTTCTTTGTGTGTGGCTTTTATTAGCCTTTGCATGATTAAGGAATGTACCCGCCCACATGCAGGAATGTCTAGAAGAGCCAGATTCGATGATGTCCATAACAACCGTGTGTTCCACCACGCCTCCTTTCACTTTGAGGAGTCGGTCCACGGATTCTTCGGATTGGAGAAAAAAGTCGCCTTCTTTCTTTAAGCGTTCAAAGCGGGCTTTTCTCACCTTTCCCATAGCCAAGAGGTCCTTTAGCAAGGCCGTCGCTTTTCCACTAGTGTTTGAAGCATCCTTAGTCCCCGCTGCTTCTCCCTCTGACGTTCGTCTCCTCTTCGCAGCAGATGAATCATTCTCCTCCTGCTCCATCCTTCTAGCTTTTTTGGCTTCTTCCTTTTCATCTTCACTTTCGTAGTCGCTAGGATACAACTCCCGATTTCGCTCGATTTCCTTTTTGATCTTGTTCCTCTCTCGTTTGAGTCTATCCGTCTTCGCGTCCCTGGCGTACTGCGGAATACGCACAAAGGGACCTCGAGTGGGCTTTCGCTTCGGCATTTTGTTTTTGTCGTCGTGATTGATTCTGATTGACTACGAAGAAGATTCTTGCCTTACCGTGAACAGGTTATGCAATTAGTAGAAGCTAAGCGCAGACGCGTAATAAAGTAGTCTCGTCTCGCAGAGATACGGGGGGCACTGATTGATTGATTGATTGATTGATTGATTGACTGATGTGCCTGGCAAGAGGTATATTTTCATCAACGAATTGTCATAATATTATGCGAGTAGCTAGTAGCGTATCCATCTTTATCAAGTGTCATACAGGATCATTCCTTGCATTCTCCAGATCCGACGCACAGTTCTTTGATTCACTTGGAAAGGTTTTCCATGATCGTTCTTCACCGGAAGTTACCATTTCTGATTTGAATGATCACGAGATCCTCTCCTAATACTACTACAGTAGAGATGAACTTCCATACCTTGCAAGATCTGCTCCTCCGAATCCGAGGTTTCCAGAACACCAGATCCGAGGTTTCCAGAACACCAGATCTAGAAATCATCTTTTAAAGTAGATCAGAGAGTCTTTGGACCTTTGATGCAGCATACTCGCAGGAGCTGTGAGAGACGCATAATGCCTCCTCGGCATCCAGTAGCAAGAACACAGATTGCTTTTTGATCACAGGAGCGGAAAGACACACCAACAACAACGACAACAACAGAGGCAGAAAGACTCAACAACAACAACAACAAGCAGCAACAACAACAACAGAGCCAGAAAGACACAACAACAACAACAACAACGACAACAACAACAGCCCGGTGGCGGAATATTTGTTGTCGTGATCGGTAATAGTAATTGTAGGCGTTTCACCTGGAGGCTTTGCGGTCTCGTCTTTTGTCGGTCACGACTGAGTCTCTTCTTTTGGATATCCGTACTAAAAGCCTCCAAGCAGTAGCGTCGTGTATATTTTCGTCTCCTTCTGGGCGTGCTCGTCAAGGTTACGCGCCAGTGCTAGTACGTGCAGCACTACGAAGACACCCTCTTCTTTTCCTGCTCAACGTGGACGCACACCACGAACTTTCTTCGCGAGAGGAGGGAAAGGACAGGAATACTCGTAGAAATTCAAGCTCTTCTGCACGTCGTTGTTGTTGTTGTTATAAATCCAACAAGTACGGCATCAACACGCCACGACGTGCCACTGAAAGTGGCTTCTTCATCTGCAATTTGCATCGAAAGGGCCTGCGCCTATTCAGAATTTGCATTCCTATCAGAGGCATACCCAAGCTTTTTTTTGCAGCAAGATGCTGAAGCAGCAGAAGGAGTTTGGTATAGCAAGAGCTTACTTACCGTACTGACGAAAGAAGTTGTTGATAGACATCATGATCTTGAACATGCTGGGGATTAAAAAGTAGAGCTCGAAGGAGTAGAGGCAGTGGAGGTAGAAGAAGTAGCAGACAGCTGAACAAGTAGGGGTAGGAGTAGGCATAGGGGAACGGCATTCATGGTTACAGCATTCGAACTTCGTAGAAGAGGCCGAGAAGTGGTATACTTGACGAGACCGAAGCCTCTAGCCGTGCGTTTCAAATTCATTTCACGAGCACACCGAGACCGACACAGACGCCTACTCTTGACTTAAAAGTACACAGCTCCCTGGGCATTCTTTTTGTCTCGTCAATCCGTAGCGCGAACTCCAAAAATTTCCAAAAGAACACCTACTCTACTGCCATGGGGATGCGTTGCCGCACCGTACATACATTTTATCTTTGTGGCGTTGTTAATGTTTGTAATCATTTCTATCTTTTGTTAGTGTTTGTATCATCAAGCATATGCACGCTGTTGTCCGAGAAAGTTGCTGAATTTTCAGTAGAGCATATGCATAAGCCTTCTCACCCTCTTACTATTTCTGACCACGACTCCAATATGGCTGCAACAAATAGTATCCGAGTGACAGCATGAGCTCTCATCTTCGTGCGAAAGTCGCTAATTATGACAACGGCGTCTGCTTCTTCTAGGTGCAACTTCTTCACTACATATTTTTTCACTGCATCTATCTAGCCGTGGTAAGAACTACCCTTCTCGCGGTTGAGTTATACAACTACCAAGAGGACAGCTTTCTTCACCCCACACCCACGACTACGGCCCGTACTATTCTATCGAGCCAATCGGGGGTCAACAGCAATTTGTGATGGCCTCTCCTGCAAGGGCCTCCTCATCTGCGTGGACTGTCGACTCTTGGCTGTGTTGAGCGGAGAGAAAGTCACGACGACCGGTGAGCTGCTCCGACGTCGTCGTGCCCGTACTGACGGCGGCTTCCTCTGCGCCGAACGGAAAGTCCCTGGCTCTAGAACCTCGAAACCCCGGCGAAGGGTGCGCAGCCGCTCCTTCAGTATCGATAGGCGCAGGAGCTGCAGGCGCAGAAACTACTTCGCTGTCGAAAGCTGTCGCAGATCGTTCCAGGAAAGCTCGTGCCCGAGCTCTTGCCAGGTTGTCCGAGTCAGCTTTTCCCCACGCCTTGGACAACGTTTCCAGCGCATCTATCAGCCTTGTCAGGTCCCTGCTGTGTTGATCGCATGTCAGTGAGTAACGCAGCAGGCCATCGCGCAAGAAAGTGGCGAGTGCCTTGCCTTTCTCGCTGGACGCGTTTTCTGCTTTCGGCTTTGGGAGAAAGCCTCCAGCTCCTTGACTGGTGGGGTCCAGCGCTGCGCTCAGCTTGTTATCAAGAAGTGCGTGGTGTCGGTTCCTGGACAAGAAACCGCGCACAGAGTCTCCCCAACTTCTCGAGCAGCTACTCTTCGTCGCCCACTTCTGCAATGCCATTGCACTATCGTCCTCCGCGCGCAGCTCGACCCTCAGTACTTCATCGACGGCTTTTATGATGCGTTAGAACTTTCATCGAACTCAAAGGCTTCAAAGAATAACAATAAGATAACGGTCATGCGACGTCGCTGTTTGGAACCCACGCGACAGGCTTGGGGCAACTGCTGGCGCTACATTGAGTATGACTGCTGGCGCTACATTGAGTCTGACTTGTTCCAGTGCCACCACTTCTTGGAGTGTCGATCTCAGTGAAGAGTTATATATGTACCAGGGAGGGAGGCCCCCCCCCTGTGGATGGATCGGGGGTGGACCACGCCACAGGGGTCTAGCCCGGCCACCTTTGCCCGGTCTGTAGGGTTGGGCATATGCAACCCGCCAGAGGGGTCCACCCTTGCCACCTTTGCCAGGTCTGTAGGGCTGGGCACATGCAACACGCCAGAGGGGTCCAGCCTTGCCACCTTTGCCAGATCTGTAGGGCTGGGCACATGCAACACGCCAGAGGGCACCAGCCTTGCCACCTTTGCCAGGTCTGTCGGGTCCATGCAGCACGCCAAGGGGGTGGGCCCCGCCTTGCCTCCTCTGCCAGCTCTGTCAGGTACCTGCAACACGCCAGAGGGCTCCAGCCTTGCCATCCTTTCCAGGTCTGTAGGGTACAGGCAACACGACAAGAGGGCCCAGCCTTTGCCACCTTTGCCAGGTCTGGAGGGTACACGCAACAAGCGGGAGGGGGTCAGAAGTGGGCGCTTTGAGGCCTTCCCGCCCGGTAACCCCTCGAAAAGAGGGTCCGGGGCTGGGAGGCCCCCCCCTCAAAAAGTTAGATCGGGGGGGGCCTTCAGCCCTGAGCCCTGGAACATATATAATACCAATGATGAACAACAACGAGAAAGATGGCGAAGAGTCATAATTCTACTTACTAAGTAACAAGTTGAAACGCCGGCTGAAAGGAGTAAGACGGGGGAAAAGATGTACATTGGCCGGCTACTCCTCGAGGATCAGGATGCACTCCTTCAGAATCAGGATCAGGATGCAAAAAGGTGAAAGCCGACATACATTCGCTGCAGGGCAACGATTTACAAAGAAGCGGAACTCACCAAAAAGTCCGGCAATAGAAATGCGGGCATGAGTTCAATCATTCAGCTGGCCCTTTTCCATTAAATCTAGACCAAAAGCTCATAAGTGTCTGCTGCCTCCGTGTCGTTGTCTCCTGCTGTATCTGTAAAGAATTGCTTCAGCATTTTAAGAACCATGACGCCGACAGACCATACGTCAGACTGCTGATAAGTCACGTCACCGCTTTGCCATCTGTCTCCACGGGCATTAAACCGCGTCACAGCTGCCGGATCAATATACTCTAGCGGCCTCGACTCCGTGTCCCCACCCATCGCGGAGTAAAAGTCGACGGCCACTGGGTATGCGCTGTAGTAATTTTTGACGGAACACGGCGACCCAAGATCGGCGACAGCTCTCCCTCCTCTAGTCACATCTTGCCAGCCCCCGCGAATTAGCTCTTCTTCTTCACACGAATTGCTCGAACTCGTCTGCAAATTAGGTTGTACTGGTTCTTGCACGGGATCAGTCTGCAAAATAGCTTGCACGCGTTCTACAATACCCATCAAGTTGCCGAGTACAACCTCTACCTTGCCAGTGTCTACTACGTGAGCAAGCATGTTCTTTGGGTGGATCATTCTATGCGCCTTGCCCATCTCGTGATAGTTCCGCACCGATTCCGCGGCGCTTTTCATCGCGTTGACGACCGCCTGGCCTCCTTTTCCAGCTTGACTCCTGGCCCCCTTTACCCACTTTCCAAGGTTCGTCTCGAAACGCTTCTGCACGACGACAATACGCCACTTAGGTGGCCCAAAGGCCGCTTCGCCGCCACCCTCAATGTAGCCACGCACCCACACTATTGGAGACCCAGCGCCGTCTGCCTCGCCGACGGTCTTGCCAAGAGCTGCCATCTCGGCCAATCTGGAGAAAGCCCAAGCGTTCCAAAGTGCCATGGGCGGCGCACGCGCCAGTGCCTCCGCTGGGGCTTCTATTATTTTGCGTAGTCGTTGGTAGCGGGAATTTGCCATCATCTTCCACTCCGTCTCCGTCGTCACTTTGCTTCCGTTGTTCGTCGAGCTGCATTCGGATTCCTTCACAGGAGGAGGAGGGCACTTTAGATCCCCCAGAGGCGTCGGATTGGGATAGTAACGAAGCTCGAATTTTCCTCTAGGAGCAGTACACGTCATCGGCTTGACAAAGTGCTTACTCCACTCCGCCACTTCTCCATAGGTTATGATCACGTCCGAGCCGTAGCTGTTTTTTTTCGTGACAGAAGTGGCAAAGGCAGGAGGAAGACTGAGGCCGATGCAAGTCTCATTTTTACGCGAAGCTTTGCTTGCCACCTTACGCATGCCAGCTGTTCAAATATGAATCCTATTCCACCCAACTGCTCAGTCACATAAACTACAAAGGCGACCACACTAGGTAAGACTAGCAGCTGAAGTGAAAGGTTTTCGGGCTGGCACTTGCAAACGCAGGCAGCGACCCACATCAAACCAGTCATATCTCCCGCGGCTACCTAGATTGAAAAACGAGTAGCGCCAGCAATTATAAGCCTGAGCAAGAGTCAGAGTTAGGCTGACGGAGTAGATCTATTGCGTGACCTTCGAGAAGCTTACGCGAGATCTCTTGTTCTATTTCCTGCCCGCGTGCCTGCCCTGGTATTCCATTAGTTTATAAATATGCGCGGCCAATGTTCATAGACCAGGAATCGCGCCAACGCCGAGGGCGCTGGCGGTCCTACAATTTGCGGCGCAGAGAGCGCCGAACAAGATCCAGGCGCCAACATAACAAAAAATCTAAAAAGGAAAAGACGAAAAAGCAAGGCAGCCGGGCTGCTAGGGCTGGCCGAGGAGGCTAAGGTAGATGCTCTGGATCCATAGCAGCCCCTAAGCCAACCTGCTCTGGGTAGCTAGTGCCGGACCAGCTCGCCAGCATAGCCCACCGAGGCTCGCTGTGGCTAGCGAAGCCCGCTGGGTAGCTACGTGCGGCTAGCTATGCTAAGCGCCCTCTCTATGGGTAGCAAGTATGCTCGTTGCTAGCTGAGGCGGGCCCGTTGACTATGGCCCGGCAAGTTCGTTGGCTATGACTGGCCAAGCCCGCTGGCGGTGGCTAGCTCAGCGCGCACGCGGTGGCCATGGCTGGCCAAGCTCGTTGGCCTCTACACCTAGCTGGGCTCATTTGCAAAGAAGGGCCAGCGAGCTATGGCTGGCTAAGTAAGCTCGCTGGCCATGGCTAGCGGCCAATCTCCCTGGCAGGTTATAGAAAGCGCGCTAAACTTTTCAATTTGGGCAAGCTGGTCACTTTTTTTTTTGGTGGCGCCCGCATACTGTGGCGCCCTCCAGAAGCCCTCGGCCTCGGCGTTTTCTGCATTCAAAAAATTTGGGAAACTGATCACTTTTCAGCCGGAAAAGGCTCAGTCTGTCAAAAATCTTTAGTAGTCTCTTGCAGGTTTCTTCTGCTCCAATTACAAAACTTCAGCCCACTGCCACAGCAGCAAAGGAGTGAGGCCCATGCAAAGGGGGGCCCGAGGCGGTCGCGGCTTCGTTGCGGCCTTCTTTGTTTCTAACAAGACAGAAAGCCACTATCGCCGCGCTATATTATAATGGCGCTAAGTCAACTAAGAAGAACCGCACGAAGGCAACCACTTTTGTCGCCTCCTAGTCCTGGAAGTGCTCCGCTTAGCGACTTCTGTAACCTGCTTTCCCTTGGTTTTTCTGTCTGTTAGTTTCGTTTCATGTGGTTCCCCGCGCTCCTCCAAAGTCCACCGCATCAGCCTGCAGATGTCTGCTCGCTGGGGGATTCTGGAGGGGCGCGGGGATTTGGAGGGTGCCCAAGGTTCTTTGCTCGTGATTGGGGAAAGGTTTTCCTTAAAGGAGAGCAGTCAGCAGCGAGTGTTCTGCGGATTCGCAATATGCTCGGAAAGACTGAGTATCTACGTGCCCCCAACTACTTGGGAAAAAAACCCGAAAACCTAAGTCCTAAGACCAGCCGGCGCTTCTTTCGGCATTTAGTAGCCCGAGTCTGGCGGTTCCATGGTGCTTCTGGTTTTGTTGTTTGGGTGGCTGCTTGATTTTCTTGAGGATTTGGCGCGCTGCGGTTTTTGTGACATAGTTCCCCGAGTTTGGGCATTCAGTTTCCCTTCTAAATGGCCAAACTCAGTACGTAGACTCCTCTAGCTTACTGGGCTTCGCCGTTTGGTCGCTTGGCTAAACGGTGGAGCCCCGTCCACTATTCGCCCCTATTCGTCACTGGCCATCCGTCACGAATATCCCGGCGGACGCCACTAAACTACAAAACCCAGCAAACCAAGTGCGAGATAGCGACCAGTTTGCTGAGTTTCGTAGTTTAGTGGCGTTCGCCAGGATATTTGTGCCGGGTAGTGATGAATAGTGCCGAAAAGTGAGAGCCGTATATAATGGCATATACCTCCAATATTTTCAATTATACCAGAGGAATACAACACCGATTAGAGTGCGCCACCCGAGGTGGCGCTGTTCACAGAGTACGTAGAAAGATGGACACACAGAAGAGCGGAGACCAGATCTCGCTCGTGATTAGCCCCTAATTACTAACAGTTGATCTGAACTGAAGCGAAAATGGGTGGGACTGCGCACGCTGCTCGGCAGGATTCCTCGACGAGGAGGATACAGGCTTGTAGGGAAGGAAGAAAGGGCGGGAAAAGGATTAGTATCACACTAGTTCCACTAGCCCAAGGAAGACACTCACTCCTTTATTCTACGCTTTATTTCTCTTCTATTTTGAATCTCACTTACACCTTTGACTAGTGGACTGAGCTTGGCCATTTGTAGTGCTAGGTAGAAGTCCCCTTATACCTGTCAAATAAAAATAGCCTATCCACAGTCCTGATTTCTTGAGCGACCCCAGGCATTCCGACTCGCGTGACACGCGTCACAGCGGCCGCAATGTCGGAGAGACTTTACTTAGCAAGAAGTTACGAAGGCAGGACGCAGTGGCGCTGGCACTTGGTCAGGCTCACGCGGGCCCAAACACTCCCTCCCGCAGAGGGCAGGGAGATAGGAACAAAGAAAACATCCACGATACACGCAAAACCGTGGCTGCCACGGTCAGGCACCCGCGACGACCGGCAGTCCGGGATGGCGACCCCAAGGTCAAAAGCGGCCCTTTGAAGAAAATAAGGCCACGCACCTCGTGCCGCTGTTCCTGGAGACTGGCGTGGAACTAATCCGCGGGCTTCCAGCAAAAATTGAAAAAGCAGCACTTTGTTCCAGAAGTGGCCCTCTCCTTTGTCTGTATTTTGCAAAAAACCAACTTTAGCCACTGGTTGGCAGAAGCATTCTGGGCCTCTTGGGCTACAAGTGCTGTAGTTCGATCCAGCTCTCAAAAAAAGACACCTCCGACAAAACAAGCAAAAATGGAAAACGCAACGCTTCGTGTCAAAAAAGCGCAAAATGTTGCATTTTGACAAACACAGCACAGAAAGACAGAAAAAACCCCAGATATCACGCCCCCGCGTCACAGATGAGCAAAACGTAAAGTCTGCAAAAAAAGTAAAATATTGCGTAAAATAGTCTGGAAATAGTCGGCCAAAAAATTGGCATAGTCTCTAAAATAGTCTGTAATCAAGTTGAAAACTGACTGCTTTACAGACTATCTCAGGCAATTTACAGACTATTTTTTTTTGCAGATTCTAGCTTTCGACCATCTGCGACACCGAGATGCGAAGTCTGGGGTTTTTGTTGTATTTTCGTGCTCTCTCAATGAAAACGCAACACTTTGCGTTTTTTTGGCGCAAAGTGTTGCATTTTCCGTTTTTGCGTGATTTATTGGAGTGGCCTTATTTTGCGAGCTGCATCGAACTACAGCACCTGCCTCCCAACAGGGCCAAAATGTCACCGCCAGGCAGCGACTAGAGCTAACTTTTTGCAAAATACAAGAAAAGAGCTGCTTTTTGAGCAAAATGCTGCATTTTCAATTTTCAAGAGAAGACCGAGACCGCGGTGGGCTTGCACTCTCTTGTGGCGACCCACAGCCCCGCTGCCGTTCCAGCAGATGGTAGCCGCGCACGGCTTCGGCAGTGGCCAGATCGCCAGGCACCCTCCATGGCATGGCCCACGAGGCGACGCCCATCAGATCGCCTGCAAGTCACAGCCCGAGGTAGCGCTTCGCCCCGCGCAACGCATGGAGGTGGCGCGATTGTCTGCGGACCTCCCCATTCCAAGACTCAGGCGAACCGGGCCAGCGAAGTTGCAGTACTACTGACACCAAGCGCGAGCAGCAACCAACGTCCGCCCATGAGGAATGGACGTCAGGCGCAAGGCTGTGGGCTCACCTTGGGCCGAAAGCCTCCCAGACCCACCGTAGCAATGCTCGCACTATTTTCAGCTGTGACGGAGGCTATTCTACAATATAGCGAATAAGGAACTTCAAGCATAACATTTGGTCGCGGTGTTCGCCGCGGCTAAAGTGCCAAACTCAAGGAACTAAAGCCCAAAACTTGGGCCGCTCTAAGTTGGTGGTCGAGTTTGGCAGTTTAGTGGCATCAGGAGGCCGCTCCACGCACTGGGAGCATGTGAGAATACTGCCCGGATTTTTGTAGTCCTTGCCTGCGTTTTCTCCTCTTGTCAGTGGTCAGACTTTTCACCATAATCAGAGAAGTCCGAGGCGCTCCGCCCGGGGTTCTTCGTTCTTGGGTCTTTTCATGTCGTTAGGCGTTGGGCCTTTGACCTCCAGGCGCCCCGAGGCTCTCACGCCTGGTGGGATTCATTGGGTTACAAAGAAGAGAGACACGCCGCCACCTTTAAAGGGTCAGACCACTCACGCGCGCCGCCGTGTGTGCGCAGATTGTCGGGGGGTTTGCTGGCTTTGTTCGCACTCTTTTGAAGCTAGTACCTCAGTGCCGTGGGGAACTCTTCAGAGGTTCCGCCGAATTGAGTGAACCCCTCTACTGTTTGCCGCGTTCCAGATCGCCGGGCCATTCTTGACGAAAAAGCTGAAGGCATTTCGTTTGAGTTTTTCCAAAAGTGGCGACCTGGAACACGGCAAACGGTCGAGGGACTCCCTCCATTTTGCGGCGGTTTTCAAGACAAGCCAAACCGGTTGCCGCTTCAGTTCCAAAGGGCTCACGCCTCCTCTTTTTGTTAAGTTTCGACCGTGTCGTGTGCTTGCTGTGCCTCTGGTCTGGTGCTTCCGCAGGTGGTTGATTGGAATGGCGCTGCGTCAGCTATCTACTGCCGTCGCCTCCTGGTCCTGGAAGTGCTCCGCTTCGCGAATTTTATAACTTCCTCCCCCGTCGTTTTTCTGTCTTTTGGTTTCGTTTCATGTGGTTCCCCGCGCCCCTCCAGAGTCCACCGCACCCGCCTGCAAAAGTGTGCTGGGAGATTCTGGAGAGGCGCGCGGATTTGGAGGGTGCCCGAGGTTCTTTGCTCGTAATTGGGGGAAGGTTTTCCTTACAGGAGAGCAGTGGGCGGCGAGTGTTCTGCGGATTCACAGCATGCTCGGAGAGGCTGAAAGCTGTCCGGGCTTTTGCAGTCCTTGCCTGGGTTTTCTCCTCTTGTCAGTGGTCAGGCTTTTCACCATAATCGGAGAAGCTTGACGCGCCCCGCCTGAGGTTCTTCGTCCTTGAGTCGTTTCATGTTGTCAAGTGTTGGGGCTTTGACCTCCAGGCGCCCCGAGGCTCCCACGCCGGGCGCGATTAGTTACAAGGAAGAGAGACACGCCGCCGCCTCCTCTTAAACGGTCAGACCACTCACGCGCGCCGCCGTGTGTGCGAAGATTGTCGCGGGCCTGCTGGCTTTGTTCGCGCTCTTTTGGAGTATTTCAGTGGGGAACTTTTCAGAGGTTTCGCCGGAATTAGGTGGGCCCCTCTGCTGTTTGGCGTGTTCCAGATCGCAAGGCCACTCTTGACGAAAACGCTGAGGAGATGCCGTCAGATTTTTCCCGACAATCAATGGCCTACTTGCGGGCTGCGATCCAGAACGCGGCAAACAATAGAGACGCCCACTCAGTTTCGTTGCGATTTTCAGGGAGGGCCGGACCGCTTGCCGCTTCAGTTCCAAAGGGCTCGCGCCTCCTCTTTTTGTTGCGTTTCGATGGTGCAGCGTGCTCTCTGTGCCTCTGGTGCTTCCGCAGGTGGTTGATTGGCATGGCGCTAAGTCAGCCAAGAACTGCACGAAAACGGTCACTATTGTCGCCTCCCAGTCCTGAAAGTAAGTGCTCCGCTTTGCGGCTTTTGCAATTTGCTCCCTCTTGGTTTTTCTGTCTTTTGGTTTCGTTTCATGTGATTCCCCGCGCCCCTCCAAAGTCCACCGCATTAGCCTGCTAATATGTGCTGGGGGATTCTGGAGGGATTTGGAGGGTGCCCGAGGTTCTTTGCTCGTAATTGGCGGGCTGTTTTCCTCAAAAAGAGCAGTAGGAAGGCGGCGAGCGTTCAGCGGGTTCACGACATGACAAGAAGGGCCCAATCTTGTCCGGGCTTTTTCAGTCCTTGCTTGAATTTTTTCCAGTATTAGAGTCATGGCGCCCCAACCTTTGGAGCCAGTAAAAAGAACGAAACCCGCCAAGCAAAGGGAGGAGGACTAACTCCCTGCGGCCTGAAGTGAATGGTGTGGCACTGCCATGACGCGCCCACACTACCGCGCGCCCGACAGTCAGACTAAAACAAAGCAAGGCGCGCAAACTGTCAAAGGGCACGCAGAACCAACCAAGGCCCGCCGGCCAGCAATGCGCGCCGCTTGCCGTCTGCCATGCCAACTACGCCGACACCCCTCCCTGCCAACGGCGACGCGCGATGCACTTCCGACACACTTCAGACCAGCCACGCCCACCCGACCACCGAGGAGACACCTGAAAGCCCCATCAAGCCTGCGCCCAAAGTGTAAAAGGCTGCCCCGTTCTGTAACCTACACGCAATCCTCCAGGAGCAACTAAGGAGGGCGCCACGCTCTGTCCACGCAAACCACTACAGAGAACCAACGACAACCAACGGAGAACAGAAAAGCCGAAAAATTGCAGCCGGATCGATCCCCATGCGCATGGACCTCGTTGCCTTTGCCAAGCAAAGAAATTCCCAAGGGCACAGACCTAGCCAGCGCCACATCGCGATCCGTGGAACGAATGTACTCAGATGGAACAAACTGGCACCCAAGGCAGACCCCTGCGCGCAGGGACCCCGCTGCCAACGACACTGCCACAGACCGACCTGGCCAGCGCCATGCCGTCGCGATTTGTGGGAAGAAACAAAACGCGAAGACAAATCGAAAGCATAGGCAGCCAGGCCCCCCTCCCTCGACATCCAGCAAGACCAAACTGCCAAAGACACTCCCACCGACCTGCCCAGCGCTATGCCGTCGGCCACGATTCCCGAGAAGTAAGAAGACACACAGTCAGACGAAAATAAAAACGGTCAGCCAGATCCGCTTGGGCCTGCAACTTAACTACCAACCAGCGACACCCCCACGGACCTGGCCACAGCAGCACTATGCCGTCGCGACTCATTGGAAGAAGACACCCAAACAAGAGGAACAGGTAGCCAGACCCGGGCCCCCATGTGCAGAGGGGGAACCAAGTCACGAATCTGCGACACTTCCAAAGACCTGGCCAGCGCTACGCCGTCGCGATCCACGGGAAGAAGACACACAGACAGAACAAAAAAGCTAGCAGCCAGACCCTGATGCGCCGAAGCCAATCAAAACGCCAACGACACAGACACAGACTCCTCGGCAGGCCGTCAGACAAGGGAAGCACGACTGACAAGGACACAAAATCCAGACCCATGGGCGCCGAATGCACAGCACACCATAAAAGAGGAGCCGAAACACCCCGACGCAGCCCCGGGGTTTTTGCAGTTTGTTTCGTGTGGCGACATTTAGACGCCGGCGTCTTTTGTAGGTTTTTAGACTCCTTCCACCCTCGTGGATGCGATGCTCCTGCGATAAATTTCTGGGACTATTCGGGAAGCGGTTAGCACAATAATACGCAAGAAAAACGAGCGTGACCGGCTCCCTTCACACATACCGATACTAACAAGGCTAACAAGCCCACCCGGCCGCCTTGACAGCACCAAGACCAGCCTACCCCCCAAGGGCTGTCTCGTCTTAAATGAATTTCCCCGTCCAGCCTCGTCGCACCACCATCGGCGGCGACCAACCCACCGCCAACTGCCTCGCGCGGTAGCAGAACCAGAAGGAAGCCTACGCGCGTCAGCCTCGACCTACAACGGGGCCAATCCACGCCGCCCCCGGCCCGCCGCTACACATTTGCGGCGGCCCCGACCTGACCCGCATCGACACAGCGACGCGCGCCTCACCCTCCTCCACCACCTCGCCCAGAGACCCACCGCGACCGAAACCCACACCGACACACCTCAAACCGAAGCGAGCAGCCTGCAACCATCGCGGGCCCCCCACCTGAACAAGCCCGACGGACTTCAGCCGACGCACCTGAAAGGAAGAATGCCCGCCCGCCCTCTCGGCCCACCCCCCCGACCTAATTTGACCCAAAACGCGCAACCCGCATCGGCCCGGCGCGCACCCTCGAGCGACGGGCCCGCCCTCGCTCTAGGCCCACCCCTGGCCCCAAGAACCGAAGTCGCCGAAAGCCCCTCCACCGGACCTCCCTTTGGACCTATTTCTGGCCCCAAATCCCGATCTCCCCCTGGACCCGCCCCCCGCCCCAACGTTTTATTCTCCCAAACATTAAAATTAATTCTCCCAAGAATTAACTTCACGGCTACCACAAGCGAGACGCCTCCTATCTTCGTGGGGTCAGGAGTGGGTCCATCGAGGGGTCGGAGGCGGATCCGCCGAGGGTCGCTCGAGGAGCGAGAAGCCCCCTAAAATTATGAGGGGTCGAATCCATTCAGCAACCCCCTAGCGATTTCTCCCAACCACTCTAGCCTGCTAATGGGCTGTCAGTGAACTTTCGACTAATACAAAGAGTGAAGGGCTAGGCGGTGACTAATCAAAGACCCAGAACCGACTGGCCCTGCACTGGGAAAATAAACAATCAGAACGAGCACAGCAAGAAGAGTTTTCAGGGGGGTGGGGAGGAATAAAGGCGCCGCCGTTTTGAACTCTCTCACCCAATCCCATACAGGTGCCCAACTTCAACACAAAGCTTAGACAAAAGAACACCGACAGAGAAGCGCGGTCAAGGCGAAAGGCATGAGCCCCGCCTGCACCCTCCGCACCGGCACCCTTTTCCACTAATGTAAAAAAAAACTGATGCCGCTGCCTGCGCTTGCTTCTCTCACTCTAGCGGGCAAAGGCGGGCGACGTTAAAAAAAGGCAGCCCCCTGAGTGGGAGGCCCCTGCGAGGCTTCTACAAGGCAAGGTAGGTCCCGCAGCCCGTTCCTGCGATTTCAAGCTCCTGCAAGGTTCCGCCGGAGGTTCTGCCCCCGCTCCTGACCTGCGGGCCGCGGCAGCGAATCCGGGCGGTGATCCTAGAACGCCTGCCAAAGCCACACAGACACAAACTCGGGTAAGCTCTGGCGGACCTCCTGGCGGGCTCCCTCCTCCGAGCTTCCGCCGGCGCCGCCTGCGGGGATTTTTTTTTGCGCTCCTCCGGCCTGCTCCTGCGGGTTCCACAGAGGGCTACGCTAAGCCCCGCTAGCTGACGGCCCCGCAAGGGGCCCGGCGCGGGGTTCAGCGCGGAGGACATTTCTGCCCCCTCCGCGATTGCCTCGCTCTCGGGTGTCTAATCCACTGCACGACCCGGCCACAGCGGGCTCCCCGCGGCCAAGGTTCGACCCGGGGCGAACCTCTACCCCCTCCGCGGTTTCTCTTTTTTTGAGGGTCTATTCCACTACGGAACCCCTTTGGGAGGGTTGCTGCTGTACGGGCGGCGCGGTGGGTGTTTCCACCCCTCACCCCTCTCGGAGCCCTCACCCCCGCCGCCGCCACGCGGGTCCCCCTCATCTATGTCTGTCATGCATTTTGTTCGCCCCGCCTCGCTGCTTTCCCCCTGCGCCCCTACTTCGGGCGGCGCCTCTTTGCTGTCCGCTCTTCCCTCCCCCTAACGCCGTCCCCCCCGCCGCCCCTTTCGGCACTCCCCGCGCCCCTCCTCTTGCCTCGTCCTGTGTTTCTCGTCTCCCCTTCCCTTCGCTTGTTCTCCTCTCGCCGCCCCTGGCCTCCTCCTCTCCCTCCCATGAAAAGCACGCCTAATCTTCGCGCCGTGGTAGTCATCTTAACTTGAAGAGCCGCGCAGCATTAGACAGAAGCTCTGCTGCCTCCTTTGCTGTGGCTCTATCAATAGATACGCTAGAAGACAGACGTGGCTAGCATCAGAGTGAGCAATCTTTAGCAAAGTACTCGCCTGCTTCGTTCGACGGTGAAGTGTCCTCCTTGTCACCGAGGGCCTGCCAAAGAGCCCACAACGCTGTCTCGTCTGCCTTGGTTTTTTTGAAGTCCGCTGGGACCAACCTAAGAACCCAGTGCTGCGAATGAACATCGGGGGCGCCCGGAAAAATAACGCGTAGCCATGCAGAGTGCCATTCGCCGTGGCCTATTACCCCATTGCAGGTGGCCGGCAATGTGGCGGAACTTTTCGTAAGGTCCTCAAATTGCTTCTCATCCTTTCCCCATGGCTTCTCATCCTCCCCCCACGCGTCTTGGCCGGCCGCCATTCCGCAAGATACGAGAAGGCCCAGCAGCAGCAACAATGCAAAACGTGACAGACCAGCGGAACCCATCGCCAGCACACTGCTTTCGCACTGTTTGCGCCAGGCTGTGAGTCTGGCCTGTGGCTGATTCGTCCATCTGGAGCTGCCGTCGACCACCGTAGAGCCACGAAGGACGAAAGAACCAGCGCAAGCACTCTTTGCAGGTCCACGAAATGCGAGCGCGCCAACGACAGCAGCAGCCGTGTTCGGAAGTGCCAACATACTAGTCCAGACGGGCAGAAGATGTTGGCGCGAAAAGTCAGCAAGAGTAGCAATAATGCCCCGCAAGACTTTAACAAAGACTGTCGGACGACCGTGCAACAGTAACGCATCCGATTGCGACAAAACGCCTGACAATTTGGTCACCCTGTAGTTGCCCATGTTGGTGACCGGCTCCACATCGTGCAAGGAGCAGCTACTTGCGTGCCCCGCTGTTGGGGGAGAGCGATTGGCGCTGCACTGAAGATTTGGGGCCGATTTCCTCATCTTATTGCAGCTCGACTTGGCCGTGCCTTGGTGGACTGGTTTCTTCATTTTGCTCGACAACGTTTTTCGTTGGGCGCTGGTACTTGGTAAGGCCACAGCGCTGCTGCTGTTTCGGTCCAGCATCCGCGCAAAATGGACCGAGGTGGACGAGAGGGGGCTGCCGTAGCTGTACGGAACAAGACCCGAAAAGGACGCCACGCAAAACGCCCAGCATGGAGGACAGGCCTCCTGCCTGCTTCTCGTGGTAAGGTCGTTCTCCTGCTCTTGCTCCTTGGTGCCCGCCTCGTCATTCTTTTTTGTTTGCATGGTCGGTTTTTCTTCATGGCTAGCCTGCTGCCTCGCCGTCCTCTTCTGTGGCCTCTTCATCAAGTAGCCTCTTGCGTGGCGTTTTTTCGCCCTCCGGTAAGGATTCGCTTCTGCAGACTTCTGCGTCGCATTTCGACTATCCCTCTCGGAGGAGGAACAGCCCTGCGAACGGGCAACCACGCTGCGGCCGCTGCTACTCGTACGGTCAACTACTAGCTTTTCGGCGGATGTCGTGATCGTGGAGTCCTTCTCTGTCTCAGCGTCGATGTCCAGAGCAAGAATCGCAAACGCGTTGATGCTGCGAAAATCCTGGCTGCTCGTCGTCTCCTTGTAGCAGTCTGAAGAACCTCTATTAGACTCGTTATCTCCGTAAGTTTTCAGCGTGGTCGCACGACGTGACGAAGGTCCGCCACCCAATTCCAAAGTAGAAGCATGACTTTTGATGCTTGAGTTCGAAAACAGGCGCGGCCGTCTTGGGTAGTACGTTACGCCACCCGCCCTTGTCATACTAGAATCGCCTGCGCCATTCTTCGCCAAAATCTGTGGCCAGAAGTTTGCGAGTCGCTCACGCGGCGTAAATGTGGCGACAATCGTGTCTATCAGATGTTCACTACCTGCTATATCGTTTGCAGCTTCGCGGTGTTTTCCAGCATCGCCTGCACCAGGAGGCGCCGGCCCTCGATGCACTTGAGAGTGAGCAGCTGCTTGATGCGTAATTCTAATTGCAGCACTGGGGCGATGATCGATGATGGCCCCCCGGCTGAGACTACTGGCGCCAGGCCCACTCCCATCGACGCTGCCCAGCATCATAGCTGAACTGGGTGGCAGCTGCAGTAAGTCCCTGAGGTAAGTAGATGAGGTCAACAGAAAAGGCACCACAGTCATGACACTGGCTTCTACTCGTCCAATACCTACTTCTACTTCCACTACTGAAACTTCAACTACAAGAGTGGCTGCTTCTACAAATAGCAAAGTTATACGATAAGGAGTTTGAATATATCGCGTGTTAGCGTAGTGCGAACACTAGCAGGGACTGTTTGAAGAAGTTTGTGGCGAATTCTATCCGAATGGGTTTTGTCAATACCTTCCGCTCCCGGCGCCGTTCTGCTGATCTGGTCGACTCCCGAGCAGAGTCGAGCTGTAGCAATGGTTGCTCTGCGGCGCCGCCATGAACACATCAGACATCGACGGCAAACAGAGTGGCATCAATCCAAGCTGCAGCGAAGTAAAGTAAGATATCAGTCGCTCCGGAAGATGTAGAACGCCCGCGCTATGACGACGGTGCTGCAAAAACGCAAGCATTTGCTCAGGCGGCGCCAACCCCTCGAAAGGAACGAAGGGGAGCTGCTGCAGCAGGAGCATCGAAGCCGCAGGGGCTTGGAGGTACGGAAAAAACGGCTGCTGTACTAGACCAGACTGCAGGTGAGGCGCTGGCGCCCATGCTTCAAAAGGAATCAAGGCGAGCTGCTGCAGCTGCAGCGGCGTCACAGATGGGGGCGGGCCATACGGCTGCAGCTGTTCTGCACCAAGGCGAGGCTGGAAATCGCAGTGCGTAGCTGACGGCGAAGGCCCTGATAGACGAGGCGGCGACCGTTCTGGCAGAAGAGGCGGAAGCGTAGGCGGGAGACTCGGTTTGGCCTGAGCAGATGGCGGGCTGCGGTGCGCATGCCGCGGGAAGTTGGCCGCGACATGTGGCGTCGCCCACGGCCCAGCATCCTCGGTGCTGTGCCACCGTCTGGTCGTAGCCTCGGCTTGGTTATATGCCACCATCTTCTTGTTATTCGACTTTGACCGAGAAGTTATAGCGCTTTGAAGGCTGTAACACTGGGAAGTGCCTTCTAGCTAGGGACGAAAAAGACAATCAACAAAGCTACTATTAATTATCTTAGAGCCAAGTAGTTCCTCCTAAATTATAACGAGCTAGTTTAGGTATAGCTACAGCTATAAACAAAGCTGATCACGATGAACAACAATTACTCTATACATTACACTGGATTTTTTCTTACATGCTAGGAAGTTTCTCAACGATAGCCCGCGACCAAAGTCTTCTCACAATCTTCTCTATTTAAAAACTATAAGGCTGACTCCTGGGGTGGTCTTATATTTTTGCGCTTTTGTTTTTTGGGTTTTTGTTTCTTCTTAGCGTTTTCGGTTTTAGAAAATGGCACTTGAATAACATACGCGGCGCAGTGAATGTCCCCCGCCATGTGTGTAGATATATATCACGAACAAGGACGTATATGGGTGGCACGTCGTCGAAGCAGCAGTGCCTTCCGCGTACTAGTACTCGTCCTACTTAGTTTACTTAATTATTATTAGCTACTAACTGAGTCTATGAATGACGCGAAACCTCACGTAAGTCTAAATATTTTTATTGCCGATACCATGTCATAAAATTTTAGCAAGTAGCAAGGACTGTGACGCTGCGTTTTTAATCTTACTCGATAAGCCGAGCTGCTGCCTTGTCCCGTCTTAGGGTAAATTTGCTGAGGCGCCTACGCAGTTGGAGGAAGACGCGACCCGGGCACTATTCTTGTAAGCCAACGCGCACCGCCCTGCTTCCTTGTGAATGATGTGGAATGCTATGCTCACCTTACGACAGACGAGGAAGGCCCCGTTGTGTTCGTAGGAAAAGTGCGCAGTCTGAATGGTTGAAAACGAGGAAACACGGGGTTTTTTATGTCGCGACCCTCTTCACCGCGTCAAAGAGCGCCGCAGATGCTTTACTTACAGATTGCGACTTATGTCGCCCACCCTGTTTTTTCTAGAATTGTAACGAGCATACCAGCCATAATGCCAGTGGGGAGGAGGCATCAGCGACGACGAAGGATTAGACTGCAGCGAAACACAAGAGTCAACCCGACAACGAAGTCAACTATTCAAAACGACCACACCGAGGATCAACATTTGGAGGCATAGAAAAACGCTGCGGCTGAGGTGTATGATATTGGTATTGCTACCGAGGAAAACGAAAATATAAATAATTATCAGGAGAAAGGGAAGGTCATTAAATAACTAAGGGGTAGCACATCCATGACGACGACGAGCGAGTCTAAGTTTTAATAGCTCTATAAATGTATTTGGCTGAGTTAGTGTTTTACTGTTTAAGGCTAAGACAGGCTAGGAACGAGCGAAGTTTTTGAAATAATGTATGATGAGGAAGGAAATCGCATGTACTTAGAAGACACAACATGGAGGCTCCCAAGGGTGACGAAAGTATAAAGAACGGTGCGACAGAGAGACTTGAAATAGGATGAGAAACGGGCTTCCAGTCTACTTTTATGCAACAACTGCAGACAAGCTGGGAGTCGTGGAAATTCTACGAAATATGCCTTCAAGGCGAAAAATTTTACCTACAGTCACTGTGGTCGGAAATAATAAATGCTAAGAGGCGACGCGACTACTCTGGGAGCGTGGTTGTATTTTGTATGTGATATTGTTCACTTTGATCGTACCGGCAGGTGGTGCTCGTCGTTCAAAAAATACGCTGTAAATCTAAATGTGGGAAGGCGATGCTTATGCGATCTATCATGCTGGAGAAAGAAAGAAACACAAAAAAGCTTACTGAGGATTTGGAATACCGACTCTGATTCCTGTGTTGACTTCTTTTTATGTGCTGACACTTTGTATTGTGGACACTTGGAACGACCTGAAGACTTGAAGTAGAAACTACTTAGACTTTGTTCTTTTTGGAAATTGCAAAAAAGCGCAGCTTCTGGGAGGGGAAGTCGCTTACTTCTTTTTCATATCATGAAAACTGCACCTGCAAGATGAAGACGAGACGAAGGATGAGTGATATCATGAAGCGACGCCTTTGGGAAACTCGTGGAGTTGGAAGCGTCACCGGCTCTTGGAGGTGGATGCAGACCAAGTCTAAGATGACTTACACAAGGTTCACCGGCTAAGGCTAAGATGGCTTAAAACTCACTCCGTTCTGATCATGATTGGTTACTCTACTCAGAACCTTGCTCCGACAGAATCAAAAACTCCTCTCAAGACAGAGCCGAAAGCAGTTCGATAAAGATCTAAGCTGCAGTCTCTCCGTCCTCGCTCATTCGTGTAGTTTCTCTTTCTCACTATAGACAGAATCTACCTCAGTCAGACAGCCAGGGATGCAATTCGACGCAGTGCTGTTTATACTCAGTCGCTCCAAGTCCAATAGTTCTTAAAGAGTCTCAGAAATAGTCCCTCTTCGCCTCCTGCTCCAGACAGAAACGGAAGTCACTCTTTATACAGAAGCTGGCTCAAGATGCTGTCCTCAGCCCTCTGGGTGTTCTACAGTTCAGGGGTTCAAGGCTCTGAAATTGAGTAGTACGGTATAAATGTGCGCCATAAGAAAAGGCAGCCGCGTTGATCTTCATTCGAGCTGCATCATTAAATCATCTTGAAAAATGTGGCGCGTGCATCACTGTCGCCGTGGGACTGCGAATAACAGACCCTTACTACTTATCCGTGCGCCAGAAACATGAGGATGAATTAAATTTAAGCAGTAACTAAAAGTAGTAAATCTCGACTCCTTAAAATCTCTTACTTACTGCCTTCGAAAAATCGTGAAATTCCCACTCTGAGAATCCAAAGACATAGTGATAGAAAAGCATCCCACCATCCAAGTAGAGCAAGAAGTACACAAGCGCGCATACACATACGTCTAACCGAGAAAAGAATATCTTCACGGATAGCCTCGGAGGATGCGTTGCGCCACGGCTTAGGTGATCACGACCGGAAAGAGGTGTCCCTTTATTCGGAGTTGGCAGGTTCGTTGGAGGCAGAGACGAGTAAAGACAGTGCCATGTATAGCTTCCGCCTTTGCGCGCCTTTCTTAGTTTGAAATCAACACATAAATTTGTCCAGGACATGGTCGTGACAAGGTTTTGTCAATCTTGTAAACTCCTGTGTAGTTTGTGTTTTCTTTCGCATTGGGAAAACGCATGGTGGTGAAAACAGTGTCTGATGAAATGCGCAAAAGTTCATGAAATAAGGGTCAAGATATAACATATTTCGTAGGGATATCCGACTGCGACCATGTTGGAGGTAGGGAGATAAGAGGATCTCTTCATGAACGACGGGGACATTGTTATTCGGTGACAAGAAAGGAAAGAAGCAAATCAGTAATTTCTTACAGTATAAAGTTTTTCCCTCGTTTTGATTTTGATTTCATATTTATTTTGAATTTTGAATTTTGATTTTGAGTTTTGAGTTTTGATTTTGAATTTTGATTTTGAATTTTGATTTTGAGTTTTGAATTTTGAATTTTGAATTTTGATTTTGAATTTTAAATATCAAAGTTTTGAAATTTGGACCAAAGTTTTGAAATTTGGGCCAAAGTTTTGAAATTTGGATAAAAGTGTTGAAATTTGGATAAAAGTGTTGAAATTTGGATCAAAGTGTTGAAATTTGGATCAAAGTTCTCAACACTGGGTCAAGGTTTGGAAATTTGGACCAGAGTCTTGAAGTTCTACGTTTTGATTTTGAGCGGTGATTTTAGATTTTGATCCTCAGTTTTGATTTTGAATTTTGAATTTTGATTTTGAATTTTGATTTTGAGTTTTGATTTTGAGTTTTGATTTTGAATTTTGAATTTTGAATTTTGAATTTTGATTTTGAATTTTGAATTTTGAATTTTGAATTTTGAATTTTGAATTTTGAATTTTGAATTTTGAATTTTGAATTTTGAATTTTGATTTTGAATTTCGAATTTTGATTTTGAATTTTGAGTTTTGATTTTGAGTTTTGATTTTGAATTTTGAACTTGAGTTTTGATCTTGAATTTTGATTGTTCTAGCAAATTCTTTGGAATTCCGTTGACGCCTGCCCCTGGGGGACCACTCCAGAGAGCTAGTGTTACGAACCAAAACTAGACCATGTGATGTTTAGAAAAAATCGTGAAGCTACGAGAGCAGCGAGACATTTTTTTACTACATGCATTTACATGCATTAAATTCAAAGGACATTTGCCTACGACATTACCCTTTGTTACTCTTAATCAGAGAACAGCCTATCGCAATATCTGTTATTCTTCTTCTTGATAGACCTGCCTATCATAAGATCTGTACATTTCTAGTCAGTCCTGAGCGTAAGCGTTAGCGTTCTCTGAGTAGTAGCTCTAAAACCATAGTGAGCATATTGAAGATCGAGGTCCTTTCTGAGTCTTTGCATTAATTTCTAAGTTCAACACGATGCCTGTCCTACGTTCAATGAAAGCGTGCTCAATTGAGCCTGAATTGCTGTGCTAACCGGATATTAAGAAAGGAGTATAAGCTTGAAAATATTGCTGCTCGAAAAATGAAAACAAGGGTGGCATTTTTGTTTGTAAAAAACGATGAACAAAAAGATGATGCTGATTGTATTTGAAATCCTTATGTCAATTTTCCTGCTCATACTTGAATGATGCGAGTCAGTCAGTCGTGGGGCTTCCGCGGGACGATCACTGCTGCCTACCATCCCCGCGGCCGCGAAAGCTAAACATATCTATATTGTTGCACGGGATAAGTCTAATATTGTCGAGGTGAAAACTAACCGGTTATCTTACTTAGTGCTATAATAGTAGTTGATCTATGTTATGCCTGCGCTAACCACCATCAGAATAGCATCTACTACGAGGTGATCCTGTCGATCTTCTTCACTGCACCGAGAGCCTATTAGTAGTAGTCTACCCATTCTTGGGGTAAGTTCACTGCACCGAGAGCCTATTAGTAGTAGTCTACCCATTCTTGGGGTAAGTTCAACTCAAGCGGAAAGGGAGTGTCTACTTGTATCCGACGTCCTACATGATAGCACACTTGCTCTTGCTCCCCTTGGAGCCTCTGGCGGCACTAGCGACAGGATGCTGAGGGTCGTTTCGCGGATGGTCTATGATCTCAGCAACCACAGGCTTTAGGAATTAGAACAAGATATTAAAGGTGGTCTCACAAACACGCCTTTTTCGCACTCCTATGTCGCCAACACCAACCCCTTGTTACACAACATTCAATGTTGTCATCAAATCTTTCCACGCCTATGCCATCATAGCCTTACATAAAGTCTCGATTTCCTCTTCCATTCACAATCTCACCTATGCCATTATATTCTTCCATTCACAAGATCAGTATATCCTTCCATTCACAACGTCACTATATCCTTCCATTCACAATGTCACTATATCCTTCCATTCACAAAAAGCTCATAATGTAGTGCCGTTTCCTGCGCTGCTGAAAGCGGAATATCACATAGGTCGGCGGCGACCTTATGAAACATGCTTTCCACTCCATCTCCCATTTTCGAAGAAACCAAGTATGCTCCGCTGATGAGAAGAGGTGTAGGAGGTAGGTGTGAGCTAGGTGTCATGCAGCACCGTTGAGGGGAGATGTAGGAGGTTGGTGTTATGCGTCACTAAGGAAACCAAATATTCTCCGCTGAGGAGAGATGTACGAGGTAGGTGTTATGCGTCATTGATGAGGAGAAATGGCAGTAGAGGTAAGGGTACTAGAGAGTAGATGTTATACGTCATTCAGCAGGGTGCTTGAGCAGAGGTAGAGGTAGATACTCTGCGTCATCGATGATGAGGAGAGGTAGACGCATACTACAGGTAGATAGAGGTATATTACAGCCAGATACAGGTAGTTGTTTGAAGGGATATTAAGCCTAGGGATATAGGTCTTCAAGAATGGAGAAAGTCTAAGGGATCATGGGAAGAAAGAATAGTAGAGAAAAAATACTGCATTCTCTCCATTTCGCAAAACTGGGTGTGACGGACAGCCTTCACAGCTCGTAGATGGTTCAGGTCGGATCTATTAGAGTCGTTTCCGTCTCCCCGTCCCGTTCAAGGGTCAGCTTTCCCGTTCAAGAGACGGCAGTCTATGAGCCGTGGGGCAGTCTTCTGTGTCTATTCTTGTCCAAAAAGAATCGCTGGGAACAAGAGGGGTGCGAAGAGATGCTGATGGGACAGTGGTCTGACGGATATGTACAGCAGCTGAGATGCTGGGACAGTCAGAGTGGATAAAAGCATGAAGGTGGGCTAAGGGATAGTGAAAAGCTGACCATAAATTTAGTCCCAACCAAAACGACGTAGGGCTCCTCCTCTTCCTGCTTGTTGCAATGTTCCCTTACTAGAGACAGCCAATCCCGCAGGTTCTCGAAGCTCTGGTAGCTTGAGAGATTAGAGGAGGAAGAGCATGGAGCACCAGAAGCAGAGGATGAATTACTACAAGGAAGTAGACGAAGAAGACCACGTGTTTGGAGTTGAAATCCGAAAGATTAAATCCGAAAGCGAAGGAGTCAGCCACTTAGTCACCAAGATCTACTTGGTGGTACTAAGGTAAGCCTACGACTTTCTAAGACCAGTATTTCTATGGAGTGAAAGTGTAGTGAGGACTTCCATCAAGTCGCTGATCTACTTGATAGTACCAAATTCTTCCGATCATAATGATGTCGTAGCACAGAAAAACGGCGTCTGCTTTGTGTAGATAAGACGCGATCATTTTGCCTCCTAGAATTAGATCGTAGCATGTAAACATGTAGCACATTCCTTCATGTTGACTTCTAGGATTATTTTTTGGTACTAGAACTCGACAACTCTTTCGTATCCTCAACAAGAAAACAATAGGTACTCAAACTTAAGTATCTAGGAAGTCAACACAAATAACAGTATTCAATTCTTGGTTTAAGTATGATATTACCAATAACCTTGTTATTTCTTGGTTTAAGGTTGTTGAATACAATCAGTACAATTTTAAGGTTGTCTAGGATTACTTATTGTTTTCTTGTCGAGGAACTCTTTCGTATCCTCAACCTTTCGTATCCTCAACAAAAAAACAATTATAAGTACATATAGACGAAGGAAACTCAGCATCACCTCAAGGAAAACTAGACTAGATGATGGAGTTCTTCGAGGCTCGTGTTGGTAGTAGTAGTAGTAGTAGTGTACCCATTCGAGAGGTGTAATGTTTAATTACTTGATGCACTACTTCCTTCATAATTTTCTATCGTTTGTCTTAGGTGATGAAGAACGACGAGTGAGCGAATTGTGGTCAGCCTAGACTGTGAATTATTATACCCATAATATCGATTGGCCTCCGATGTCCCATATCTGGAGGCATATCTGCTTTTGCGGCGCGGAAGGAAAACTTATCCGTTTGGTGCAGAAGTCCACCCCAATCGTCTGCTTGTAGCTTTGCCCGAAAAGTTAGCGATTGCAGTAAGAGTTAAGAGAGTTAGCACGGGTCTCTACATATTTTCATTTGATTTTACGAAGAAATTCATTAATTCATTCATCACATAGCAATGAGTTCATCTCTTAGGTGAAATTACAATAAATTTGGTAGAACAGATAAGAAGGAACTGTTATTTTATCCGTTAGAACAGAACATTCTTACAGTCTTAGGGTGAAATTCAAATTGCGGCCATAAAAATGATCGTGAGCAAATCGCTGAATTAGGGATGTCTTCCCTACAGCTCCGTCGCCAAGAACTAAGACTTTTACCTGAGGGGAAAAATATGTCATGTCATGGCACTACCTCTTATGTAGCTATGAGTGTCTAATGGTGAGCCCATCCAGTAGGGAAGTACCTCCAGAGGAGAGCAACCCTACCGGTTATATAAGGGAATCTCCTGAACTAGCAACCACAGCTCTTGTCTGCTGTCGCTGATCTTATCTCAGCTTGCGGTTCTTTTCTTTGTTATATGAAATCAGAAGTAGAAGAGGCAATTTCCTGAAGTAGTTTACTTGCTCAAACTCTGGCTCGTCGTCTGAATCCGAGCTATCGTCCTGGGGCGCCGGCCGCGGCGCCGCCCTTCCTTCTGTCATTTTTCTCGCATGTCGTTCTTGGATTTGATTTATTGAACCTACGACTCTATGTGTATCCTGTAGAGAACGAGCACAAGAGATATTTTGTAAACAGGTTCTTGTAGCTACTTCTCTATATCATACCTGCTTCTTCTTCCACAAATAGCTCTTTCCGCTAGACGAAGACTCACTACACTTCAATTCTTGGATTAGTCACCGTTTTCAGCATTTTTTCACAATTTTTGCCAATTTAGTCCTATATCCACAGACGGCCCTTTGCCCCCGTATGGGTAAATCTCTCCAATCCATTGGTCCCTAGTAATCGTAACATAAGTGGGTTTGAGGTATCCTCTGTCCAGAACATCCTGACATTGCTGCAGCGTGCCTCACTACTCAAGTAGGTTAGGTTAGGTTGGGGATCCTTCACATTGAGCCCCCCGGACTCCTAGCTCTACATTTTCTAAACAAGAAACCGACTCCAAGCAGCGGAAAAAGTGACCAATGATAAAACGCGATGAATGGAAAATCCTCCCTTGTCATAGGAAAAAAAAAAATCAACGTCCAGAGACTAAAAGAGTCAACGTCGCAAAGAACATGTGCAACAACCACGTGAACAACTACGCGATTATGGTAGCACGTCTTCAGAAATCAAGTTGTCTTAGTACCGAATTATAGTTGTACTACAAGCACCTTGTGACAGTATCAAGCTGTTTGACCTTAGAATCATGCCTAGATAGTCGGCTAGCTGCTCTCTCTCTGGAAAAATAATATTCGACTACAATTCGGCTGTTCATTGTGGACGAGGCAGATTCGTCTACAACTCGGCTGTCCGACCTGCTGACATATTCTTAGTTAATCCCCCACGTGCGATGGTGGCCACAAGAGCTCGAATAATTCCGTCTATTAGAGCTCGAAACATTCATTTACTACACGAAGGATGACGCACCACCACCATCATAGAAAGCGCCTAATTGTAGCCATTGCTCTGTGAATGCTGAGTACCTCACTACAAACGACCATACTACACTCCCAGGGTTTCTCAATCAATGTACTGACAATCCCTCTGCAACATGATTACGTACCTTGCAAAGGAGATAAACGGATACCCTAGTATGAAATAGGAATTCTAGAGCCTTAAGTCTAATGTCTGCAGAGAGGTCAGCTTCGCAATGTCGCCCTGCTCGCGTACAAATAGGAGCAATGTTGGCGCTAGCAGTGTGTGCCAAAGATAGGCGAAGACTCCCATTCTATTAGAGCAGGAAAGGTTAAGCGATTGAGTCAGTCTGTATCATGTCTCTGAGTTGAAACCGCAAGCTGAAGTTTGAGTATCTTCTTGCACTAGCCGTTCTTTTACCGTTCTTTTACCCTTACTCAGTCTTCAGTATTTTGTGGTCGACGAGCCTTACCAGCTAGGAAAAAACACATTAGGAGGACATCGAAATAAAGATCAATATGTCTTAGTCATCTCGTCTCCTTCTTGCGAAAATCGAAAAACGGTTTCTGAGTCTGAGTGCTGAGCACACGAACATTTAAGCAGTCTTGCAGGCCTCTGTTTAGTGCCTTTCTGATGGTGTGATGAATCTATTCGACAGTCTGCCAAAGGTTTCATCCCTGACAGAAGTCATCAACTCCATGCAAGAATCATAAGTTTGAAGATCCTTGGTCCGTATTTCGCTATAAGCTTTCGTGCTGGGTGGATCGCGCGGAAAACGGGAAGCATCATACTATTCAAGGGTCCAAATCGATCCCAAGGCGCCACGCCCATAAAGAGAAGCTCCAATCCGAAAGGCAGAACGTAATGCCGAAAGTAGGTCCGACGATAGGACACAAATTAGATAAGGATGTGTTTTGGTGAACAAACGTTAGGTGAGGTAGATGGACGAAAAAAGAGGTAGATGGATAAAATACTAGAAGAGGGTGTTAAATCATGATTCATCTTGAATCATGATTCTTAGTTCATAGGGGTCTCGATCAACTCAGTATGTCAAGGTAATCATACTAGTTGTACTTGATTCGTAGAATCATGATTCTCGTAAAATTCCTCAAACCCCGCGCGTCCGTGCTGTCTGCCAGTACCACTGCGCCCAATGCCTCCGAAATTAGAAGAACCACATTGCCATCTTCCTTGGATGTCACATCCTTGGCTGCTTCACTTTCAATTTCAGAAAAAGAAGATCCAAGGATCATGTTGTTAAGAACGACATGCTTTATAGCGATTGCCGCAACGAAAGGGAGGTTCTCATGACCAAAAGTTAATAGGGTGTTATTCACCATTACGTTTCCGGACTGGTGTTTCCTGGTGATTTCTTCGGTGAGCGCGTCTTCAAAACCAAAAATGTAGGTCATTAACGGCGAACTATGGATTTCCGCGATCTTGTCATTCAAAAAGCTCGACAAGGAACCGGTGGAGTTACCTGAAAGCATGAAGGATACAAATTTACCTGCAAGAATCACCTGGACGAAGCTTGTTCTCAGATGAGAAAGACAAATTACAAGTTTCCCGCGAAATGCATGCAATTGTCCCTGTTACCACCGTTCATGGTGACCGTAGAGACGTGGTCTGTTGAATTGTAATAAATGTAGTTGAATTATAATAAAATGTAGTAAGAGGTGACGGGTTTCCTCCTACTGAACTAGGATACTCTACAGAGCTAAGTGTCAGGACAGCCTCAACGATTAAAAGGCGTTTTGTATGAAAATACACTTACGTCTATCTTGTTCAGGTTCAATCCAAATGTATCAAAGAAGTAGTACCTACGTCATCTGCAGTGTACGTAACAACGGGAAGAATAGGGCCAAAGACTTCCTCCTTCATCACCGGGTCACTCATGTTTGGGTTTATCATGAAGACGAACGGGAAGAACCTTTCCTTCTCGTCTGCAGGTTGGAATTAGATGGATTGTGGAGAGGAAACGAGCTCTACTTGAGCTTAGGACCAGGTTGACTGCTCCTACCTGCGATTGGTCCACTCAACTGCAGATGCTACCCTTGACAAGAAAGCTAAGTACATTGATACCCAATATGTATAACTATGAGAATTTACGTCCAAAAGAGAACGTAATGTCCTTCCACTCCTTCTGCAAAGAGGTGGATTACCTCACCACTATGCGTCTCTTTTAGCCGCTGCAGACGCCGGAAGTGGTTCGCGTTTACGATGCGGCAGTAGCTGTCACTCGTGCGCGCGTTTGCGCCAAATCCCTCACGAATGATCTCACGGGAAAGAAATTAGAATGTGGTAGGAGGTAGAGACGTAAGGTCAGTTGTAGACGGTGACGAGTTTGGATGCATCAATAATCGAAGGAAAACAGAACAAGGTAAGTACTAAGGATAGAAGCTAGTAATCGGGTGGTACAGGTAGTACGAAGGGTAAGGCGGTGGCACAGGGCACAGGATAGATAGGACAGGATGCCTTTCCGCCTCTTGCACGCGAGGTGTAGAGAGACAGGCGGGCAGAGCGCCCCAAGGAGGACGAGGGGTTTGTTCGTGTTGATCGCCTTTAAAGGCGTTTCCTGCGGTTTTTGAAAATACAAGGTCATAAGCGTTTGTACTGTAGCAGCACAAAAATGTGCATAAGTAATCATATGCTTAGAAGATGAAGAAAGTGTCCTTTCATAAACAGCGATAAGATCGGGAAGCATTTCGTGTGGTATCAGAATATAGTCCGGAGACATGCAGATTTGGCCGCAGTTCGTGGTCTTTCCAATAGTTAGACCAGAGTAAATGCACCTTGATGCTCTTCGTTACTTCCACCAAATACAAGTACACAAGAATGCACCTTTTGAATGAATATTCCAGGCTCTCTTAACTTCAGAAGCCGACGGAGGAGCACTTTGAAACTCTGCAGGTTCTTGCCAGTTTTTGGGATCCGCAACTCGTCTCTCTTTCTCGTGATCGAGCTGCTGCTACTGGAATGGAGAGCCGCGGATTGAAGAAAAATTAGAACTGTAAGAAAATCGAGAGTAGAAGGCTTGCTTCAGAACGCAGAAAGTGTATACGACTTCAAGACATGAGATACAATGTACTCATATACCCAACCACGAGATACAACCACCTCATGACTTAGATCCTCATACCTATTCCCGATATTCTTCCTACAGTTGAATTATCCTCCGATCCTCAGACCTTGTTCTCCATACAACTACCAACTCATTACAAAATTAGCTTCGTTCTTCATCTCCACACAAATCGGACTTGCTTCTTCCTACAGTTGAATTATCTCAGCTGTAGGAAGAAGCCCTTTTTTCAACTATAGCATAACATTCCACGTAGTTCCGATGCTGCAAGGCTGAAGGCAGTCTTCATAGACGCCCACAGACCAACACCGTCGTTGTACAGGGCACTGGGCAGAATGACCGCGGGATTCTTACCACCAAGTTCTAAGGTGAGAATTAGAAGCTAGAAGAGTGATGCAGCAGCTTACCAGCAAGGTCTAAGGTGTGAATTAGAACCAATGGGAGACTTAACTGTAACCAGATTGTGTTGATGTGCTAGAAGTATAATTTTACTAGAGTTTACAACAGTGTAGAGGCAAATTTAGCAGTTATCGGAAAAGGGATGCTGGGTCTATGTCTCCACATTATGACATCCAAAGTGAAGAGAACGCATCTGGTTTCCTATTTAGATCATTTAGAGAAACTGGTGCTTGGAGTATGTCTCATGTCCAACATGCGAAAAGCCCTGGCTTTCTCTTTAGATTGCTTTTAGAAAAAAAATGATGCTTGGCTCGTGTCTCCCGTAGAGCCTTACTTCCTCAGATTCAACAGAGTTACGTACTGGATTTAGAGTAAGACACCAAATTTATTTGTGTACATGACGCTGTTCCGCGAGCCTTAAGAGTGGTGTCAGGTTTCGTGTTACGTTTTGATTACTCGCTATCTTCTGCGCCACAACTTCGGCTCCCGTGAAGACTATATGCGCGAATTGGTGCTCGCTTAGCAACGCCTGTGAAACCTCCGCGCCTCCGGTGAGTAGGATATTAGATGCAAGATTGTCTCTAAAGAATTTAAATGTCATCTCTCCAAATAATCGATCGCAGACGTTCGCGACTGTGAATCTTTATCAATCTTGCTGTCATCAGAGCTCCCTACAAAAATTTACAGCACTCTTGTCAAGTCAGTGTTCCTAAAAAATCTAAATCGATCTTGTTTCAATCATCTTTCAGCTTCCAACAACCCCAATAGTGAAGTAGTACGCAAACCCGTGCAAACCTACTCACACCCATAAGAACGAAAGCTTCGGGATCGAGATATTGGGGTAACTTTTCAGCTAAGAGTTTCTCGGTGTGCGACGAAATTTCCGAAGGCTTCGCAACTACGCAGTTTCCTGCTGCTATGGCAGAGCATACACCGTCAACGAGCAAGGCGACAGGATAGTTCCAAGCGGGAATGATTAGTACTACACCCTTCGGCTCGAATGCGTACCTTTGATGATGACAGGATTTGATCTGTCGTGCTGGATCGGAAACACTGACTGTCGTCGTAGGAGTCAGTATGAAGAGATGCGAGCGAGAACAATCAGTCTTCAACAAACTGCACATGACCAAGTGCCAGTCGTGGTACTTAGGTATGCTCTGAGATGTACCGTGTGTTTTTTGAAGAAGCCTTCGTAAATTCTAAATAATAAGATGAACCTAGGACTTTCTAAGATCAGTATTTCGGTGGAGTAAGAGTGTAGAAAGGCCATCAGTCTAGTCTCTGAGAAAGTAGGCGGCGGGCGATATGATTGCCGAATAGATTCACATCAATCTAATTCTAAATGATCTAAATCCAGTATGTTCTTTTTCTTTATCAGAGTGCGTTCTTAACAGAAGACTCCAAACACGACACATATAAGGAACAACCAGTAGTATTTTGTAATTGCAGTGAAGTAAGAACATCGCAAGAGAAAGTGCCGCGCTAGAAGAGCTGGAGTAAGCAAAACCAGATAAGAGCCACAGAGTCGGGGAAAGATTAAACATGACAAAAAGGGGGAGGGACCAAAAGAGGCTACCCCAGCCAACACGACACATATAAGTCATGATGACCAAGACAGACTCAGCATTAGGGTTCATGAAAGATCAACAGAATCTGCTAAATATCATCAATATACTCCGCTCGTCCAGGCTGCATTTCTAGCGGCTGTTGCACCCTTTGCGGTCGCATCCACACTCCTAGATCATCCATGGCTTTTCGCACTCCAATATAGGAATTGCATACCTCATTTAGATGCGACTCGTTTGCGTGACGACCCAAATCTTTAGCACAGCTTTCGCATATCGCATCAGCGTTCTCCGATATGGAATTAGAGCTATCATGGCAGTGGTCTAGCCCAAACCCTAGGGACTATATCATACGGGAAAGCTCTTAATAACGGATTTCTAAAAAGCTAAATTTTTCGCAAGGGCAAGAAAATTGCTCCACTGTTGTGCGTGAGTACTTAGCACTCCAAATCGCAGGACATGAGCCATGCTCCCCGTGGATCTTTCATGGCCGGGGAGAGCAAGACGATCACGATGTATTCCCGTATCATAAGAAAACGGTCAAGCTGTTTTAATTGGCCGAGTCGCCAGTCGTATGTCCGTGTTTTACCACTGCGAAATGTTGCCCGAAGCACACCAAGGCGCTCACCAATGTCCAGAGACAGCGACATCTTTTTGTCTTTCTTTAGGTTTAGTGTGACTGATTGTTTTAACCACAGTGTTTACGATCAAAGCAAACCCAAGAAGATAAAGAGTCGAGTACGGCCCGCTTCTCTATATATGTCTGATGATACAGAATAAGAAACAGTGGCCAGCGCGAGTGAAAACCGGATGATATCCCAAAAAGTGTAAGAAAACGGCTACGTATCTGCAAACCTAGATGCCTGTAAACTTAGGGTCTTGCAAAGCAATGTTCCAGAAATCTTACCAGGAGTCAGGGGGATCCGCTGTAAGATCAGCGATCTCGTTTCTTCGGGATCTGTCTGCCTTATAGTCCACCACCAGTGCCCAGCTATATCAACACATGATACCGAGATGATAAAAACCGACACTGCTCAGATTGCTTGTCATAGCAAGTGAAAACGTGATATTACACCACATATGGACCTTACATGATATGATAACACATCTAGCCACTCCTCTCTTTGCTCTCGTCTCTCTGACTGGAGCTCTAGATCCTCGATCTCGCCGTATTTTGCCCTAGCAACCCCAACCTCCAAACAGTCTTAAGAATTTCTTTTGTGAAAACAGACCATGGCTATTCTAATGCTGCCGATGCACTGCGTCTCTACTTCTGGAACCTTGCTCATCCATCCTTCGTCAGTCACAGTAGAACACAAGTCGCGGTGCGTGGCCTAGATGAAGTACGTGATGTTTTTACCTGTATTTTACCTAGCCTTGTTCCTGCTTTCAGGTCAGCGTGTACTAACCATGAGAAAGAAAGAAAAGACCGTAGCAAAATCTTCCCGTTCTTGTGCAGATGTCGCAGGTTTTCTGTGTCGTGGTAGATCCTTGTTCCACCTGGTAGAATGTATCAGTTTCATCCTGGTAGCGATGGAAATGCTTCACGTCCGTAATCACGTACATACGACACTCTATCACTCTCGAATCAGCTGAAAAGCCTAGAATAGCTACTGATATGCGATGTAAGTACTATTGAATCTGTGTCTCTAAATGGTACAATTATCATTTCCTATCTTCTTCTTCCCGGACGCCTGAGGCGATTCCTCACTCCTTCAAATCATTCTCATCCACGACACACGATCTGCCTCAGGAGGAGTGATGAGCTGCTATAATTGTGTCGCGTTTGGGTCCGAGCCTCTTTCTCTAATCAGCTCCTTGCCTGTTGCATAGTAGTTGCGAGAGTGGACACTTCGGAATCAATCTAAATGATGGCAGACTCACCGCAGACTCCACACTTGAACTTTTCTCCGAAGGTCTTGAAGCGCTTACACACAAGCATATTTACTGGGTTCCTTGTGCGTCTATACCGGGTTTATTGTTGAACCTATGAAACCAAATACTCCGAAGACAATCTTGTTCTGTTGTTGATCATATTTAACTGAAATCCTGACTTGTAAAGACTGTTGTATAACAATTCTGCGTAGCAATCTATCGCCTAATGGTACCTCGACATCTACAAAGGGACCATCCTTGCATTCTCCTGTTCCTCTCATTGATTGTAGAAAGAACTACCTTCCTGTTCCTTCCCCTGTTTTATGAGGTACTACTTTCCAAGCGGGTGCCCTTGATGTGGAATGTCTTTATGGAATCTCTTCAGTAAATCCTGTAGTAAGTAGTTGTAGTTGTTGACCTAATCTGTGTTCCACTAGCTATTCTGCAACGAGGACCCAATATCGTCCTTGTCCTCTCAGTATCTACACGTAGAAGTCGTCCACCATCGAAATTTCTCCTAGTCATCTCCTATCTTCCGTACAACCACTTACTTGTCCTGGATGGCAGCACCCCAGATGCTGAGACCTGATTTTGTGACATTTAGAAAAATTAGATTTCGTTTTCTTCAGTCATTGAAAATGAAACGTTCTAAATCTACGGCTACGAATGAGCCGGTAAAAGTCCTCTACACTTTAAACCGCAAAAACTACAAGACAAAAGAAAAATATAATAACAAGAAGAAGCTGTATTAGTACCGAAAGCGAGCTTGTTGACCAAATCCGCGAGGTTGTAGGTGATGTTGATCACGCTCTGCTCGTGGTAGGTGGCGGTGGGGCCCAAGAGGGTGAGGTAGTACCCGAGCGGGTAGATGGCCCATCCGACGGTGATGATGAGGCGCATGGCGTTGAATGCCTGCAGGCAGGCCTTGTTGCCGCATCCCTGAGCGAGCTGGCCCGCCTCACCGGAGAACATTTCGTAGATCAAGGCGAACCAGCAGAGGCAACCTAGTAAGTGAAAATAAAACCGCAATAAATGAACATGGTCTTCTTGGATGTAATAGGGCTACTCGCACGCAGATCAAAGATCTAAAAACTGGTTCGTTTAGGTCTGAAGATTATCAGTCATTTTTAGGTCGCTTATTGAGGAAATTCGGATATTTAGAAGAGCATTTCTTCTACGATACGAGAGCATACAAGCACGCTGATGCCGTGATTATGTATCTAATTCTGTGAGCACTTATCCTTTTTGTGGTGGAGCCGACCTAACTAGAAAAAAGACAGACCAGCGGAAGATATAAAAGAGAAAAGGGTAACTATCAACAAGTATCCTAAAGTATCCTGCTAACTGCTAAAACTCTATCTATAAGGACGAGTAAGTACCCGGGACGAAACCGCAGAGGACGGAGACGATTCCGGTCTCACCAGCCCAACCGCAGAGGAGCATCAAGAGGGACTCGGCCATCAAGCGGTAGAACAAGTTGACGCTGATGTTGGGGAGGACTGCCTTCAGGATCAGGTAGAACTCGACGATCTGCAGAGGCACGGTGATCAACCAATCCGTGTATCGGTACACAGTGGGGCTGGACTGCGTCTCGACCCAGCTTTCTCGCATGAAGCAGTAGTTCTTGCATTAGAAGACGAGAACGGAGCCTAATGCTAAACGTGGTCTCAAGTGCCCTTTTGAGGATTACGTGCATGCTATCGCGAACGTATGAAGTTCATGTATGGATAAAAATCGTGTCAAAATCTACAAAGTTCACCAGCTCCTGCAACATTTAGATTCTTTAGAACAAACTTGTAACTACCCCCTATTGTTTTCTATAATAGCGGAATATCATGTGGATCTCTGAAACATTTATAGATTTCCTTAGAAATTTTACTGCAAAATTCTGATGATAGTTCTTCAGATCAGCTAGAAAATGATAAAGAGATTTTAATCGATGACGTATCTCTATAATTCTCTGTAGAAGAAGAATCTAGATTTACGACAGAATCTTCGTCGATGCAGCTTTCTAAGAGTTTTCCAAAAACAGCACCTTGAACGTAACAGAATGCAACACCGGTGACGAGGCCTGCAACGGTGATGGAGGTCTTCCATTTCTCCGGGACAGTGGCGCGCTCGGAGAAGAAGAATACGGATCCGGCAAGCATGCTTGCGCATGCGATCCAGAAGGTCACGCCGACGATGTCGTGGGAGCCATATCTTAGAAAAAGAAGATATGGGCAGTCTTCCTTTCTACCTCAGAGATATCGACAGTTGCTGGCTGACCTTTAGGGGTTGTGAGTAGAGAGAGGGGTGTATTTGAGAAGTAGCTCGTTTTCTTGAGATTTTTACCTACATGAGAGATGATCACAGGGAGAAGGACTTATATCAACATTCGGACTTTGCATCGAGACACCGATAGTGATAGGAGAGGTTCCGATATAAGAATTGATCATCATAACAACACGGCGGAGGACTGCATGCCCTGCACGATAGGGATACCGGTGGAGGAGAGCGGGAATCCATAGGGGTTAGCTGCGGCTACGGCCTCGGCGCGGACGACACGCTCCGCCGCAAGTCCCTTATCGGCTACGTATATGAAAGCGAATATTTCTCAGTTAATATCCTAGCCAAAAGGGAGATGATGTTGAAGATGTACCAAACAATGGCGACCTGCGGATAAAGCTACCCCTCCCATCGTCACCATCCTACGTACCAGCTGGAACTCATTCACAATTAAATTAGGTAGTTATGATTATGTCCTCTTGCTATAGCAAGTTGTAAATCTCAATCGTCATGTTGATGTGTTGGGGACATAAAGGAGAGGTGCTCGAACTGCTTTTCGCCGGCGGCGACGGCCTCGGCGGTCACGGCTGGGTAGCCGACAAACTGCTGGGCCGCGGCGGCCTCGTGGGCAGCGTAGGCCTGGAGACGCGGGGACAAGCTGTTGAAGCCTGCCTCGGCCGCAGCGACCTGCTGGTGCGGCTGCAAGTGCTCGAAGGCAGCAACCTGATGGTGGTTCACGATACTCGCCATCTTCTCTACGATCGAAATAAGAAGTAGACTCTAAACTATTGATGTGAAATCTTCTTTCCGCCCACTGTTGAAGTTTGAGAGACTCGGTTTGAGAATATGGAAGGTTTTAGATACTTTAGATTGATGGTTTACGGTAGAGACTTACTGTTCAGATTGATGGTTTAAAACTTCATCAAAAACGCGTTTAGCAGAATAACTTCAAGTGAAAAGATGATACGACAGACCCAAGATTTCTACAGTCGTCTGTGTGAAGAAACCATATCCAGTCAAGGAAAAAAGCCTCTTCAGCAAACAAGACCATACACGCTGAGAGGCTGTGACGGATTCTGAAAAAAAGAACGCCGCGTTTTTCCAAACTTTCCCTGTAAAAACGGTTATGGTTGACTCGACCATAAATATCACAATCTAAAAAGGGCATCCTATTTCTCCCTAACTCTCTCGTAGCCCCATGCCTTCTTTCGGGAACAGATAGCGCCTTCCAATCAGCGTATTCACAGGGCCCAGGAGCAGGAAAAAAAGTCACTCTCTTTAAAGATCAAACTAAGGAAAGCATGCTAGTACTTTAGACAGAGTCCTCATCTAGTCGACAGATTTTACTTTTGTAGAACAAATACCTCCTCGTACTCGGTACGGGTGGCTCTCTTTCAAAATAAACTTTCACCGACAGAATTCGCCGTTTTGCATCAGAATTTGTATGCTATTGTGCAGCATTGCACAGTCATTTTTCAGATCAAAACGTTGCTTTCGTGTGCTTCTTGCTCTCGTCTGTGTCCTAAAAGAAACTACTTCGCTTTCTAAAAGACCTTCAGGAACAGTGAGCTTCAGCAACAGAACACTTCAAGGGCTTTCATGGTCTGTGGCAGATATGGTGCCTTTCTCTACATAATCTTCACCGTTGTGGCATGTTCTGAAAGCCATTCATTGAACAGTGTGAATTTCTGTAGCACTAGCAGTCCAGACCCTTTTGATAGGAGTCCATCCATTCATAGTATACTCGCATTTCATGGATAATTCTCATGGAGAAAGCATGGATCTAAATGTATCAATCACATTCTCGTAAAAAATACCAAAAAATCAGTTCGTTTTTGCAGTTTTAGTTCGTTTGAGATTGAAAAGTCAGTTCGATTCCAAGATAAGCACTCGTTGATTCTAGTCTGTGAAAGTTGAGTATGAGTAGAGCATTATTATCTGCTGTTGCATCAGTCTTTTTCTGAATCTGTAAGTCGTCTTTTTGGTACCAAGTATACGTAGGTACCAGTTCTAAAAGGAGGTATTCAAAAAGCATGATAGATATTACAGTTATGTCGCGAAGTGTATCATTTGTGTGTTCTCAATAGTTAGTGTCGTTCGAAAAAAAGTACAAAAAATCAAATTTCTGTTTCATTTGCACGAAGTCTGAGTTTGTCTCTCGGGAGGTTGGTAATTTCCAAGTCCCGGACGTTCTCAATCGATACTCGTATGTCGTACAAGATTCTAGAAGCGCAAGCGCTGCCTTTTCTCGCACCTTGAGCAGCTTTCCTTTTGCGTGTGATTCGTGCTGGCAGCCACCCTAAATTTCCTTCCGCACAATAATACTCTACTTTTTCCCCCACTTCGAAAAACGAGCAATTGTTGTCGCGTCTCCGGAAATACAAGGGGAGAGCGTCCTCGCCCTCTCCATGTTTGTGGAGAGAAGTATTGATCCCTCTTCCCTGTTCTATGAAAGACTCAGGCTCCGGAGAAAAGAGTAATGTACTGGAAGAAGTCTTGCTTTTCGAACCACGAGCTACATTTGTACTACTTCTAGCACCATCCGTTTTCATCGTTTTCGCATTTCCATTTGTAGTTGTACTAGACTGACGTCCTTGCGCCACTCGTTCCGGTACGGCTCGTTCTGCTCTGTTCTTGCCGCCTAAAGGAGAAGAGCCTTGCTTCAAATTTGGAGTGTTAGCAGAAGATGTCAATGCTGTTCCTCTTTTGGTCACACTTCCAGTAGGGCTTGAGCCCGTTTTTGTTCCAGTTGCCGTACTAGAAGAAGATTGCCTCTTTCCCTTTGGGCTATTGGAGGCAACATCATGGCTGAGCCCATCGTCGATTCTAGACACCGCTTTTACCTTTTTTACTGGGTTGTTCACCATATCTATCTCGCTATCCATGTGATGTTTCGTCCCTGCAGCTCTAGTACTGCTTCTAGTATTACTCGAGACTACTCCCTTCCTAGTACTGCTAGAGAAGGACGAGGACTCATTTTTTGGTTCGCCATCCGCAAACTCGGTTTTCCTCAATAACAACTCCTCGTCGGTGTCATTTACATCGACATCTACTGGCCTTACCGACAAGTCCTCCATCTCACTACCCACCTTAACATTTTCCGCAGAAGCAGACGGGGTAGAAGACTGCTGTACTACCCTCATCGAAGAAGCCCTTTGCGGTAAGGCCCTTGAAGATGAAGACTGCAAGAACTCTTGATGTTCTCGCAAGAACTCTTGCTCCTTCACCTTAGCCATCTTAGCTTTTCTCTTCTGGTGTTTCTCCCTCTCATCCATATGATCGTGGACCACGTTCAATCGCCTCATCTCGATGATCAGATTGTGAAAAAAGTGCCGTCCATGCGGCGCCGCGATCTTAGAACCAGCGAAAATGTCACCTTCTTCGGATGATTGCTGTGGAGTCGTTTCTCCACTCACTTCTCCAGCATTTGATCCATCAACTTCTTTCTTGTTCGTCTCCGTCAGCTCCACCCCTATTCTTGACTTCCCTTCAGGGCTTTTGCCTTTCATATTAGACTTCCCTTTATTAGGGCTCGTACTACTTGTTCCTCTACTATTCCTCTTAGAAGTAGTGCCACTACTTCTATGTAGTTCTTGCAATTTCTTTTCTAAAGCAGCGTGATGCGCTGCGAGCTCCGGCATGTCGAAGTGACTATCGTGAGGCTTAAATTGCCTCCTCACACCTCCTCCACTGCTTGGGCCTTTGGAGGAGCGCCGAATAGCAGGGCCAACACTGGGTCCACGTGGCGCCAGCGTGGGTGAACAGAGAATCGACGTAATCGCATCCACAGCTGAAAGTTTGGAAGTAGTAGCCTTGGAAAGGGAGGAATGATCTTCATGTAGCTGTGTTTTTCCTCCAGTTGTGGTTTTAGGATCTCTTCGGGGGAGAGTTCCAGCAGCTCCGTCCTCGTCTGCACTAAAGGATGAAGAGGCACCGGATGATACTTCGGTCTCGTCACTAGTAGAGTCACGGACTCGATTGCCGAAGCTCGTGCGTCCTAGCAGACTAACTCTTGGCGGAATCGCTACTCCACTATAGGAGTCACTAGATGACGCCTCTTCGTGTTGTCCTTGCTTTCCTTTCTTCAGCGAAAGGGCGGCTCCTGCATCCTTTTTCAGTGCAGCGTTCTTGCCAGTATCCAGTTTTGAATCGTCATATTTTTCCACAGTCTGCGAAGCTCTTTTCTTAGACACCTGCAAAAGCGGAAGCTTCTTTTGAATAGTACTAGCAACTTTTTCAACCAGCACAAGCTTAGGCTTTTCAACCTTCATTTCAACGGTCGTTGCATCCCTATCCCCTACAGCTAGTTTCCGTTCTTCTTCAGGCCTAGCTGCAGTGGCAACAACCACCGCAGGCTTTTGAGGTTCTTCGGGTGGGCAGTCAAACAGGTGTTCGCGTTCCCATAGGATGCCAGGAGACGTGGACACATCTTGAGGTCGGCTCAAAGAGTGCAGCGAGTAGCCAAAGGCGCGAGCAGCAAAGTCTACAGCAGCTGCCTTTCGCGCATCCAGATCTTCACTACTGGCATCGGACTCGCGGGCAACGTCTTGATTATCATCCTTCGAGGCGATGCCTCCAGAGGTTGCAGTGTCGTTGTTTCTTCTACTAGTAGTCTTAGAAGTGTTAGCACCTCTAGTACTTGTCTCCAGCTTCTTTCCAGTCGTGCTTTCAGCAGCAACAGCATTACCCGTGGAAGTATTTGTTTTCGCACCGCGAGCAGGACTGTGATCCTTCGTTGCGTTGTTCCTTTCTAAAAGAGCAGCTGAAGCATCTCCTATATTTTCGGATTCGGAGTTGTCCTCTACTCTTTGGGGGACTCTCGACGCCGCTGGTGCATCGACCAAGTCGTGCTGCTCATCTAAGCCTCCACGTGTAAAGGTAAGCGCTGGCAAGTCCGATGTGTTGTCCTCGTCAACACCCTCACCAACTACATTTCTAACAGCACTTCTCTTTTCCTTGCCACAAGGACCCTTGCCACAAAGACCTTGGTCTCCAACTCTCTGTGCCACATCTTGATCAGCGTCTTCTTCCGAAGCTGAGACACTCCAGCTAGGCGGCGGGCCCATAGACGTGTCGTCCTGACGATGTAGGCTACGCAAAGGCTGCACTGACTCTACGTCACCATCTTTAGCCCCTTCATCCTTGTAGTCTGGGTCACCAGCTTCAGCGTCTGGCTCAGCGGCAATCGCAGCAGGGCTCGCTTCCTTAGAAGGAGTCTTTTGTTTTTTCATCAATAGCTCCTGATCGGAAACGAAAGAAAACGGCCTCTGCTCTGGCGTCCTCGATACAACTTCAACCTCCGGCTCGTGTAGTCCTCCTCCTTCTGCTTGTAGTTCCCCATTCTGCTTGTGTCCCAGAAGAAACAACTCTTCTCCCGAAGAAGATGAGGATCTCGCGGTTATTGGCAGCGAGGAATCTTCTGCGCCTGAGGACGATGCTCTGACTATGAGGTTCTGGTTGGAAAGAACGAAGTTGTTGGAAGATGAGTCAGCACTTGCTCCCTCTACATCCGCGCCGCGGACGAAGTTGTTGGAAGATGAACTTACTCCACCTTCTACTCCATCGTCGTCGTGGTCCTCGTCATCAATATTGGGGCCTTCGTCTTTCATTTTCTCAAAAGTCGACAACTTTGCAAGCCGGGGCACTTGGGGTTCTTGGGCTCCTTCTTCTTCTTCTACGAGGTCCGTTTGTCCACGTTCAAACATAAAAACTGGATCTTGTGGCCCGTCAGATTGCTCATCTGGTACGGCAGAGTAAACTGCGCTACTGCAGTTATCCTCAAGAGCATAATCCGTAGCCTCCACCGTAGGAACAGAAGAGGATATTTGAGATTGTCCAGTGGCATCATGGTAGTCTTCGTTTTCTTGATCGCGGACATCAATTTCATCTGGTTGTGCCTGTGCCCCCTCTTCTTCTTCTGTGACGTAATCAAGGTCACAAGCCTCGCTCTGTGCTACCTCACTGCCGGCATAAACTGGAACAGCTTCATCTGCATCTTCAACGTCAGAATCATCTTCGTCATGCCCATCTACTGCAGGAGTCAGAACTTCATGCCCAGTCTCGCGCACAGCGACGCTGTCTGCCTCACTGCCAGCATAGACCGACACTGCATCGTCTTCGTCAACCTCATCTTCTGCTAAGACTGCTCTAGGAAGCACCCCTGTTGACACTGACTCGCCGCCCTCACTGCCAGCATAGACCGACACTGCATCGTCTTCGCCAACCTCATCTTCTGCTAAGACTGCTCTAGGAAGCACCCCTGTTGACACTGACTCGCCGCCCTCACTGCCAGCATACACGGAAGCTGCTACGTCTTCGTCAACCTCATCTTCTGCTAAGACTGCTCTAGGAAGCACCCCTGTTGACACTGACTCGCCGCCCTCACTGCCAGCATACACGGAAGCTGCTACGTCTTCGTCAACCTCATCTTCTGCTAAGACTGCTCTAGGAAGCACCCCTGTTGACACTGACTCGCCGCCCTCACTGCCAGCATACACGGAAGCTGCTACGTCTTCGTCAACCTCATCTTCTGCTTCGACAGCCTCGTCTTCGGCCATCACGATTCGAGGATCGCTGCCTCCAACTACCACACTCTCAACTACTACACTCTCAGCTGCATACACAGACGCCGCATCCTCTTTCATGATAATGCTGACATTCCGATCCGAGGACGTAGCGAGAACATTGGCTAGTGATTCAGCAGTGTTGTAGGCGCCATCGATACCGCTATCACTACTCGGGATGAAAAAGGCGTCTTCGTCCGTGTCATACCCCAGAGCCTGCTGTTGCGCGTAGGCCTCGCCTTCAGGTCTGGCAATTGGAGGCCCAGCTCTTGGTGGCCCCGTGGAAGCTACTTTTACTTCTGCTGCTGGAGTAAAACCTCCATCATGAGGATCTGGCTCATCTTCAACCCCCTTTGCTGCAATTTGCGTGGAAGAAGACAAGGAATGAGCACCACCTCTAACTGAGGAGGACAATGAGAAAATCGACACTGCCTCTGACTCCTCCTCTGCAACAGCAGCAACATCTTCTTCACCGCGCCTAGAAAAAGTTAACTCCTTCTCTTCACCATCGCGATTTACTTCACGACCGTCGTGCTCGACGTCCTGGCTCATCTCCCATGTTCTACTTGATGAATTCACTTTTTTCGGTCCTGCTCCCCCATCCGACTGGGCTCCTGACATGACATTCCAAGTGCCAGCTAAGCTCGCATCCAACATGAGACTACCATCCAACGAAAAGGCCTCGTCGTGCCCACGCGGTGATTCTAGGGCAGCAGCGTAAAACGCAAACCGGGAACCCGACGATGCACTACCAGCATAAATCGAGGCATTGTCCGTTTCGTCCTCAGCCAAGCTTGAGGAATCTTGTCCCTGCTCTAGATGAACAAGAAGAGTGTTAATATTAAGATTCTCCTGTGCAGCATCCTCTTCCTCCATCGCTTCTCCTTCCCCACCATATAAGCTGGACTGTGGTGTTTCTGCAACCACCACAGGGACTACTTCATCTACAAGCAGTCCACTCTTAGATGATCCACCATCCCTGGTAGCACTTGTTCCACCTGATGAAAGAGACGCTCTACCGGTTGAAGTGCGTCCTTCAGATCGTTGATGTTCGGCTTCTACTAGAAAATTGGCTTCTTCCTCTCCTGAAATCGTTTGAGGTATTAAAACACCAGTTTCATCTGGTGTTTTCGGCTTTGGGGCAGCGGTTTTGTCGGACTCAGGTCCGATCAAGATACGGTCTAGCATGTTCCAAGCACCACGACCTGTTGCAATTTCATCTTTCTGGCGCTTCTCCACCAGAAGAGTGTCAACAGAGGGTAACACGGCTTCTACAGACGCCTGATTCACCATACGACAACCCTTGCCACTTGTTCCCCACCACCAATCGGGCTTCTCGACACTACCGAAAGACGCTGTCTTCGTTCCTTGAGACTGTGGAAGTGGAACAAGAGCAGTGGACGTAACAGGAGATGCAACAGGAGTCGCACCCTTACCACTGCCATTGCGTGAAGAAGTACCGCTATTGCTAGTACCACTTCTGCAGTTGTTGCTCCTATTTGTACTAGCGATTCCCAATAGAAGAGCGTTGGCCAATGTACTCTCCTTAGTGTTACTGTAAATCCCACTGATAGAACCTCCGCCGGAGAAGCTGGAAGGCGCTTCGGCATTCACATCCTCCAGATTATATGCTCGCCCTATTTCTCCTACGCTTTCTCCATTCATCTCTGGATTTTTCAACATCGTGGCTAAAGACGGACTGGAAGCGAACAGAACTGGCGTCGCGAGACCAGTGGAGGGACTGCCCCCGACAGAGCTGTAGCCAAATAGCAGGGTAGGATCTTCGACCAGGGATAAATGGTCATCATCAATCGCCGATGAAGGAGATTTGCTTTCGACCATGAAGAGAGGAGGTGCTGGGAATGTTGTAGTAGCTGTGGCAGAGGTGGTACCACTAGTGGCAGTACCAGCACTACTAGAAGTATTGTTCCTTCCTTCTTCCTTTTCTTGAGCCTCTCTTTGACCTGCTTTTGCTTCTTCGCCTTTCTTGAACAGGTCTGCTGGTAGCAACGACAGATCGGAGGGTCGGAGTGAGGCCCTCTTCTTCGTTGCTTTTAGTCCACCACGCTTACCTAACAAGTTGCTGGCCAACATGTCCAAGTTGGTATTATCAATGGTGGAAGCGGCACCTCCACCTGTCGGAGGAGGAGCCAGAGAATCACCAGGAGCCACTGAAGTCTCTGAAGTTCCACCTTCTTCTCCTTCTACAACAGCTTGGCCATCTGTATTGCTGTCAGTTCCTCCTGGTACTATTAGAACTAAGAAACATCCATCTTCAGCAGCATTTTGGGCCTCCTTTTCCCTCTAAAAACGGGACCAAGATGCCTCTGAAAATGGGAGATTTCTTGTAGCGGCCTTAATGCTGCTATTACGGCAGAAGAAGCTTCAGAAATAGTAGTACCTGCAGGAGCGCCGGGTGGAGGTGCACTTTCGCCCTCTTTCTTAGGATGTATACGTGGATGGGCTCTAGGGTGCACACGCGGTTCTCTAGGCACTGGATGATGATCATGCAACATTTCTTGCCTTTCTTAGAGGTACCGACAGCCCATCTTTTAGGACATCTTTTAGCCTATTCCAACAAGGAATTGGCCAAAAGATGACGTAAAAGATGGGTTGACCACGGTACCCATAACTTTCCTTGCTTCCCGGATGTGCAGCCTCCAATACGATTGGCCCCTCTTCTACGACCAAATCGGCTTGCTCCCCTTCTTGCTTCACTTTCAAATTCACAAATCTTTGTTGTTTGGAGGTAGCTGGAAATCCGGGAACTAGTTGGTCTCCTTTAGTAGCTGCGGAAGTACCCATAAGGGCCGCTTTTGCTTTAGTGGCGTAGGAATCACGTGCAAAAGCGATTCCAGACACAACTGTTGGAGCATCATCAGGACCTAGTGGTAATGTAGCAGTTCCTGCACTAGTACCATCAGCAGTAATTCCTGCACCATCGGTCTTAGCATCTTTATTCCGTGCCGCAGCTGAAGAAGCTCTGGGCACACTTTTCGTTTCATGTACCCCCTGACTGTGCCACTCCGTTAGCTGTTCTGCTGCTGCCTTGCTCTCACGGCGTGACCGGCGCTCCTCCGCTTTGGGGTCTTCATGTGGCTGCGCCATGAACTCTGTGAATAAGCCGTCAATCGGTTTGCCATTATCCAATGCATCTAAGAAATCCGCGTACACCCAGTCCGCGGGAGTGTACTTTTCCGGTGCAGCTTTTTTCAACAATTCGTCCGAGACTGTCGCACTTGCCATCTTCGTCATCAGCGGACTCTTCAATAGTTCTGCCTGCAGAGCTACCTCGGCCGCGTAGTTCATATTCCCAAAAGCATGATAGGGCGCGTCAGTCAGCTCAGAACGAAGTTCACGCGTCGTCACCTGGACAGGCGACCCCTGCTGCCCATCCAGCGCAGTATTTTTACTGCCAAAAATGTAATGACTTTCTAGAGCATCGATATCTGGGAGAGGTTTGCTAGGACTAGCCAGCATGCCATTCATGTGATCGCGCATCTGAGCCAGCGTAAACTGAACTTTCGGCGCCCCAACATCGTCATCGCCAAACAGAACGTCTCCGGAGGGAAAATGAGACACGGCAATCGCGCCAGCTGTTCGCGGTGACAATTGAGCTTGGTGCCGCTCCTGCTGTTGTTCTTGTTGAGCCTGCATAGCTTGTGTGCCCAGTGCATACATATCGTCGAGAGGAGGCGGTGGCATGTCGTCTTCTTGGTCAACAGTCGTAGACCCCTCTACGCCAGGAAAGAGTAGGGATTCTTTACGTGCTGCTAAGGGGGAATCCAAACCGCGGGTCGAAGAAAGGCCTTGGAAGATCTCTTCGTTTCCATCTCCTTCTCCATCGCCAAGGACTAAGCCAGCATTTCCACCAGGACCCGCAAAATTCGAATGTTCGATTTCTTGTCTTCGTTGAATGTCCAATTGAAACAACAGCAGCCTTTGCGCTTCCAATTTTTCACTGGATTTGACACTTTCCGCACGCCAACGGCGAAAAAGAGATCTTTCCGGATCGAAGTTTTCATTCGCCTCTTTCCACATGGAAGGACGGAGTTCGCTCAACTGTTCCTCGGTCATATGCGGAAAACTTGCGGCAAAGGAGGCACGAAACAAGTCTTCTGGAGTTGTACTATTCTTTTTTCTATTGGCGTTGGTGCCGTTGATACCGTTTCCGTTTGTTCCGTTGAGAGTGGAGTACACTGGGGTCTTTTTCTGTTCTCTCCCAAACAAGTAGTTGGAAGCCAAAGTTCTGCGAAAGTTGTTGGCTCTGAGTCCGCCCTCATCCTCGTCATCCCATGCGGAGGAATTCGTCAATGGACCGCCCACCTCGTAGACCGAAGGAGCTCGTTCTCCAGAAAAACCTCCTCCTCTCAGCCTTGCTGCGTGTACGTCGACAATAGAACTGTTACCTCTCGTTTCGGCCAAGGCTTCTTCAATGATGTCCCCCGCACGATGTCCAGACGGATTCTCAGCTGCAAATTGGTAAAACTCATTAAGCAATTCACGATTGAGAAGACTCAAGTCAGCAGCCAAGCGGGGCAAGTCGTGTTTGCCATCTTCTTCACTAGACGAGTTGGCGTCAGGACCAACCACGCCTTGCTCCGCACGATTCGCCATAGGATCTTCATCTTCGATAATCCTAGTTCCATCACTGTTCATAATAAAGCTTTGTCTACCTCCGCCAGCTCCTCCAAGAATTGGAGACCGCTGATCTCCTTCTCCTCCCTCGTCTTCATTCATACCATCAAAGACCTTGTTGGTATCTGTTTCTTCAACCACGACCAGGCCAGGGCCCAAGCTTAGCTTTTTCCTCGCCTTCGTGCGAGAAGAGGTGCGAGCGGTCGGCGTTGGTGCGGACGTAAAAAACCGTGGCAAACTGCTGTCAAACATCTGGACATGCGCTCGGTGCGTGGCCCCTCCGTCTCCCATCGCCAGCAAGCGATCGTCGATATCGAGGAGTTCATCTTGGATGCGTCTCAGTTCACCACGGCTCGTTTGTTGATAGCTGTCGACTTTGCTGCGCCTGTTAGGGGAATAGGAAGAGCGACGTGTAGATCGCCGGTTCGTCATGGAAGAAGAACGTCGCATGGGAGAAGACGATTGCGAACGACGCGAAGCACGATTATGTTGACCACTGATGGAAGTTCGTAGTCCTGCTCCAGATAAGGGACCTCCTACATCATCTTCTTCTCCGAGAACTCCATCTGCTGCAGGAGTGTAATCTTCCACTGCTGCGGATTTATCACCCATGCTTTTGCGCAAATAGCGTTCTCCCTCAGGCGGCAGCTCGACTCCTGCACGTGCCAAGACTTCAACCAACACCTCACGGTCGTCTGTGGCGTATCCTGCTAGGTAATTGTCCGCAAATAGGGAGTTTGGAGCAGTTGCGGCCACACTCTCTGGATCTTGGTCTAGGACATCAATCATGTCCTCCTGATCACAGTACAACTCCTCTCCATCCTCAACTCCACGGTCAAATTCATCTGCGATTCGATCCGCTTCGCCTTCTGAGCGATAGTGATTGCCCCGCTCCATGGCATCGAACAATGCACCTGGAAGACTGGCAGCAGTTTGGTTCTCTTGCTCAATTTCTCCCATCGTTCGCATTTCCTTCTTCACTTGAGCCCTGAACAGTTGCTTCCGGACATTCTCGAATTCTTGCGCAGCCATCTTTGCGCCTTCTTCCTGTTCCACGAACACCTTCTTGCCCAATTGGATGTCCTGGCCTCCACGGATCGTCTTATTTAAGGCATCAGGATCTACGGAGCCAACGTGCAAAGCGTGATCTTCCTGGTTCACGTAATCGTCACCAAACACAGCTCTGCTGGCGCGTTTGAAAACGCGATCCTGCTGAATCTTGAAGAGCCGACCAGGGACATTCTCAATGCCTTCAGCGAGGGTGGTGGCGCCGTCGGCAAGGACATGAACGTCGTCCATATCCATCAACTGTGGTGATGGTCGTGATAATGAGGACGATGGTCAACATATTAGTGATTATGCTACAATTGGTAATAGGAATTCTACGCAGAATTGTCTACTCTGACTCCTCCCCTTGATCTTCAGTTAAAATGGACACTAACTGAGTAACTCTCCCTTTAGTCATGTCATGTGTCTCCAATCTGACCCGCCAAATCAGCTTTGAGACCAGACCCGAAGGGATAACCCGATGAGCATACAGTGACGTACTAAGCCGTGAAGAGCATAATCCACCTCTACAGACCACCTAGTGTGGAAAATACTACTGAATACGACCGCACTTTGGGCAAATCACAACATTCAACAAAACAGAAGAGGCAAAAAAATAAGTACGTCATGTTCCCCTGCTTTCGAGATCAACAAGGCTCTTGCTTGCTTCCCCTCAGCATCCTCCACACTCGCTGTCCCCACACTCAAACGGTTCGGCAAGTCGACGTCGTCATCGGCAAGGACACTCACGATAGGTGCTTCTGGCACCGTTACCCTTTTTACCAGAGAGAGCATTTCCTTCATACTCTTGGCCAAATCCGCCATACCTTGCTTCGCCTTTTGCTTGTTCTCCTCTTCTCCTTCGTGGGCGATCGCGCTCTCGATCTGCTCTTTCGTCAGGAAAGCTTCCTCCGTCAAATCCCGCATGTTCTTGTCCACATTACTCGAAGTGGAGCCGCGAATGTTGTCTTGTAAAACAGCACTGGCACGAACGATTTGATCGGGCTGGATGATGCGGCTGGTGCCTGTCGGGTGGTCTGGCACAGCCACAGAAGGAACTTCAGTCCCGCTCACATCCACACCACGATCAATCAGACGGGAAGAAGCGCCACCCTCAGTTATGGGGTTGGCGCTGAGACGGCGTTCCGTAGCGAGCAGGGACTCCGCGGCTTCTCTACCGGAAGAGCTAGGAGTCCAATGCTCTGGATTTCCTGTAAAAACTGGAACTACGTCACCAGGAACCGCATCACCAGTCGAGGTGGCATAATTTTCAGACGCAACTACATTAGTCGTATTTTGCTTAGTAGAAGTAGTTGTCCCTTTTCCGCCGTCATGCTTTTGCGCCACCTCCTCTAATCCGGACATATAATTCCTCTTTTCTCCATCTCCAACAAGTTCCGACGATCCCACTGCTCCAGTTAAAGAAGCAGTTGTAATGCTTTCTCCTGACTTGTTTTGTGCTGCATTGGAAGTGGGTTTTCCCTCTCCGGAGGACTTATTTTGTTCATCTTGTTCAGCAGCAGCGCCTCCCATTCCGAAAAGGCCAAAGAAACCACCCATATATGAGCTTTTCTTCGCCGCTTCAGCTTGCATATACTTTGGTGATTCTTTAGGCATTTCTGAAGGTCCAGCAAGCTCCTCAGCTTCGGTGCGCGTTGTGGAGGGCTTCGGGTTTAGTTGATTATATTTGAAAGGTAAAGATCCTCTTTTGAGGGGAGAGGTAATCCTAGTTGTAAGACACGAAAACTACTAGTGCGTGCCATCGTCATGGATATCAGTGGCTTGACGGAAAAGAGGTAAAACAAAGTCAATAGCTTGAAGTATCTCAACAAGCAAGCGCTGGAAATAACAGTCAGCAAGTGGCATCAGCACCAAGTCGACATAGAAGCGCCCATGTAGCATAAGTGGATAAACGGTAAAAACAGAAAATGAAAGCTGATACCTGCTTCGCGATAAGTTGTAGATGGTTAGCCTATACTAGTCCAATTTTAATAACAAGTACCCCTTCATTCCCAGCAAAGAGCATCGGTGGTAGGCTTTGTAGTGCTGCAATGGTCGGTCGCTGGCGGGAAGAGCGTTGTGTTCTGAGGTTTGAGGTCTTCAATTTTGGCAGTCCTTCTAACTCTTGCTCGTCCAGCTCCGTCACGACACACGATTCCTCCAATTCGGATTGACATTCGGATTGACTCGTTGCACCTCTCAGAGAGGCCAATGACATATTGGAGTCTTGGCGTATAAAAAAACGAGTCCACACTGAAGATGATGATGATGATGGTGCGCCTTCCCGCTGGCTGTTAATCACCTCTTCGAGAATGTCCTTGCTTTCCTCAATATCGTCGAAGAAATTCGAAGCGGCGGATGTCGACAGAACTCCTTTAGTTTCCCAACGTTTAGGCGAAGGTTGGTCGGGGATGGCGCGAATGGCTCTGGATGAAGCACAAGTAGGAGTCTCAATGTTATCTTTTCCACTTGGAGAGACAGCGGCCACAGAACAAGAGACCCCATCGGAACACGAAACGCCTTCATCCTCATCATCTTCTTCCCAGAAAGGCTCTCCATCTTCTTGACCTTGTTGACCCTGTAGTGGCTCTACACCTACGTGATCAACAGCATCTTGTCGGCCCTGTCCGTCAAGAACCTCCGTGTCTACTTCTTCTGGACAGTCAAAGAAGACATCTTCTTCATCTGGGATGTGCGACAGCATTCCCACTGAATGCAGTAAAGGATCCACGTCGAAACCCATTTTCTTCTAATTTCCGTAGTGTACTGTTAAGGGATGGAGATCAAGACTCAAGTCTAGAAGATAAGGAGGAAATCATGATACAATCTAATCAGAAAAGGGAAATCAGATGCTAAAGGTGTATGTTAGGGATTCAATAGATGAAATGTTGTAAAGGAAAGCCTTTACAAAAGCGAAAAGGGTGGGAAAGATCAAATAGAGAATGCTGTGATAGTGATTACTAGAGGAGGTAGAAGAAACTCGAAAAAGTAGAGCAAATAAGGACTCCAACTCCATTTTAGCATGATGCTCATCAGCAACTACACTCATTTTTGCTGTCACAGATTTTTGCTGTCTCGTTACTACAGATTTGGTTGTTGTCTCTCCCCAGATTACTTTGTTGTCCCTCCACAGATCGCACTTTTGCCAACTCAGCCGCAGTCTCGCCATTAAACATCATAGATTTACCTCCTTGACGTTCTCATCAGTTACGAAAACAGAGTTACGAAAACAGATATTACCTCCTTGACGTTCTCATCAGTCGACCATGCTCTCATCACAGATAGACGCCATTTGAAATACAGACCTGCTCTCTTCTTTCTCATCTCTTTGTTGCGGACAGACTCTCTTTTTTTCCTTTCTGCGGATAAACATCGAATAGTCACCAGAACGTCAAGCCCCCTAGGGCATATCTCAAATTGCTTACTAGACTCGCGGTTTGTCTGCGACTAGATCATTGATTTACTTGATAAAACGATGAAGCACAAAAAAAGGGACTAATCCGAGGACTGCCAGAGTACCAATCTTTCTGTACAAAAGTTCGTGCTGTGTAATTGTCCATTTCTATGCACAGAAAAAAACTATACTCTTTCTGACCATTAACTTTTTATAATAGTGACATAGACCACTATCTAAAACAGTGGCACAGTAGTTTTTGTTCGTGACATTGGTTCTTACATTTTTCTTGTGAGCTTATTGTTAGAATAACTTGTTGACATTTCTCACCGCCATCAAAACAAAACTCTTTGCATTTAGTGTTCTATATTTTCAGTGGAGCCCTGACTAGAAATAAGAGAAAGGTAGCAGTCAATTGCTTATCTACTACTATCAAAAATTATTTGCATTCCTATCCCAGAAGTGACTCCTCAACTACAACCCGATCCCCTCCATCTCATCCTCTAGAAAGGCTAAGTCACGTTCTAGCTTCGCCTCCTTGCGCTTCTCCAGTGCCGCTCGTTGTACTCGGGCCTTGGCCTGCAGTAGCATCGCTTTGCTTGCCTTCGCTGAGTCGGTGTTGCTATTTGGTCGTAGATCTTCTGCATCCTTGGATGAAGCTTCGTTTGATGAATCCTCAGCATGCCTGTTTGTCCTCGTCTCTTCCTCATCACTTGTTGTAGTTGTGCCATCAGCGGCTGTTGCGCTATGCCTGTTTCCTTCTCGTTGCTTTTCGATTTCCACCAGATGGTATGAAAGAAAGATACCACATTTGATAAGTCAGCAGCGAAAGGGAGCCCAGGAAACAAGGACTGCATTTTTTACGGCACAGACTCTATACTTCAAGTTTGTTGATGATGATGTTAGTCGGTTCGGATTGGACCTACGACTTCCCTGAGTCTTCTTTGAGTTCTACGAATTTCTCTGACGTTGAAGTTGTGAGGGCGACCCACGGTTTCCACATCAGTAGTTGCGGGAGTAGTAGTGGCAGCGCTTGACTCTACTTCAAGTTGGTTAACATGTAATCTCAAAAGTACCACAAGTGCTTCTCCTGAAGAAATCATACATAGAACTGTACCACAAATACTTCTACTGTAATTCTCCTGTAGATGAACCAAGCATAAAGAGACCACGCTATCTGCTCCGTAGTATTCGCCCTCTCCAGCTCCTTTGTGTCTTGCAGCTGCGAAACCTACACGTAGTTTTTCGCGGTCGTAGACCGTGTAGAACTTTCGCAAAAAAGGATCTCCGAAGATGAACAACGGTCCATTCGGTGGCGGGACGTCGATATTCATCAAAGCGACCTCGCAACTCCCGTTACTCTCGTCGCGATCCACGTAGTCGGAAGGGGAGGATGAAAGTTGGAAGGTGCAGGCAGGGTTTATACGTCTAGTACTCGGTTGTAGGAAAGAGGGCTAGTACGCCTGGTAAGAAATAAAAAAGCAAGGATATCATACGTCGCGTTGTACAGTACTTACGATGTGATCAAAATATATGTTCATAAATCCAAGTTGAGGATTTGTCCCTGCAGCAAAAAGCCCAACCTCGGAAGCTTTGAGTAGTTTGAGCAGTCCGGTTGCACGTCCAACGCTTCGCGCAATTTGTTCACGATCTCAGTGGGTCCGGCCAATTGGCTAGTTCCGGTATCCACGGCAACTTGGCAACCACCGTGGCCGCAGAGGGATTGACGTTGGGGAATGAAAGAAGTCTACTTCTATGCTAGTGAATTCAGATCTACAGCATAGCATATTTTCCTCACAAGTCTCTTCTCTTTTAAACGCGTAATTCTCCCAAGAAAGCAGGGCCATATCATTGTTCACCGTGATATCATCCACGCCGACTTGCCAATAGCCACTGTGGCGACTGACTGGAGACCATATAAGCTCCGAGGCCATGTGATCCCTCTTATAATCCCCAAACGTGATCTCGCTTTGCTCATGGTCGCTATCCGACAAAAAGACCGAAAACATCTGATAAAGGAGGAGAAGAAGATGTAGAGATGTTGAGAAATCTAGGATGTTGAGAAAACAAACAAATTTCATGTCATTACTGAGAGAGAGGAAGTAACAAACTACACCCTGCGGCGTTGCACGGGATAAGCCTAGACTAGTAGAGGGGAAAACTAACCGGTTGCTTTGCTTAGTGCTTTGAGCGTCGCGGGACCTAAACCTTCACCCAAAAGGTGAAAGCCAATCAAGATTTGCAGCACACCTCTAAGAGAAAATAAGGGGAAACCACTATCATATGTCCTCGAGAAACACGAAATCACGTACTGACTGGTTCGCGACTACTTTTTTTCTGCCTAAAAACTCAAAGTCACAAGGTCCTGAGCAGTACTGGTTTCTCCAAAACTTTCTCCCTTGCCAGCCTACCGATCATGTTGAAGTCTTTTCCCTGACTCATTTCGTCTAAGGCGAGGCCTAGCACGCCATCAAACTGAAACCGTCCGAAAGGCTCCGCAGTTTCTTTCGTGGCGGTTACGGGGGTTAGAAAAGAAGTAGGAGAGCTGCTAAAACAAGAAGGGCTGTGGTACACCTTGTTGTACCAGAAAAATTACAAAGACACAAAACAACGACCCCATCGCCCTCTTTCATAAGAAAGATCCCGGTGCACAGATCGTTTCGCCCAAGCAGATATTGTCGTTCACAGCTACGCCAGATATTTCGCCAGTCCCAAAAGTAACTGTCAGTTGGTCCCTGGCGGTGAGAAGCTCACGGTCTTCATGGGCCACTGATGTTCCATCAAAATTGATGTCCTTCGCTGTTGGGGTATGAAGAAGGGAGAGGTTTGAAGAGGGGGCGATCTTGTTCTCTTGTTCTTACTAGGATTTTTGTACTAGTCAGATTGGGTGGATCAGCGTTTTGGTAGTTTTTCCATGTAATAAGGGATATATTTTTTTCGACTCCCAGATCATCTTCGGTACTAGTCGTCACAGATTACTACGTCGTGCTATTTCGCTATCATAAAACGACTGCTCCCGATCAAACCGCTTGTGTGCGAAGCAAGCGCTGTCTTCGCAGAGTCTACTTGGCAGCATCAAATTCCCGCTTCCCGTGTCAAAAACTACCGTAAATTCTTGCGGTGGATTCCCGACGCCAATTTTCCCGAATTCATTAGAAATGTTGAGGAGGATGTTACAACATCAACAACTACATGTCGTGTGAACTATTCTTATACTATAAGTAGAAACTTTTCTTGTCCATATGTTTTTATCTTTAATCTGGTACCGGTACAACAAGTACCAAAATATTAAATCTGACAAAGCACATGGACATGATCAAGTCATTGATATGATAAACTTCATCTTTACCCATAAAATAAGCCGTCTTGTGCACCACAGAAGCCTGCAGGAGGCTTCGGTCGGCTGCAATCAAGTCATTGATATGATAAACCTCATCTTTACCCATAAAATAAGCCGTCTTGTGCACCACAGAAGCCTGCAGGAGGCTTCGGTCGGTTGCAGATTCATGGTTACTGGAATAGCTCGTGAAACTAACTCGTTGTCTTGATAATGCTACAGTCTGAGACGTCGCCCGCCGTCCACCGCGGGAAGACAATTGACCGAAAGACCTTGGTAGTTGGTGAGTTCGATTTGAAGATCAAGTTTGTGTAGGTTTTTCTAAGAGGCATCAATGATTTTTCTTGGGGCGTTGCGATACTACTTATCTGAGAAGATGAATCTGAGAAGATGACTCAGTCTAAAGGGAAAAAGAGAGAAGCTTCTAGACCTATATGGTAAAAGCCGGGAGACGTCGTAGTCGTACGTTCTTCAAAAATATTGTTGGAACGGCTACACGCTAGAGGTAAAAACGAACCGGTTGTTTTATTTAGTGGATACTGCATAATCAAAAAATACAAGATAACCTATTAGTACACTCCCTTTCCCGTTTTTTTCGCCTTGCCCAGGAACGCACGAAAGCGATCTTTCTTTCGCTGCGTGAGCTTCGTTTTGGATACTTCGAGTAGGGCTGCGCCAGCCAGCGGCAACGCCGCTGCAACCGCGACTACTCTCCTTGTCATCCTCCTTCTAGGTACAATAATAATAATAATCTACTTCTGTGAGGCTACTTATAAGTAATACAGAATAATAAGAAGGGTGGCTTCCGCCTACGCAGGGCTAGCGCTAGCGTCAGCAGACCACCTCCCGAATTAAGATAGCGTCATCCTCTGTGTAAAAAGAAGGGTGGCCAGACCACCTGCAGAAGTGTGTTCTTGCTTGAAGTCCGACAACATGTTTTCCTCTATATTTTTGTGGGAATAGGGCTATTTGTCGTTGTGGAGGTCCTCTGAACTATCTAGTGGATGTTTAGGTTTTCTCCTTCAGCGCAGTCACATAGTGCAAGTAAGTAATACCTTCTGTACGACGCAGGAGCAGGATAACAAACATTTCATTCCCTACTCAAATTTTCCCAAACAACAGCCTCATCAAACAACCTCAACATCAAACATTGTTCCGGTTTTTGCATTCAGTTTCTCTCACGTGCAGTCATGCTTTATATATGCATCCGGGCGACCAAGATCACTCTAGAGGAAAGAAGAAAGAGGTCCTATCATTCATTCATTCACGCTGCCCCCAGTCTATTTTTTTTTTTTTGGGACCTGGGTCTATATTCCACGCAATAAGAACATTTAATTACCCTGCGGGAATCCTGAAGCACGACGGCCAGGCAGCTAAAAATACTAGACGATGAAGCACAACGGCCATCGCCGCAGAAAAGCTAGAGCCGAAACCCCACGGGCAAATTAATCAACGGCTCATAAGTAGAACAATGATGGAGCATATCTGATGAACCCCACGATCCATGACCTAAACCCTGCAACGAAAGAACACCGAAAAAGCTAGAACTTTGATGTGGCCATTTGCTAGCTAGGATCTGAAGCTTCAAGCTGTGGACACTCGGCACAGAGGGCGGCGCCACTACTGAGATCGAACTTTTTTAAAGTGAGGCGGCCCGCGAATAATCGCTAAAATTTCTTCAGATACATCGTCGCATTGGTGGAGCTACTCTATACTAAGGTCAGCTTGCTCCCATTTGTTTCTTTGAAGGTCTGCGCCCTTGATCCGTTTAACACTTCGCCATCGGCCTATACGCATAGGCAGCTGCATGGCTAAGATTTTCATCATCCTCTTTTTTTGCTCTCTGCACTACGCTCCATCCTCTTCTTCATTCATCACCCTTTTCTTGCGGTCTGCTCCTCCCACGCACATGCGGCACAGCCAATAAAAGAAAAAGCAAACAAAAACCAAAAAGCAAAAAATTGGAGGGCTGACTCCTACCAAAGGGGCTACCTTATGCCTGAAAGCCACAACTCTGCTAAGAGCGGGCGGGAGATAAAAAAATCGGTAAGGGAGAGCGATGGGACGCTCTCCCCCTTCTAAACAAGTATATCTAGCAGCAACTTACACACACTCCGTATATTTTTTTTTTGGGGGACCTGGGTCTATATTCCTCGCCATACGAACATTTAATTACCCTGCGAGAATCCTGAAGCACAAACTCACGCAGCGAAAGTCTATCTAGCAGCAACAGTCTTTCCTGCAAAGGGATACGTAAATCCGTCGACTTTGCCTACAAAGGGCCCTGAACAGGGAAAAGAACGCCGAATACAGCGACTTGGTCTCCAGCAGGAGTGTACGAGCTGCTTCGGAAGAGGAACATTATTACTTAATACTGAGTATTTTTGTCAAAAATGGAAGTAGACAAGCTGCAGTACTACCTAAATGTTGGCTGTAGAAATCAGTTCAGTGTTTGTAAACCACAGAGAGTTGCTTATTATATTTTATCATGTAGTTCTTCAGTGTTTGTAAACATACTGCGACGTTGTAACTCGTTTCTCCAGTTTCTCCTCAGTTTCTCCTTCAGTTGTAAACATACTGCAAGGTCCTCCAGTTTCTCCTTCAGCGTTTCTTCCATGTTCTCAGCACACTGTTGGAATTCTTTGAACTCCCATTTTGCTGTAGTGATGTAGATGTCCCAGCATTTATTAACTTCTCGTACACGTTACCTCCCCCATGATCCTTTTCTTGTCTCTCCTGCTCCGGGTTTATATGATCTAGCTTCTTCTTCCACCGCCTTTCGTTTCTAGTCCATTTACGTTTCTTCCCATTGATATTCTTGCTCGATGCTTTCTTCTCAGTGATGTTCGATGATTGACCTTGATGTGCTACTCCTGACTCAAACTGACCACCTCATTGGGAAACGTCTGTTCCCGATTCACCTTTGTGCTGGTGCTCCATCATTTAACATTTGCTCACAACATTTTACATTGAAGATCGTGCTCGTCGTCCGACCCCCTGGTGCCTCCTACTTCAAGAAAATAAACTACGACTACCTTATTTTGCTAAAAAAAGCTGTACTCAGGAAGAGGAAGACGATTAAATTTTTGATTAAATTGTTGCAATGTTTAACGAGAAGAAGAAGTCGTAAATTCTGGATTCCTTTCACGAAGAATTCAGAACACATTATTAGCATTCAGAAAAATTCATCCCTAGCTTCTATGCATAGTAGCTCCGTATACACTTACAAAACGAAAACGCTCCTCCACCTGTCGTCACTTACAGCGACAAGAAGGTCTCATCTCTTAACTCGCTTGCAGATCCACCTGTCATCAGTTTCTCATCTCTTAACTCACTTGTTGACAATCCCTCTGCAACATGATTAAGTACCTTGCAAAGGAGATAAACGGATACCAACTAGTGCGGGATGTGTTGGTGGCACAAGACTCACGGTCCTGCTTGCACGGGAAGTGGAGTGACCTTATTCGAAGGTGCATAAGTTAGAGGCCGGTCGTTGAAAAGAGGACTCTTAAATCCTGAGGAAAGTAGATACCTATACTGCGGGAATAAAGAGAATGATGAAAAAGAATGTTGAAAGCATCTTTATCTACAGAAACGATTATTTGACAACGTTGAGGAAAACCACTCTAACCTTTCACGAATCCGTGGAATCCGTTGATTAGTCGATTGAGGTGCCATAAACAATACACGACACAAGGTCTCCTGTGTATGCTGCCCAGAACTCTGAAACTGGAGCACGAGGAGAGTGGGAGGGGTCACATGGATGTCCGATCTTAACGAGGGGACGCGACGCCGCTCAAAACCACAAAATCCAGCTCAAACAGCGGAAGATATTAGAAGAGGAACGAAGGTTAGTTAAGTTATGGACCCTGCACAGCGAATTATCATTAGATCAATAGCATGTAAACTACTAGCAGAAGCAGAGAGAATATCTGAGTAAGATACTCTTCTCCGAAGGAAGATGTGAGTAGTGAGAAATGTATCACGTTTTGTTCGGGGGAGAAGCGCGGAGGATGTGTTGATTATTTCTTATGCTGCTTTCATAAAGAGAATAGAGGTCCTGCAGGAGAACCCAACTCCTCTTCCCAGAGTTCGGTTCTGGCTCCGGTTCCCAGCACGCTCGGGTTTTTTTACTTCCTCACTGTCAGTAGGTCCAAAAAGGACGCAAGATCATCAGCGAAAGTTAGAACTAAAAGGAATCCACCTTCAGCAGCATCTTCGGCCCCCTTTTCCCTTGAAAAACGGGACCGGCATGCTTCTGAAAATGGGAGATTTCTTCTAGCCTTAGGAAAGAGCGCTCCATGTTGTGTCTGTCAAAAAGACGGACACACATGTGGATGTGGTAACGAGAATTAGAGCTACAACCGCGTTAGCATCTTCCTTCTTGAGAGTGGCAGTATCTTCATTGGAGAGAAGGCTCCGTTTTCAAGTGGAAAAAAGATGAACCTCGTCCAAGGATGACAATTATAAGTACTAAGGATGACAATACTAAGCAGCGGTAGCCTTAAGAGAAAACCCCGATTAGAAAAAACTCGCAATGTTGCAGGGCATTCCTCCCTGGAGAGGAGGCAATCGACCTGCACGTGCCGCGATTGTGTGTTGTCAACACACACAGATGGCACGTATGGGTTTAGGGTTACATCGCGCAGAAGCGCCGTCGATGGGACTGTGTAAGGGCAGCAAGATGAACGCAGACGACCGCGACGACGGAGGACATTTTCGTAGTTATTTTCATGGATAGTGAACGATAAAGTTGTGAGAAGATAGTTGTAATAGGATTCGAGAGATGGTGGTGTTTGTTTAGAATGGATGGAGATTGAACGGACAATGGATCGTTGGACCATTGATAATATGACATGTGCATACTTAGTACATCTTGATTTTCATCAAGATCATCAGATTCTTCTTCCAAGTCTCCACCAAGCTCCCGATCTACTTTTGCCTTCGATGCGCACCAGCAATCGAACACTCGGCAATCATTACAGCAAGACTTCCCCCATCATCCCGTACGAGTACAACAACCACACCACTAACAGTCGTGGCATCTACTTCTTCATCGATTACAGCATGCATATAGGTAGTGAATTCTCGTCAATAGAGTTCTTCAAGTACAACTAGATGCACTTCTTTCCTTTTTAGTTCGTTGGATGCAACTCTTCGGAAAATTTAAGCTCTGTCCTCATTCTTTATGGATGATGTCCAGTCTTTGGAGGAATCAAATCAAACAATGTCAGCGTTGCCTCTTGCGTCTTCCCGACAATCGACACCTTCCCGAGTAGTCGCTTGTATTTGATGAAATTATGAACTCCTCGTCAGGATTGAATTAAGTACTTCCATTTTCCCTCATATAGTCATTCCCCCCCCCTCCCCTAGTGATTACGTCATTTGCCTCAATGTAAGCAGGACTTTGACTTCTTGGTTGGACGAGGATTCTGTTGTATCTTATTTATTATCGTACAACACCAACGAGGTTGGATGTTGCAGTCATGATGTTGGTGCAGGGTAACGAAACTCGGGTCCCTAGTTTCAGCTTAAGAGTGGAAACGGGCGGATGAACGCAGTTGCAACATGTGGCTTTTACGTTGAGTCAGATTGATATTACGTTGAACATCGAATTAGACTACGTTATACTTCTTCTTTGTGTAGCTAGAAAGAAGGAAAACCTTCATACCACCTAGTTAATATTGCGGGCGCACTCCGCTACGTCCTCACCCTAGGTACTGTTGTATCAACCTGACTAAATAGATCGTTTGACACAGCTACATTTCGCGCCGAGTAAAATTTACTCGACAATCATTTGAATCATGTTGGTGGCTAATCAGAGTCCCGCTACTGTACACAATTTAAATCATGATTGCCATTTTGCGTGGTACTTTTCGTGCCTCTACACGAATTAGTACCGGTAACTAGGTGCCGTGATGTACAAATCGTTTGACGCACTACAGCAACACCAAAGAGAATGTAAATGTTGCAAGTCATAATGAAGCATCGGCGACAACTTGAATTGCTCAGCCACCTTCTGCTTCGAATATTTTATGGATCGATGCATGCGTAACCATTTAAGTAATACAGGGGGTTGTTTTAACTACAAGACCGTCTTGTACAACAACAATAACAGCAATGGATGCGCAGTTCGGCGTGTGAGAAACTATAGGGTAGACGTACTAGTTCGTATGGAAGAAAGTCGCGGGTTACTAGTCATGTGCAGCGTCATGAGAGGTGTGCAACATTAGGGGTTAGTGGTGTACAGCAGTCCTCACACGATAATTGGTGGATCATTGATAAGTTCCAGCTTTTTCGTACTAACTACGAGTACAATAGTTTTAGGTCAATGTTAAATGGGCATGTTGTTAAATCTGCCTTCATCAGGCAGTAGAAGAATAAGGTGCACATTGCTAGGTGAAAAATAAAAGCGAATCACAAGGACATAGTGTTTTTGAAGCACTCCCCTGATCACCGACTTTTTAGAAGCTAACTGTAGATCGAAATCTCCTAAACATCTTTACAATAACTACAAAATTCTATCAGATATAGATCTAACGCAACGAACTCTTCTTCGTATTTGCTGACTTCGTACCTTACTAGCTACCGGACCCGCAAGGTGTCAGCGAAAATACGCTTCTACAAGCTTGCTCCATAATGATTTGATGCATCACGAATAGAAAAACCAGTCACGACGAGACAGAAAGAACTATTGCAGCTTGCTCTTGCAGAATGCAAACTACAACACTTGGACTCACAATGATATCGATAAGAATCTTGTTCGTATAAGCGTTCTTCTAGTTCTTCATAAATTCATTGCTGGAATTCGCGGCATTCGTCAGATGATAGTAAGACCTTCTAGTTCATCATAAATAATTGTTGGAAATTGGCAAATAAGTTTGTTACTATTCTGTTGATTCGTAGTTGAGACTGAAAAATATTAACCATAATGGTTGATCTTCGTTGATGCTAAGCGTTTAGTTGTATTGATAATGATGTCAGTTCAGGAAAATGGTACGTCGCGGATATACGATGCAAGCAGAGAACGAAAAGTTCTTGCCACAACCAACTTCACATTCGGATGTCGGAAACCCCTATAAATAACGGTGATCCTGATCGTACTCTAGTTCAAAATAGCGAAATAAATAGTATTCATCGATCTGATGTCGTGAATACAATATCCCAAGTTCTTCAGTTCATCGATTAGATTACCTCTAGATGCATTCTAATACTCTAGTAATCTAGTACACCTCTTTTTCCGAAATCACCAATGTTTCATCCGTAGAAATCTTCATCCCTAGAAGTCCTCATCCATTGAGAAGGCGTGTGCCTCACCACCTGCGCCACCCTCTGCTGTGGTCTCCGCGGCCTTCATGACGCCAGCCTTCTGGTAGTCTCCGACGCGCTTCTCGAAGAAGTTGGTCTTGCCCTGAAGCGAGATAAGCTCCATCCAGTCGAACGGGTTCTTCACGAGGATTAGAGAAGGGCCGCAATCGGTGAGTACTATAGTGTGCAGTTATACAGCATGGATTCCTAGAGACGGAGAGTAGTTGCAAAAACGTCTGGCACTAGTAGAGAATGGTACTTTATTTCAGCATGGACGTACTTATTGAGATATGCTCAGTAAAAAAAGTTTCGGACGAATAAAAAAATCTGTGTTGTCTCTTCATAAGTTGAAGATCTTTGTGTATTGCAGCGCCTGAAGCAGTCGATCTGCGACGAACTCGATGTACTGGCCCATCAGCTTCTTGTTCATGCCGATCAAGTCACAACTGAGTGCGTCACAGATGAACTCCCGTTCTACGCTGACTGCGCCTCGGACAATCTCGTGCACAACGTCCTCTGGCAAGCGGTTTTCGAGCATGTTGTACAACAGGCACGCGAAGTCCGCATGCAGACCTTCGTCACGCGCGATCAGCTCGTTTGAGAACGTCAAACCTGGCATCATGCCACGCTTCTTCAACCAGTAGATGGCGCAGAATATTAGAGTCAGTGTGCAAGAATCCTTGGGATTCATCTCAACTATATTAGAGTGCTGCGCATATGTGAACATGAGAAAAGGATGCTGTGACTGATAAGCTGGCTACAGATGAAGGAGGAGAGTAATAGTTTTAAGAAGTTGTGTCATAGTTATAAGTTGTAGTGTCCCAGATTATGTACTAAGAGTAGTAGTATTTCTTACTACTACTTTATGCGAGAGAACCTCTAGCACTTCTACTAAATCATTCTATGCAAAAGATCATTCTATGCAAAAGAACCTCTAGCACGACCTCCATAAGAATGAACCGGAGAACAAGATGCCCTCTACGCATGCGAAGGCGACTAAGCGCATGCCGAAGCACAATTTGCCATCCATCCAACTAGAGGCCCACTTCGCCTTCTTCTCAATCACCGGAATTGTTGTGATAGCATTGAACAGCTTCGTCTTCTCTGCTTCGTCATTACCTGAGGACACGTTGATGAGATTGTGTAGACATTTTAAGGCAGTTGTGCAGACTGACAGTTCGAAATTCAAGGTTGCCAACAGTCCATTGACACACACCACAGGATGTGATTCAGACAAGTAGCAACAAGTTGTACTGCAACTACTATCTCTGAAATAAAATCAAAGTCTAAGAAGAAATCTGGAAATTATAAGTAATACGGCAGTATTGATCGATCAAGAGCGAGTAGGTTTCGCTGTGGATGTTTTCCATGGCCGCTTGAAATCCGTAGAACGCGCGTGCCTCTGGCAGTTGCACCTCTGATGCGAAATTCAGGTTCAAGTTCTCAAGGACAATTCCATCAGATCCAGCGAAGAAGGCCAAGATGTGCTTCAAGAAGTGCTGTTCGTTCGCACTGAGCTTGTCCCAATCAGTCATGTCTTGTGACAAATCGATCTCCTCTGCGGTCCAAAAGGAAGCCTCATGCTGCTTGTACCTGGTGGGAGTCTCTCAACATAGCAGTGAGGTGAATCATAAAGGTGGAGAGATGAAGAATAAGGATGAATCAAATCAGAGAAATTGGCTCTTACTTGGAATGGAATGTAGCTTAGTTCTGAACAGCAAGAACAAGTGCACCATTAACCTTACAAAAATATTTGTCATATGATCTTCTCATACTATAAGAAGTAGTAAGTACATTTCCCAAATTTCTGGGTATTTGATTGGGAACATGACCCATCTCTGTGTGTTTTCGGCCAACAAAACTTCATCGCCTTCCTTCCTCTTGATGTCGTCCGACACTGCCAAAGCGCGCTTTCGATCTTCGAACTTGAACAATGCGCCCTCCTCTTTTTTATCCACCGCTTCCTCCTCAGATCCAAGGTCGCAAGTACTAGCCGTGTCGGAACGGAGATTAGAGAGTGAGAGAATCAAAAAAAAGTGGGTCGGAACTTTCAAAATTGCAGCTGGTATACGTTGCAATTTGTTTAACAAATTGCCCCAAACATAAATACATCCAACAAAGAAAAACTTACAAATACAAGAATACAAGACTACTGTCCGTAACAGCATCACCGGCCTCCGCACAAGCCTTGGCCAATTCGACGTCTGACCCGTTGGCCACAACGAAACCGTTTTTGATCACAGTTTTGTGCGGGATTCCTTGTACGCCGTATTCCGATGGAAGCAAATCATCATCGATCACAACAGAGATCACCTTGCTGCCTTTGGTGATGTTAGAAATACGTACAAGAAATGAGGAGGAGCACCAAGCAATGTGTAGTGAGAACTACACTAGGTTCGAATAGATAATAAGACAAGTGTCTTCCTTGATGGACATATCCGTAGCCGTAACACTACTTATGTCGCTGGTCGCTTCGATCTGATGCTTTTCGCAGAACTCCGCTGCTCCCTCCAAGTCGTTCTCTAGGTTAACGAGGACGAATGCAGCGCTTTTGACGGATCCGGAAAAAGTGGAATTAGAAAAAGTAGGGGTTTCCTGTTACAAAACAAGTAAAGATGAAACAGGCATCGTGGTGGAAGTTTGAGAGAGATGCAACACTAACATGTACATGGAGATGAACCAACAATGACAATATATTTATGGATGTATTACAAATACAGGAACTACGAACGATCTCCGAACCTCCAGCGAGAGAAAATATAATGATCCTGAATGTAATCAATTGAAATTGATGATGATGTTAGTCGGTTCGGAATTGTCCTACGACTTCCCTGATTGAAATTGATAACAACGACAATCACGACTCGTCATAATAGAAGAATCATTCGCCAATTTCTGCATTTCCTTTGCCGCGTCCGGACATTTGGCGCACCAAGTCGTGTAGAAATCCAAGATGACGACGTCGTATTGACTGGTGAGTTCCTTCAGACTGGTATCGCGGGACATTGCCGTTTCCACCATAGGGAAGTCAGGGGCCATATCCTTCTTGACCAACATTTTTTCTGCTGTTCAGTCCTAATAAGAAGAAGTAAGTGAATAAGTATAAGTGAAGAAGATTAGGAGGTGGAAGATTCTTGTTGAGAAACTATATTTAAATACTCGTTGAATAATTCTTGTAAGATGGTGGTATGCAGATGTTTGTGCAAGAAGATGATGTAAAAGCGTTCACTTTTGTCACTTTGTAAATTGTAAGAGTAGTTATTAAGCGCGGAAGATATTGAATTTGCCAAAACCAGCTATTTTGTTTTTTGGGAAGGGATGATGAATTTGATGAGTCTTGCGTTGAAAAATAATTGTACACTTACCAAAGAAAAACACCGTGGTCAAAGAGTCGTGTCGGCGATTGTCCTCTAATAAAAACGAGTCGAGAATTGTTCTCATAATATCCTATTGATTGGTCTCGATCCGAACGATTGAACACACGAATAACCTTGTGTCAGTGGTCTCAGGACACTGACTTATGACACCTATTGATTCTATGTTCTTCAAGCACAAAAAACGAGGCATACTAGGATATTTCATCTGACCGTGTAGTTTTTAGAAGACCGATATATCGAACGACGAGTGTCAGTTTGTACAACATCGCGACTTTGTACTTTTCACGAGTTGTAAGATTTGTAAGAACGAGCGAACACACGAATGACAGTCATAAGTCAGTGTCCTGAGAACACTTGTGTCAGTGGTCTCAGGACACTGACTTATGACACACTGACTCGTGACAGCGCGTGCACAGCAAACTAACAGGCAGAGCACTCACTAACTAACAGAGCACTTCTGAATCGCACTGCACTTCTGACGTACGAATTTCTTTAGGCAGCACTCCAACGATGTCTTCATGATCAAGCTGCATTATCATTTTCGTACAAGGGCTTTCTTGAGAACTCTATCACAACATATTCGGAGCGCATCCAACCATATAAGTACATCATAGATACCTCAAGAATTGACTAAGTACCACAGTATCTGCTGTATCACGCATCAAAAAAAAGAAAACTACACTATACGGGTCTCTGCGCGTGTGCATTATTTTCCAAAAATTGATGTTGCTGTTTCCGAATAAAAAATTAGCTGCCGATATATCAAAAATAGACGTCTACCATCGTAATTGCAATCACTTCTATCGCAGCCCCACTAGAGAACCCCTAGTAAAGGAGACACCTTCCGTCCTTGTTCTTTTAAACGTCAGTTGAAAAATGGCGATGAAACCGTGTCGGTTAGGTTGGGTTGTGGATCCTTCACATCGAGCTCCGGACGTGTCGGCTAGAGTTCCGCTACACGATATCTTAGAAGAATAATTACGTAGGCGGTAAATCGGCTAGAGTTCCGCTACACGATATCTTAGAAGAATAATTAAATAGGCGGTCGACCAAGGTAGACATCGGTGCTTCGACAAACTTTTCACCAGGTACACCCTTTATATAGCTTTCCCACACCGAAGGAGGCAGTGGCAAGGCGTCCTTTAGTCCTAGCATCGCTCGCACATTCTCCTCCTCGGTCATTTTGATGGCGAGATTAGAGAATGTTCAACAAAGTCCAATTGGGTGGCCAACTGCAGTGGGAAATCTCTAGCTATTTATTAGGGCTGACTGCCCATATTCGCGAGCGCCATCACTAATCCACGCCCCGAGGGGCTGCTTAAGCGACACCAGGGGGCACCACCCAAGCGACACCACTGAGCCGCGGAGAGACAGGGCGAAACCGTTAAGGGACCAGCCGAAACCGCTACGGAACCACGCGAAGCCGTTAAGGGACCGCGCGAAACCGCTACGGAACCACGCGAAACCGTTAAGGGACCAGCCGAAGCCGTTACGTAACCACGCGAAACCGTTAAGGGACCGCGCGAAACCGCTACGGAACCACGCGAAACCGTTAAGGGACCAGCCGAAACCGTTAAGGAACCACGCGAAACCGCTAAGGGACCGCGCGAAACCGTTAGGGGACCGCGCGAAACCGTTAAGGGACCACGCGAAACCGGTAAGGGACAAGGCGAAACCGTTAAGGGACCAGCCGAAACCGTTAAGGAACCACGCGAAACCGTTGGGGAACCGCGCGAAACCGTTGAGGGACCAGCCGAAACCGTTAAGGAACCAAGCGAAACCGCTAAGGGACCGCGCGAAACCGTTAAGGGACCGCGCGAAACCGTTAAGGGACCACGCGAAACCGTAAAGGGACCACGCGAAACCGTTTAGGGACAAGGCGAAACCGCTAAGGGACCACGCGAAACCCTTTAGGCACCGAGCGAGACCTCGGGGGGGCAAGGAGAAGCCGCTACGGAACAAGGCGAAGCCGCCCGGGGACAGGAGTGCGCCCCCGAAGCGCCACAAAACTCTGTCCCCGAAGTACCACAAGAATGTGTTCCTTAACTGCCACAAATGTGCGCCTCAATCGTGCGACGCAGTTCGTACCCTATGCGAAGGGCTCTCGCGCCCGTCTTTGAGCTAGTGTTTGAGTATGACCTGACTTGCACAAGAATAACGCCTCGCCTGTGAGTATGAGTATATGAGTACCAGTATGAGTTGTATGAAACCTAGATACCAGTATGACTATGAGTACCGGTATGAAACTACACTATTCCCGTTTTAGACCTTGATGCCTTAAATTGTTTCAGGTCCATCAGCTTTATGACATTCACACACACCGGCTCATGGAGTACTTGAGCATCCTCGAAGTCCAGGCATTTATAAAAAGCTCGACATTATTTATAACCTTCTATGTTTTTTGAGCTATATATATTTATAGGCATGGTATGATATTTTTTCGCGCATGATATTTCCCACGAAGATCAAGATGATTCGTTCTTAAGTCTGTCTTTCAGAAGCTCGTGTTTTTTCTCGTGATGCGATTGGATGTTAGTTTTCTTTCGACATCATAAAAAAATGGCGCTTCGAGGAAAAGTTTGCTTTGTTGCACGTGGACCAAAGCTTTGTAGCCGTCTGGCTCTGGTGGACTGACCACTTGTTCGCGCTCCCCACTGAGTAGCCCATCTTGTTGTACCGTGTGGTGATTCAAATCCACGGTTTCCTGGTGCATCTTGGTGTATCTGTGTTCTTCTTGGTGATTCGAATCCAGTGATGGCGACACAGATTCCGTTCCCGGATTCAGATCGAATGTCAACGCGCCTTCTGTTTCCAAGCAACAAGGTCGACGAGAGAAGTGGAGAGGTCTGGTAGTGGTGAAAAGGAGAAATGGATAAAACTGAAACCTATTCTTGATATTCGCTTCGCAATAATGACGAGCCCTCTTCTCTCGGAATATATGTCGCAGAAGCGGAGGATCCCGGATTCGCTGTTCTTTTTTTTTTAGATTGGATCTCCCTGTATCTTACACACGTAGCGGAGGAAGAAGAAGAGCTCGCTCTTTCGCTTGTTCCACTGGTTCCGGGCTGAACGAGGAACAAGTTGGTCCCACCTTCTAAGGCCCTCTTCTGTCTTTTCGAAGCATGGTGTTCGCCCTCTGAATCAGGTGGCGGGCTATGATCACGTGGCCCTTCGTTCTGAACATGACCAGGTCGTGCTCGCAGATTAAGACCGAAAATATGACTCCCAAACAGTGCAAAAAGCAGAGATGAGAAGCCGACCAACTTGGTCTTCAACATACGATGTAAGCTTCCTCGATAGATAAAAAAGTGACTCCTGTTTGTTTTTGATTTTTGCTTGTCTTCATTTCTCAAGCTTAACGCAGACGCCATCGCCAGATCCTACATCTACAATGAGCGCCATACTCTGGTTGATATCCTTGCCGACTCGTCTTCCATCTATTTCTTCAGCAGGTACGTCTATTTCTTCCATCTATTTCTTCCGACTCGTCTTCCATCTATTTCTTCCGACTCGTCTTCCATCTATTTCTTCAGCAGGTACGTCTATTTCTTCCATCTATTTCTTCCGACTCGTCTTCCATCTATTTCTTCAGCATTACAAGCAAAGCATTATCAAGTAGATTTCTCCTGTCAATATTCATCGTCGTCCCTACCAGTACAATTCCCAAAATCTCAATCACGTCGTAGATTCTCTCGTCTTTTGTGTTAGCGACAACTACAAATTTTCCAAAGTATCTTTAGTGTTACTGACAACTACAAATTTTCCCAAGACTAACGCAAACAAGATCTTGTTCTCAAAACGCTCAATTATGGCGTTTCGCACAATCATGCACACTAGAGTCATTCGGCCGCCCACAGGGAGAATGCTTCTGGGGGCATGAAGTCCAATTGCCGCTTAGATCTCGTTTTATCGGTGTCGAAGTGCCACTCCCTGTGAATTGCGCCAACTTCCCTGTGTCTGCGTCTGTTAGAACGTACTTAATTAAACCCATTATTTAATGCGTTTGTTAGAATGGCAGAAACACCGATTATTTAAGGAAGCGTTCCCAAGACCAAGCGAAAGAGAAGCCCTATGTGAGAATGACATGAATGTGAGTCCCTAATAATACTGTAATTGGTAGTAGAAGTACTAGGCAGCCTACTCATGGCGGACAGTGTATTTTTGTGTCCGAATCAAATTCTACTATCCTTTGCCTTTATCACTCCAACATAGATGGCTAGACGTCCTGGCGCCCTTTCTTGTCCGTCTAAGATTAGCGGTAGCCAGGACTCATTTCATAATTGGCCCTTTTTCTTTTAGAATTCCTGAGCCATGATTCATGAGTAGTCTTGTCCTGAATCGTGTTGTGCTGAATATAAGTGTTGTACTGTTGTGCTGACGGTTTATTGAACCATTCATAAATTTGTGCGTCGATTTCCGCAAGACTGGAATCCAGCCAGCTTCGTGCGCCTTGCCCACATTGATTTTGAGGATACGAAAATCTTTGGATGATGAAGGCCCCGCTGTTAGGGGTACAGGCAACCCATCCTTTAGCGCATCTTTGAGCTTGTTCCAAGAAGGAAGTGGCCAAAGCATGGCGTAAAAGATGGGTTCCCGGTACTCATAAATTTGCCAGTGCTGGACTACTACTGGTCATAGAACTTTTCAGGGTCGAGGATCGCGGTGTGCGTTCTCGTTGGGTTCCTTCCCTTTCCTCATACTTCTTCTTCATCTGTAAAAGCGTCTTACTTGTTGCAACTTCTTGTTCGTTTTTGCCTACTACTTCCTGTTCTAGATCTACTAGGCTGCTGCAATCATATTCGCCTTTGCCTACTTCTAGGCCGCTAATAATCATACAACGGCTCCTGCTGGACGAGGACGAAGATAATGTGCTTGTTATTAGTTCGTTTCGTCCTGTGTAGTTCCCAGTCTGTGCACGCTGTGTCCGACGCAACAGAGCGGCGTGGGCCTCTTCATTTAAAGAAAGATCCCAGATCGAGGAGCTGACGAAGAAAGCAAACATATTATGCAGAAGAAATAAAATGCACTCACACCCACACAATAGGCCCGATCATTTTCCGCAAGAAAAAGAGCCTACTCGAAAAACTGAAATAGGCAAGTAAATAAAGACTAGAGTAGCACAGATGAAGAAAGTACTGCAAGAAGTGGAGTAGCCTTTCTAAATAAAAGCCGCCTTTCCTATTGCAGTCACTAGCAACTCGGCTATTTCATTGAAATAACCGAGTTAATTAGCGACTGCAATAGTACTTCTGATCTTAACGACCTTAAAAGCCGCCTTTCCTAGTGCAGTCACTATTAACTCAGCTATTTCACGGTACCCTATTCATTCTGCCATACGTCTGATCTTAACTCAGGGGACGTTGCTACTGGTATGTCTGCTCGTAGGCCGTCAAGCCAATACCCCTTTTCTAAAATCGCATCAGCGCGTTCGGGTGAAGCCACGGCGAAATAAAAATTTGGAAGCGCTGCCTCTTTCATTTCCTTTATTTGATTAACTAGATGAAGCAACTCGGTCGTGATGCTGCCTCTTTTACTTGTTTATTTGGAGCAGTTGTAAAAGACAGGCAATTATAGGTTGGGTGAAGAGATTAACACTACGGATTTAGACATCGACTACAACTAGCGATGGGAAATGAGGGAAAGAAAAAGTTGCGAGTGGTGTTGAACAGGTTGGTTCTGCTTTTTCGAGTTGTTCCTACTAGGGAAGTTGCCCAGCACGGTGGGGCCGCCGCGGAAACGGTGGCTTCTTTCCGTTATCTGAGAAGGACAGCATGCCCCGCAAACCCCGAGCCCGTCTCCCCGGTGGGGACGGGCCTGGAGACCACACGACGGACACCCACACACACCCACGCGCCACGGGGAGGCGCGCGGGCGTGTGCGACAAAACAAGGGGCAAGGACAAGCACCCCAGGGGAGAGACCACCAAGAAGAGCGAGCGGGGCGGGGCGGCGTTGCTTGCTGGTCGGCTGGCACTCGGCTACCCGCCGCGGCTTCGGGTTTTTGGCTTTTGGGTAGGTTTTCTGTTCGCGCGGCTTCAGGTTTTCAGCTTTTTGGGTAGGTTTTCTGCTCGCGCGGCGTAGGGTTTTTGGCTTCTGGGTAGGCTTTCTGTCCGCGCGGCTTGGGGCTTGCGGCTTTTGGGTGGGTTTTCTGTTCGTTCGGCTTTGGGTCTGTGGCTTTTGGGTCAGCTTTCTGTTCGCACGGTTTGGGGCTTGTGGCTTTTGGGTAGGTTTTCTGTCCGTGGGGCCCTAGGATTTGGGGCTTCTTCATTGGTTTCCTGTTCGTGTAGTCCTAGGGCCTCTTTAAGGCTTTTAGGCCGGTTCTCTGTTGGTGTGGTCGCAGGGTTCCTGGCCGGGTGGTTTAGGCCGCCCTCCAAAGGGGCCCGCGGGAAACTAATGCGGGGAAGTGGTGCGCCACTCTTCCCATTAGTTTCACCCGGCTTCGCGGCTCTCTCGCTTCTATTCAGCTCAAGGAGCGAGGAGGCAGGGGCTTTAGCACTGGCGGCGGAGCTTGCGCCTGGGTTCTTCTTGGCCGTCGCTCGTCGGCAAACAGGCGCTGGCGCTCTCAATGGAGAAAGGGCGAGAGCTTTTTTGCCATTAGATCCCACGAAAGTGGGGGCTTCTCGCTTCTATCAACCGCGCGAGAAGCCTTCCCGCTTGCCTTCTGCGAGTCTGAAACACCCAGGACTTAAAAGCCGCGCGGCATCAAATTCCTAAAATTTTCAGACTAAGGAGAGGCCCCCCCCGTGTGGCCGTCCATTCCCTTTGCCTTCTACAAGTCTGAAACGACCGGGGGCCACCTATCGCGGGCCGGCTGCTAGGCAGCCCGGCGCTGCGCTGTTGTGGTCGACTTGTCGCGGGCCGGCTGCTCGGCAGCCCTGCGCTTCGCGTCTGTTGCCGACCCATCGCGGGCCGGCTGCTAGGCAGCTCGGCGCTGCGCGTCTGTTATCGACTTAGCGCGGGCCGGCTGCTAGGCGTCCCTGCGCTGCGCGTCTGTTCTCCACTTACCGCGGGCCGGCTGCTAGGCGGCCCTGCGCTGCGCGAGTGTTCTCGACCTGTCGCGGACCGGCTGCGAGGCAGCTCGGCGCTGCGCGTCTGTTGCCGACTTATCGCGCGCCGGCTGCTAGGCAGCTCAGCGCTGCGTGTCTGTTGTCGACTCATCGCGGACCGGCTGCGGGGCAGCTCTGCGCTGCGCGTCTGTTGCCGACTTATCGCGGGCCGGCTGCTAGGCGGCCCTGCGCTGCGCGTCTGTTCTCGACTTATCGCGGCAGGCACAGCTTCGACTTGTTAAGGGGATCGCGTCACCTTCCCAGCCCGAAGCTAGTCGCACCCATAAACCGAGCTGCGAGGTCGGCGCGCCATCTAATGGCGGAGGCAAGGCACCAGGCACCGGCCTCGGGACAGGCAAACAAACGAGCGCACGCCCGCGGACAGTCAAAGCCTCGAAAAAAGGCAGCGGACTTCTGAAGGGGATCCCTTCCTAACTCGAAGAGGGTCGAACGCTTGAGCGAATTGCGAGGGCGGCGCGCCATCTAATGGCGAAGGCAAGGCCTTAGGCACCAGCCTCGCGACAGGCAAACAAACGCGCGCACGATCGCGGACAGCCAAGGCTTCGAAGGGGGGCGACTTCTTAAGGGGGACAGCTTCCCAACCCGAAGGGAGTCGCGCCATTAAGCGAATTGCGAGGACTGCGCGCCACCTAATGGCGGAGGCAGGGCTTCAAGCCTTCGCACCAGCTTCGCGACATGCAAGCAAACGGGAGCACGGTCGCGGACAGTCAAGGCGCCGAAAGAGGGCGACTTCTCAAGCGGGAAGCCTTCCCAACTCAAAGGGGGCCGCACGTACAAGCGAATGGCGGGGACTGCGCGCCATCTAATGGCGGAGGCAAGGCGCTAGGCATCAGCGTCGGACGCAAACAGGGACACGCGGCGAAGTCTAGCGCTTGGCCTGCGCTGGCGTCCACTGAGTTCCCAACAGGAAGAGGAACCGGCGGAATCTGGGGGGGATCTCATGCCAATCGCGAGGGAGTTAAAAAGGGCCAGCGCCTTCCGTGCATTATATATTCCCGCCGGCCCCTAGAGGGGGCGGCCTCGTCCTTAACCTTTTGAGCGAATTTCGACGACTGCGCGCCATCTAACGGCGGGGGCAAGGCCTTAAGCAACAGCCTCGCGCGTAGCCTTGAGCGCTGCGAAGTCTAGCGCTTTGCCTGCGCGGGTCTTGACTAGATTCCCAATAGGGCAGGGGAGGAATCTAGCTGGGACCCCAGGCCAATCGCGAGGAAGTTGCAGAGAGGAAGCGACTTCTCTCCACTAGTGTCCCGCTGGCCCCTATAGAGCGCAGCCGTTTCCTTTAGGTCGCCCGCTAGACCGTCCCACAGGAAACTAGTGGAGAGATATGGGCGCTGGCTTCCTCCAGTAGTTTCCGCCAAAGTTGCGGCTTTCTCGCTTCTATCAGGTGCCTTGAGCGAGGCAGCCCGAGCCTTGTAAGCAGTTGGCGGCTGGTAGTGCGAGACCTACAGAAGAGAAAGGGAGCGGATGCCCCAGAGGTGGCGGCCCTTCTCACAAGTCTGAAGCTTTCAGCGCTTAAAGAGCCACGACTTTCCAAGCCCTGAGAGTTTCGGACTTACAAAGGGCCGCCCGCTTTCAGCTTGCCGACTTATCGCGGACAGGCTGCCAGGCTCTCACAAGTGTGAAACTTTTAGGCTTCAAAAGTTCTCCACTTTTTTGAACTCTGAGACTTTCAGGCCTGCAAATGGGTAGCGCCCTGGTGGTGACTGGGACAAAGTGGGCAGAGTTTTGCAACTTCTGGACCCCGGGAAATTCTTGCACGATTTGCCAACTTCTTGGCCATTTTTCAACTTCGACCCAGTTGCCTGATGATTTTTTTCGGGTCTGCCTAGAAAAAGCCGAAGACAGTGAGCATTTTTTTCAGTGCTGCTTAGAAAAATGAAGCAGCAATCATCCCGATTGAGAGAGCGCAATCGCGTGCACACCATCGCCCGGCGTTTAAGCTTCTAGCGCGACTGGGTTCCCTCACTGGACTGCGCTCCCCCAGGTTTTTGCTCATTTAGCTTTTTGGGTTTGCCCGCATTTTTGTAATGTTCTGCGGAGTCTTCTCTCTGCTTTAGTAAAAGTTGAGCGCCTCTCCAAACTGATCCAGCCATCTCGAGAAAATGAAAAGGGGCAGGCCTTGAGAGGAAACCCCTGCGATGTCAGTCACACAAAAAAAGCTGGCCAGACGAAACAGCAGGAGAGGAATTTTCTTTGCCAGGCTGCCGCTACGTTCTCAGGTGTCAGCTCGACGAAGAAAATCACTCCGGTCCTGTTTTGTCTCTCATTCTTTCTGTGTTCTTCTTGGAGCCCTTGCCCGGCGTTTAAAATTCTGGCCCTGCATAAGGGAAGCCGCGCACAGCCTCCCAGGCTTTCCGAGGAGCTTGGAGGAGGCTCACCCATGGGCCTCGACCGGGCTGCCGCAAATCAATGCGTCGGGGCGACTCCAGAGGGGCCCGCGGTCCCGAAGGAGTCCCGCGCCCGTTCTGGTTTTCTCTCTGTTCTGGCGGAAGCTTGGAGCCGTCTCGAAGTGTCTCCAAAATGACAGACGGGCACGCCCTAGATGGGTGAAATTTGGACAATTTCGACCCCTCCCCGGCAAGACCCTCAGCGGCTCCATTTCGTTGAGGGGGGAGACCATTCCCCCTGATTAGCGAAACCAAAACCGACCCCAGCCGCGTGTCGATTCTAGTCGCCAGAGCTCCCCGACCCCGGGCGGGCTTCTGGGCTTGCAGCAGTCTAGGCCCCGCTGGAGCGTCCTGAAAGGCAAAGACGGGCAGCGCACTGCACTCGCCTCAGCACCCACCGCCAGCCACCGCGCGGCGCCCTCGAATCTCAGGAGCGAACCAAGCACGAAGAAGGCCGAGGCGGACACACTGCGCACGCAGTGCAGCCCGCCACCAGCCACCGCAGCGCGCCCTCGAATCTCCTGGAAGAGAGGGAAACGAGTGGGAAACAGAAGAGAAGACAGAGGCAACACAGGCGGGACCGCGTTGACCGTGTCAGCATTGAAGGACCACGCGCAGCCAAAGCCGCAGCACCCATCGCCATACCATGCCCCGCCCAAGTCCCTCCCCTTGCCTCTCTTGTTCTTCTCCCCGCTTCGTTCTCGCTCCTCGGGATTCGAGGGCGCGCTGCGGTGGCTGCTGGCCGCGGGCTCCCTGCGGTTTAGAAAACTCAAGAAAAAGAAGAGAGAAGAGCCGAGAAGACGCACGCGCAGCGCGTCGCAGCCTGCCCGGCTCCGGCCCCAGACTCAGCGCAAGCGGCAGGCCTGGCCCGGGTTTCGAGCATGCTGCGGGCCTCGGCCTTGCTTCGGGCTCCGGGCGTGCTTTGGGCGCGTCTGTTTGGTTTGAAGGCCGGGCGGGCTCCCGTCGGGTTTGGTCGGTTTGCGTTTGGGTTTGGTTTAGGCAAGCGCCTGGGCCGAGGCCTGGCGAGCTGGGCCCGGTGTGGGTTTGGTCTGCGTTTTGCCTGGGTTTGGTTGGAGTAAGTTCGGCCCACGTCTGAGCTTGGCCCGGGTCTGGGTTCGGTTTGGCCTGGGCCTGCTTTGGGTTTGTTCCCGGTTCGGGTTTGGTTTGG